AATGCGCCGGGTAGACAGCCCCAAAGTAGCTTAGGCCCCTAATCCCCCCCTGCTTCAGCAACGGGCCAAGAGGTTGGCAAAGCCAGGGGCCGCTGCGAATTTTCATAATTTCAGCGCACGCCCTCCCTGCTCCCTGATGGCTTGCATTCCCCGCAAGTGGTCACTGCGAAAAATGCACAAACTCAACCCTGGCAATTGTGCAATAATTAGAACTTAGCCAACTTTGGACCAAGGAAATGTACGATCGCTTGCAAGGGTGACAATGAGATCATCGTTTTTAATAACAACACTCATACAATGCGACCGGATCATCGCGTTCCTACTGCAGCCTGTCCTTAATCATCACGTCGGGTTGTTTTTTATACTTGCCTAGTGTCCATCATTTGTCCAGTCTTTGCAGCCCGCACTGCCAGAGAAGTTCCGAGGAACATCTGCTTCGTTCGGCACTGGCCGATAAGTTCCCTCCAAGTTCTTGCGGGCCTGCGGTACGGATCTACCTGATTAATCTCGCCAATCAGTCAGCCCGCCAAACGCCCTCTGGCGCTCGTTGGTCCAAGCTTGGGCGGTTGGCAGTGGTGGCTTGCAGTGGCGGCACAATAATAGTAATACGTATTCCACTGCTACGCTGAACGATGGAAGAAAATTCCTGCCGTGCTTCTCATGCGCAACGGAGGGAGTTTGGTGCCTGGCATTAGAGCCCCCAACAGCCGCAAGGCCTGCCCTTGTCACTGCGCTGTTGTTGGTGGCCGGACCCCGGCTGTTGAAGTATGGTTGTCTCAGCCTGGGACTGAACCTGGCCGGGCGTCCAACGAGCCCGGTGCATGTACTCCGTACGTAGGTACATATTGGATCAAAACTGCCAGCGCACTTGGGTTGTCGAAGTGTGGCACTTGAGCTTGTCGAACACAGCAGCTTTGCAAGTTTTCAAAGAGTCATCGGAGCAGGAGCAAACGCGCAGGGGACAACATTACGCTTGCCATGGAAGAATCCATCATGGTGGTCAAGGGACAAAGGTCAACAAGGACTCACCATACCAAGATGCCGATCCCCCGGATTTACGTGGTGGAGGTGCTGGAGGTGCTGGAGGTGCTGGAGGTGCTGGAGGTGCTGGAGGTGCTGGAGTGATTGGCTTGGCATTGACTAATAATAATTGCTTTCGTGCTGGGCGGAGAACGCAGTCAAGTCCGGACAACACCCAGTGGTCTTTTTTGCTTACATCCAGCGATAATAGCCCTTGACGGAGAAACATTGGGGTAGTGCTGCTGAGTTCCGATGGAGCTGCACGGTCCGCTGGTGCAGATCTGTCCACTGCCTGTGCCTCATCTCCAGTCCAGTTCAGTCCAGTCCCTTCTCGGTTTTTCTTGCAGCAGCGCTAAGAACGTACGCACAGAAGACTTCAGAATCTGCTGTTGGCTCAAGGCTAGCCAGCGTCCATGCCGTTACAGTACGTATACGCCAAGCGCTTGGTTCGCATGGTCCGAACTGTCTGGCCGGCTGGGAGGAAAACTTTTACGTAGGCTACGGGCTGTGGACGCACTCACCAACAAAGCCCCTTCGCGCGCGGAGGCTCCGCGCGCGCCCAGCAGATTATTGCGTTGCTGATACTGCTGGGCTGGCAGATAGATACCTACCAGCGGACTCGACACGCGGGTTGGAATTGCTCCGCTGTCCGCTGCATGTCCTGAGGTCTGGGCTCGGTCTGGGCTCAGCTGGGCGCTATGCAATAATTGATGCTAATAGTGTCCGCTCCAGGGGGGGGGGCGGACTCGCCAGCGGCCCAGCCGCTATCGTTAGCCAAGTCTTTGCGAGGCCGCTCCTGGCGGGTTGGCTTGGCCAGCGTTTTCCCCGCATTCCCGTCTCAGGGTTGAGAAGTTGAAAATGTGACTGAGATTGCCCACTTCGAAAGTTGTCTAACTTCTTTGGAGGCAGTAGTCCGACATGAGGGTCCAGAGCATCTCTCCTCGGTTTGTTGATGAATGGCCTGCCTAGCCTGCCATGGCCAAATTGCTGTGGGCTTGGCGATCAGGAACTCTAGTCGACGCCACGCAGTAAGCAACCCCCCTATCAGGATGACACCCTTGCCCAAACCGACAAATACACTTAAGTGCGTCGTTCCCTGGGCCCTGGCAAGGGCCGCAAGGCTGCACAGCACTACCGAGTGACGCGAAGGAGACTAGTCACTTTGATCGTTGAGGTTTGGCACGCTGAAATGTATTCACAGGCACCACGTGCTGATATCCGTGCCGCTCGCGCAAAGGGCGCCGCAGGTCCAGACGTGGGCGAAATGGGCAACGATTGCCTCGACTATTTAGCGATTACTGTGGCTGAACCCTGGTCTGGTCACTGCCATGTCACATCAGCAGCATAATAATAGTCAGAAGGCGCGTCACTGTCTAGTCTCTCATACGGCGTGCGGCAGACAAGGCATCACATCACCGGCAGGCAAAAGACTCGGACGGACGTCCAGGTGCTGAAGCACATTAGCCCATGATCATATCGCTTTTCTCGATGTAGCTAGACAGTCCGCTTAGCTGACTGCCCGATGACAGCAAATCCATCAGACGGTAACGCGGAGTGGCTTCATGCACGCAAAGCAACGCATTGCAGCGGTCATGTCTATCTGCGTTGCTTTTTGCCAGGCCACGACCATTCTCGTCTAGAACATCTCCAGCTCGTTCCTCGCAGCAAAGAGCCATAGACTATCGAAGCACCCGCGTTTCGGGCCACGTGCTTCAGGCCGCTCTGGTGTACTACATTTGTCTCGAGCGCTTCGACGTCTGTCTAGAAGCGTCAACTCAGGGCTGGCTGACCACGATAAGAAGTGATGATAGGACGGCGTTCCCGTGCATCTGGGCCCGTTCCGCCATCTTGTCAGCAACGAACGATCCCACGTCGTGCGTTCGGCACTAGCAGATCCAAGGCAGCGTGATAACGAATCACACCTGGCGCAGTCCGGCCGGGGCTATTAGCGAATGCGAGCTGACCATGGAAAAAAACCGTGGCGCTGGGTGCCTTTCTGTTGATGATTTGCAACATTGGGATACGGGCGTCGAGCGATGAGCTGCGTCTGTACCATCGTGTTGGGTTCATTTCGTGAGAGTCGGCCAACCACGGCGCCTGCAGCCACCCACACTGCAATCGCAAGAGGCGAACCGCCGCACCCCCTCTCGCTCATATGACCAACAGACTCGACCAAGTTCAGCGACCTGGACGGGCTGACAGGGTTTCCTATTTCCTCTTCCAGACGGACGTGGCGTATGCGGGCGCTCACTTTCAGTAATACGTGTGAGTGGACCTTTGGTTGCCTGCTTGTGCTGTAGACATCATCACTTGTACCGTACAGTCGCAGGTGATAAGGTGCAAGCGCAACTTTGGGCAGACACTACATGCAGTCCTGGAGGGTTGGGGAGGGAGACTGAAGGGAATCATGACCTCAACTCGCCACGAATTTGGCCATAGGCGGGACGCTTGGTGGAATGGCATCTTGGTGGCTTCGGCCAGTCAACGCTTGACCGCCAAAATGAGAAGGGCGTGGCTATGAAAGTCGTGTTCGAAAATTAGGGGTGGCGGTGGTCGCCGAAGACAACCCTCCCGTTATAATTGGGAAGGTCAGCATTCACGGCTGATATGGCCTATCAGTCTCTACTCGGATGTCTAGATTCGAAGCGGCCTGAATCACACTGCATACAAGTAGCCACGATAGAAATGCAACAAGATTCGACATGCTGGTGGTTGTACTGCCGTGAAATTCGGCGTATTGATATGTCTGCCCCTTAAGATGTGAGCAGCCACGCATGGCATCGACTGTTTTATGGCAAGAGTGCGCTCTTGGGGACCAAAGCTGAACGGGAGCAGAGTCTAAACAGAGTGATATGCCGGGGCTTAGCTGTTATGATCCGACCTGGTGAGTCCGTTGATGTCTACTATTGAAGGGATAAATTCATGGGTAATAGGTAGTCAAGGTACCTGATACATTGGAGTTTTGATTCTCGCATCTTATGATGATCGGGAGCCAGCGTCAATATGTGCTGTTCTAGCTGGTTCTCGAGAAGTAGAGTAATGAGGTGACGCCAAATGTTGCTGAGCATGCAAACGATGTATTTCATCTAGATGCTGAGTCGCCGGTGGTCAGGCGAGAAAGGTCCCTTGGGAATGTATGTAGCCTTGGTGTTGGATTTGCCTCTATGAGTCGATATGAGTCAAAACCTTTAAACGCACACAAGCCTGTAAGTTACAATAACTTTCAGCGGAAGGGGATCATGTTGGCTGACATGTATTTCCTAGCAAGCGTCTTGATGTTAATCGTGGCAGAGTCAGCCAGCGTCTTGGGCATACCACTTCACTTCGGATGCTTGTCACGATATATTTCCCGCTATCAACTGGTTCCAAAGTAACTGCTGGTACATAAATGAATGTTGTTCCTTCTTGTGAGAGAGAAGTCAGAGTGAAGAAGCCAGTTAAGGGATTGAAAAGACAGTGTCTCTCAGGTATTCAAGGCCCCTATTCACACGTCAAAGCCACAAAGCTCAGATTTGTTGGTCACTATACTGAAAGCCATACCCATCTCGAGGTCTAAGGATGTAACACAAACAGTCTAGGTATGGAATGCGTAGAAGACAGACAACTTGGGTTGATCCGAAGATGTGCTCCACAACCCAAGCCGCCGAATCTTTGGACATCAACGGAAGGACTCAAAAACCTGTCCAGGATAGATATGCAGAGCAAAAAAGCATAAGCCAGGACTTCGCCAGAGCCTTTCGAAAATTATTGTATGAGACTATTTGGCTAAGGTTTCCACGTAGAATGGGGCACCGTGTCTGGACCATATGCTTTCCCCTTGCGCCGGAGCGTTCTCATTTCAACGTGACATGTTTTGTACAAAGTATGGTACATCAAAGTCCTACAACATCCCTCTTGTCAATAGTTGTGACATCCTCGCGTGAGAGCATCTGATCGGCCAACCATCGACAGGACGTAATCGCAATGGGTGTATCAGGGCTTTAATCGAGGCCGACGTTGGGGATGTTGCCAAGGTCGATGCCGCCGGTACGACTGGCGGTGATATCAAGCGAGCTGTCGTGGGCGATCATGTCGGCTAGGATGTCTAATATGGGCTGTAAAGGGTTAGCATCAACTTAAGGTTGTTCGCCAGTTGACGTACCTTGGGCACAGTGCTGTCGTAGATTTTGATCAGATCACCAGGCGCAGGGTACACTTTGAGACCCTTGTAGAACGCCAAAGCAGATTCAACCTTTCTCGAAGCTGCTATCCATAAGTACTGCGTATTATCGCCAATTGACTGAAGGAACTCACGGTCTTGGCTCAGCATTTCTCCAGTCATGACTTGCTCATTGAAGTAGGCCTCGCGCTCCTCGACGCCCTGGGGGAAGCCCTCCTCATTGGCCTCGTCAATAAGCGACTTGATGGCCGCTCGTTGCTTCAGGGACGAAATCTCTTGCTCCTCCTTTTCGGCCCGAAACTGCCTGCGCTCGTTCCTCCTGAGGTTGCGTCGGAACTCGACCTGGTTTCGGCGCTGGTAGTCAAAGTACGCGGCATAGGCTGTATCCTTATCAGACCTTGGATTACTGAGAATAGAGGTGGAAGGGGCGCGTGCATACCGAGGATGCCCGTCGCAGCGGTTGCGACAGTAGCTGTGACGACAGTAGTTGTCGAGACCATGATGGCGCGGCTCTAGTTCGTAATAGGGGAAACGTAGAAGACGTTCAAATTGTCGACAGAGCGTCTGATCTAACGGCACAGCTAACAGTTGGCGATGGACCTGGAAGCGATAGAAGTAGTTGGGTGGATGGGATGGGCGTGTAACTGCAGCTCGATCGGAAAGCACTGCTTTGCATCACCAATTTTTTTTGACGTCGAACGCGGCTCCCTACAGGCTGGAAGCTTAGTGTGGCTGGAGTCGCGATGCAGTGTGGCTGGTGCCCTGACCGTGAATTCGTCGGCTAAACTCGAAACGGCCGGGCTTGTCACAATGGGACGGAGCTTGGGGAGCACCTGCGCCTCGTTAGAGGCACGACTCGACGGCTCGCCAGCTACTAATTACTCAAGGCGGGAACCATAACATCTCGACGCGTCGGGGCAGCACTCATCATGAATTTACTATCCGAGGAGCGAAGCAAGATCTCTCTTCGGAGCGTGAAACGCAAGAATAAACCGACGGGCGCGCCCAAGATCTCGGCCCCCATTCCGCACGATGTCCACACACAACCTCTCGTTCCGTTACCCAATGCCCAGGCTCGACCTCGTCAGCGACCACCTCCATCCGCAGGCGGAAAGGTACGTTTGCGTACCGGATCTTGAGTATACCTGGAAACTGACTCTGTAGACATCGGATCTTGTGAAGCGACGGTACTCAACCCGGTTCAACCAGGACTTTGATCCGAGTGCACCTCCTCCAGTTCCAGCAGTCCCATCCGTAGGCAAATACGCACCCGCCGAGCGTCTGCCGCCAGCTCGAGCTGCGGGTGCCGCCCCCAACTTTGACCCGAAAGCGCTGCATGATCCGAACCTGGTCCCTGACCAATATGTTGCTGGCACGCTCGGGGACGCAACTGAGAACCAGATACGCGACTTTCAAGACCAATTGAGATCATACAAACAGGATGCATCCACGAAGCTCCAGCAGAACCTGCTCCAGAATCGCACTCAGTTCATCAAGATTAGTAAGGAAGCTGAGAAGTTGAAGAGCGAGATGCGAGCCTTGAGGAATCTCATGTCAGAGTTGAAGACCAACACGACGGCCCTCCGATCTGCGTCAAACAAAGGTGAAGGTGGTCCAGACCTGGGAGAGATGTCCACGGGCCTCAGCAAGAGAGATAAGCGAAGCTCTGTAGCGGATAGAACCGCGCTGTGGAACTCGCAGATGCAGGCGCTGTACAAGAGCGTAGAGGCTTCCCAGAAGTTTCTACCAAACGCACCTGGGCGCCACGTTGTGCAGAATGCTGGCCCATGGATCGAGCTGGACAATGCGACGTACAAGGCGCGCAGAGCTATGCAGATCTTCCTGCTGAATGACCATTTGCTAATAGCCTCGCGCAAAAAGAGAAAGACTGAAGGACCAATCGACGCTAAGGGACCAATGTCCAAGATGGTGGCGGACAGGTGTTGGTCGTTACTGGACATTGAAGTGGTGGATATGGCCAGCACAGGTGAATCTTCGGGTGGCCGAAACAAGCTGGCCGATGCTATCATGGTCCGCGGTGGAGGCCAGGACTCGTTCATCTACCGGACTGAGAAGCCTGAGGATCCTGAGAAGAAGACGCTACTGCTCAATGTGCGGAAAGCTGTCGAGGAGCTTCGCAAAGGTCTGCGGTCGGAGATGGAGGCCAACAACAAAGCCCGCGAGACCATCAACTACTTTGCATCAAGGGACCCTGGTCTTTTGCAGAAGACGGAACTCCTGGAAACACTATCTGACGTCAAAGATATGCTCATCGAGGTCGACGGCAAGCAACAAAACCTGCGATGGGTAGAAAGCCAGATGGATGAGCTAGACATTGACATTGCAGTGCAAGAGATTGAGCCCGCAGTCGCACGAGTCGAAAAGCTCAGGGGGTTGGCAAGGGGTTTGAAGAACAACGTCGTTGCCGTTGACTTTATCAACTTTAAGGTCGAAGAAAGATGTAGTAAACTAGGCACTGTTCTCATCCGAGAACTGAAAACAACACACAACGAGCAGAGCAAGACGAGGCGCAACGTCAGCTGGCTCACGAGGTTGGGTTTCGAGGACAGAGCCAGGGAAGCATACCTCGCAGCTCGAAGTGACACAATTCACAAACGAGCGAGGTGAGTCCCCAGTGAACTGGTTAGGTCGATGATGTTGTATAGCTAACGCGTGTCAGACAATGTATCTTCCAGGGCGACCTTCACCTGTACATCTGGCAAATATCCTTTGTCTACTTCATGGTCATTCACAACACCGTCAAATGCTTTCAAGGCTGTTTCCCACCGCCAATGATGAGCACCTGCGTCAAGTGGGCCAAACAGGAGGTTGAGGCTTTCAACTCCGTTTTGGCAAGGCAGCTTAGTAGCACAGAAAAAGGTGGTGAGGTCTGGAAAACGTGCATAGACAGGGCTAAAGAGCACGCGTCGATGCTGTCAGAGGCTGGGCTGGACTTCACTGATCTTGTGGGGAGGGATGTCGATGAGCAGAACTCGCAGCAAATTTCGGCGCCGGCCGGCGACGTTGGTCTGGGGGTAGCTTCGTGAACACGTTATTGGACGTGCTAGTCAACTTCTTAACGGTCTTCGGCATGCTACTGGTCCCTGAACGTGAACCTTATACGTACATCAAGGAGAAATGGCACAAAACAAGTCTTAATAAGAGGCCTTTCGCAACTGGAGCTCGAGTGGCGCAAATTACGAGGACGGTCGATGCAGGCGCGAGCTTGGGCCCGCTAAAGGGAAGCGTCAGCCACATGCCCTTGCATCTACGCCATCCACCAGTCATCACAGCGCTGCACCACTTCCAGTTCCAGTTGCGGCGTCTCCCCCCCATCCTGGCAATCTCCATACTGTTGCAACACATTGCCATCGGCAGCCTTTTTGCGAGGCACCCCTTTCGACGCGTCCACGATCTTGAGACGACTGAACGAACTTGTTACCCGTATCGCGGCAGACACTTTCCATTTCCGCAATTCACCTGTATCGGTACCGCAAGCTCAGCTCCCTGTCTGCTGTTGCCCCACCGCTGCTCGCGACCTGACGAACCTCGAATCCTCGCGAGAACGTCATTTTCCTGCAACCGCCCACACCATCGAATACCCTCATAGCGACGAGGAAATTCAGACGCCATGGATACCAACATGGAGGACGTACCCAGGGCGCCTGCCGACGTGTCGCCCGTGCAGACTGAGCCCGCCTCTATCCCTACACTAGATGGGTGGATCGAGAGCCTCATGGCTTGCAAGCAGCTGTCAGAGGGCGATGTTCAAAGGCTTTGTGAAAAGGTCAGTGCGAATTTCTACTGCTTGCGACGGGATGTGACGGCCTGTGCATCTTTGCTGTTGCGTGTAGCAGCCCAGTCAGCGCGACCGCACTCTCGCGTGACCGACGATTGAGATGAGCGACGGCTGACCCATGCCTACAGGCGCGAGAAGTCCTTACGGAGGAGTCAAACGTCCAGCCAGTGGTATGTCTCTAATGGCGAAGGAAGTCGTGATCTGAATACTCACATTTGGCGCAGAAATGCCCGGTCACCGTGTGCGGTGACATCCACGGCCAGTTCCACGATCTTATGGAGCTCTTCAAGATTGGTGGACCCAACCCGGACACCAACTACCTATTCATGGGTTTGTTTGATCTCTCGGCTAGCTGCAAGACCTTGTTCTGACCCCGACTTACCAGGTGACTACGTCGACCGTGGATATTATTCCGTCGAGACAGTCACGCTCCTCGTCGCCCTCAAGATCCGATACCCCCAGCGCATCACCATCCTCCGTGGTAATCACGAATCCCGTCAGATCACTCAAGTTTACGGCTTCTACGACGAGTGTCTCCGGAAATACGGCAATGCCAATGTGTGGAAATACTTCACCGACCTCTTCGACTACCTGCCGTTGACTGCCCTCATCGAGAACCAGATCTTCTGCCTTCACGGCGGCCTGTCGCCGAGCATCGACACGCTCGACAACATCCGTGCGCTTGATCGCATTCAGGAGGTGCCTCACGAAGGCCCAATGTGCGACCTTTTGTGGTCTGATCCCGATGACAGATGTGGCTGGGGCATCTCGCCCCGTGGTGCAGGATACACATTCGGCCAAGATATATCAGAGGCGTTCAACCATAACAATGGCCTGACGCTCATTGCGCGTGCGCATCAGCTGGTCATGGAAGGTTACAACTGGTCGCAAGATCGCAACGTGGTGACGATCTTCTCGGGTGAGTTGAAGCCACTCGTGTCCACGTTTTTCGTACTGACGGTGCAGCGCCCAACTACTGCTACCGATGCGGTAATCAAGCAGCGATCATGGAGATCGATGAACACCTCAAGTACACATTGTAAGTGTATCAAATTAACATCGTGCATCCAAATTTTAACAGTGCTAGCTTGCAATTTGACCCTTGCCCTAGAGCCGGCGAGCCGATGGTGTCGAGGCGTAAGTGGACTGTCTTTGCCCCAGAGAAAACATATGCTGACCTGTTTCAGGAACACCCGACTATTTCCTCTAAATCTGCAACTCGACTCATGTTCGAAGTAACTGTCCAAAGCTGGGTCATCGCAGTGGAGGTCTGGAGTGGCCTGGCAAGAGAATATATGTTTGGGGTTTCTGTACGCATCGTCACGCAGCTGAGTTCAAGGAACACCGCACCAAATACAGTGTTCATCCAGCTAGATCTTCGACCTCCGAGTTCATTTTATCAGGGGCGGCTAGACTTATGCAACATGGAGTCAGTAAGGCAGAAAAGGCTCCACGGTCTTTATGTTTGTGCTAAGTCTGTTGGTGCGCTCTTGACGCACGAAAGTGAAAAATGGATCAATGTTATCGAGTTAATGTGTGTGCTTGCGGTACGAGTAGCTCAGGGGTATTGAATCAAGGAGGGTAAAGCCATCGAACAAGTGCTACCCTACGCCCAACGCCGGTTCCATGCGGAACGAGCTCTTTTTTGAAGTTTGTTTCCACTCTTCATTATATCTCCAGGACTTTCCTCTCTTCTCTGATATCACTTTAGCCCTTCTTCCCCCATCAAGGATCCTATTTATATTCCATCTCGCGCTGAAGTGACATCTCCCATTCGTTTTCCCGGCTCCTCTCTTCGCCTGGCGTGGTAGGCTTTTCCTCGTTCAGAACAGCCTCGTCGTCCACGGCATTTCTGTCCGCAGTTGTCGCACCCTTCGAGTAGTCACCCGGCAGTTTCGCGCCATCGGGCACATGGAAGCGCTTATCCATGCGGTTCAGCGCCAAGATGTATACAACCACAAGTTCGATGAAGTAATTGAAGAGATAGTATGCTACCCTGTGGTTGAACCAGCCGGGATCCTCTTTTGGTCTAGGCATGAAGCCGATGGAGGCGCGAAAGATGGATCCGGTGGCGAGCAACGACGTGGTGATGAGCAAGATGACAACCTTGGCCGTCATGGAGCCTTGACCGAACTTGTCAACGGCACGCTTGCGTGGCCAGACAAGCAACAATAGGGTGGCTGGAAGAGGAATGGTGGAGAGGAAAGCCATGTAGATGGCTGATGTGCGGCGAATGTCGGCGAAATTGGACAGCATGGAGCGGTCGAGTGTGAAGCAGCTCGACACGACTGCGTAGACAACCATGACGAAGCAGGCGAATATACCAAAGTAGAGGAAGTAAAAAGTCCAATTGAGGGTCTTACTCCATCCAAAATTAGGGTGGTACGCCCTGGTAAGCCGCTGCAGGAAGATGAGGTTGATGACGAAGAGGATGAGGACGCCAGCGTTGAAGAGGATGCCGGCGGCTATCGAGATACGGACATTGTCTGGCCGTGTCGCCCACACGATGCGCAGGATGCAGGCGACCATGCGAGCAAAGCAGAAATAGAAGACGACGGCCGACAAGAGGAACTTGTGACCTCGTCTGCCGTTGCGCTTCCATATGGTCATGTTCAAGATGGCGCCGGCGAGGAAGCAGGCGAGGAAGACGGCGCAGATGGGCACGTCGACCTTGACTGTCGGGATGCCGCCGTGTTGGGCGAACTGAGACACATATGGGGGACCAGAGGGGGCCTCAGCTGGCTGTCCCCCGGCGCTTCCTCCTTGTGCTGACTGCGAAGACATTTTGAGAGAGGTTGACCTTGTTGATGCCTATCGAGGTCTCATGTGCTGTGTGTCCAAACAGAACTCGCTCCACAGGCGCGCAGTCGGCTGGGAGCAGATTGGTAATTTGAAAAGTCTTTGGAAAACCGAAGACTCTGGTTTTCGTCTTCATTTTATCATCGACCATTAGCGACGTCGACGCCTCTTCATATGAAGATCTGAGACGCGGGAGACACCAAACCAACAGGCCCCGGGTCCGGCAGCAGCCCGTCAAGTCGGCATTTCGGGAGCCATCGTAGGGCCTTGAGATGCTTCGTGATGACATGGAATGTACAAAGGGTGCATTGCGATCCTACGTTGGAGGCTTCGGTACGTGGGATTCTAGGTGATCAACATCGGACGTCGGGAGTTGAGCCAGCGACGGGATCTACCCTGGCTAAGGAGTGCATTCAAATGCTAGCAGCAGTCTGCGCAAAGTCGTGGTCCGGCTAACAGCGGGCCACCCTAGGCGTCGATCGAGTCGGTGATCGGCTTCTTAGAGTGCCGACGCGAACTTCATTTGCCCCCTCGTTCGTTTTTGAGATTCCGTGTGCTTCGTTACACAAGCTTGCCATTCATGCATATTCAGTCAATCGCTGTCGTCCATCCGTTTTCAAATTCAGACTCGAACGCTTCCTTATGATCACATTTGGCTGGCGGCCATGTTGAGCTTCAATGGTCCAATCCTAGGGCGCGCCTGTCGGTTGGTTGGACGCCCGCACTTTGACGGCACTCGGTAGACTGATGATGATGGCACAGGAGGCTTTTTGAATAATATAATTCTCCAATTTGTTTGAGAAATAGCGATCGCATGCCTACTTCCTCAGATGCGGAGAACTGCAGTATCAAGCTTACGTGTAGTAGGTAAAAGGTAAGGTATGGGGATGGTACTCGACTGATTGCTGCTGGCATATGGCATGTCGTAGGCTACCCTATCGAAGCTCTGCCACGCCTAACTTTGTAACTCAACTTTTACGAATATTCATCAATTCGATCAACCAAGCCCCGAGAGGAATGAATAAATAATCGCAGTTTGCTATTCTATAAAGTTGAACAGGAAGTGAGTTAATACACCGCAAGGTGTCATTGCCATCCATGTTTACCGGCAGTAACAGGCCGGACGTATATACGACACAAAACGTATATACATTGTCACAGTATGGTTAGCCGTGGCATTCATCTTCCAGCTCATGCACGCCTGCTGCGTGAGACGTGCCGCAACGTCTGTATCTGCAACGAGTTCTTCCTGTTGGGGCCAAAGTCGTCAAGGAGGTTCGGGCGATGATTGACGACCCGCCGAGATTGCTCAATTTGATATATTCACCTGAATCCAGAGATTTCGTAACGCTGCACTATGCAAATTTCAAACTCGTGAGTGAGAACGCACCTCCACTTGGTGGCACGATGGACATGACTTGGGTATGCTGATAGGCTTTCGAGTTTATGTCAGACCCTGTTTAACCGCAGTGCACCACCAAAAATAGAGCATAGGACCAGAGACCAGAGTTCAGAGCTACCGGCATTCGCGGAATGTTGTTAAAGACCCATGCGTCGATCCACGTAGGTCAAGGCGCATCATCTGTTGCATTCACCACGATCTGCTTCCTTTGATGTTTGTCTGGACTTTGAGACTTGTTGAGTTGTGCTCATGGCTGGGGGCGGCGTGAGTCACTACTGGGGTCAGTGCTTGCTGGTCCGTCCCGAGCCGTGCGGTTCTCAGTCGAACTCGCATTCCAATTTCCAGTGTGGAATACGTAGGCGCTATCTGTAAATATGTACAACGGGCTGAAACTGAGAGTACCAATAGAATTCATCACCTCGGAGGGTTATACTGTTCATGATCTTGCTTTGTTTCATTTTCTCTTTTCAAACTTGGTCATATATCACGATATTCGATTAGATGTTTTGACTGTGCGTGACCGTGCACGTATCAAAAGCTGAGACACCCCATCTAGCAAGACAGCGCTAGCGGACAAAAAGCAAGGACTCCTTGCGGATGTGGGCAACCGCCATTGGATGAATCGACTTTAGCCCCGGCCAGCGTCCATCTGAACCATGTTCCCCAAGATTGCACGTTCGCGAGCGCAAGTAGCTTCCCAGCCATTTCAGTATGAGAAGAAACCTCCTGACTCAGTGAGATGGCTGGGGCCACGCTTGGCGCCCGATCAAGCGACAAATACAGACCTTCACTGACTGCGACTGGGTACACGTTTGCGTTCGACAGACAGTCTGGATGGCGAGGCACTCAAAGAATGATGAATGTAAGCGCTTTATCTTCATCACTGTTGAATTGGTCTCATTATCACGGTTTGCCAGAAGTACTGAAAACCAGACCTCAGCAACCTGGTGAGATCGCACCTCGTGTGCTGTTCCTGCAGGTACCTTCCTGAAGCAGCGACCCAGCCTGTCAACAACCTCCCCCACCCGGGCGATCCCCCTGGCAGCTTCCACCAACAACCTTCACGCGCCAATTTCCCACGTTCAGTCCTCCTCTCCTCTCCTCCTGTTCACCGTTGCCGTCAGTGTGCACGTCAAGCACAGAATCGCCTCTGCCCGCCGTGCCCTCCCTGCCTCTGCCCGGAGAACCAGCTCGTCCATGAGCTTGGGTTCAATCCACAGGGTGACAAGATTTCCAGGAACGACCATCGACGGGGACGAAGTCGCATCATCAATCTTCGCAGGTCTACTACTCAGGTCGCTCTGACCTCGCTTTGACCTCCAGTCTTTTCTCACAACCACCACCTCGCGTCGCTCTTCGCTCTCCTTTGCCAGACTTTGATCTGGTCCTCTTCTCTTTCGCGACTCTCGCTTACCATCTCTTCCCGATTATCTCCTTCCAGCGGTCACCAAACACCGATTGCCGCCAAAACTGAACGACACTCATTTCGAGCTCCCAAGACCGCGTCAACGGCACCGCCTTTCTTCGCCTCGGTCGAAATTACCATTCGCGATTCGAGCATCGCTCCAGTCGCTCTTCAACCTCTAGGCATTATAGAAGGACCAGTCTATTCTGATTTACGACAATTGGAAATCCAGAGTCAGATCTGACCCTCCTCAGAGCAATACCTTGGCGCAGTCCAGAGCATCCATTGACTGCTGCAATATCTCTCCGTCGAACTCACAGTGGTCAAGCGAACAAGTAGCCCGCTGGAACTTTCACAAATCGGAACATTCGAAGTGTCTCAGATCCATCGTGGCACGGTGTCTCGCAGTTCCCACCGTACCACGCGATGCAGCCCAACGGCACCACAAGGCGGCATAGCCGGGCCACACGTGCTGCGCTGATTGCGCTCCTGTCAGTTTCACCGGCAATTGTCACAGCGCAGTCGGAGGAGTGTGTTTCCTTGGAGGGGTCTTCACTTTGCTCCTCGTGGCAGTCAGCATCATTCTCCAGAAGCCAAGATCTCACAAATGATTTGTGAGTAGCATGAGGCTTCATCCCAACTTCCCAGCTAACAGTACGGCAGTCCGTTCTTGGAATTCGTCACAGACAGAGAGTCCTTCGACAGGGAGTTCTCCCAATACCTCAAAACGACGTACATCCGCGACAAGTACGTGCACTTAGCAAACAACCCATCCGCTCTGCTAATGCCCGCCTAGGTACCAGCGTCTATTTGATTGCAGCGGCATCGACTTGACGGACAGTCAAGACTGGTATGCTCGTTGGACAACTTCAGTCCTATGCAACTCAATCGTACAACAGTCTCGGTCACCGTGTGGTCTCTCTGACGATGAAGCTGTACCTCTCTGCGCGGACGCATGCGCCGAGTTTGCTCAGAGTGCTTCATTTTTAACATCAGACCGAGATCTCTGCCCAGCACCGAACGACAATCTAGCTCAGCTCATCCGAGCTGACTTTGTTACCTGCCACCTGCCCGACGACTCATTGGGCGAAAACTGCATCAACCCGGCCAACAACGGACCTGACGAGGACAACTGCGGATTCGGCAATAGCACCATTGGTCTTTGCTGGCATTGCTCAGAGGGCGGCGCCAATTCGACCGAGACATGCTGTTATAATTCTAATGCCGAGGAACGATGTCAAGGTGTCGAGCTTCCCGTCATCACTTCCACTTTGGTTCTCGAAAGTCCCACGCGGTCCTCGGAACCTGAAAACACCTCATCATCGTCCGGAGAAGGTGACAGCGGCAACGGCAATAGCAGTGGCAATGAAGACGACGACGACTCTGGTGGTCTCAGCGGTGGAGCTATCGCAGGTATCGTCGTTGGTACTCTAGCGGGAATCGCTCTCATTGCCGCTGCTCTCTTCTTCTGTATCCGGCGCTCAAAGCGCAGGGAAGGCAGCCAGCACGGGAGCATTTTCAACCAGCCCTCGCCGAGCCGCGGAGGCGCCCGTCCCATGTCGCAGGCACAGGCACAGGAAGCTCCTCAAGGCTACGAGATCCTTCCCGGAGGCCGCATTGCGCGTATGTCGGCAATCGAGGGACACTCTGGAGATTCTTCCCCGCAACACCATGGCAAGACTGCAGGAGGAGCAGCAGCAGCCGGCGCTGCCGCTGGCTACATGGGAGGTCGTCGTAAGGATAGCAACACACAATCGTCATCCGATGAATATGCCGAGTCCGAGCCTCGGACAGGTATACTTCGTCCTCCGCCGAGCGCCACGCGGAGGAACGGCTCCCTTTCCAGCAATTCCATTTTTGGGACGTCTGTGCCGCAGTCACCCGCTAGTCCAGAAGGCTTCTCGTCTCCTCCGGGTGTTAGTAGCCAGCAGTCCGAACAGCTGCCATTCTTCAAGGATTACTACTCACAAGACGACATTCACCCCGGTGACCGCGTGGCTGTCCTATGGGCTTACCAGCCTCGTGCTACAGACGAGTTCACTCTCGAACGTGGGGACATGCTCAAGGTCGTCGGTATCTGGGACGATGGATGGGCCACGGGCATCATGATTGATGAGCGGGCAGACGATTGGGATATCAGGCGCCAGGCTCAGCGTGATAGCGGCGTGTCCCATGCGTCCGGCCGTCGCGACAGCTCGCCCTCTGCCAGCGGAGAGATCAAAGCGTTCCCTCTGGTCTGCGTTTGCATGCCCGACCACTGGAGGAAGACGATTGAAGGAGATGGATCAACTGATGTGGGATCCAATGCCAACCACCCCCTATCTGGTCAAATGTGATGAACCCATTTTCGACCTACTTCATTGAGTACTCGGCGCACATTGACTATCGGCTACAACCCCTCGCGCTACTTTGGACGCGGATTCGTGGCTTCTCTGCTCATCACTAGACTGATGGAATAATTCTTCCTTAGCGCCTGCCGGGGTGACGATACTGCCTCATGTTGGAGCTGGACGCTACCAGCCACTCGGCGAATATCTCTTGAGCGAGCATGAAGCCTTTATTTGAGGCAATGAGCGAGCTGTTGCACGCCGGGAAGACACACACCCTTAATGTTTTCTGTCTTATCAAACGCCACTTGCGCACGTCGCAACCACCCGGGCCCGAGGAGTCAGCGCCAGATGTCTGTTGTCTCGAGATGATACTGGCCTAGGCGAACCGGGGCACAAGCACTGGTGATGATGCCCTTGCCGCATTCTTTTCACTTCACGACTGTCCTTATATACCCGGCAGTTAGCTGCCACTGGAGTTTTTATAGCGACGAGGATGTTAGAACGTATCGAATTAGACGGCTAGTCTGGCATTTCACGGCTGTATATAGCATGTTACCTACATAGTCAGAATTTTGGGGGCGCTTCTTTAATCGACTTTGATTGTTAGTGGCGCACACATACATATTCAAGCATTGATTGTCTAGCGAAGCGTGACGGTTGTCAAACCAAACTGTGTACTTAACTGAATTAACAATTTGCATTGCTGTTGGGCGACGCGGGGTTGGGAGGGGCACCTCACCTCACTCTCATCTCGACAACCCTTTCACAATCTTCCAAACTGGCACTTATTCCGACACGTTTTCAATTGAGACCTCTGTTTTTCCAGCCGAAGCAGACACAAACAGACAGCAATGGCAGATCAGGTCAAGGCGAATGCCGAGGCCCTCGTGCCTCGCTTCAAGCTTGAGCGCGTCTTGAATCAGGGTTCGTCACCTCACTATTTCATATACAGCAACCAGCCGAGTACGCGGGCTAACTTTGGAGCAGACCAGGCTGGGCGTAGAACAACTCTTGTGGGCACAATTGATCAGGAGCCGGCTTTACTCATACTGGAGAGAGCCCCCTTTCCTACCTCAGAGGACTACCTAGCCAGCATCCCATCGTCACTCGCCCGACTCAGAAACCTCGGGGCAAACGACATTTATCACTGGTACATGGCACAGAGTGGCGGGAGCACGGACAACAAGGACGATGAATTCCACGCAGATCTCAAGATCAACCTAGTCTGCCCTTGCACCGACAAGCACGTCAAAAAGTACAGCAAACAGGGGGTCCGCTTTGTAACCGAGACGCCCTCTATTTACAAAGACCATGTTCGGCCGCTGATGCAGACCAACCGCGACCAGGGCCGATTAAACTGGGTATTCAACATCCTCGACGGAAAGACTGAGGTTGAGGACGTGATCTTTCGAGCCAAACCCTGGGACGTGCCTGGACAGGCTGAGGACGACAAGGAAGGGTTTCTGCTATTGCCCGATCTGAACTGGGACCGCAAGACCTTGGATGCGCTGCATCTTCTTGCCTTGGTGGAGAGACGAGATCTGTGGTCGTTGCGTGACCTGCGAAAGAAGCATATAGGATGGCTAAAGAAGATGAAGGAGCATCTGCTTGACGCCGCGACAGAAACGTATCCGACCATTGACCGAGATCAGATCAAGCTCTATGTACACTACCAGCCAACGTATCACCACCTGCATATCCACATTGTACATGTGGCGCTGGAGGCTGGCGCGACGCAGGCAACTGGCAAGGCGGTCGGGCTGGAGTCGATTATCGAGACGCTCGAGGTGATGGACGGCGGCAAGGAGGACGGTATGGATAGGTTGTCGATGAGTTATACGCTCGGTGAAGCGAGTGAGTTGTGGGAGAAGGTGTTTCGTCCCTTGAAAGAAGGGAGTGCTTAGGATGAACGGGAAAGCTTCTCAATGGCAATGACCAGGTCGTTGACGCTAGCGCCATGAGGGCAATCGGTCCATTCGCCGCCATCGCGGATGCAGTAGATTTCGTTATCTAGTCGCACCGTGCAGGATTTTGTCACACCAGCCTGTCAATTGTTAGCAAGCTGAGCGTAGGCGGTTGCGTTTTGGAAGCGTACATCCGCTGTCCTGGTGACACTGTTTCGCAGCATTTCCAGTCCATGAGCACCGTCGTCGCGGGTTGCGCATTCATTCAACGCGTCAAAGTCCAAAGCATGCTCCAGGGCACAGTCCTCGACAAGAGCACGCTCGGGAATGTGCTTGTAGTCCTTAGTGAGGCACATAATAAAGCCGAGACTCAGCTTGGGATCGGGGTATAGTTCTCGCGCGCAGAGTTCGATTATGTTTCCCATGCATTCGGACGGACCATGCATACACTCTACGCCATCGTGGGAAGCCGGCCTGCGTATCATTGTGAGTCTTCTCTGGTTTAAATGCGGGTTCGGGGAGCAAACACACTTTCCAATGTAGGAGATTTTGAAGTCAACCTTGTCAGAGACACGTTGCATCACAGGAAGGATGAGTTCTCGGAGGGCGTCCTGATGAAGTCAGTATCCGCGACACGGTTGGTACAAAGACGAGCCATACCCTCGTATCTGGGCACTTGCTGATAATATGCGCTTCCAGAGGAACTTTGTTGCCGAGGACTGTTTCGCTGTTGCCTGCATACGAAGGCGCCGCTCGAATAATGCCGAACCATTGGAAGCAGGCGTAGTATGTTATAAATGCCGTCAGAAAGGTTGCGGCGACGATGCGCGCGAGGCCACGGCGGCCCGTGCGAGGGTTGCTCATCTTGGTGGTATTAAGGGTGTAGCTGGACTGGTCGGCGGTGGCGGTGCGTTGGGATTCGGCTTGATTCTTTTTGTCCATTGTGTGATGACTGACTGAGGATATTACCGATAACGAGAGGGCGTAATTACGTGGATGATGCTGTTTTGGGGAGGTCGGGACTGTAACGGTGCCAGATATGATGCAGCCAAGACACCGTTTGTTTGGGGTGCTTGGACTCCAAGTGTGGAGGGGTCAGCAGTCCAGAGTCTACTTGTAGCCGGGTGTACACGTAGGTGTCACCTGCCCCCAGTCCCTCAAATCCAGTTGGGACCCAGCTTCTTTGTGGGCAGGTTGAGAATTCTTGGAGCAACAGCGATGGCTTGGATAAGAGTTGACGCATGGCAAGTTGCAGGAGAAGACGAATGGAGCCACCTCCAACTTGGACTCGGCGGTTACGTACACAATTATTGCTAGCTCCGCGCGGCCACTGTAAGCACCTACGGCAAAAACATGGGTTACAGGCTGGCCGGGAGCTCCAGTCCATCACTGAGTCGAATACCGGATGAATTCTGTCGATAAGGACCAATGTAGGACTTACCAAGGTCATAAGGTAGGTCGATCGCCACAGGGTCCAGGAAGGCGCGACATGGAACTGCAGGGTCCATTGCTCTCCTAATTGGGCCAAGTGCCTCTGTGACTAATAGAACGGACGTGGAAGGATCAGAGCTCTTTCACGCTCCAAGATTCACATTTGAAATGATCTCCTTTGAAAGGCGACACGTCGAAGACGACCGGACGTTAGACCAGAGCCAAGGCAGCTGCTTCTTGTGGGAACAGGAAGCGTCGATCGCCTCACCACCGGAGGACCAATGGCACCACCGCCTCGCTCGCAAGTCATAAAGTCTCAGATGCGAGATGCCAAGCTTTTCAACCTCAATCCACCTTCACGTCCATGTACATCTATTCGCTCGCTTACCGCCGCAAGAGCTTCGACGAGAGCTACTAGTTTTGTTCGTTTGAGCTCACCCTGTCTTCTGAGAGCCGAAATCAAGGTCCATCACGGCTCGCCAGAATCGTGATTCATTGGCCATGAAGATAGCTTGCGCAACGTTGTAATCCCCGCTGTCATCGTCTCAGCTCCCCCTGACCATCCCCACAGCTAGGTAATTGGCAGCTCTCACCAGACCTCGCGCACATGTATGTGTCTTCCTTGCGAGAGCTCACGGACGAACACCTCGCGTTGCCATGCGACAGCAGCAGACATGACTTCTCCAACTGTCCCTATCGACCAGTTCCTGCAACCCCTCCACGTCGACGTAGACGGCATCTATGAGCTCTCACAGCTCTTTCTCTCAAACTTCGACGACCTTGCCGCACACTCTGAATCTCAGTTTCTGCCGACCCCGATCTCGGACTCTATCCTACGCCCTGTCAGCATCAGTAACAAGGACGCATAGTGGGTACTCCAAATCGTCCCTGGTGACCAGGCAAGCTAACGCATGTGATAGCCATCTGGCTATAGACATGTAAGAGTTGATGTTCCATCGCAGTTTTCCTTGGGCAAGACGGATCAAAGATTCGTCCCATACTACGCACAGTAGCTAACACTGCCAGTGGGGGCACCAATCTCCGGGTCGGCTTCGTGCAACGGCTTGGAAAGCAGGCGCCATCCGACGGTGAGAATGGAACACCACCTCGAACACGACGCCTCCTAGAGCAGCACTGGTCCATAGACGAACACTTGAAGAATGATAACGCCGAGAAACTTTTCGCCTGGATCGGAAAGTGCATCGCCACGGTGGTAGAGGAAGGCTGCTCTCAACTCGAGGTATCGAGGGAGAAAGCTCTCGACCTCGGCGTGACTTTCAGCTTCCCAATGGAACAGACGTCGCTTTCAGAAGCAAGACTGATGACAATGGGCAAGGGCTTTGCTGTGTCGGCCAATGTTGATCTGGGCTCTCGGCTCCTTGATGGCTACAACAACTCCAGGGGCGACCGACTTCCACCTATGCGCATAGCTGCCATTGCGAACGACTCGGTCTCCACGCTAGTATCATTCATTTACGAATTTGATGAGAGTGTCAAGAAACGTGCCAGCATGGGCCTTATCCTAGGTACCGGCTGCAATGCAACAATACCTCTCAAGCTAAGTCAGCTGAAACCAAGCAAGCGGCCGGCCAATGTGAGCTTGTTACCCGGCGAGCGCGTCGACGATGTGAAGGTAGCGATCAACACGGAATGGAGCATCAATGGCTCCGTGCCGCCGCTGAGGAAGATGAATCTCATCAGCCGCTGGGATGAGGTGGTGGACTCGCACAACGAGACTCCGGGGTTCCAGCCTATGGAGTATATGACTGCCGGACGATATTTGGGCGAGCTAGGTCGGGTTGTATTTGTGGACTTTCTCACGAGCGTACGAGGCGTGCCTGAGAAGGATATCCCAGAGCGGTTATTGCAGCCGTATGGCATGAGCACCAGCTTCCTGAGCCACTTCAAACCCTTGGAGCCCAGGCTCTTGTTGCAGCAGCTTGAGAAGGCATTCCCGACCGACAAAGGCACTCATGGTATCTCGTGGACTGAAGAGCTTGCGGTATTTCTGTTCAAGATAGCCAAAGCCATCGAAGTGCGTGCAGCTGGCATTGTTGCTGCTGCCACAGTCGCTCTACTGACCCTGGGCGGCGAGCTTCCACAAGGTTCGTCGGATGCTGCACCGAGTGGGAGCGAGCTCGGCGTTGGATACACCGGAGGCTGTATAACTCATTTTCAAGACTACCTGACGGACTGCCAGTCGTTCATCGACCAGTTGCTGGCAAGGATATTTGGAAACGGGCAGAGTCCAGCCAAGGTGGTTCTGAGCCCCTGCCACAATGGCGGTGTCATTGGTGCAGGGATTCTCGTGGCTGCAGCGTCTGCCAGTGAGAGTGCGCAAGTCTAAGGATACGGCTTTGCACAGCTTCTTTTCAACCTGCGCATGGGGAAATCGCGACACTCGGGACGGGAGCAGCCTGCTCACGTGGTTCAGGAGTTTGTTGACGGGACTATGGAGCTACCACGCCTGCTGCGTTGTTGGAAAGAATATAGCACACTCGATGATGGTGTCGAGTGAGGATTTTTGGGAAAGACGATTGGGAAGGGATGGCAGGCGCAGAAGGGATGTTCGATACACGATTGAATGGATTGTCACTATGTGTGATAATGTGCACTTGGAGCATGCGAAGATAGGAGACTTATGGAACAGCTCACGCTAAGCTGGTAAGCGGTAGCACTGTGGTCATCTGCGTAACTCATAGCATCAGGATGGTCTGCAGCTATCAAGAGCCAAGCTACATGGGCACCTGCAGGTCAGGATGGTGCTCATTGGACTTTTCGTATACGCAGGTGTTCATGACGAAGTTGAGACCAGAGCCTCATGGGCTGCCTCTGTACTGCTGCAGTATTAGCTCATATTTCTATGTCGGGGTGCTCAGCCAACTACTGCATTTCCTGCAGCGTAAGGTATGGAATCCCTCCCGCGACGATATGGAGGGTGGCGGGTTTCGGGGTTGCTCTCCAGGAGCTAAGGTTTGGTACCTGGCGGCATATCACTCTATTCAGCGAAGGAAATTCGAAACTTCATTGTGCTGCCTCAGAATCATTCGACATTCTGTCCTTCAGTTTTTGAAATGACTCATTGAGGCTGTCCACATCACGAAACGTTGAGACCAATGGCCAAGGAACGATCCGCTGCTGGGCGGGATTCGCCTTCGGAGCCGACCCCAACACTCGGCCGGCGCAGTAGCGACCTCGAACAGACAGACGACATTGCGCGATCACTGTCTTCACAACCAGGTCCATTGGCGCCCGACATCCAAGAGAACAGCGTTTCCAGTCCTCTCCACGCCAATGGAAACGGAAAGCATCGCTGTCATCATGTTCGAGACGAAGAGGCTCAACCAACAGAGTCCTCACCACTGCTCGGTGACCGCGAGCGCGAGGACGAGGAGACAGCGCCGGCAGCAGAGACAGCACAGGTATTCCTGCTCATCACGAACCCTGGGCGTTTCTGGTTGATCTTCGCCGTCATTTTGATCAACCTGTTCATCATGGCCTTTGACGGCACCATCATGGCCTCGTCCCACCCCGTCATCACATCCCACTTCCATGCCGCCAACTCGGCCTCCTGGCTGTCGACATCATTCCTCCTGACCTCGACGGCGTTCCAGCCGCTGTTTGGACGCTTGACCGACGCTGTGGGGCGGAAGCCTCTCTTCGTGGCATGTGCTGTCATCTTCTTCCTGGCGACCTTGTGGTGCGCACTTGCAGGAAGCATCGAGAGTTTCATCGCTGCGAGGGCCCTCTGTGGCCTCGCCGGTGGTGGTGGTGGCACCATTGGCAGCATCATGACGAGTGATTTGGTGCCCATTGAGTAAGTGAGCCTGCCATGTGTGGTGTAATGTAGCTAACCAACGGAAACAGACGCCGAGGTTCCTATCAGGCCTACATCAATGTCACCGCCGGCGTTGGGGGTGCCCTCGGCGCTGCGCTGGGCGGCTGGCTAGCCGAGTCCTTGGGTTGGCGATGGGAATTCGGCATCCAGTTACCTTTCCTCGCCTTTGTCACTACAGTCGCCCTGCTTGCCATCCCGGCGGATCTGGGGCTTCAGGAGGATCGCAAGAGCACCGTTTCGCAGCAGCTCAAGGACTTTGACTTTCAGGGCTCCCTTCTGCTCACCAGCTGCATCACATCCCTGATCCTGGGCGTCAACCTTGGCGGAAACATCTTGCCCTGGAAGCACCCATTCATCATCGCGTCCCTCATTGTCTTCGCCATAACGTTTCCTCTGTTCATCTGGGTCGAGAGACGGGCGACTAGGCCCATTATGCCCTTGCAGGTCCTCCTCATGGCCCCGCGCGCCAACCTAGTCTTCTCCAACTTTATCGCGGCGCTGCTCATGAACGCGCTGACGTTCAACCTGCCCCTGTTCTTCCAGGCTGTCCTGCTCTCTAGCGCCACAGACTCGGGACTCCGGCTGGTCATGCCGTCCATTGTCGCCTCCGTCTTCGGCGCCTTTACCGGGTTCGCCATCACCTGGACTCGACGGCTCAAGTGGCCTCCGATGCTCGGCTCGTCATTGTTGCTTTTGGGATGTGTCTCCCTCTCCCTGCTCCGGCGCGATCTCCCAGAGATAGTCTACAACCTCGCCCTGGTGCCTTCTTCCGTCGGGCAGGGATTCGCCTTCTCGGGGACGTTTATGGCTTTGCTCGCCTCATCCCAGCAAAAGGAGCAGGCTGTTGTGACGAGCACTCTCATTCTCTGGCGAAGTCTGGGTCTTGTCGTCGGCGTTGCGTATGCGTCGCTCGTCGTCCAGAATGCGCTGCGCTACTATCTCAATATATACGTGGACGACATCCCGGACAAGGCTGAGATGATCGAAAATGTCAGAAAGTCCGTCGAGCTAGTGGCCAAGCTGGAGCAGCCGCTGAGGGACCAGGTCGTGATGAGTTACGAGGCGGCGATTCGGCTGACGTTCATGACACTGAGCATTCTGAGCGCGGTCGCAGTGTTGATAATCATCCCCATCAAGCTGCCTCGTCTTCCCAAGAGAGATTAGAAAAGGCGTAGCCATGTGCGGTGGTGACCTGATCAAAATTACGTCAATTGCCATTCCTAAACTCATACCCAGACAGTTCCAATCCACGTGAAACGCCAATGACAGATGCTGTGTGACACATTGTTATACAACAAGTTAATGATGATATCCGTTCGGTCCTCCCGCCCTGAGCCCTTCCACCTCGTCTCGCGCCAGTCTGTACGCGTCCTGTGCCTCCCGCTCACGCTTGCTGACCAGAGATACCTCGGACCGGAGCGCCTCGAGCCTCCTCTCGACAGCGGTGTCTTCCGAGATGGCGAGGGTGCGGAAGCCAGAGAGCGCGTCGCGCGCCTTCTCGAGAGCGTCCGATGCGCCCGTGTACTTCTCCCGAAGCAGCTTCTGTCGTTTTTGATAACCGCCAAGATGTAGCGCAAGCTTCTTCTCGAGCTTGGCACCCTCTTCGGCAGACGACATGATGGATTCTTGGACAGCCTGGGTCTGGTTAGTGTTGAAAAAAATGATAAGGCGCAGCGGGGGAAACACGTACGTCAAAGGCAACTCGCATGGCGGCCTTTTGCGCTTCCTCATCATCATCATAGCAGCCAAGGCCAAGAAGAGTCGATGTTTTGGCACGGTTCTCAAAGAGCGACCGGACCTCGTCGAACTTGGGTAGTGGCTTCGTCTCGGAGAGTATCAGCAGTCGCGCTTCGGCGAGCGCCTTGTCGTCAAGGACTGGCAGCGGCGTAGGCTTGCCCTTGATCTGAGCGCCCGGAAGGGGGTAGCGCGCTGAATCATTGGCCATGAGAGCGGCGGCTTCTTTGGCGATCAGGGCGGCGCCAGGGTCGGAAATCTGCTCGGCTCGCTTGGTCATACTTTTCAGATCTATTGTCAGGGGTCTGGGCAGATTGCGCTGCATGACCTGTGTTCGGCGGCGGCGCTCGAGGGCTTCTTCTGCTTCTCGACGCTCCCGTTCTCGGCGATCGCGTTCGGCGGCGTCCTCCTCTGTAAGTTCCTCGACTTGCATCGCCTCTTTCTGTTCTTCGGGGATATCAAGTTCCCACTCGATGTCTTTTGGCTTCGGGAGCGAGGCAAGTCCTGAGCGCAGCTGGCCTTTCAGACCTTTGTCGCGCAGCCTAATGTCGCGAGGCGTTGCTGACACGTTGAAGGAGTCATCGTCGTCGTTCAGGGCGTATACGTCACGCGGTGTCTGGCCAGGCCGGCCTGGAGTAGCTGCTACGCCATTGGGTCCCCTTGGGGTCGCCATAGGGTTCGGCGTGACCATGCTCTGTTTGCGCGGCGCGATGCCATCGAAGCCGGTGGAGCTTGATCCCTCGTGCAGAGGTGTGTTTTCTCCCCCTAGCAGAGCAGATTGGGTATTTTTCAACGCGCGAATGTTCTGAATCTCATTGGCGATGTGGTCGTCCTGCTCAGCGACCTTTGGCGTTCGGATAGGGGCGCTGCTGTTGACCGTGGAGTACGAGTTGACCAGCCCACGCGTCGCATCGTTGTCGCTCTCGCGGGCCATTGTGTTCGCAGCCTCGCCTAGCTTTCCCATCTTGATGATCTCCTCCAGCTCACCCTCGCCCACTTGCGGCGCAGGCAGATTGAGACCCCGTCGCTTGCTGACCTGCTCAGCCTCGCGCAGCTTTTGCATCTGCCCAGCTTTGATGGCTGCCTTTTGCGAATCGGACAGTCCGTCCTTTTCGGTCTTTTTCCTCTTCCGATCGCCATCCTCGTCGCCGTCGCCTTTTCTTTTATTCGCGAGATGCTGTTTCCCTGGATCGAAGGCTGCTTGTTCTCGGTCGTTTTGAAGCTTTTCCTCCGCTGTGTTATAGAATCCCAACGTTGGCTTCTTCTCGAAAGGAATATCCGCGTTGTAGTCCATCTCCCCCTTCTTCCTGTGCGTGACCCGGATGTTGATGCCCGCCGTCTTCAACTCTCGCCTCTTCTGCAGGTTGGCTAGACGACGTGACTCTTCCTGTTGACGCTCCCGAGCCTTGCGCTTGGCCTTCTTTCCCTGCGTGTTGGCAAGACGCGCACGCGCCTCGCTGAGCATCTCCTTCTCATCCTCGTCGAGATCGATGGTGTCCGGTCTCGCGGGCTTCGTCTCGGGATCGGGGTCGAGTTCACCAGGTCGTAGACGTCGCACATCGTCCGCGCTGGGTGCCTGTGTTTCTCCGCCCTCTGGTCCAGCGAGACCTAGGCCGGAGGATTCGCGGGCTTCTGCCTCATCGAGCAGCTTCTGGTAGCGCTCCAGACACTGGTTCGCGGTCCGGTCGACGCCCTGAGCGATCGTGCGCCATTGATCTGGCCAGATTTTGGCGAGATGCAGCAGCTTCTCATCTTCCTCCTTGCTCCATTCTGTCTTCTTGATGCTGGGGTCGAGCCACTCGTTCCATCGCGCCTTGCATTGCTTCGCAGTTTTGCGCGCGAGCAGAGAGGAGACGCGAGCCCATTGCTGGAGTCCGTACTTGGAGACGGAAGCTTTGAGAATTTCGTCCTCAATATTTGTCCACACTCCTCCCTTGACGACCGGCATCGTGGTGGTGACGGGGGTGGTGATGACCAGGAGATGACAGTGTCTTTGGTGCCAGCCTGCAGTTCAATGCGTCGCGAAAATTGAAGGACCGTGACGACGAGCAACAAATGCTGAGTCAGAATGCAGGATCATACCTTATTGGCTCAAAATAATCTCGGTGACAAGGCTCACCGGGACCCACTCCACCTCACCGAGAAGATACGTACCGACATTTAGTGGTGTCAGCCACGGACTCGCGGCGTCGGAACTTTTGCGCCTCGCTTGATCTCGCCCTCCACCAACTTTAGGAGAAGCGCTGCGGACTTGGCGGACTTGAGTCGCTTTTTGCCCTGCGCGCCAGATTCCAGGTTTTGGAGCTTGTCAACGAATTGGGGAGCTCGTCTGTCCTACCAAATTGAGCGTTTCCTAGGTACCTACCTACTTTGGCGCATCCTCGGGTGCGTCATCGATGTTATCGCAGCCTCCAGTTCCTCCATGTCCTCGCTGACGGCCCAAAGCCTCCGCTCCCTTGCTCTGAATGAAATGATGCGCGGATCAGCGCCCGCTATTTCCTGCAGTGGAGTGATGCGTAGCCAGGTTTGATAGTCGGGTTTCCAGTGTCCAGTGATTAATGTAGTTTCGCCGCCAAATCAGCTTTTGATCCCCAGTGGAGAGCCGCTTATGTGCAACGAGCAAGGCGACTTGGTCCCTCCGTCCCGCACCCCAATCCTCTAGTCTAGTTCGTCCATTACAAAGCACTGATCCAAGAGATCCGGGCTCCCTTCTCGCTGTTCCTTTTCTGGTTTTTGATCTAAGAAGCGCCAGTACGAGGCGAGAGAAATGCCCGCTCAACTTGATCTCTTGTCACGTTCAGCACAGCACGCGTGCCTGCAGTAAATACGCCTGTTCCGTCAGTCTTATAGAAGCATCCACGCGCCGGGCCAGGCGCATCTCGACGTTGCGCAATGTCCGGGCCAAAGTCATACGACGACGACGAGGGTAGGACAAGCCCTTTGATACGCGAACTACCCGACTACGAGTCCACGGAAACATCGCAGCTACTTGGTGCTGGCCATCAGCGCAGGGAATCGGAGGAGGCCGAGGTTGTCTGGGATGGCGACAAGGACTACGAAGGGCTCCCCTGGTGGCGCCGACCATCAGTCTTCTGGCTTCTGGGCCCCTTTGCCCTCTTTACGCTCGCCTTTGGCGGTATCATGGTGCCCAAGTTGAACCTGTGAGTATTCGGGGAGCCAGCCTATTCATGCGTCTTTGAAATCTAACCATGTCCCCAGGATCCTATCTCTCGTGTGTCGACAGCACTTTGCCGAGCGAGCTGCTTGGGATTCCACTCGACCTGTGGCTCCTGTCTTTGTCGGTGGCGATAATCCACAATGCCAGATTCCAGAGATACAGGCAAAGGTGTCGACGTTTATCCTGATCATGAGCTTTGTCACTGGAGCACTCAGTGCCGTGGTAGCCCCACGCCTTGGACGTCTCTCTGATCGCTACGGCCGGACGCGACTGATGGCTTTCGCGTCTACTGGAGGGCTTCTGGGAGAGATCCTCACCGTTGTCATTGCAAAATACGCCGATGTCATAGACTATCGATGGCTCATTCTGGGCAGTGTATTTGATGGGGCCACAGGCTCGCTAACAGCCGGGAGCATCCTTAGCCAGTCCTACACCAGCGACTGTACGCCTCCGTCCAAGCGGGCCGTCTACATCGGCTATACTCACGCCTGTCTCTTCACTGGTATTGCGCTGGGCCCGCTCCTCGCTGGTTACCTTGTCAAGTGGACGGGCAGTCTCCTTTTCATCTTCTATGTCGTTGTGGGCTGCCACACCGTCTTCATCTTGCTGCTCGCATTTGTCATCCCCGAGAGCCTTGTCAAGAGCAAGCGTGAAGCGGCCCGAGAGGCGTGGGCCAAGGAGAAGGAGTCCAGAGAGCACATGATGGGCTCATGGCTCTCCCGCATTCAGGAGGTCAACCCATTCGAGCCTCTAGCTATTCTCTGGCCTACTGGTCCTGGTAGTTCGCCCAAGCTGCGCACGAATCTTGTGGCTCTTGCCATTAGCGACACCATCGTGCTGGGTTCATCCATCGCCACCGGGGCCGTCATCATCCTGTACAGTGGCTACATGTTCCACTGGGGGACACTCAAAAGCTCGCAGTTCATCTCGGCCTTGTCGTTTGTCAGGGTGTTTGCTTTGCTCGGGGTATTCCCCCTGATCAATTATTTTGCCAGAGTGCGGCCTGCACAACGTCGAAAGGCCAACGGTGTCGTCACGAGGGAGAAGCATGGGGGCGCTGACATGGTCGATATCTGGGTCATGCGCGTTGCCATCCTCTCTGACGTGCTAGGCATTCTCGGCTACATCTTTGCGCGGCACGACAATGTGTTCTTCGCCAGCGGTATGTTGACCGCATTTGGTGGCCTAGGCAGCGCGACCATCCAGGCTGTCATCACAAAGCATGTTCCCCAACGTAAAATTGGGCAGATACTTGGCGCCACCGGCATGCTCCATGCCTTGTGCAGGGTCGTTGGCCCTGTGGTCTTCAATGGGATCTATGCCGCAACTGTCAAGACGTATCCACAGGCTTTCTTTGTTGTGCTGTGTGCCTTGTTCATTTTCGCGTTCCTAACAACATTTGCCATCCGGCCAGCCGGTGAGTTTGCATGACCATCTTTCTCTGAGCGCTAATGCTAATGTAGTCAGTGCACTGGGCCTATGACGATGAGGAGGATGAACAGGAAGAAAGCGAAAGTTCGCCATTGCACAGGCGTCGCGAACTTTTTGGGGCTACTAGTACCGATCATCTACCCATTGACGAGGACCAGGTCCGCGTCGAGTAAGAGGAGAGCATGCATTTCAATTGAGAAGGCGTACCACGGCGTTGGGACTGTCGGGGGTTTGCATTTATGGAACTACGATATACATGACGTATGCTGGTTCAGGACCACTCAGTATATACGATAAATGATTTTGAAGCCAGGATGTGGCAAGAAACAGGACATGAGCAGCTGGTTAGGCCTTTCTTATTGTGTCCATAGTCGAACAAGTCTAGAAGTAATCATAGGCAACAATATGAATGCGGTTGTCGACGCCGATGGCCTTGGCGCCGAGTTGGACGGCAATCGTCATCTCGTCCGCATTCTGCATCTGACGAGCCTCATGCTCATCTAAATAGGGGAGAGTCTGGACTCTCGAAAACTTGGAAAACTTGGGACTCGGATCGATGATTGCGGTTCGTTGCATGGGCGAATGCATCATTCCCCACAAGACGTAACCAACCTCACTGACAGGATACCTCACACTCGTGGCTCAACCGAGAATAGTCACACCCACCTGTATTGGACAAAGATACAGGAAACTTTGCGGCAAATAGATCCCTCTTTATTGCAAATCTTGGCCACACCATCGCCAGAGCATGCTGCTACAGCCATCAAAACGCGCCCTGTCCACGACGACGCGCCTCCTCAACATGTCCTCTCCGACGACCAACATTGGCGCGCAGCCCATCAAATTCGGCCCCTTTGAGGTGACGAAGCAAGTCTTTCTCAAGACCGATCATTCTTTTGCCGTCGTCAATCTGAAACCTCTGTTACCGGGACATATCCTCGTCTGTCCACTGCAGCCGCATCGTCGCCTGGCAGACCTCACACCAGCCGAGACAGGTGATCTCTTCACGACGGTCCAACTGACACAGAGGTTGTTGGGAAAGGCATACTTCCCCGCGCCTCACGATGCTGCGGCGGGGAGCTTCACGGTCGCCGTGCAGGATGGCCCTGAGTCGGGGCAGACAGTGCCGCATGTCCATGTGCACGTGATACCAAGGACAAAGGGCGACGTGGAGCAGGCAGATGGCATTTACGTCGGCATGGCGAGTGAGGATGGCAATGTTGGCGGTGCGCTGTGGGATAAGATGCAAAGACCGAAGCCGGGAGGCGGCATGCCCAAAATTGAAGATGCCGATCGCGAGGCGAGGACGGAGGAGGTGATGATGGAGGAGGCTGAAGGCTTCAAGACGAAGTTGAGTGAGATGGGTATCGAATAGAGTGTGTGCACGTGTACGTATACGTATAGAATATAAATTTCAATCGCTCTTATGCTTGCTGCTACTATGTCCGCGGGCTCCTCAGGAAGCCTACGACACCGCTGCAATATCCTACCAGCCCGTCCAACCTTGTACATTCCTTTTCCTGGTACGACTTCCACTCACTCAATGCCTCCATGAGGACGGGGCTGACCATGACTTCGTCCGAGTGGAGTCGGAGGAAGACCGTCATCCAGACCTGCGTGAGCTCGTAATCTCGACGGACCTTCAAGCGTGCTGTCAAGGCATGGATGAAATGTAACAACTCGTTCGATGACGAGGATGCGCCGTCGCCGGGCGCCAGCGAACGCAGTTCAAGATCAGCGCTCGATGGTGAAAGGGACTTGAGTTGTTCAATGAATCGATCGTCTGTGAATGGTCAGCATCATGTCAAAAGAAAAGGAGATAAAGCGTTCTTACAGTTTCCTGAGTCCGCGCCTTCGCGCAGCTTGGAGGCAAAGTTCTCCTCAAGCCGCGCCTTGTCGAGCTTCGTGATACGTGATCGTCCCAAGTCCTCCACCGCACCATCGGCCTTCTCCTGGCCTTGCGTTGACGCGGCACCGGTTGTGGATGGCAAGAAGAAAGGGGCTTTTTCGGGCAACTTTGGTGCCTCCTTGGGCTTGTTGCGCTGCTTGATGAGATCGAGGTGCAGCAGAGTCTGCCATCTCGCCTTGGGTACCAGACTGAGGGTCATCATGTCCGAGCTGAGCTGATCGAGGCTGGGGGCCACCACGGCATTATCGTCGGCCTCCTCGCTGTCCTCAAACGCGCCGTCGAGCATGCCCGCGTTTCCTTCGCCAGACACTGTCGGCGCAGCCACCAGACCAATCTCCTTCTCGGAGATTTGTCGCGTCGCAACATGTTTGAAGAGTGCCTTGTTGGTCCAGAGCGTGACGCCCAGCTGATCTTGGATGGTGGCTGCGAGGTACTCGCCCGAGTTCGACACAGCCAACGCTCTGCATGGCTTCTCCAGCTTGATCGCGTCGATGAGATGGCTGGTTGGCAGGTCCCACACCCGGACAATCTTGTCTTGTGACGCGGCAATGATCCAGTGCCCGTCGTGCGAGAAGCAAAAGTCATTGATGGTGTCCTTTGGTCCCCAGAACTCACGAATCGTTCGCTTCGTCTCCATATCTACAACGCGTACCGACATGTCGTCGCACGAGAAGGCGACCAGGTTGCTCGCCGCGTGGTATCGAATGGCCGTCGGGAATGTCATCGGAGCCCAGTTGATTTCCTCAAGCAGGTTCCCCGTCAAGAAGTCCCAAAATTTGATTTTGCCGTCCAACGCACACGAGACCACGGTCTTGTTCATCGCATCGACGACGATGCCCGTGACGGCCTTGGTGTGCTTGCCCATGCCGGCGGAGAATTTGCTTGTTTCGGTGTGAAAGTGCACAACATCGTCCGTCTGCCTCGACTGCTGGAGCCTTAGCTGTCTGGCTTGCGCAGGTGTCAACCGTGAGGGAAACCGCTGACGGTGTACGCCAGATTGCAGGTTGAACATGTCGATGCCACCAGACTCCGAACCCACGACCGCAAACGTGCCACACGGACTGATGGTGACCGTCGATACGTTGCTGCCATCGCCGGTAGGGAACGCCCACCGACCGGCCCTCTTGCGACCCCAGAACCAAGTCCTCGCCAGTGGGTCATTCTTGTGCGCCGTCACCACGCTTTCCCAGCCCGTCATGCCGCTAATCTCAGCGTCCTGTGCCTGCTTCTTCGTTTGGCTCCGCTGCCAGATAGGTTGGTTGCCCGGCATGGCACCCATGCCACCGTCGCGGTTCAACGACGATGCTATGCACGTAATTTCAGGGGCCTTGAGATCCTCCAAGGTCGTCGTAGGCCCATGCTTGAGCGCGTTCGACGCGAGGATGCCAACCTTCTTGGCCTTTTTACGAATGTTTCCTTGGCTCAGCTCGGTGCTCTGACCATCACGGCGTAAGCTCCAGCCCCAAAGACTGCGGTCCTCGCCGCCACTCAAAAGCCACTTATTGCCAGCATCGGCACCGTCAAAGTCTGTCGGCAGGAATTGCAGGCAGTTGACGGGGGCTGCATGGCCGCTCCTTTCGTGGAGGATCCTGGGGATGGCATTGAAGGGAGTCTCGTCAAAGATCCACGTTTTCAGAGAATTGTCGCGTCCGCTGGTCACAATGACAGGCTGGCCAACGAGAAACTCGACCTTACTCACACCCCCTCGAACAGCCTTGCCCTCGCCGGAAGGCGGGTTGTGGGCACTTCGCAACACACCCATGACGCGACCGCCACCGTTCAGATCCCAGAACGTAATGTCACCAGACGAAGGACCTGCCGTGGCCATAACACCGTCCTTTCTCCCATCTTGTCCAGCGCCCATGCCGTCAGATCGGAAAGAGACACTGGTGACGGGGCTCTCGGGATTGCCAGCTTCGACTGAGAGTATGGTCTTGTCCGTGAGAACGTTCTTGATGACGAGTGTGCCGCTCGCGTAAGCTATCGCAACCATGGACAGTGCTGTTGTTGGCTCGAGACATGTAACGGCCCCAGCGTCCGGGATGGGGGGCAATATCGTGTAAATCAGCTTGCCGGTGCTGACGTTCCAGATCTCAACCCAACCATCCTTGCGGCCCACAAAGATCTTGTTTAGGAAGGTTGGCATGCTGACAATACCCCCAGAGATTTCATTTCCGTTGTTGGCTGCTGACATGGTGTAGATGGTGGTGTAGTGCTCCAGAGTCGCCGTCTTGAAGACCTCGATCCGAGTCGACGCGCAAGCGATGATCCATGTTCCCAGCACCAAGATCTGCCTGATCGGTTCTGTGATGTCCGAGGGTAGCGCAAGCTCCCCGACCTTACGGCCACGCTGGATCACCCAGATGCCCTGTTCCTCGCCTTTGCGAGACCCTCCCCAGGCTGCGTACACCTTTTCCTTCCATGCCAACGTTGCGGTAATGTCAGCTGGCGTTTGGGGCCTGCTCACAAAGACAAGATTGAGACCGCGGCGCAGATCGTATGTTTGTAGGCTTCGCCCGACGGATGTTGTGATCTGGAAGGTGGTTTTCCCAAGCGGGATCGAGGAGAAAGGGACGCTTGTCGGAGAAACGAGGCCAACAGTCTACACCTTGTTTTAGATTTCGACATGGGACAGCTATAGGGCAGAAGGCACTTACTCGAAACGGCGCAAAGAGCCTCGAGGCATTGGAAGCAGGCTTTGTCGCTCTATCAACCGTCGTCACCTTCTGGCGCTTGACCAGAGGTTTGTCATTGCTGGAGTGCGGCATTCTGTCAATTCTTGTCCCGAGGCGATCGACTTTGTTGCTGCCGGATCGTGAAGCCTGCGCCTGGTGGTTGAACCCATACTGGAGAAATTTTGGCGGTCACTTTTTTCTGCCGCCAGTAAGCGCCACACTGCGCCACATGGAGGGGGCCAAGCCACAATTGGTCCCTGGACCTGTCTTTGATTCTGACACATGCATTTTCAGCTTGCACAAATGCAGGCCAGCATCGATTATACTCTCCAGACTCTTGAACTCACAAATCCACGCATGCCACATGATCCAAGGCCGAAGGCCGAGACTCTGACTGAAAGAGCCGCCGCGCTTTGACTGTGGAGCCGCGTCGGATCTCCGCAGAGGTGTGCTTCGTTCACCGCACCACCAGTGCATCGCAGATGTGTCTACACGTATAGATGCCCCATAAGCCTCGAGCTTGTCAAGCTTTTCTGGTTGGAAGTTCTTGGGGCTAGCCGCTTGTTGGGCTTCTGCAGCAGAGTGCGTCAACTCGCATCAACGTGCGTTGAAGTGCATACAGTCTGCATCCGGCTAGCAGCACTAAACTACCCAATACCAAAACTCCAGGTTTTCGACCGCAATTTGTCGGCATGTGTCGCGTGACCACCTCTATGAGCAGGCGAGAAAGTCTGCCAGCAGTATGATGATCCCGGGCTGGGTTTCTAACGTGAAGGAAGGTACTTTACGGTCCTTACCTTCCCAGGTAAGCAACTGGAGGTTCGCTATAAGTATAGCCGAAACCGCGGTGAAATCGCGACGTCATCCTCCCCATCTCTCGTCCCGCTTCGCTCTGCTCCCCACCTGTCCGTCTCCGGCCACCGTCCATTGACCAGCAAACCCTAAGGTATCCGTGCCCTACCGACCGACCAGGCTCCTAGTTCGTACTATCCCGGCTCACTATCAGTACCGATAGCGTCGATTGATGCCGACAACGGGGGTACCATGGCCGACTCGAACGATGCGCAATCCCCCACCGCCATCAATGACACTTCCCTCCCCCAGCTCACCTCGACACTGGACGGCTCTTTGAGTAATACTACCCCAGCGAACATTGATACCACCACTAAGGGAACTCACTCACGAACGGTCTCTTCTGGTTCAGCATCTCAGTCTGGGCACAGATCGTTCCTTGGCCGCAGAAATACGTCTTTCGGCAACGGAAAGAGTCGCTATGCTGAGCCAAGTACAACAGACGTCCACGTCGAATCTTCAGCTTTCTCGGCGTCGTCCCAATCTCCACACATCCCGTTGAGAAGTCAGCGATCGTCTCTATCACAAGGGCGTTGCTATTCCGGGACATCAGACTCCATCCATAGCGAAGATTTGATTTTAGGCGACGCTGCTATTGCCGACAGCGCCGAAAACACTCCTCGACCACGCCCCACAATCAGTGGTAAACAATCGTCCTCTGCAACGATAAAGGAACCAGGCACGGCGGTGGAATCTACATCTTCGGCAGACACACAAAACAGACGCTCCTCCAACAGTTCTCTGTTTTCCTTATCCGCTGCACGTAGTGCGACGCAGACTGCGCCTACATCGGAACCGAGCCGAGGTGGCCGTACACGATCTACATCATACCTGATGTCGAACAACAAAGGTCCTAACTCCACGCCCTCGGAGGCTGGCTTGTCTAATGTCACCGTCACGACCTCGAGTATACAGGGTGGCCAACCTGCCTCTGGGTCTCATGCCCTGGCACCTCGCGACCCGCACTCGCAGCCTCTCGACCTGATGAGGCGCAATCAACGGAGCGATGCCACAACCAACCCCCCGGCCCCTGCACCAAGTAGCTCAAGAGGCCAGCTAGATCGCTCACGGAGTAGAGCGAAGAGGCGATTCAGCGGCAGTACGGCGAATAGCAGCCACAGCCCCGGCAGTGAGCGGGGCTCTTCGCATCGTGAGAAGGAAGAAGGCAAGTCTGCGTCCAAGCCCGCTCCTTGGGGCGTCATCGGTATATGTGCGCTGGATGTCAAAGCTCGAAGCAAACCTAGCCGGAACATTCTCAACCGTGTCATTGCGAACCGAGATTTCGATGTCGTCGTGTTTGGAGACAAGGTGATTCTCGACGAAGAGGTGGAGAACTGGCCCATTTGGTAGGTTACAGTCATTGTTTTTGCGTCGAGTACTGACCTTGTTTAGCGATTATCTGATCTCCTTCTACTCGGATGGATTTCCGCTAGAGAAGGCCATCGCCTATGTCAAGACACGGAAACCGTTTTGCGTCAACGACGTGCCACTGCAGAAGCTGCTGTGGGATCGGCGTTTGTGCCTGCAAGTCCTCGATGAGATAAATGTTCGAACCCCCAGCCGAGTCGAAGTGAACCGGGATGGCGGACCGGGGTTCCTGACCCCTGACATGGTGAAATACATCAAGGATGTCTCGGGGGTTGACCTCGCAGTTCCTGATGAGAACAAGTACAATCCACCACGGAAGGTTGAGCTGCTCGACGACGGCGATGTCATCAGTGTGGACGGTGCACTTTTGAAGAAACCTTTTGTGGAGAAGCCGACCAGTGGTGAAGACCACAACATTGTCATCTATTTTCCCAAGTCAGCGGGAGGCGGCGCACGGAAGCTCTTCAGAAAGATCGGCAACAAAAGCTCCGAATACATCCCTGAACTCAACGTTCCTCGGGCCATCACTGAGCCTGAGAGTAGCTACGTGTACGAAAGCTTCATGCAGGTCGACAATGCCGAGGATATCAAGGCCTATACTGTTGGCCCACACTACTGTCACGCGGAGACACGCAAATCGCCGGTAGTGGACGGTGTGGTCAGGCGAAACCAGCATGGAAAGGAGCTTCGATACGTGACTGCACTGAATACCGAGGAGCGGGAGACTGCCAGCAAGATTGCGACTGCTTTTGGCCAACGAGTCTGTGGATTTGACCTCCTCAGAGCATCTGGGAAGAGCTATGTGATTGACGTCAATGGCTGGAGCTTTGTCAAAGACAACAATGACTACTACGACCAATGCGCCAATATCTTGAAGGACTTGTTCGTCAAGGAGAGACTTCGAAGAGGGGGGATGTCATCGCCGGCGCCCTCGCCATCCATCTCGGAAACCGATCCAATGTCCAAGCAACAGACTTCCCTCCGGGAGCGCGACCACTCCTCTGCTTCGCTACACCATGCAAACGCAAAGAGCATCCCTGCTGCCTCGGCCACTGCCTCGGACACATCCCAAGCCGGAGATGCATCAGTGACGCCCAGTGGCGCGGCCTCCCCACGTGTCGAGGACTTGCTGTCTTCCGCAACGCAAAATGCCGCCCCAACGCAATCGCTGCCACCACCTGCGGATTTTCTGCAAGCAAACTCTACTTCAGCCCCAGCATCTGTGAAGACTGTGGCGACATCACAAGGAAATGGCGGCGGTGAAGAGCCTGACCGTGAGGCTGAGCAGCCGCCACCCCCTAAGCACTCGTGGAAGTTGAAGGGAGTGGTATCGGTCATCCGCCATGCTGACCGAACGCCCAAGCAGAAATTCAAATTCACTTTCCATACTGCACCCTTCATTGCGTTGCTCAAAGGTCACCAGGAAGAGGTACTGCTGATTGGCGAGGCTGCACTGGCGAGTGTGATCTCCGCTGTCGACTCGGCATTTCTCGAAGGGGTCGAGGACCCTGGCAAACTCAAGGCACTTCGCAATGTTCTGGTCAAGAAGGGCAGCTGGGCGGGAACGAAGATTCAAATCAAGCCCATGTTCCGCAAGAAGAAGACAGAGAATGCTGTGGATGAAATGCCTGATTTGACAGAGAACGTTCAAACGCCCCCGCCTGACGCGGAGAATAACCCCGGTCACAAGGACGGCGATGCAGCATCACCGAGAGAACCTGTGAAGCGTCACGATTCCCTGTCTGGTGTCACAATGTCCAAGTTCACGGCAGCAGAGGAGCGACTTGTTCTTGACAAGCTCCAGCTCATTGTCAAATGGGGCGGCGAGCCGACGCACGCTGCTCGTTACCAAGCTCAGGAGCTGGGCGAGAACATGAGAAACGATTTCATGCTCCTGAACAGAGACGTGCTTGATGAAGTTCACGTGTTCAGCAGCTCTGAAAGACGAGTGACGACCAGCGCACAGATCTGGGCCGCGTCGTTCCTCGGCAAGAACGACATACCCAATGACTTCATCACCATTCGCAAGGACCTCTTGGATGACTCCAACGCCGCCAAGGATGAGACAGACAAAGTCAAGAAGAAGCTCAAGGGCCTGCTGCGCGAGGGCAATGAGCGACCTGCGCAGTTTGCCTGGCCCGAGAAGATGCCCGAGCCGTCCGAGGTGCAGAAGCGTGTTGTTCAGCTGATGAAATTTCACCGTCGTGTCATGCATCACAACTACTCCAAGATATTCAGCGGCGCAGCCACGTCTCTGAACAGCATTTCAAACCCAGCCACAGAGAGGGAAAAGTTATCTGGCGAAGGCTCGACCTCGTCGCTTGCTTCGTCTCTGTCGCAGGCGAATACCGTCAACAGCATCCAGGCGCGGTGGTGCTCTGGCGAGGATGCTGAGCTCTTCAGGGAACGCTGGGAGAAGCTGTTTGCAGAATTCTGTGATGGGGAGAAGGTGGACCCTAGCAAGATCTCCGAGCTCTACGACACGATGAAGTTTGACTCACTCCACAATCGGCAATTCCTCGAATGGGTGTTCACCCCTCCGGATCACATGCTTGAGGAGTATGAAGGCAAGGAAAGCAGGCCGAAAGAGACGGAAGAGTTGAAGGCGCCTCTCGAGCCGAAGCAAGAGAAGTCCAATAGCATCGCCGGTCAGAATCCCCAGGAAGGTACCGATCCTGTCCAACGATCGGGCACAGTTAAGAAGCTGTTTAGGCGCCGGTCTTTTCTCAACGGGCTTCGTCATCTGGGCGAGGAGCCTCCGCCAGAGCAGTACTTCAAACTGTACAAGGGCACCGAGACCAGCGCAACGAAAACAGAGCAGAAGCATGAGCCACTGCAGGAGTTGTATAAGCTTGCGAAGGTGCTTTTTGATTTCATCTGCCCGCAAGAGTACGGCATCTCTGATAGCGAGAAGCTCGAAATTGGTCTCCTGACATCGCTCCCGCTACTGAAGGAGATTGTCCAGGACCTAGAAGAGATGCAGGCATCCCATGAGGCCAAGTCCTTCTTCTACTTCACCAAAGAGTCGCACATCTACACCCTGCTGAATTGCATCATCGAGGGAGGTATCGAGACCAAGATTACACGGGCTACTATCCCCGAGCTCGACTACCTTTCCCAGATCAGCTTTGAGCTGTACGAATCAGAGATCAAACAGCCCCTGGACAGCGCGGAAGATGAGCCCAAATATGCTTACAGCATCCGCATCACCATTAGCCCGGGCTGCCATGTCCATGATCCTCTCCATGTCCAACTAGATAGCCGCCATTCGATCGGCTGCGCGCCTAGGCGCAGTTTGACCAACCACAGCGACTGGCTCCAAGTGATCAAGACGTTGCGAGCCAAGTTTAACCAGTACGTACTTATCGAGTATTATCCCTTTTGACAGCTTTTACTGACCGATGCAAAGGGTCAAACTGCCCAAAACGTTCCTTGCCGTGAACCTCTCCGAGGCTTTCACCTTTGAAGAGCTAGAACGACAGGCGAGTGATTCCGAGGCTCTCGAGATGAAGGCCACGCCGTCCAAGGATCTGCTTCTATCGCCTCCGGCCCAAGGCCAGCGCGGTAGAGGAGACAGCAATCCTGCGAATACGGCCGAGGGAGGCAAGATTGTGAATCCCGATTGGTGATCAAAAGACTCACAGTGTCCTCCTTGACTGAGAAACAATTTCGAGTTTTCCAGCAAAGCTGGAAGGCCCATCCCATGACATTTTCCTTCACGGAAACCGTCAAGCGTTACTCTTCTGTGCTTAGCGCTTCCTAGCAGGATCTTGCGCAGAAAAGGGGGATTTTTTCACCAGCGGTTTGTATGCCGGGTTTGAGGAAAGCAGCGAACTATGCTTAGAAGCGTCTTACACAAACCCCAAAGGCTATATTAGAAATTATATTATGGGCAACCATAGCATAGAAAACGAGCGCCTGCTGAATAAAGTACATGATACCGAAGCGAGTCATTCCGTGTTCAGTATCCGTCCGAGTCGACAAATGCGGCTACATACAATGCCCGTATCCAGTCACTCACAATTAGTATTAATCGACCGACGACCTGAGGTCGTACGTTTCGTCCACTTTTACGCGGCCATCAATGTCTGTTCAGGTTAGCAACCCGGACCAGCAGACAGGCCTTTGAAACTCGCGTCCTGCTTCAGGGCTGGTTCCATCACCCGTCCGATCGGGGGAGATGCCGATGATGGATTGGGAAGCGAGCAAATGGCAATGGAGCCTCGTCGCAAATTTATCGAGGGCGTCATGGGTTTCACCTTTTGCCTGCGTGCGCGGCGGCAGGGACCCCTCCCTGTTCGCGTACCATGCTCCGGATATGGAGTCTAGACTCGCGCCATGTGGTTTCGTCTTGGCACACAAATTACTCCGAGTGTCCACGCGGTTGATCACGATTCACGGGCGCCGGCTTAGAAATGGTACCGCCCGCAAATGCCGATGAAGCTCGCGGAATAGATGCAGCGGGCAGATAAAACCAGGCCGTCTGTCAACGCACTACGCTGTACGATGCATGCCGGACAGTCATAGTGACCCCATCCATTTGTCCAAGGAGCAGCTGGCTGCGTGGTCTACGCTAGCAGGTGCGAACGACCGCGGCGCTTCTCGAGACCTTGTGGTGCCACGGTACGTAGCTCACACGATCACACACCACTGACACCAGTAGGTGTTTTGTCAAGTTGTCAAATAACCACGGTCCACTACACGGGAGTGGCGTCTATCAACCCGGGTAATCATGCACGACGTACGGAGGACTGGCGAATCGCTTCCTGGGTGGGGAAGCTGGGCCTCTGGCACCTGCCAGCTAGCCTCTAGGCAGGCTGATCCTGAGTAGGATATGGGGTATGGGCATCGGGCCGCGCCACGGAATCCGCCAGTGAGTGACCTTCTTTCTGGCATTCTTTTCACGGATACTACGTAGCTGCGTGGACTTCGCCTGGGTCTGTATCGACTCGCGAGCATCAGCAACATGCTAGCCTTGCAGTGGCAGTGGTACGTAGACGCGTTGCGTGCTCGACACCCTGGGGCCTGGACGTTTGTCCGTATCCGCGCGGTGAAGAGGTGCCGCGCACGCTGTTTGAACAATGATGATAAATCGTATACGGAGTACGTAGATCAGAAACTCAGAATGGTCGTTGACGGGGATGCTGCTCACCGGTCGATGCATCAGAGTGGATAATTATCAGTCAGTCCACAAGACCACCCATCCCTCTGCGACTTCTGAGTCCGGGCCACGCGTGCGCATTCTGCAGATGTGCCATTCCTCCTGGACACCTCGGAGGACTATCTCGCCGCTGAAGTGCCGGGAGGAAGGGACTAAGGAGACGTCGAAACAGATGGTATGGCAAAGTTAACTTCAAGCCTCATCCCGGGCTGGACAGGCGGCAGGCCCGCGGCAAGGGCACCTACCCAGGACCAAGGCACTCGGCACGCGTGTTTGTGCCCCTGCGCGATCGCGCCATGCATTGCGGCCGGTGAAAGGTCCAGTCCGAGCAAAAAGGGAAGAGCCCAACGTTGATATTGTTGGTGATCGCATGAGCGGTGAAGCATCCGGAGTCCAGGTGTGTCTCGAATGCACAATTGAGGGAAAGAGCGGACTGGAAGTGGAAGAAGAAGCTACGTACTTCCCCAAAATACGTCAAAGCAAGGGTCCGACAAAGCTAATTAAATCGCTACTCGGTCCCGTTGTAGCCTAACGCAACGCGGAACCGGCAAGGGTACAGTGAGCCGGACCCGACGATCCAATCACAAAAGCCGCGTCGCTTGAAGAAAGTTGAAGCTACTGTTTCAACTTTGAACCAAACGCAAAGTACGTTGCTAAGGTACAGATAGTTAGTTATAGTACGGAATCCCGCTGGCGGAGGCCGCGGAGCTTGCTGACATTGCCGCTTTTGTTGTTGCGTTGCCGGGTCCATGCTGCAAAGCTAGGCTTTCTCCCAGTCCCGAGCTCCCGGCCCTTGAACAATGGCGCGAGTACGACGCGCGACAGACGTCGGGTGGACCCACGCCGATGGCACCAAGATTGATGGCACTTGCTTTTGACGTTCGGGTTGACGGACTGGCCTCTAGTGTGAGACTTGCATGGTCTCCCACGCTTTCTTTCCTCTTTGGGTCATCACCTATCGACCTCTGCTTGGGGGCCTCTAAGCAAACATGGACACTGCCCATCAGCATGATAAAGCGCAAATGGGCGCAATGGAGGCCGTCACGGAATGGATGATGCTGAAGGACCGGGATGGCGGCAAGCAGCCTTGCCCTGGCCATTTTTAAGGTTTGACCTTGCAACAATAGTACCAGATACGTCCTAGTAGTCCCCGAGGCAAGGTACCCGATGTCACTACTCTGCCAGGGAATCCCCCGTGCGCACATAAGCCGGGCTTCCGCTCACTTTGCGTCAGCTTCCATCGTGAGTCCCTCACCTCGCACAATCCGCGCCCTTGTCGTTTGCCCGCCGTTCCGTCACCCATGGTTGCATTCGCGGATCCCACGTTTACCTGTCCGTGTACGGAGTAGTACACGGGTGGACGGTGAAAGGGCGTCGGTTTGCTCCCTCTCCACAGGCCTCAACAACATCTCATGGGCAGTCAGGCAATCCGGCTTTTGGTCCACGACTCAAGCAAGCTTCCTCTTGCCTGGCAGGCTACCTGCTCCTGTGAAGCGTCCAAGTACAGACGTTTGTGACAACTTGCAACACATATATTGGGCGACCCCGGGACCCGTTCCCTCAACATCCCTGGCAAGCCGCGTCGGACCAGGGCCGAAGCATCTTTATCAGATCTCAGTTTGGCACATGTAAGCTCGGTTTTGATACTTGGAAAGCGATCCTCCATCTTTCCCTTTGCCGTCATCATCCGCCCCGTATCCATACTGTTTCCAACCCGGACCTGGCCCTGGCTGGACCCTCTCGCCGTCGCTCAATGCGGATCGTTTTTGTTTAAATTCCGTGGCCGATTCGTCATCTGTGAGTTCGCGCTCATCTTCTCCGTGTTTCCTTTGCTTCTGCTCACCTGTCGCACTACGGAGGAAGACTCCGTTCTTATTCATGGGGGCATGTCTCTACCATAAAAGCTTTGTGTCTTCCGGCCTACATTGGCTGACCTCAACTGTTCGCTTGTTCACATTACCTTTGCCTCACCATCTTCCTCGTCTTCCCCCTGGACCTACAACAAGATCCCGTCTGAATTCCCCACGGAACGGGAATGGTATCTGCACATACCAACAAAGCAGCCACCCACTCCTAGCGCGAGCACAGTAGTCCTGAGCTCTGCCCGTCAGTTAGCCCTATCGCATTGCATCGAACTGGTTTATACCCAAGCCTCTCTCTCCCCTCCTTCAGGACAAACGGCAGACACACATGCCTGCATGACACAAGGCTGACGATAGGCCAGAATCGCATCGGGTTGCATCCAGCCCAGCCCCCCCTTGATCAATCACGATCATATCCCGGCAACACCCGCAGCAAGTATCAGACGCCCTGCAGCCGCCACCAGCCGAAGCAACGCGAACACCTGTCGGTCACCATGTCGGTCGCCTGCGCGCACTCGTTCCAGATGATCAAGTCGGAGACGACGCTGGTACAATGGCTGTGCCATTTCTGCCGCTCTGGTCCCCATTGGGCCATCTTTGAGTGTTCCTACTGCAAGCTACAGTTGTGTCGCGCATGCACGAAATCGGCATGAGAGCCCTTTTGGTCTGATCTTTCGGTCATAATCTCGGGAACGTGGAGCTGCTGCACTGTTCTCAAACAGCATGTGATGGCGACGGGCAAGGCGCAACCAAAACAAAAAGGGAGAGCGACGCTGTCCGGATGGTAGACTCTCATGCGCAGGGCTCGGGTGTTTGCCCAGACCCATTGTCCCGGTACGCGACTGGAGGCACAGGTTACAAACTGACGACAGCTTGCGCACAGTGGCAAGCGAGCGAGTTGTTGGGTTGACAGATTCTGAAATTGACGAGTCCGCCGGCGGCCGCGACCCTCTTTCTACTTCCTGTCAAGGCTGCAGTTCCCACGTGGAGACTCATGCGCTTCGCGACCCATGCAATTTTAACATCCCTGGTCTGCATCAGCCCTGGCCCTCGATTCCTGTTTCTGGATCCCGGATGATGGATCGGGTGGAGGGTGAAGGGTGGAGGGCGAATCAAGAGCAGCACAGTCTTCAATCTGATGTTGAGGATTGTTCAGGCGGTAGTTCTCGGTGAAGGACACGGTGATAGTTGCGTCAAATTCTCAGACAGAGTGACGAACACTTCACCCTGAAGACGTCCTGATGAATTGCATAGACTCTGTCACTCAATATTCCCTTCTGCCTCACCGGGAACGGTTCGCCCGAGGGCTTTGACTGATGATGTCGACCACGCGCATCTTGCTCCATTCAACAAATCCGATTGAATTGGCGCCAAGTCAGGCTCGAACATTTCTACGTACCATACTGACCCGGTCAGCCATTTCGTAGTCTGGAAGGGTACGCCGCTGTGCTTCTACTTTACTTTCCAAACGTTTTGTGACCACGGCCTCACTCGCAACCAACGCATCCCTGGCTGTTGAAATCACATCCGCAATCCATTGCTGCGGTTCTCGAACACGACAACCTCCAACTAGGTACGCCAGTGAGCGTCAGGGCACATTGCTCGATGTTGGCAACACCATCATCCCCTTTACCACGTAACACCAAGATCGTGCAAGTCGCGCTGTAGTGCGCCCACACCCCGATCCAAGCCCCCCCCCCTGTCTATCCGACGCAGCGACGGGAGGCGAGGATGACCGGCAAAACGGTGACACATGGGAGATGTGCGACGTTGCTCGTGTGGCGCTCCTGATTGCTTGATACCGGAAGAGAACGTATATACCACTGGGCCACTAGCCTTTGGGGAGGGGCATCATGCCCAAGAAGAGCGGTCCTCCTGTCATTGGCAGTCTGTAGCCACTTGTGCTTTCGTATGATCAAGAAGCCTGAGAGGGACCGCGTGCAACCTACGACGGTGCCTCGTAACGTAACTTTGTTTCCCTTTGCCGCATCCGCGTAATCAACACGCTGTCCCCCGAGTCTTACACACACCACCGTCGCGTGCTCTAAACACGTTGCTCGTAGAAGCGGGCCGCCGCAGGATCTTTCATCGGCCAATCCCACACAGGTCTCTGCTCGCTCCTCTTTGTGACACCGACCTCATCACCCAGGGAGATGCTGCTTGAGTGCACGCCATCGGTCAGAAACGCATACCGCCCAAAAACAGGCGAGTACTTGTGCCCCTCATCCACGCGACGATCAGCCATGAGCTTCTTGAGAACGGTCCCCGACTCGCCTGCGGCAGGGCGGCCTGTGTCATAGTCCACGTTGACAGACGTGCAGCGTCCGCAGAGCTTGGACAGCGTGAACCCAGCGCCGCCGTTCAGACTGAGCTCCGACCAGTAGTCCTCGTCCCACTGCGTCTCCCCGTCGACGACAATGTTGGGCCGGAACTTGACCATGTCCACCTCGCCAGACTCTAGGCGCGTCCTGACGTTCCGGAGGGATGCTTCGGTGGCGATGAGGTACGGCGCGCAGTCAGTAAAGGTGAGCCAGTCTTCTCCTTCTTTTTCTTCTTCTCGATTGGACCCGGTGACATAGCTCGTGACCGACGACAGCCATCCCTTCTGCGGCTTAGCGGCTTTGGGCGAAAAGGTGCCCAGGATGGGCCGTTTCTGGTCGCCAATGTAGAGCAGCACCGTGTCGAAGCCGAAGCAGGCGGTGAACCACTCATCGTACTTGGATCCCATCTTGTACGCGCGCACCATGCTCATGTGCACATTCACATCCTCCATGTCCAGACCCGCCGTGTCAGGCGTCAGCGGGATCGCCAGCGTCTCGTCGTGCAGCGGACTGCGGGGGACGATGGGCGTCTCTGGCGCATGGTAGCGGACGCGGATCGTCCCGTCGACAATCTCCTGTCCAAAGAGGGCGCACTCGGGATGTCCTGCGAGCTGGAGCTTGTCGAGCGAGCCGTCTTCCTTGCGGCGGCAGAGCACAAACGTGCGGTCATGGGCTATGCCCTGCGGGGTGAGGGTTGCTGATGTGAGTGGGATGGCACGGAGTCCCTTGACGGGGTAGACCCAGAGCTTTTGGTGGTGGTTGGTCAGCGTGGAAAGAAGAGAGAGTGATCGTCTGTCAACGTACTGCTGTGACTTTCATGGTGAGGGGTTGTGATGGGAGTGAAGCTGCTTCACAGGTGATGAAGCGCTGTGATGAAGCGCTTTCGGATTGCCAAGTCTGGGCTGGATCGGAGAACAATGTGGGTGTGGAGTTTGGACAGAGGAAGAACTGAGGTTCATCTCGCCATGGTCGTTAACGCTGACCACCAGTTCAATGTCGTGACTCGTATGCCCGCGAGGAGGCCGGGCATTGACACCCGGCGACCGACGTCACATGTTGGAGGTGCAGGAACCAGGATGCGCCTTGGGCTCGATTGACAAGCGAGCTGGCTTACCCGGCGCTATACTCCGTACACTGTAGGATAACTCGGAGTTTGGCCTGCCAGGCGCACATGTAGGGTAGGCTGGCTCAAAACATCCCCCAAATCTGTATCTGCCAACCCTAGGCCATCTAGTAACGACTCAGTGACTTGGTTCAGTGTAAACGCATTCTCATCAGTTGCGATCTGAACTGAAAGCACTAAAGAGTTCATCAAGCTCAAGCGCATGTTTCGGAAAGTCGGGCCCTTTATCGGTCTTGAGTAGGTGGTGATTGAGGGGTGTCGGTTCTTTTCGCAACTCAACTCATTGCAACGAACAAGCATCAGTGCAGTATAAGGCGGTTGTCATTTTGCCATACCAATATTGCCATGGTTGATGGTGTTCGCATTGACATGCTCATAGCATACTGAGAACGATTGGCCGATGGATAATCTTTCGAATCAGTTGTATGGCCACGATATTCACCTTCACGTCACTCGCTCATTAACCACGAGACCAGAAACACCATGACTCGCTTTCTAGGCTCGCCTTCACGCCAGCCAGCAAACGGTGCTTGTTGCCGTTGGGGAAGTCTGCGCTAGTGTGGCTTGCGGTCACTTGAGGTCCCCACGCCTTGGCTTACTACACGTAGCAGTAGGTCCCCCCAATTGGGGATGTGGGACAAGTGACCATTCGCTGCATCTCGAGTCTGAACGTCATGTCGACTTTGTCATAATGCTTGGGCGAGGGGGTCCCAGAAGACGCAGGCGCTGGTAGGGTTGTGAGGCATCACTCTGTTGTGCCACGGCTCGATGTCGCGTGAGCCGTCAGACTTGGAAGGATTGCGAGTCGGATGCAGCAGAGCTGATCATCTTCCTCCAGTTAAATGAATGCCCGTTGCTATCAAGAGCGGCGTCGACGACATCATTGATAACCAGCCAAGACATTGAATCATGGCGAGAATTGACGAGATTGCGATAATGGCGTAGCATTTCTCCATGTGGCAGGCCAGTGACCCCGCGGCATAGGCAGCCCATTCCCAATAGCGCCAAGGGGGCAATGTTTTCCTCGGCATCACAATGTTACGCTTCTGCAGTTTTGCAAGATACTTTGGATGCTGATGAACTCTGATGCGATCTGAGACGAGGCGCTATCGCGTGTTTGAGAATTGCGGCAGCGTCCGCTTGGACATGGTAGGCGACTTCGCTTCCTTCTCAGTTTGGACAGCTGGGGGAGTTTGACGCCAATAATCTCTGAGGGGGTCGCGAGCCGCCGTTTCAGAGACGTGACAGTCATACAAGCACTGCAACCTGCAGGTGACATGGAGGACTGGAGCGGCTCAGACTTCCAATCATTCTGATTCTCACCAACCGAACTGTTATCGGTTGAGCATTCACAATGCACGCCCGAGGCGCAGTGAGAAGCGGCTGGCCATTGCGTGCATGTGTCGAGAGCCTGTTCTTTGTGCAGCCGGATGGGGAGAGCCCAGACATTTGTGTTGTTGGTCGAACGTGGAGTTCAAACGGTGGATGGCGCTTGACTCTTGTTCCACATTCAATAGTGCCAGACTCCAGTGTCCGCCCGGCGGGAGTCCCTGAACCAGACCAGAGACATGAAGAGGGTCTAGAGTCTGGCTTGAGGGGAAGAAACGCCCCTGGCCGCGTCGCGAGTCGTCGTAAACTTGTACGCAGGTGCCCCTTCAACAGACTCCTTACATTGCCGATCCCACCTCCCGTCGTTCGTCATGTACCAGGCTCGGTTGCAATGATGCAAAGTCCTTGCGCGATCTTGTTAGCTAGCACTCACTATCTAGGGATGGCCAATACGTAGGCAGCCAAGCGAAAAGTAGGTGAAGAATTTTAATTGCACTGGAATAATAAGCGCGTGACGCGATGCAAGTGCTCGGATTCGCGGCTACCAGCACACAACCTCGAAGCCTCAAGCTAATAGTCGTTATCGTGATGGTGATGGGGTCCGGAATGCTGGGTCCTTGGCTACCATTGGCGGCGAATGACACACACATGCTGCATCTCGCCAAGAAGACAAGGTCAGTTCTGGTGGTGGCGGCCGGCTTGCAGTTGGTCACCCATCACGAGAGCGTCTCAAGACCACGGCTGGGTATCTCTACCTTCATCACTGTCCAATGGTATGCACGCCACTCGTGACCAGAAGAGCATATTAAGAGATTGCAAAGTCTTCGTCTCCGGCCTCGTTGTGGCAGGCGCTGTTTCTTCTCCTTGTTTGCCAGTCTTAAACTTGTTGCGTTGACCAACAAAACCTGTTGGCTGCAACAGCAAACGAGCACGTTACTATTTTAACATCCATCGTTGCTGTGCGCCTGTCTGTCTCAAGCGGCTCCGCAGCTTTGCACTGGCCCCCGAAGGCTGCATCGAGCCCCGGCGATCACTGGAGCTGAAGCGTCTCAGGTTTCGCGTTGGGTTTGTTGGCTCGAGGACGAACGACTTGGAGGCAGATCCCGCCATTGGCACGACTTGCAGGGGAAAAAAAAGCCTTCTTGTCCTCCACTTGGGATCCTTTCTCCTCCCTCCCCCCCGTTGTGCTCAACCTCTTTTACTTTCCTCTGAAAGTACATTGCACGACTTGCTCGTCTTCGATTCTCTTTGCATAATACCTTATACCTTCTTCGCTTTTGTGTGGTGTCGCTGGTCGACCACACTATCCCACCTTCAGCCTAATAGAGCAACCTACCACCCACACGGAGAACAATTGGATAACTTGCCTGTCATGGACTTCGACGCGCACAACCTCCATGTCGGTGTTCGCGAGCTGGATCTCAGCGCCTGCCATGTCAACACCTTTTCTGACACCATCAACGCCGTACCAGGGTTGAAGACCAGTACAGGTGAGTTGGGCTGACTCCGTTCATGTTTCTAAAACATCCTTTCTCCCTCCAAAGCATGTGGTCGGCTTGGCAGAGCTATCGCGAGAAATTGGCCTACGGAAATCTTGTCCATTTCGTCATTTCGTCCTCGCACACGCAGTTCAAGCCAGGGGACATGATCCATCACTGTCCATCATGCTCCTCCCTTGGTGGACCCTTGCTGCCTGCCTTGGCTGCTGCTGCTGCCCCTCCAAAAAAAAAAGCCCCGCCAACGCTGAACTACCGACATGCACATCCCTTCCCCATCACGACGTCCAGCGTCGTCACCTCACAGACATGGCTAACAAATCACCGCCAGCCTTCTTCACCTTCTTGCGCGCCAACCTTGTCCTGTCCCCCTCGGCAATGTCCTCATGCGCCAACACGCCCATCCTCGACGCTGCTGTCCCGATGCAACCCAGTCTGAGCTTCCAACCCACGTCTCCCTCACCTTTGGCCGTCAACCCACCCCTGACGCCTGATGATGATATCCCGCCATTGTCTCTGGAACCGCTCGACACAGCCGTGGAAAAGGCGGAGGGGTTGAAGCTCGTGGCCGACAGCGTGGCGCAGATGCAGCAGCACGCCGCAAAGAACGCCATCAAACACCCTCTGTCGCTGGCTGGAATGAGCCTCACGGCAGCTGTAGCATACCAGATCACCGGAAAGGATGTTGGCTTGGGTTTGGTCTTATCTTGTGGCATCATCATGTCCTACTTCATGGCTGTGAGGTGGATGTCGTCCCGCTACGTAACGCAGGCCGAGAATTTGCGGTATGACTGGCTTCGCAACCCTGAAACAAGCGCAGAGGACATTGTCTTTGGGGCAAAGTGCGAAGATACGCTTGTCGGGGCGCTGGTCTTGCGTCTACAGCCCTGCTACACCTTCCCCTCCAACAATGGCCGACGCAAAAAGTCCGGCTCTGTGACGTTGAAGGGTGGACGTGGTATCATCCGCGCCTGGACAACGGATCTCAAATACCGCGGCACAGGAGTGGGCAAAGACCTGCTTTTCGAGGCCGTGCGCTTCACAAAGGAGAAGTGCGGACGGGATGCTGAAGTTGGCTTCGCCCAGGAGCACGCCAACAGCCTCATGGTCATGCCGCGTGTGTTTAATGGAGGGTTCAGGAAGGATGAGGTGCGGGCAGCAAGGGCACTGGAAGAGGCGCTCGCGGAATGGGATATTTGCAAGAGGAAAAGATGATTAATTTGTGAGGAAAGAAGAAGGCTAGATGGAGGACAGAATGTGCACATGTGTGCCTGGAGAATTTCCTAGAGATACCCCCTAGCGAGTCTTGATAAGTTATGACAATTTTTAACGACATTGCCGCAAATCCACAGTGACGAAGAGCAAATTTATGAAACAAACAGATCCTCAATTGGCCAACCTCTGTCCCTGTGTCTCCTCCTGAGGAAATGCAAGTCACAAAACGTCGTTCATTCGCAATGATACAAAACCAGGTCGTCAAATGCTCAACAAGGCAAGCGCTAACAAATCATTTCGCACATAGGCCAGCAGCATCGCCAGCGCTAGTTCCCATCGTCAAGTGAAGCGCGTGGCTCCGACCTTGGTAGACTTGTTGGTCTCGGGGTCGAAGCCATAAATTGGTCGACCGCGTCGTTTGACGGCGTAAATCACCTAGCGTAGCCATCTCTTAGTACACTGCGCTGGTATTGAATCGCGAGGCGAACTTACATCTGTAACGGTGACAGTTTGTCTTTTCGCGTGATCGACGTATGTAACACAGTCTCTTAGGACCTATAACCTTTAGTCCACGTTGCTAGACACGAGGGCCTGCCTGGAGGGTCAACACGTACATCCTCAAGGTAGACTTTAAGGGCTTTCCGAACTTCTTCATAGATCATGCCAGAAATCCTTTTTACTCCCCCCCTGCGGGCCATGCGACTAGGAATAAATTAGTTAAAAGTTCTCGACTGCGCGCTGAGCTGACGAGACGCACCGGATGGCAGGTTTAGCTGGAATAATGAATGAGCGGGCGTAATGAACAAGGCCAAAGTTATCAATGAGCACGTACTGATACCCTTTATCGAATCTTTGAGAATCCTACTGCGAGAAACAGTCAATATGCGAGTACAGCAAGCTTAAACGAAGGCACATACCGATGACGCTTTGGTAGGGCTACACCCCGACCCTGAATGGTCTTGCCCCCAACGGCATGACGAGCGCTTCCTGGGCCACCACGTCCAACTTCAGAAGGCAGCGTGCGAGCCATACTGCTCGTGTGGGCCGATCAGAGCGTACGACGTCCTCCGGAGGAATGCGGATCCACGTTTACCCAACTCGTCGTAAGGTAGAGAGGCGTGGGCGAGCGATTCAGAACTTGTAGCGTCGAGCGAATTCAATCAGTAGTAAGTAGCGTATGAGAAAGTCGGGACTACGTGCAGGGGGGTTTGTTTGCATTGAGGTTCTGAGATGGCGGTCACAAGAGGTGAGGGAGAATGTGATAGCCCAAGTGAAGTGAAGGAACAACATAGCAGATGACTCAGGCATCGCAAAGTAAGTTTTGCTCTCACAATTGCAAAAGTGATCCAAAACAAGTCCAATCAATGATTAAGGCGGATGTTTCTATATATAGACCTACGAAAGTGCACTATGCAAGACCACAGCCAACTCGCGCTGTGACTGCGGGTAGCTTACCATCTGACCACAAGGGGTCGATGCAGACATCACCAGGAGTGGAAGCGCAAAAACGCATGCGATTTTGTGGAACTCATTCCTCCCATGGGGTTCAAGCTGCCCTTGCGGGATTCATGGCCAGGCCAATTCATGCTGTATTACTTTTCCTATTACCACCAGTTGGTCTCTTCCTCAATGACAAGGTATATCGGTCAGCGACACTCCAAGTGCCCTATGCATCGGTGTCAACCATCATGGTCGGCTCGGGGGCCTGGCCAGTCTCTTCCTCTGCGGGCAGCGACACCGTGACCTCTTCTGTACTAGACTCGTTGCCCCTCGCAGGGCTGGCGGTTCGCACTTTTTTGGACGGTCGCTCAGACTCGTCATGCTGGCTTTCAAGGGCATGCTCAGCGTCTCGAGCGGTCTTCGTTGCCGTAGCAGCCTTCAGCTCCAGTTCCAGCTCGTCCAACCGTCTCTTCAGGCTGTTCTCCCGCCGGTGTGTCTCTTCCAACTGGGCGAGCAGTTGCGCTTCGCTTCCTCGGCTCTCTTCCAGTTGCGTCCGTAGTCCCGTCTGCTCCGAGTCTGCTACCTCATGACCCCTACGTGCGGCAGCTTCCTGTTGCTCCAGTTGACTTAATCGCCCCCTGAAGAGTTCATTGATGAGTTCGAGCTCGCGTACACGGGTTTTGAGGCTGGAGTTGGCTGCGATGAGCTGCTCGTGCGTCTGTGGCGTGTCGCCGTTCATGGGCGATCCAGACCCGTCGCCAGTTTGCGCAAAGTTTGAGGAGTAAGGATCGTCCATCATGAACGATGGCAGGGGATTGTTATACATGGACGGCGTGTCGGTTCGAGAAATGGGGGATCCATTGGGGCCATCTCCGTGGAGATTCGCAGATCGCGGAGCAGCGTTACTTTGATGCGTCGCCTAAGTAGCGTTAGCAATGTGGTCCCCCAAGTTTGTTGCATTGGCGCAAGTCGCGCAAGATATCACGCACCTTTTTCTTGCCGTGCGCATCGCTACGCGTGCCCTTAAGTCGATTGCGACTCTTGATAACATCCGTTTTTAAGGATATCGGCCTCGGCCGACCATGTAGCTTCAGGAACAGCCCGCAAGCATTGCAGAGTACATTGCCGTACTCGTCGCGACGCCATAACGGGGTCGTAGATGTACTACAATTCTGACATGTAGGCTGTGACGATACGTTAGGAGCCATCTTCTCTCAAGTTGCGCAAGCATGCGGCGGACTGCGGCGCAACTGGCGCGCATGAACTGATAAATACTATCGGAGCACTGATAAGACAGGCCGACGTGGGGATGTCAAGGCCGGATCGCAGTGGCGGGCCTTGATAAGGTGGTGGAGTGGGATGCGTCAGAGTGATTGGGAAGGTGGGCTGGCGTGCGATAATGCACGTGATGCAAACCATCGAGCAATTGATAAGAACTTTCATGGCGATACTTCCGGCCAGATGCGGGTAAAGATCTGATCCCTGCGATAAGAAAGGAGATGAACTTACGAGGCCACTGCTCCCGCCGCCTGCCGTCGCTGCGGGTGTTGCGCCATTGTAGGACACTGGGTGCTGAGGCGGAGGCGGAGGCGGTGGTGCGTGTTGCGCTTGCGGTGCTTGTTGCTGATGCTGCGCGTCGGGCTGGTTATTCGAGGTATGTATCGAGCTGCTGATGAATGTCAGTAATTTGCGGTCTCGCGAGTGTCCTAGGCGCATCGCATCGCATAGGGCGGGTGGGTTCTAGACCTACCCGTGATCTTGTGCTGGGTCATCACTCCCGTTGGCATCGGGAAGGCCACCGGTCATTCCGAGCAACTGCGAGACAGCATCGGCGGCAGCTGATGACGAATTGCGTCGCAGCTTGGAGTCGATCTGTTGCGGTTGCAATTCGGGCGCGACGTCTTCCATGTCGGCGACGAAGCGATGCGACGAGGCGCGTCCGTGAATTTGACGATTGGGTTATCGATAACAGACGATTAGAATGACAAAGGAGTCGCGGCAAGGCGCGTCGAACCAAGTTCTCGCAGGCAGATCGTGTTGCAGTAGAGTTGAATAGTGCGCAGAGGAGGCACTGTCGTGTTGCTGGTTGCCGTGATCAATTGAATTGGTTGAGAAGTTTGCGGATGGTAGGAGGGAAAAGATTTGTTTTGAGGGCAACTTGCACTGCGTAGAAGACCTTAAGATTGGCGCGCTGTTTCCGGGGCCGACTGGGCTGGCCGTCAGTACCTCACGCAACTCCAAAGGCTTTTCCCACTTACCGATAAACTGCCCGAGAAATATGTAGGCTGCTCTATGATCTGTGATGACCGTAGGGTCATTATTTTCCACATTCATTCTTGAGAGCTATTTGGTTGCACTTGCATCATGTCCAAGTACGGACGTGGCTGAAGGCTGACATAAGCCACACTTGAGCCACAATATGCCTCGGAACAACAAGAGCGACTGGTTATAATACACAGTCGCGATGAAAGAGAGAGAGAAAAAACTATACTGTAGAAAATCTCATCAAGTCTTACAGCTGATTCTCATCAAGAAGATACCAGTCACCTTTGACGGCGCGGCTATTTGTAATTTTTTTTAGAACTGGATTCTTGCTAACCTTGTCAGCTCTGTAAGAACAGCCCCACACATGAGCGCTGCATCACGACCCATGGTAAGCCTCTAAAGAAGTCGCCCATGAAGATTTTTGTACTTGCGTACTAATTTATTGTTCTGATTAGCAGCTCGAAGCAGGATTAGAGCTCGAGGCTTGAATACCTACGTGCCCTGCAGTCTGGACGACGAATCCCGGATAGTTCCCGCCTTCCGTCGCTCCCATGTGCCTAAGGTACGCGCCCCACCACCAGCCACATAGCGGCGTCATTCTGACCGGCAGGCACGATTCGCAGCCCCTCCATAGCGGCGGTGAAGTGCCCTACAGGCCAAGCTTGAGTCCGTTTCCCACTTGGACTTTGCAACATTGTATACCAAACTGATCGCTGGATTAGACGCGCCTACATCCGACTACAGACCTACCATCCAACAATATGTTCAACTGGGCAAAGCAACAGTAGGATGCCGTCGCCACTACAACTGGTCACGAAGGCTAACAAGCAAAGGCTGGCCAATGTGGCCGGCACCGCAGAACCCATCTACGGACCATCTGCCGTCCGCCCTGTCGGCGATGAGGTTGACAGAAGTACTTACACCGAACTCACGCGCGATGATCTCAAGTGGCAGGTCTTGGAAACGACCAACGTCGAGACCGAGACCTTTTACTTCGTTGCCGAAAGTGGCCAAATGGGCATGGCCCAGGTCATCTACAGCAACGTCATGTGCGAATCCCAGAACAATATACTACAGTCATAGCTAACCGAAACCAAAAGGGGCGTTCGTGTGACAGCCCAGTTCAACTGCAAGGTCTTCTCAAAAGACCCTACCAAGGAGCATCTGTGGTGCTCGACACCCCTCAACAACATCGAATTCAGCGAGGACAAGGCGTCCTTCTTCGCCGAGAACTGTGCCCTCGAATTTTCGGCCGACGGTAACTCTTACACAATCAAGAGCGCCAACGACGAACGTGCGATTGTCAACCTCAAGGTCACCAAGGCGTCTCCGGGCTTCCAAGGCGGCAAGACTGGCCAAACCTTGTTCGGCACCGATCTCCAGAACCCATGGGGCACCATGCGTCATGCATTCTGGCCTCGCTGCACTGCCGAGGGTACCATCACCACCAAAGAAGGCCCTATTGATTTCAAGGGTCAAGCCATGTACTCGTATGCCATACAGGGTATGAAGCCTCACCATGCTGCCGCCAAGTGGAACTTTGTCAATTTCCAGGGACCCAAGTACTCGGCCATCATGATGGAGTTTACGACGCCCGAGTCATATGGAAACACGACAGTCAATGTTGGTGGCATTGTCAAGGATGGCGAGATCATCGCCGCGGGCTGCCTGAACAAGGCTACTCACACCGCCGTGAAAGAAGACACGGACAACGACTGGCCCGAGCCTAAAGGTGTGCGGTTCACGTGGAACGGAAAGAACAAGGAAGGCAAGGCCGTCGAAGGTGTGATTGAGGGCCCTATCGGAGACCGTACAGACCGTGTTGATGTCATGGCCGAGGTCCCTGGGTTCGTCAAGACCATCGTCGCTAGCGCCGCTGGTACCAAGCCCTACATCTACCAATACACGCCAAAGATGACGCTCAAGCTCAAGATCGGGGACGAGACGATTGAGGAAGAGGGCCAGGTCTTTATGGAAGCCACTTTCATCGTGCAATAGGAAGCGCTGATGAAACAAGCGCAGAGGAAAGTAAGCACTTCGAATTCGGGTATGAACTAATCAGGGTAGACGTTGGAGACGGCTCTCACTCGCTACGACCTATAATACTTTAATGAATTTTTTTTGCTCTGAGATGAGACATGTGGCTGGGGCCTCGTCGTGATGTTGACTTTAGGGGCGCGCGACGCGAAGCATTCCAGCGCGAGCAGACACGCGTACTTGAGGCGAGGAACCCCAAGCTCCTGCAACGAGTTGTCCTTTCCATTTCAAGAATTATTGCCACGCACAGTTCTCACACAATGACTTTAATAGCAGCCTACGAAGTTTACACACCAATGGAGTCCTCGCCTCTCAACCCACATGCCTGCGCACGCCGTCGGAAAGCCATACCCCAGCGCGGGCGTACATCACTTAGTCCATGCGAGAAGCTTTTGCGCCGCAAGGCAGCAGAAGCGTGGAAATCAGAGATTATATATCGTCAAGTGTGCCAGTACGAGCAGGTCACTGTTGACGCGCTCAAGGCCGCACGCGTGGTTGTTACCCCTTGATGACCGCATCCCGAGACGGACAGGTGGACATGGCTGGCTAACGCGGCATAAGGTTCCAGGACATCGAGTTTCGCATTCTCCTCAACTGGCGAGCGGCACAGAGACGGCAGGATCAGAATGTCATACCTGGCGATCCGGTGAAGCGGGAACCCCGTCCATTGCCGTGTACGCCCTTGCCTACGTGAGGCTCCTCTGGCCGGTGCGGCTGTTTAGGTCGCTGCATTTCTGGAGGAAGATGCTGCCAGAGAAGGTCAATATTGCCAAAAGCTCGTGGTGGTAGAATGAGAGAAATTTGTGTGATTACATTGTCGTGGATACATGAAGGCGAAGCAGGGGAAGAAACATGAACCTATGTACTCGTACATGAATAAACGCCAGCGTCCCGTCTATGCCTGATGGTGGTACACGGTATCAGCCAACTCACTGATCCTTGTTCTTGTCTTCTTTCACCTCCTCTATCCGCGTTGCTGCTTGAGCTTTTGATTCTTCTTCGTCTTTCTTCCTAATGTCCGTCTCGACTTGCCATATGGCGCGCTCGAGCTCAACGGTCAGGGCTGGTATGCCTAGTGTCTCCGTGAACTGCTTGACCTGGTCTTGCCGTAGAAGCATGGTCTCTCTCTTTGCGTCATATAGATGAGACGAACCGCTGTACAGTGTATCCAATGCGCTGGAGGGCGCGGTCTGCAGGAGCTGCTTGTCGATGAGCCACTTGACGTGCTTCCCCCCCAATATTGCTCTCCAATGCGACCAGGCGCGATACACCAGGTAAAAGAAGGGCAAATTGGGTATCCTGACCCATGGTTAGCTGCGAACATGGAAAGCTTCGCCATCTTCTTTTTGATGCTGGACTCACACTGGTAATATGCCGATGGGTATTGTCAACGGCATGCCGACGATGCAGTACAACAGCCTTTTCCTGTGCAGCCCATCCCTCTCTGTCGCCAACGTTTGGATCACGCCCTGCACTTTGTGCACGGGCAATGCGCTTGCAGGGAAAACGAGCTGGATCTTCTCCTGGCCGCGAATCTCCTCCGCTTGTCGCCTCGCCGACAATGGCGGGACGCTCTTCAAGCCCCATTCTTCATACGGTATCCGTCGCAGGGCCTGGTTGCCGTAGTCAACCACCTTGCGCTGCCAGCCAGAGTCTTTCTGTTCCCAAGCCGCCCATGTCTTGGCTGCGTAGTTGACAGCCTTGTCGAGGTACGACTTTTGGGCTGTTGAGGTATTGATGTTGAGTCGTTGGGCGTAGAGCAGCGTCCGCCGCGTCGATATGGGGAGGAGATAGAGACGCATCTCGTCAATTGAGACAGCGCAGAGCTGCACAATCTCGCGCCGCGCCGTAGCTCAGCAGGAGAGCAGGTAGGTAGGTAGTACCTTGGGGAGGCTGTCGTGGCGTCGACCAAGCTGCTCATGCAAGAGACGTCGGGAAGTGGGCGCAGCAGGTGTCTTAAAGGCTCGTCGCGTCGTCGCGTCCGGTGGCAAGAAAAGATTGCGCGCGAGGCAGACTTGAAGTCTAGACCGGAAGCTGGGCGTTCTAGGATGAAAATTAGGTACTAGCAGATAGTCGACGGCGTAGAATCGATGCGTAGACGTCAACAATTATCGAGAACTTTGGCTGGACCCGGTTTTCCTCAATGCAATGCTGATCCACGTCCAAACAGTGACGCACATGGTCTCATGGCGCGCGCCGATGCACTTGGGATTTTACGCAAGTGCGGGTCATCTTTGTCAAGGAAGTCAGCGATGCCCATGGGTTTCCTTTGATACTGCCTGGTATTCGAATCGTTTGGCGTCTTTCTTGGATAGCTTACGTTGGCCAATTCGTACCTGTATGAATACCTGGTATGTCCTGTCGCCACGGATGTTGAAACGAACATTGTGTTCATCATCCAAAGTCATGCTATTTCATGTGATGGCTCTACAATTGTAAAAAATCTTCATGAGGCCTCTTCAACAGGCTCCGGTGCCACAGGAGTCTCATCTGGCGCAGGTAGATCTTCCTTAGCAACTTGCTCCTCCACCGTTTGTGCCTCCTCTGGTTTGACCGCAGCATCATTTTCAACCTCAGCTTTCACCTCAGCTTTCACCTCAACCATCGCGTCTTCCTCCTCCTTCTTCTGCTCCCCATTCTGCGCTGCCGCCTTCTTCTCCTGCTGTTGCTTGAGAGTCGTGTTGATCAGTGGCGAGGTATCGTTGAACACGCGCAGCAACATGGCCGCTCTGTCTTCTTTGGGAAGCATCAGGTTGAGGCTCTTGATGCTCTTCCACAAGGGCAGTGCCATCCTTTCTGTGAAATCGGGATCGCTGCCGTCTGGTTCGACACGCAAGACGGCACAGCCCATCCCAATATCGCGCACACGCTCACCGATCTCGTCAAAGTCCTTCCAGCCGTCGTTGGTGAGGCTAGGGAACATCTCAATCAAAAGGCGACGGAGTGTTTCCTTATTCTGCAGGTGGACCACACGAGGTTCGCCGACGTAACCCTGCAGGATGGGAATGCCCTCGTTCTGTATCCGCCAGCGGCACACGTCAGCGGACGGTGCATCCTGCTTCATGTACATCCTTACGCCACCGTGAACGAACTTGATACCACGCCCCTCATTCTCAGTCAAAATGTCCCGCATAAGAGCAGTGGTGTAGTAGATAGCCTTCGCAGGCTCGCCCATCTCATTGCGAACCATGTAGCGGTCGTCGGGGAAACGGGTCGAAAGATGGTAAAATTCCTTGATGTTTTGAATGACTGGGTGGGTAGCCTCGAGATATTTGAAAGGCTCTTCGATTGGCCCCTTGCGAGGCCTCTCGGGCTGCGCAGCTGGTGTCGCGGCTGCTGACGAGTCTGCCTCCGTCTTGACTTTCTTGGAAGGCTGTTCTTGCTCTTCGGTGTCCAAGAGTCTCTTATTACTTGTGCCTTCAGCGTCGTCCATGACTTCGTCTTTAGTCTTCACCTCGACCTTGATTTCGTCGGCAGCAGCCTCCACCTTGGGCCCATCAGCAGCAGCAGCAGCAGCAAGGGCCTTGGACTCCTCCGTTGCTGTCGGCTCGCTTTGCTTCTTGCTGGACTCTTGACCTGCAGCCTCTGGCTTGACGACAGTGGACGGTTCATTCTCGTTACGGGCCTTGAACTCGTTCTTCTTCTGCAAGACAGTAATGAAGAAACCACCGGTATCCTGCATATGAGGGTACACACGCATACAGCGCTCCAGATGTAGCCCAAAGCCAAGTGTGCCCTCGGCGGGCGGGAACATGGTCTCGACAACGCGGCCGGGTACCACGCCACCGTTCATTTCGTTCGCGTGTTTGATGACTTCCTCGTGCGAGTTCCAGATGCGGCTGTTCTTGTCAATGATCTTCCAGTCTCTGAAGCCCGGATAGCGCTTGAGGTTGGGCAGCTCCTGACTGCAATCGACAATCTCCACGTTCGCTTCGCCGCCACAACGGTCGATAGCGGCCGCAACCACAGCCTCGTTCTCAACAGGGTTCATGGAGCATGTTGAGTAGACGACCTTGCCGCCCGCCTTCAACAGCTGGAGCGCGCGAACCAGGATCCTGATCTGCGTGAGATGGAGACCGAGCGCGCTGCCTGGCTGCCAGTCCTTCCACAGGTTCACATTCTTTCGGAGGGTGCCGTCGCCGGAGCAAGGTACATCGGCCAGGATGCGGTCGAACTTGAGGTAATTGGCAGCCTTGGGGTTCTCGCGGTTCGGAATCTTGATCGAGGGGAACTGCGTGGCGTCGTGGTTCGTGACGAGTAAATTGGGCGATGACAGACGCTTCAACTGATGGACCAGCATGTGGCCGCGCTTGTAATCGGAGTCGTTGGCGATGAGAAGGCCGGTCGATCGGCCACAATCGGTTGGGTCGGCCTCAAGGTCGGCTTCGAGCTCCTCTTGCGTCTCTGCTCCCAAGTCCAGGCCGTCTTCCTGCGCGAACGATCGCAAAGTCTTGCGCACACGAGCCTCCTCGCCACGCATGATCATCTCTAGCAATTGCGCGGCCTTGCTACCGGGCGCGGCGCACATGTCGAGGACAACGTGGTTTGGCTGGACGTCCATGAGCATGGGAGGTATCATGCTGACAACCTCTTGCCTGCTGATGTTTCCAACGCTCGTCTCGGACACCAGGAACTTCTGGAAAGCGGCGAATGGAGGAAACTTGCGGATGACGTTCTTGGGAGTGGTCATCCACCAAGCGAGGTCGTTGGGGTACCACGGAACCGGCTTCGGTGGCTCGACGGGTCGACCGTCGTGGAACTCGATGCCCGTGATCTGGGGAATGTAGCGGGTTTCTAATAAGCGCTTCACAGCGAGCGCGTGGCTGGGCTGTGTCAGTACAGAAAAAGTCGCGGCCAGCGCTCAACGTACCCTTTTGATCCGCAGAAACGGAAGCTGTTGGGGAGCTCGCGCCTCAGCGCCTCCCAGAACTCGTTCTTCTCCTCTTCTGGGAGCTGGAGCAGCTCGTCGTAGAACTTTTGAAAGTTCTTGTGCTGCTTTTCGACGGCCGGATACTCCTTCCATGAATTGGTACGTTCGCCATTGTTACGGCCACCTCCGCGCTTGCCACCCTAGGACGAGTTAGTCAATTGACCGGGACATGCGACGATGCAGGGCCACTTACACGAGAGCCACCTCTTTTACCCATGATTGCGAGGTCGGCAATATGATGAATTGGATGCGGAAAGTGAAAATTTCCCAGAGAAAATGCGACGCTTGGAGGCGCGCGCGGGATGTTGGAGAAAAAAGGTGGGCTTGTCCGCAGTGTACCCATTGGCCTGTACACGCCCGATATGCGACAATTAAGGGTGAGCAACCAGTGCAGTACCCTGGAGTGAGAAGTTCAGTCCCTATTGTGTCCACTGCTGCCCCGCTACGATTGACACTACCAGGCCCCGCGACATGAAACCTCTATCGTTAGTGGAAGATATCTATCTATTAGACTAGTAGTGTTTGTTGCCTGATCGAATTTTAATGGTGATAATCTACTAGTAGTATACTATAATTGTACATCATTACGTCTTTCTCACTCATCCAATAATCCTACAGTCCAATGCGTGATACGGTCGACGCCCTGCTTGTTGATCGCACTGACAGGGATGGCCGTGCACTTCTTGGTCCAGGCGCCTTCAACACCACTAGGATGACCAACCTCCCCATTTGTGATCTTGTCCAGATATGTGCTCAGCTGGCGATAATTGTCCTTTGTTTCCGGCTTGTCGGCCTTGGTCGCGACCACGAACCAGGGCTTGCCGGCAATGTGCTTAGCTGCCGCAGGCGTATGGTTTGGCGAAGTGAGATCCGCGTTCAGTACATCGAGAGGCCGAGTGGACCCGTCCTCTGTCATGCTCCAGTCGATGTGGGATGATGTTTCACGGCTGCGATCCTCTTCCTCGCGCATCTGTGCATACAGACCGACCTCGCGCCATAAGGCATCCAATGCTGTCACTGCGTCGCCAGCAGACAAATCGATCACAAAGGCGAGCACGCCAGCGCGCTCAACGTGGCGTAAAAAGGCGATACCTAAGCCACGGTCCAGATGCGCGCCTTCAATCAGGCCGGGGATATCCGCGACGGTGAATCGGGTGCGAGGATCCGCGGCTGTACTGGCGCGGTCTCGCGACGGTATCGAAGGGCGCCCGGTATACTTGTCCAAGACCACCGTGCCAATGTTGGGTTGCAGAGTGGTGAAGGCCCAGTTGCCAACTCGGGTTCGGCTGTTTGTCAAAGCCCGCAGCAAAGTGCTTTTGCCAGCATTGGGGAGACCGACAAGTCCTACATCCGCGAGGAGCTTCAGCTCGAGCTCAATCTTCATCGTGACAGCCTCGTCACCCTTGGTAGCGAACATGGGTCGAGGATGTTGTCGTGAGTTGAAATGCGGGTTTCCAAGGCCACCGATGCCACCAGTCGCGAGCAAGACAGGGTGCTCAGTCGGTCTCGTCAGGTCTAGCTGGATGGGACCCGGCGGTTGGGATAGGTATTTGGTCCGCTTGGGCAGCTTGGGGAACTGTTCGTTGGCCATTTCGCTTTTCGACAAGCCAGGGTAAAGCAACCACTTATGGTTCCTCGGATCCTGGGGCGAGGCATCTTCATCTTCGTTCTCGTTTTCATCCTGTTTCTCCAGCAGATCTTGCATGATGGCGCGCTCGTATTCGTCCTCCTCTTCTTCGGCCGCCTTGGCAAGCTTCTTCCTCTGCTCTTCAGCCTCCCGCTGCTCCCTCTTGCGCTGCTTCTCCAAGCCCCTGAAGACCCGGTAGCTCATCTCCTCCTCAGCAAAAGGGTCGTGCCGTTCGATTTCGCGAACAATGGTTCCCACTGGTACCGTGATGATTACGTCTTCACCCTTTGTGCCACTTCTTGCGCTTCCTTGGCCGTGCCGTCCCCGACCAGCCCGGACGAAGCGCCTTCGTGCAATCTTGTGCAAAGACGTCTCGCCATGGGCAGCCTGAATGTAGATGTTTCCGCCTGCGCCTCCATCTCCGCCGTTTGGTGGACCATCGGGCATGAAAGCTTCCCTCAAAAAGGACACGCACCCATTGCCACCTCGGCCAGCATATAGCGTTAGCTCAGCTTTGTCGGCGAACTTGGGGTTGGCATAGTCGTCTGGCGCAGGGTTCAGGCGTGACTCTGGAAGATCATTGATGACTTGGGTTGTCGAGGAGCATCGGTAATGGGTGATGCGCGAAGAGACGCGCGCCAGGTACAGTGAAGGGTACAGGAAAGGGGCGAGAGTTGCTGTGCCCGGTGGGCAGCGAGGAAGCATGGCTGGCAATGTCCAGGCGAAGATGCAGAACCGGCGCATTGCTTTCGATGGAGCTCCAGACTTTCCTGAGCAAGCGGTTTTAGCTTATCGATAAGCACCACAGCGTCGCGATCCTCAGGTCCTAGTCCATCGACCCGATGAGCTTACCCTGGATGACTGGCAACATCATCCTTACCCCTGCTCTCCTTTACTGGGCTCACGTCGTCCTGTGTGATACCTGGGTCGCTTTCATGATCCCCAAGCATTGAGAGATTGGCGATACTGGGACCGGCAAACCATTGATATGCGGCCAGCCGATGAACAGCATTGTTGGGGTTCAGTGCCACCAGACGTCTCGACAACTATTTGATCTTGTGATGCGACCAGATCTGTGAGATGGTAGGTAGCATTCCCAGCCCAACCACTGTCGGACATAGGAAGTCGCCAATCAGGCGAGCAAAAAGCACTGCACGATGCACATGCAGACGTATGTCTGCAAGTGCAGCTGTTCAACAAGCGGGCCCCCTTTCTGACGCGGTAAAATGCGGTGAACCAAGCATACCAGCCCAAGCCCAAGGAACCCACCTTGCATGTCTCTGAAGCGACTGGAGCGACCGGCGCAATGCCATGCTCACCGACGTGGCGCCACAGGACTGAGCGTCCAACGCTGTAGCCGGTTATTGGAGGCTGGAACTTTGGAATAGTCCATTTTCCTCCCCGGTCTCATAGTCGTCCGACTAGACACAAACGCCCACAAACATCTAATTATAATCACCTTTTGAGAAAGAGTTTGAATGTTGACGGTTCCGCCCGACTGTTGTTTGCTGTCCGACATCTGTCTGTAAGCGGAGCCAAACGTCGGGCCACCCGCCTCCTCACTCGCCTTCGTCGACGCTCGCTGCCGGCTTCCACAAGAACAACACTCCTCGCGCCATTGGGTTCGATTACATACCCTCCATTGGGCTAGCTTGCATACAATTCGGTGGCCCGCATTCGAGCCACGACATCTAGGGTGTCCGCCTAGGTTCTCTCATTCGATCCTTCTCCACGCAGCTCGACGTGCTTTTCCCCACGCTACTCCCGCTTGAGAGATCTTCAACTCGGTTCCTAGAGCCTCCCTCCGTGTCTCTGCCTTTTGTCTCCTCGTAACGCGACCTCTGCTTAGGTGGGCTTGCAGGATACATACGTCCTACTCTACCTTGCCTGGCGACGGAGCTCCAGTCAGTCAGTCCTCCTGGAACCTCTATCGGCATACGATTGTTACCACTACGCACGTCGGGCCCCTCGTCCAATCTGCTATCGTCCGTCTGCCGGGACCATCCCTCCATTCTCAGCTCAGCTACCGCTCTCTGTACCTGCTCTAAAGTCAGTTGATCTTCGTCTTCCACTAGCCCCCGCCCCCCCTCCCTTCTCCAACGTCTTCCCGTCTTGAATCTTGGTCTTTTCCCCTTCCTTCTGGCCTGCTGCTGCTGTCCGACCACCCATGGCCCTTCACGCGGTCTCTGATGGTCGACGTTTTGGGACGACGTGGGCACCTTTCACTAGCATTTCTACTCATGATTCCACTCGTTCCCGAACTAAAGCTAAGATGTATCTGAAGAGGCAGAAATCTCGGCGGACCATCATCAAAATGGATCCTGACTGTGCAATATGCCGAGCACCAGCCGAAGCCGCCTGCGACTGTGAGGCCAAGGGCCTCGAGGTGGCTGTCAAGCAAGCCGAAGAGAAAGTTATGCTCTCCATCTACGAAGACATACGGTATGCACGTTTATTCCAGCGGCCATGAATCACCGTCCACTGACGTTTTCAGCATATGGGTGCGAAGGCGCGCTCAGGATCACATTCTGGAGCATTTCCGTCAACTCACAGAGCAGCGGAAGAAGCAGCACCAAGACAGGCTCGCTCAGGTTCATGAACAGGCTTTTGCACGTTATGGCGCGCCCCCTCACCCGCGGACTTTGCAAGACGCCGAGATGGAGCTGAAACATGGCATTGATGGGGATTGGCGGTCGAGCGTGCACCGATACCCCGAAGTGCTGGAGCATTTCTTCAATCTAGTGGAGCTTTCGCTGCCGGCGGACGATGATCCTGCCGTGCGGAACCCTCCAACATCATCCGGCGCGGTCGTACCACGGGGCAAACCGCCCTCTAACCGGAGGAACAACAGCTACAAGAACGACTTTCATCACGAGCCACCCTACATGCCCGGTGTCGACACCGGACTGGGCCTTTATGCGCCTCCGCGAACACCGCCTCCGGAGAGGCAGCAGCGCCGCGGCCACGGAGGACGAAAGGACCGCGGGATGCGGTACTCGCAACCCCCACCACCACAGCATGCACCGTACGCGCCCTACCAGCGGGATCATGCTCCCTACATGGGCTAGGAACTCATCTGCTTGTGGGAGTTTTGCCACGACGACGACACGATAACGGCATGACACGGAGCATCATCTATTACGACTGCATTGGGAGGCGAATCAGAATACATGGTCACGAGTGTTCATAGAAGGGGGGCGGACCTTGTTCTACGGAGGATTAATGCGAGATGTTCGACTAGCAAGACTGGCAAATCGGTGTACGGCGTTTCTTACCATGGGACCTACTATTTATACAAAAATGTCATTACATAGATGAGTTCATCAGAGGCTTGGGGCTGAGCATGTCCGCACTGGGCGCTTCTGGCTACTTAGCTCAGAACCTTTTACAATTGCATCAATCATCATCGAGCCAAGTGAAGCCAAATTGGAAGAAAGAGTTGTGTTCATGTTGATTCCCATCAATTGCGATCCGTGTAAGGGTAGTTATACCCATAAGAATAATGACCGCCATTCCTGGCCTCCATGTGAAACGATGATAGTGAAGTCCGGTTGTGTAGGACTCTGTCCGATAGCCCCACAATTTTATATATCCCTGCGCCCCGAAACGAACTATAAGTTGGAAAAGGCACGGTTCGGTGAGTTGCGTGATGTCGGTAATAATTGGGAGGAGTTCGAGCGGACTGGTGGTACGGTGGCTGTGACTGAAGTGTCTTTACGACTCCTGCTTATCCTCGAGAGAGGTCTCCTTGACGCCTTCGGTGGCCTCGTCAACGCCGTTACCATTAGCGTCGGCCTTTTCGAGCTCCTCAATCTTCTTCTTGGCCTTTTCAATGTTCTGCTTCCCCATTAGCGATCAGTTAGTTGGGTGGAGAATTGGGGGGCGACTGACCTTTTGCGTCTGAGTCTCCTGGTCCGCCTTCCACTGGTCCAGCTTGGCGCGGACCTTCTTGGTGACCTCGGGGACGTCGGCCTGGCTCATGGGCGGGTCAATGCCCATGAAAGCGCAGTCCTCGACGACCGAAGGGGGGCAGTTGAAGCTCTTGGCAGAGGCGCCGCCAGCACCACCCTTCTTACCCTTCTTGCCCTTCTTCGCGGTGGGGGCGAAGAGGTCCTCCTCACGATCCTCCTTGCGGAGGAGCTTGGTTCCGGCAGGGGCGTCCTCGACTTTGCGGGTGGCCTGGGCCGTCAGGCCAGACTCAGCCATCAAGGGGCCCTTCTCCACCTTGTGCTCGGGGTCGAGGAAGAGGAGCAGGCTGTTGGCGCGACGAATCTCCTCCATGTAGGCTGGGTCGCTGGCCTCGGCGAGGACGGTCTCGGCCTCGGCCTTCTTGCGGTCCTGGAGGTACTTCTCCTGCTCGGCCTTGCGCCTCTCGCGCGCCTTGTCCTTCTGCTCGCGGTCATAGGCGTTGAAGGCCTTGCGCTGGGTGTGGTAGTCGTCCTTGATCTTGCGGATCGCGGCCCAGGTCTCCTGCTGCTCGGCATGGAGCTTGGTGCGCTCGTCGCGCAGCGAGTTGATGCTCTTGTACGCCTCGTCCTGCTCGGCCTTGATGGCGTCCAGCTCGGCCTGGATGGCATTGTACTTTTCCGACATGGCCTTTTGCTCGGGGTCGTCCATCGAGTCCTTGATCTCCTTGATCTTGGCGCGGGTCTCATCGATCTGGCGCTGCGCGTCGTCAAACTGGCCAAAGTTCTTGCGCACCTTACGGAGGTTGGAAATGTCCGCCAGCGCCTTCTTCTCGTCGACCAGGCGCATGGTTCCGCTGTTCACCTGCTTCTCGAGCGATGCAATCTCGCGATCGACGTCCTCGACCGACTTGTACGACACCTTGCCCTTGGCATTCTTCTGCTCCTGGATGCGGCTGCGCAGCTGCTCGTCGAGCTTCTTGATCTGGTCCAGCTTGCTCGTGCGGGCTTTCTTACCGCCAGCCTGCTTGGTGCGGATCTCGTTGGCCTGGGCGATGAGCTCCTTGCGGCGCTTCTGCGTGGGAGTCTCGGCGTCCTTCTTGGGCATGGCAATGTCGATCTTGGCCTTGATGGCATTCAGACGATCCATGGCCGCCTTGTGAGCCTTTTCAGCCGCGACGAGGGACTTGTTGTAGGCATCCTCGTCGGGCTTGGTGGGACGCTGCTGCTGCGTGGTGTCGGCCGCAGGGGCAGCGACGGGAGCTTCAGTGTCGGCCATTGTGACGAGAAAACGGGGTGGATGGGGGGGAGGAGGAAACCAGAAAGAACGAGCCGGCGAGACAAGGCGAGCGACGACGAAGGGGGAGAGCGGAGCGAAGAAGACGATAGCGATGCTACGACACCAGCGCGTGGAAGAATAATTGGGGTGAGGTGGCAGAAAAGGACTGCCTGTGCTCCTAGGCCAACAAAAAGTATCGTGAAATGGTCTCGCCCCGTGTTCTCAACGTCCAAATTGGGGCTAAGACGGTCCGTGCGGCCGGGCTCCGTACTGCACCACTTTTGGTCCCAAGGGTCTAGCATGGCAGTCCTTCAGGGGGTTCTTTCTGGCCCTGAGTGGCCCTGAGTGGCCCTGAGTGAGATTCAACTTCCAGGCGGGCAGCGCCTGCCAGGCTGGCCAGGCACCAGATGTTCCTCAATTTCTAGCGGTCCAGTCTAGTGCGTGTCCAGGTCCGTCCAACTGATGTCGACTCGAGTCCTAGCAAAGGTGGGGCGGCCGATAGTGGGGCCGTGCAAGCGCAACTCCAAAGTGCCATTCTGCCAGTGAGAAACAGATCACGTGCTAGAGAACCCAGCCTTTCTCAGCAAGTCCCGTGCAAGGCGCCGAAAGCTTTTGGGCTACCCGGCGGGTCTGAACCACATGCAATGGCTGCTTGAAGACCGACCCGCCAATTTTTTTGAACAACCATTCGCGATCGCCACGAGCAACGACATTCACGCACGCCTTTCGCCCTCCACGAGTCGACTTTCCTGCGGCATACACGACACTTGATTGAAAGACTCGGAATCATGGACGACTTTGGTGGTAACGATGCCAAGTCCAAGGAGGTCGTCCGCCTGTGGCGCGCGTGGAGGACGGTTCACGAGATGATTGCGGATCGCGTGCGTTGCCTCGACACTGACCATTGCTGGATCTATCTAACGCCCACACCAGGAGTATGAACTGTCCGAAGATGAAGTCAAAATCTCCCTCGATCGCTTCCGCGAGGAATACTGCTCCCCAGATGGCTCTGTCAAGTCAGTTTCCCTCCTAGCCAGTCCACGACAGGACCGAACTTCTTACCACAACCATGAGAGCATCAGGACTGACCATCATCACAGCCGCGCCAAACTCAACTTCTCCGCCCGTCCCAGCGAATCCATGATGCGCAAGTCCGTACCCGCGCCCACAGCCGCCAACCCGAACCCGGGCCCCGACTGCGGCCCCGTCTGGGTCGAGTTCCTCTCCGACAAGACCTTTGGTATCCAGCAGATCCGCGCGTTTGCAAAGTACATTATCACAAACAACTACAAGGCTGGCATCATGGTCTGCCACGTCGCGCTCTCGTCGGCGGCGCGCAAGTCGCTTGTCTCCGTGGAGAACATGGTGAAGATCGAGTGCTTCCTCGAGGACGACCTGCTCGTCAACATTACGCACCACGAGCTCGTGCCCAAGCACGTCGTCCTGAGTCGGGAGGAGAAGGCGGCGCTGTTGAAGCGGTACAGGCTCAAGGAGACGCAGCTACCCCGAATCCTCAGCAAGGATCCCGTGGCGCGGTATCTGGGGCTGCAGAGGAGTCAGGTTGTCAAAATTATCAGGACGAGTGAGACGGCAGGCCGATATGCAAGTTACCGTCTCTGTGTCTGAGGAGGGAGAAGCCGGCAGGCGTGTTTTCAGTTCGGGGGCAAGGTTAAGTTGGCGTTTAGGGATATTGCTTGGTTCATGCGTAAATCTGAGATCACTCGGAAATAGAAGGTCATCATCTATATTCAGGAATCTGCCGTCGTAACCGCAATCTTATAGTCCATGAAACACGCTCGGGCGCTGAGAGTGAATGTCATGCCAGCAGTTCCGGCCCTTACGAACTAGGTGTGCTCGCCACTTCAAGGGGACCCTTCGCAAGAAGTGACTGCATGATACAACTGTTTGTAAAAGTGTGTTTCAATTGTCCTAAGTCACAATGGACTTGCCTGTTCCTTCGGCTATGCTAACCTGATGCGCCATATCGCTGAAAAACTGCGCAACTGTGCTGGCTGCTTCTGAGTCCAAAGTGCATATATCCTCCCATCCTAGCTCCTCGCTGTTCTCCGCAAAGCACAGAGTATGTCTTGCTGTATCGCAGATCGTGCACAATGTAATTTGAATCCCATCGAATAAGTATATACATGTACCGATGAAGATCCCTCGTGGGCATTTGTGGCAAACATTTGGCGCCCGCGAGAAGAGGTATGATTAAACCTTGTGTGAAAAAAATGAAGCCTTTCCCAACGCCTGATCCTGGTATCATAATGCATGTTGTCAAGTGAAAATCGTAAATGGTTGATGAGAAGCTGTCATTGCAGCAGGCCGCCGAGGTCGTTCAGAATCGGATTTGGCTTGCCGTGCATGTTGTAGGTTTGTTCATGTCGCGATTGAGGAATTGTCTGCAGCTCTGTGCCATTCCTCGACTTGGGTCGCGTGGCATTGGATGTATGCGGAGTCAACAGACCACCCAAGTCCTGGAGCAGCGCGCTCGAGCCTCGTCGCAACCCCGAGGTGCCGGCTGGCAGAGCAGGCGAAGGCGCATGCGTGTGTAATGGATCGACGTTCGAGGAGTGGCTCTCACGACGATAGCTGCTGCTGCTCGTGCCCACAGAGTCCTCCAGCAAGCCGCCGACATCAAAGAATGAGACCCGCCTGTGTGTAGTCACTGACTCTCGCTTCGCGAGGTCGCGCGAGGAGATTAGGGATTCGTCGCTTCTCTCCGTGTTGCTGTTTTGTCGTTTAGGGAATTGCCAGGTTTCCATGTTGTTTCCTAGCGACCCTGCCACCGGCGCAGGCTGAGCCTCAGTGCCTTGGGGTGCATTCCGAAGTGCAGGGTCGAGTGTGATGCCGACATCGCGGACCAGGTCTTCGTCGCTGCCCCATTGGCGATGGAGTGTCGGCCGTCTCGCGCCGCTGGATCGGTCAAATGAGTCTGCCACGCTTGTCCTTCGAAATTTCTGCTTCTTGACGCCACGATCGCGCACAAAGGACCCCAGCACTAGGGCATTGGCAGCGGTGAAGGCGAACAAAATCTCAACGGAGGCGAGCAGTGACCGGTACTGTTGGCGGCCATGGCTCCACATGACGTGCGGCACGCGGTAGATGGTGACGCCGACAACGCCCAGGCTGAGGGAGAAGAGCAAAGTCAGTTGCATCTTGCGCTTGATCTTCATGTTGCTTTGCAAGATAATGGGAATCGGAAAGAAGACGAGTAGGAGATCGGTGAGGATGTTGCACACGGCTGTGGTGAGAAGCTGTACGTAGCCCTGGCGACATTGGCCCCCAGGATCGGGCGTGATCTGCCAGTAGTGGGTGAATGGTTGGCATTCCGACAATGTGCTAATGACAACGGCGATGAAGGTGATAATGAGCACCCATCGAATGACCACGAGTGCCTTTTGCGACGAGCGTTCCCATGTGACTCCAGTGAGCCGGCGGAAGAACTCGAGAATAGTGAATTTAAGAATCCACAGCCTATGGAATGTTAGTCGGCTCGACCAAGATGATAGGTGAATGTATTCCACATACGTCGCGGCATACAGAATGCGACTCAGAAGAACAAGACCACTAGCAATCTGCCGGTGTCGAATTTCTCCACTACTCATTGTGATGCCAGTGAAGTCCTCATTGTTGGTTCCGTGATATAGGATGTAGTGGACGCATCCCATGCGCATGAAGAGCGGCAGCAAGGCCAAAGACGCCATTCGATCCTCTCGGAACAACCGCTCTGTCCTGATGAAGCGACCCGTGACCCGCAGCAAGATGATGCAGGCGCACAACGAGGTCACCCACCAGCAGACGAGCAGGCTGGGCTTGACATAGCGAAAGTCGCGAGGGCCGGGAGGCTCCGAGTAGATCGTCATAGCGGCAGAGACGTCTTCCACGCTCGTCGACCTCCGCAGAGGACCCGACGAGCGAGGGTTATGTAGGATTGGAGGTCGCTTCGCAGATTGCGCCGTGCGTTTCTAGGCCAAGTATTCGTCGGGACAAGGCGACCCTGTGGTGTGGCGCCGAGACGCTCAAAGGGGCGTCTTGCGGTGAACTGGTTCGTAATGGAGAGCCGTGCGTGTTGCGAGGCATGGAAGTTGAAAGAGTCGTTGTGGCGAGAGGCGCATAACCTGGATTTCAGTTGAGAGAGGGACGGTGGAGATGGCACCGAGGGCCTGGGCGGCAAGTGGGCGCAATGGCGATGTGTCGGTTACTGGGTACGACAGCAGGCATTGATCGAGAGCGCAACGAGCGGCGGTCAGTATGTCGATGTACAAAACTGCTGGCGAGAGTTCCAAAGAGCGAGTTCATGTACGTGTCCGAGGCGAGACGCAGAGTGAAGATGACGGGGCGGCGAGTGAAGGAGACGGAGTGTGTGTAAGACGGGGACGAGTGGCTGCAACTGTCGGCACCAGCGGCGCAACCTTGAACCAGTGCACCACTGCACCTAGCCCGCCTATCTATCGGTGGGGTCTACAGCGGCTTGGACATGGAGCCACACGGCTTGGCACCCACACCTCACGCGCACACACACACCTGCGCAACGTAGGGTTGACCTTGCGTCAGGGCCCGTTGAGGTTCACATGGACGGAATGGCATGAAATAGGGAGACTGTCAATGTCTGATGCCGAAGATAGCCGATTGAAGACTCAATGCTCATAGAAAACCCAGTCGAAGATGTAGAGCATCCATCGTGGCCCGCGGGTATCGTGTGTTTGTACGGAGTAGAGCCATGTCTTGTGCGACAGGCATCTGGATTCCCTCTCCACGCTACTGGTCTAGGCCAGACATGTAGACGATCGGGACGCAGCGAACTCGCCTAATTACAGCAGTAGTGCCGACACTGCCTTGAATTCGAGGAGGCCAGCCCCAAACACTCTTAATATTACTGCATCTGCACGCGATCAGACTTACGTTGGTTGTCGACCCGAGACGGACTCGAGGGGACCCCCAGATAAGCAGCCAAGGTGGGGGGCCGAGGGAATCGCAGTCAACAAGTTCGGCGTGTCGTAGATCGCTGTGAGACAAAATTCACCATGTTCTGAAGCCTGACGAAAAATTCACTAACTGAATTCCGGACCTGTCTCGGCTTCGCCCACCGCACGAGGGCCTTTTAGCCATGGCTCGTCGATATCCCGCAATCCGCGGCAAGCACAGGGCCAGTGCACACGAGCAGATGCCAGGAATGCGTTATCAGCTGCCTTCGTTTCGAGTCTCGGCGTACCGTCCTGGCGGCCTGGAACCCACCATTGACCTGGTGTCGAGCAGGGACGACGCTGATTGGTGTCAGAATTACAGTTGGACAGGGATGTGGTAGCTGCCAGGAGCTGTAGAGACGTGGTCAAAGCTCTTGGATCGTGAAGATAAGGAGTGCAAAGTCCAGACTACGCACTGCAGGTCCACCAAATCTTCACGTGTTTCTTGAGTTCCAAATCGCTACCAGGGTAGGGGCGTATCTTGAACCCCGAATCGTTATCCATTGGAAGCCCATTGTCAAGGGTCGTCCCATCGCTCTAGCGCGCAGTCGCGAGCGAACTTTCGCATCGTCTTTCCCGTCACTTCAAGGGGTTTTCATTTGAACAAGAAGCGGCCGAATAGCGTCATGGTGATGATCCAGCAAGTGTAGGGCTAAGACGAGGTGTCAACTGAAACTGTCAAGGCGTTCCTAGGGGTCCATGCACTGGACCCCAGCATGCAGCGTGGCGGGGATCGTCGCTACGGCTGGCCAAAGTAATGCAACCGTGCAAGGCAGCATTTTTATCCGTAAGAAACGGACGGATATCATTGTGGGGTGTTTCTCTTGACGACCTAATTAGCTCCTATCGCACTTGGGCGGGAAGTCGGCTGATGAAGGTGAATGATGATAAGATCACAGAATCCAGGTGGCTGAGGTAACACGACAGTGGAACTCGGGACTGGATGCAGCCTGTTTTCCCCTGCACTACGTACCTAATCTTGCAACAAAAGCAGATGAGCGTTGAAGGTACGACCGCCACACGGTGACACTGGTAAGACCAGGTACCTTAATCAGCATCGCACTTCTCGTTAATTGCCCGCCCAACATCCTTTCACCAAGCAGGCCAAGCCACATCCCGCGTCGTTCCCTGTTGACCGAGCACCTTCTGTCGTTATTACTACCTGTAATGCCTCACCGCATCGCACGCAATCCGCGCTTAAGCATCCGTACGGACGACTAGTGCCGTTCTCAGACAGGCGCTTGCATTGCAGCTTCAGCCTCTGACCCTTTAACATATTACGATAGTTATTCGCGCATGCAGCAGGCTTTGTTTGACGCTGCATTCCGTAACGCAACGAGTCGTACGGACGTCACGCGACACCAGCTGGGCAGGCCAGGCAACGGTCTAAAAAAGGTGCTGGGTGGAGCGACAACGTCTGGGCACTCTGGGCAACTCGTGTAAGATAATAGGTAATAAGGTACAGAGATACTGTGCGAAGTAGAATACGGATACCCTACACCAATCACTATCAGCGATAAATTCATTCGCCGGCCGTGAGGGCCTGTCACCGCTTCACATCCTTCTCAAAGTCGAAAGACACAAGCTCTCCCCGGGAGCGGAACCGCCACTGCTAACGCAAATGCCTGTCACCGATGGGTGTCAGGATTGACTCGTCGCGAATGTGCATCCCACACATGTTGACTTGAGACTCCACGGCCGCGAGATGATCGGTTGTCGCGGGCGCTAAGCTTCACTCTTCCATGAAGCCTCCATAGCATGACTAGCGAAATCACACTAGCGTCCGCGAAACGTGGCTCTATACACCAATCGCGATGGAAAACTCCTGCCCGGTCAGCTCTCTGATGGCAGGCCGCTGAAATCAGGCGAATGGCATCGGGCGTCATGGTGTGCGCCGTCCTTCGTGGGCCTTGCCGTTCTGTGAAACACCATAGCCGGCCGATGTTCACTTGACACTCAGTGAAATGAATCTTATTATTAACATCAGCCAAAAGCCAAAAGGTCGAATGATTGTGCCCCCCACGGCCTATCTTGGTAAGAGGCATGATAGCCGCCATAACCTTGATCAACTTATCCATATTCAAGTATGCCAGTGTCAGTGTCAGCGGTCCAAATAAAGCTAATTCACTGTCCAAATACTTCGGCCCGACAATTTATTTACTGTCTCCTTCAAATCCCGGGGAATGGCTTTCCATCTCGTGCAGTGATTGGACACTCCGCACTGGTGCTTTCCTGGGGTATTGGGTTTTCGTTTGTCAACGCTTTGCTTAAGTCACCACACTTCGGGTTGAGAATCCGAAGATGCCCGGCGCCATCTGTTCGTAGCTTAAACTATTGGCCTCTAGCAGTCTCAAGGTTGTAAAGATGCGGTGACGGGGCCGATGTCTGACTAAGATCAACCGATATATTCCGGCTCTAGCGGCATCAGCTGCCGCCATTCCACTTGCCTGTAATAACGAGGATCAGGAAGAAAAAGTCGACCTGTGGAGCACAAACTGCCTCTCCCGTCGGTATAGCCCATCGTAGCCCCTTTCTTCAAGGTGCTCTTCAAACCCCTTTGCGTATCTCACCAATATGCTCTGCTAAATGGTCCTCCTCGTGCTATAACGGGAGCTAGTTTCTTTCGCAATAATCTCTCTCTGAAAACCATTGGAACTTTTATCCTGCTAATTGAGATGTAGATCCTGAACAAGTGATCGTATCTTCGTCTTATCCGCCGCTCCCCAATCGACACCTAGAACCTTGCTCTGTAAACCGTCATCTGTCTCCGTGTCGTCCCTCTCTACAACAAGACCCCAGATCTCATCTGCAACCATTGTCCTCACCTTGGGCCAGGGGTGAAACAGCAGCGCCCCTAGTCTCTTCCTCGCCTCTGAGACACCCGCGATGTTTTCGTCGCCAAGCCCAGCGATCCCGCCATACACACGTACGCATGCTTCAATTTTCCGGACGTTGCCCGTTTTGTATCCTGCCTTTTGTGTCTGCAAACACATAGACTTGAAGTTGATGTCCGTATCGACAAAGCCCACGTGAAGTAGGAAGGCGATGATTTCTAGGGTGGGCACGAGGACGCGGTCGTTGCCTTGATGAGTCCGGAGGTTCTGAATCAGTGCTCCGTAGATGAGGTCGAGATTAGAAGCAGACACGTTGGCAAAGGACGTCAGTGCCGCACGGCTGGCAATGACGAGTTCCTCGTTGCCGGTGTCGGCGGACGTCACAAAGCCTGCCATCAAGGCGGCCATCCATGTTGTCTCATCATCCTCCGCAAAGGAGGCTGCGAAGGGATGTAGGGAGGTGTTGTAGGCGAGGGCGAGAAGAATGTGGAAGTAGGCTTGAGATGAAAAGGTTAAGCTGTGTCGAAAATGGTCCGCAGAGCTTGAGGCATTGGTCAGTTGTGACTATAGCTAGGTGGTTGGAGACAATACTTACTGCCCTGACAACAGGAGTGCGAGAGCGCTTTGCGCCTCTGGCCGTATGCGGTCGAGTTTCTCGGCTGACAGACGCAGTACGCTGTGCAACAAGGTCTCGATAGACTCCTTTGACAGGCATGCAGCGTCTTGCCACAGGAAACAGACTGCCCGCAACGCTTGGACTCGAACATGTGAGCCCACATCTCCTCGCGCAGTCGTGGTGTAGTCGTTCAGCCCATCTTTCAGGATTCCCAGGAATGCGAGCGGCTTGTCTTGCAGGATGCGACTTTTAGTAAGCCCCTGAAGAATAGCTACCCGGGTCGCAACTTCGGTATCATCAGCCCATCGACTAGTCAGTGCTTCACAAACAACATCGGCATCTTGGCTTGAGATCAGAGGTTGCGTCAGGGCTAGCGTGTAGAAGTAAGCCTCGCCTTGTGCGGCAGTGCGGCTACTTGGCTTGTGACGGACTGACTTTGCCCACTCGTGGATGATAGCCTTTCGATTTGGAGGTGTTGAGAAGATGAGCAGGGTTAGGGCCGCCGAGGAAGCTGGCTCCATAGCTTCGGGTTCGGTTCGGGAGAGCCATATGGGCACGACTTGTTTGATAGTGTCCAAGATAGTTGATAGATCGGAGTCTGAGCCGCCATGCTCGTCTAACGCATTGGCCAAGGCCAGGTGGCCAGACTCTTTGGTGGACTTTAGCAACTGCGCCATAGTGTAGAGCGGCAGACTGCTTTCTTTCCCCAAGATGATGGACTGAAATAGCGGTGCCAGCGACACGACGACTTGACTGAGCCCTTCTGCGATGAGATCGGCGCGCCTGTGCGTGCTCTCCATGTAGCTTGTTAACATGGTCGTGACTATAGCCTGCATCTTTTCCCATGCAGAGGGGCTCATACCCCCTTTGCCAATGCGCGGATTACCTGCGCGGGCAGAGACTTTCGGGAACTGGTCGAGCAAGGCCGCATAACATATCAAGAGTCCATGGCGCTCCTCGACCTGCCTCGCTTCCAGTGTGGTGTATTTGTCCAAGAACAGCTGGAAACTGGCCTCATATCTCGGAAACGGGCCTTTGGCATCGTCCAAGGCTAATGCTGCTGTCAAGACGCCAAACGCGGCACCTGCGCTTCTTCTCGATGCAGCGTCGACGTCGCCAACCCCTCTCCAACCGAGCAAGGCGTTTAGGATAGCCTCGCCATACTGAGCACACAGTTTGGTCACACCGAGTGCTACCTCTTCCATGGCGCGCGAACGTCTGGCGACTGCGTGATAGTCCACCGTCTGGACGACCCATATTCCCTTTTCTACCGTATCTGGATGGCGTCCGATGAGCTCCTGCAGCGCAGCGGACGACCCCCTCCGGATATTCCCAGCCGGATCGATACACGCGGTCGTCACCAGTTCGGTGCCCATTGTTTGCAGGATCGAGGTTGATGTCCTTGTTGGGACGGCGAGAAGCTCAGCGGTGGTATAGCGTCTGGCGACGGCCCATATCCCGAAACACGCTGCATCGCGAACGTTAGCGCCAACACTCGTGCCCGAAGTGCCCCTTTGTTCGAACGCAAGCCCTAAGAGGAGAGACTGTATTATGTCGGGCAACTGTTCTGCTGGTGGTGATCGTCGATAGAGAAGATGTGATAGTGTCAGGATCAGCCCGTGCCACTCCAGCGAATCGACCGTCGCCAAGTCCCTGACATTGCCCTGGGCTGTCTTTTTCCAGAGAATGTTTTTGTTCAGGCTCTCCAGCACGGCCTCCACAACTTGACTGGCCATTTCCGGATCGAGCTTGAGCGTGATGACACTGAGAGCCTTGCTCGCCGCCAACCGCACGGGTGTGTCATTGTCCGCGAGACTTTCGAGAAGATATCCAATCGTCATTTCAGTGATTTCGTCTGCCACGCCGCCTAGCCTGTCCTGCCTCAGTGCAGAAACGACAAGGCATCTCATAATTTTGATGACCATTTTTTTAGCCAGAGCAAAACTAACGATTGCATTCCCTTCCTCAGTCGCAACACCGTGGACACGGGTGAATATGGCGCTGAGATGGCCATGCATAATACCCGTGTCCATGGTGGACTGCAGGATACCGCCTATGAAGGAGAGAATGCCGAGGTAGTAGTACGAGGTCTGCTCAGTGTCCGCTCTCAGCGATCCGAGGGCCCACTTGATGAGACTATCGAGCACACCGAGATCTTGCATATCCTGACGCATGGCGATCCTGACGAGAAGTGCTTTTGCGCCATCGCGTTCCTTTCCTGGCGAGGACAGGAACTTGATGCCCAGTGGCAGAAGGCGCAAGGTAATGCCCGGAAGGCCTTCGCGCAGTTCCAAGCCAGTAATGGCAGGCGCATCTTCCACATCGACGGATGAAATGGTAGAAAGGTCAAACGGCGCGAGGAGGAGATGAGACAGCCAGACAAGAACAATGTACCGCTCCTGCCATGCCCACGTACCCTTCCCTTCAGCATCCTCAATTGCTGACAGCAGGATTTCCAGGTATTTGGTTTCCACGTTCAAAAAATGTTTGATGACTTTTTCTCCGCGGATCTTGCAGAAGGTATATAGGATCAAGGCGATGGCTGAAGTGGTGGGGATGAAATGCTTTGCCTTTTCAGCAGACAGAGCAGGGCTCTTGTGGCGAGTCGTCCGTGCAGCAAGATATGTGTTGGCCAAGAAAGGGATCCATTTGGGGAGATGAGGATCAAGAAGCTGCGGCAACTCCTGGAAGGGATCCAAGTACTATTGCTCCAATTGTCAACCTATATTCCACCTTCCACTGCACAGGAGCATGGAGATACTAACATATAGGGTCGCGTTGTACACATCACGGCTTTTGACCCGAGATCTCACTCTTCGTTCGCCCCCATTTTGCGAGGCCGGCTTATGTAGCACGTCGAGGAAGGAGTTGAAGTCGGCTAGGAGATCGGATGAGATCTTCTGTAGTTTGATGTCGAAATCCGCCTCTGGGGCATCCATGATGCTGGTAAATCCCGATGAATTGGTTGCAGGCTGTGTCAAGGCTTAATTCAAGGCTTGAGTGTAAGACAAAAGCCGTCGAGCCCGAGGTTTGGCTGCCTAGTATGACGGACTGTGAGCTGAAGCAGAGAGCTGGAGAGTGAGGCCCGGCGATGATTGTGGGTTGCTCGAGCTTCCACTGTGCGGATCATCGACACTGTGTGTGATGCACTGTATGCGCTACGAGACAGGCGCATCACCTGCGCCTGCTCATACTTTGTTGAAACTTGAAACCGCCATCATCTCAAGGGACATGACAACAAACAAGGCAAAGGACTGCTTCTCGTGCCGCAATGTGATCGATAAACATATCTGTTGCGGCTGATGCAGCTAGCCATGGGTTTCCTTCAGCTCGCCCGGCCATGGGCCGTTGGCCGTCAGCATCAAATGCACAATGCCATAGCACTGAGCCGTCGCCATCTGCGGCGCAGCGTTGCATGCAGCCTTCCCATCAGCCTGCCAGGCAATTGGAAGACTTGCTGACCCCTCATCGATCAAAAAGCCGCCCTGCCCCCAAGTTTCTGTTTTCACTATGGTTCTATGCGTAGCTACCGGCTGGATCATACGCGGCCACGGAAGCACTTGGCGTCGTCGCGAACGTTATCGCGGTCGTGGACTTGTCCGCCAAGATCGCAGAGCGGTGTTGTCAACACTCAAAAGACGTCCTGGACGCCAAATATGACATTGCTCGGATAAAAAGAGAGGTTGGCAGCCTCTCCGATGTCGCAAAGGGCGTCAGAGAGCTTCTCAGTGGGCCAGACGGGGAAAGACTGAAAGCATCCAGGCAGCTCTCTGAAGCTGCTCAAGAGTCCGAGACACTGCTACGGGGGCTAGACGACAAACTTCGCCCAAAACCAGCGCGCCAGGCAATGCGTCGACTCGGGGTCCGTGCTCTCAAGTGGCCATTCGAAAGCAAGGAGGCACAGAAGACTCTCGGGAAGAGGAACACAACTCAAACTGTCTCCCAAATACTCGAGTCGAGCTCCTGCAACGGATCTCAGAATGGGCTGATGATTCGAGCGCTGAAGCAGTCTTTTGGCTCAACGGCATGGCGGGGACCGGCAAGTCTACCATATCGCGGACTGTGGCCCTGTCTCTGGCAAAGGAGAAACGCCTCGGCGCCAGCTTCTTCTTCAAAAGGGGTGAGGCTGATCGGGGAAACATGGCAAAGTTCTTCCCGACGATTGCTGCCGACCTTGTAAGGGGCGAACCGGCCATCGCTCGTTGCCTCAAGGGCGTCATTGAACGTGAACCTGCAATCTTCCGAAAAGCAATGCGAGAGCAGTTCGATAAGCTTTTCCTAGAACCGCTGTCAATCACGCCAAGAAAGCAGTCCCTAGTGGTTGTTGTCGATGCACTAGATGAGTGCGAGCAGGAGAATGATGTCAAACTCATGATCCGTCTTTTCTCCCAAGCCAGTTCCCTCCAGTCGGTGCAGGTTAAGGTCTTTTTGACGAGCCGGCCGGAACTGCCCATTCGTCTTGGTTTCAAGGTTGTTGAAGGCAAGTACCAGGACCTGACAATCCATAATATACCAAGTACTGTGGTGGAACATGATATATCTGTGTTTCTACAGCACGAGCTGGCAAGTATACGAGGCGAATTCAACACGTCCGTCCAGGAATACCGACGACTGGCCGCCGACTGGCCCGGTCAGTCCAATATTCAATCTCTTGTGCAGATGACCAGTCCGCCTTTTATTTTTGCCGCCACGGTATGTCGCTTCGTCAATGATCGGCGATGCGGAAATCCCAAGGAGCAGCTGGGCGAGGTGCTCCTCTTCCGCACGAAAAGCCAGGCTTCACAATTGGACGCAACATACATGCCCGTGCTCAACAAGCTGATTGACGGGGTAAATACGAAGCAATGTGACCAGATTTTCCAACATTTTCGAGACATTATCGGCTCTATCATCATTCTCGCCAAACCCTTGTCGACAGCCGCCCTCGGACAGATCCTGCGTATCCCTGTAAGTACCGTCGACGATAGGCTGGACTTGCTACATTCTGTCTTAAGCATCCCATCGTTCTCGGGGGCACCTGTGAGACTTCTCCATCTGTCTTTTCGAGATTTCCTGTTGGACCCCGAGAAGCGAGAGAAGAATCAATTCTGGGTAAGCGAGAAGCTGGCCCATGATGCAATGACGGCCAATTGTCTACGTGTGATGGAATGTCTGAAGCAAGATATCTGCCAAATCGAGGCGCCGGGGACCGATAGATCGGACATTGATCCTCTGACGGTAGATAAATGTCTTCCATCCGAGGTTCAGTACGCTTGTGTGTATCGGGTCTATCACGTCCAAGGCGCAAGCAATCACCACAGTGACTGCGAACGAGTTTACGCCTTCCTGAAACAAGATTTCACCCACTGGCTGGAATCTTTGAGTCTCCTGAGAAAGGCTTGGGAGAGCGTCCATCTGGTCAAAGACTTGCAGGCTCTATACAAGGTCCGTGAAATGGGACGAGATAACCGGAACATAAACAGGCTGACAGGTCTGGAATCATGGTCACAAACAACTCTCCGGATTCCTCGACGACGCCGAGCGCTTCATCCTCGCAAATACTGCAATTATCGACTCTAACCCACTTGAGATATATTCGTCTCTCCTCATGTTCTCACCGAGGAACGGACAAATATCCACCACGTTCAAGCACGAGATCCCGCCATGGATATCGTTATTGCCACAGGTCGAAACTCAATGGGGCTCATGCCTTCTAACACTTCAGGGCCACAAAGACTGGGTTAACTCAGTTGCATTCTCGCATGATTCGGCGTTTGTGGCTTCAGGCTCCGGCGATTGCTACATACGGATCTGGTGCGCGGACACGGGCGAGTGCATTCAAACGTCCAAGTGTCATGAGCATGCAATCATTTTAGTTACCTTCTCGCGTGATTCGGCGGTGGTTAACTATGCCTGTGCAGACGGCACAGGACGATCCTGGCGGCGTGAAACAGGCGACTATTCTCTGATATACATGAACACAGATTACGATCTGTCTGTACAGATATGGCCGCTGGCCTTTTCGCATGACTCAGCGCCTGTGTCTATGGAAACTTTTCATGGGGACATACTACTTTGGGACGTCGACGCGATTGAGGTCTTTCAGACGCTTGAATGCCCTCATAATCACGTCGTATCTGCCGCTTTTTCGTACGACTCGGCGCTCCTAGCCTCGAACTTTGAAGGTTATACGATGTGTATCTGGCGCATTGATACGGGCGAGTGTGTGCATAGACTGGAGCTCCTCGCCATTCCGGGTGTCGGATCGGTTACGTTCTCATATGGCTCTACGCTTGTAGCCTCAGGCTATTCTGATCATGAGTTAAAGATCTGGCGCGCTGATACAGGCGTGTGTGTAAAAACAATTAGGGGTGCCAGACTGGATCCTACTCAACTTGTTTTCTCACTCGACGGCGCGCTCATAGTTTGGAACTCTGTGCACGATGAGGTGCTGATCTGGCACATTGATACTGGCGAGTGCGTCGAGATACTCGGAGGCCATGCGGGCCCCGCGACATCAGTCACCATTTCGCGCGATTCAATGCTTGTAGCTACAGGCTCATCGGATCGCACGATCCGGATCTGGCGCATCGGTGCGAACAGCTAAGCGTTTGAGGACGGCAATCCCGTGATCCACGAGCTGTCCTTCTCAGATAATTCGGCACTTGTTGCTTCCAAGTTCTCAAAGACGGCGACACGAGTCTGGCGTGCCGACACGGGCGAGCACATTCAAACCCTAGGGGGCATGTTCTGCTGCTTCTCGCCAGACTCGACGCTTATAGCTACAGAACTGGACCAGAAGGGAATGGGAGTTTGGCATATTGATACGGGCGAATGCGTCCAAATGCTAGCATACATGTGCAGCAAAGAGATCCGAGTAGCCGCGTTCTCGCCCGATTCGGCACTCCTAGTCTTGTCCTTTCATGACAAGGTCCCAGAAATCTGGCATGTTCATACGGGCAAACGCATTCAGGCACTGACGTCGAAGCACCAGTACAGTGTGTGGGCCCAGAGTCAAACAGCCGCGTTCTCAAAGAACGCGGCACTGCTAGCTCTTGCCACTGGAAGGAGGATACAAATCTTCCACACGGAAACGGGCAACGTCGCTCAGACACTTGACTCCACATTGGCTACTGGCAGGGTTGCGTCCATTGCCTTTTCACACGACTCGGAGATTATAGCGTCGAGTTTCTCCGACGGAAGGTTTTGGATCTGGCGCGTGAGTACGGGCCGCTGCGTACAGACCCTCAACATCGGGTTTACCTCCCATCATCTATCATTTGAACCCGGAACCGCACGTTTGCAGACTGACCACGGTGATTTCGCCATAAGAGCAGCGAGTCCCGAGTGGCTTGCCGCTGAGCCACTAGCTGATGCTGTGCCCGCTCCAGCTCTTCGGCCCTTGCGCAAAGCCGACATAGGACGCTGGATTACGTGGAACGGGCACAGGTTTGTTTCCGTGCCAATTAGCACTGGAGTCTACACCTCAGCAGTATCAAGGAATACCCTTGCGATGGGGTGTTGGTCGGGAAGGGTGATGATCATCAGAATTGCGCCTGAGGATGTCCCAAAGGGCTTGGCTTGCTCTGATGACTTCGATTTTCTCTAGTTTTTTTTCCTTCTATAGAGATGTCAGTCCCCGTCTGATGCGTGAATAGATCGAATATGTCGATCTTGATGGAAACTATGATACTGTACTGCGAGGATGCGCAGACAAAGTCCCTCTGCGCCATCGGCACCCTCACAGACGTGCGAGAAGAAGGAACATCGAGCTGTTCCCGTTTTGTGCATGGCGGCCAATATATCCCTGCTTTAGACAGGCGTTGCACTGATTGTGGCCAATTGACATGCTGTACGGCATCCATCTCCTCAAATTTGCGGACTCGGTAGCATCACAGGAAGCTAAGAGCTCTTGAAGCAGAGGCTGCTGGTTTGTTGCTTCAGCGAGAGCGCTACCTGTCAATAGTCTCGGGACTACTAACCATAGCGAGTATCTTGGGACGAGAGAGACGGGGATCGTGACTTTTGAATGGGAGAAGAGCTTCATGATTGAGAGTTGGTAATTCTGTTTCACCATCTAGATCGGTGCGTCTGTTCTGCATCGCTCTGCTCGAATTAGTCTCGGGCTCTCGAGGTTCGTTTTGATCTAACGTGTAGTATTCTACCAAGGCGAACTTACTCACCAAGGATCCCGAGATAGGAAAAGTCACCGATGTCCGCGCCGTGTTTGACAAGGAGACGAAGAAGCCCAAGACATATATCTCCTGGGTTGGTATAGGGGACTCCAAGAAAGTGGAGGCGTCAATATTGTACAACTTGCACGATTGAGTCTTCCTCAGATTTATACGCCGACGGCGGCGGCCACACACGTGGCTAGTACAGTTGGACCCCCATTCGCCTTGATCAACCCCGGCAATTCGGACCCCTGGTCCCCCAAGACCCTGAGAGACGCTCATGGATCGACAGACAGTGGAGGAATTATGTCGATGCGAATGATCGACATAAGCTCAAGTTTTATCAGATAGGAGCGTTTGCGTTGAGTTTCAGAGCCGGTCATGCGGGACTGACCATAATATGATGGCGGCCGCGGAGAGAAGTTGACTCTGTCTATTGATGCCGACCGGTTGAGCTGTGCTGTTGCGATTCTGTAAAACAAGGTCAACTAGATGCATGTTATCTAAATAGTGCCGATCAGTCGTTGAACCAGTGAACAATTGAAAGACACATCTTCTTCGTCTGTAATCTTGTGATCTGATGCATCTCACTCACCCTGGGCAAGGTGCCCATCTGCTGTGCGTCGGAGCCCTGAAGTTCCAGACGTCAAAGTCAAACACTGTGAACAAGTACGTGCAAGCACAAAGCTTGATAGGTCACATCGCGCAATCTCACACCTAGAGGCAGTAAAAAGGTGCATCGACGCCCAGCCTCGCTTGCGTTCAGAACTTGGGAAGGCACGTGGGCATTGAACCGACCAAAGGCAGGAACGGTCGCTGTGGCTGATGCTAAATTGAAGCTAGTGAGGCGAGGTGGCGTCCACTAACAAAAGGCCGCGGCCTAGCGGCTACAATGGTTGATAGACACACCCCTACCTTTCGTCTGCCTATATGTATAACTTAAAGCTGCCCACCCTACTAAGTCATGGCCTACATCCTGAACAGGCGCATGTTTACATATTCAGGACAAGACCGACTTCAAAGTGGACAGACTACTGATAAATATCGAGGAGAAAGGTAGGTCCTTATCCCAGCCATCAATAGGTTCAAGGATCAGGTTATCTGAAAAGCTCACGACATTTACCTAGGCTCACAAGCAGCACAAGTTTGCTAATTATGATGGCAATAATCCATGAACGTATATTCATATTTGTACTTTACATAACCTTAAGCTTGCGTCGACACAGCTGTCTTGGTCGTCGTCTCCATCAGAGGCTTGATGGGCTCGTCCTCGCCATCCTCCTTCATCCCGCCGAGAATCATCGACTTGGGCGCCATGGCCTGCCACATCTCCGGGTCCGTAAAGGCCTTGAACTTCTGGTCGTGCCACTGCCCCGCGGTGATGGCGCGGCCCTCCGAGTCGATGAACATGGTGTCGTCCTCTGCGCGCAGAAAGTAGGCAATGGAGTAGCGGTGCTCGGTGGGGTCAAAGGGGACGACGCGGTGGATGCAGCTCTGGAACTTCATGCCTGACGCGAAGCGCAGCGAGTCGCCGACGTGGACAAAGGCGCAGCCGGGTTTGGGCGCGACGAAGCCCATCTCGCGGGCGCCGCAGGTGCCGGGGGGACGGACCTGGAGACCCCACTGCTCGCTGAAGAGGAGGGTCAGGGTGCTGATGTCTGTGTGCTTCTGGTGGCCGATGCGCTCGGGACCAGTTTCCTCGTGAGGCAGATAGTGCATCATAGAGAGCTCGAGTGGTGTCAGCGTAGATTTGTGCAGGGAAGGCTTCTCAGAGACTCACCGTAGTCGTGGATGGGCGCTCGTTGCGGTGCTGGTTCTCAAAACGGCCGGCGCCCTGCAAGAAGAGACCGTCCGACAGGCAAGACAGCATGACCTTCGTGATGGTGTTGCAGCTGCCAATGGTGTTCTCCAGGATCCGAAGGTCACCGCTGGCCTTGACGGCGGCGGGAATCTTGGGGCTGTCGCGCTGAATCTCGTCACGAGACACCTTGAGCATCTCGTAGCCGTCCTTGGTGCCGGCAGCAACGCCAGTGCGACTGCCCACAGGCTCGTAGCCGAGGTGGGAGGAGATCAGGCCAAACTCATTCTTGGCCTCAATGGGCTCAGCGAAAAAGCGCTCCATGAGCCTCAGTGTCTCCTGCTGGTCGGCCAGCATGCGGCGGCCGTCAATGCCCTGCAGGTCGAGGTAGAAATAGCCCTCGTCCGTGCAAGCGCTGACCAGCTTGTCAATCTCCGAGGGATCGTGGGAGAGCAGACGACCGTAGTCGATGGTCTGCATGCTCCAGACGGGCACCTTTTTGCCCATCCAGTCGACGGTCTGCGGGGGATCAAGTTGAGGAGCCATGGTGACTTTGGATCAGAAGTATACACGGAGGTGATCAGGGGAGAAAGGATCACTGTGAGAGAACGAGGAAGTCCATGGCTATATACCGAGGTACTATTACGGCGGATGCTCTTTGCAGCATCGTTCCGGGATGAACAGCTACCAGATAAGGATAAGAAGGTCTTGGAACGCTTGCGCGTCAGTGGACCCAAGATCTTTTGCTATTCAGCCACCCGGCAAGCGTGCATGAGGGATAGGTCCTCTGAAGCAGAGAGTCGAGACTGGAGATGACAAGGTGAAGAGGGGGTTGGTGGAGAAGACGAGGGACGAGGATGCACGTGGTGTACAGGTACGTACGTAACCCAACCCCGCTCCATCAGGGGTCTACCCCCCTTTTTTGAGCTTGATAACAAATCAGTTCCTGTTTACATGATGGCGATTAAGATATCCGACAGCACTATATGGACTTTGCCGTGGTTTTGTCTCCTTGATCGACTGGGCGACCGATCGTGGGTTTGTCCCAGCGTCTCGACTTTCAATTTCCAAGTGAAAGCCCACCCCTGGGGCCTGGGCTGCTTGTACTGATGTTGACCCAATCGGAACAAAGGGCCCCCTTTTGGCCAACATCTCGTTTATCAAGTAAAAGACTAGTCTGCAGCATGGTCTCGTTGCTCACATGTCGTCCCAGTGCATCTGCCTGTCAGGGGAGGAGTAGATATGCCGTCGCTACTCCATGTCCACTTGACTATCATGTCCCCTCTCTGCAACCACGTATCGTCCACGAAATGAACCGGGCCAGGCTCTGTCGCTATCCGATCAATGCTACCAGACACGCAAGAGAGTTTAATGTCTTCCTCACCCCGTTACTTTGGAAGAAGCCGCCATTCTTTTCATCTACCCCTGCGCTGCTTTGCTGTGCTGTAACGTGAGCGTTCCACCAACATCTCTGGCGATACCTCGCTGAGACTAGTACAACACGAGACATCTGACCTCGATGCTCTGCCGCGATTCATAATCTTGGTACGCCGGGTCCTCAAACGCAGAGTGCAGCGCGCGTCTTGCAACCTTCTCCTCCGAGTCGAAGCACTTGATGAGCAACACGTCCTGCGGCGTCATGCCAAACTTGTAGTACCACCGATGCGAAGGGTTGTGACGCACAACCCACGACTCCCCCATGAAACCGTCCTCTGTCATTTCCGCCCCGACCAGATCCACATCAGGCACGGAGGTAGAGTCCGCCACGGCAATGGGATCCTTGAGGATGGTGCGGATCGGCCGCCAGACGTTGATGATCTGATAACGCTTCCTCAGGAGAGCATCGGCCTCGGCGGGGAACTCCCAGCGCAGACGTCGTTCGGCACCCTCATACGACTGATCGACATGCGTCCGCGTGACGGGCCCTCGGTTGGCGAGGTTCTGCAGGCCCAGGTAGTGCCATTGCGTCGGTCCGCGACGGACTTTGTGGTTGAAGATGTGCACTTTCCTCGCCCCGGTTACTGACTTGATGAGCTGTTCGCATTCGGGGTAGTAGGCGGCCTTGATGCGCTCGTCGTCTGTGAACATGTCTTCGCAGCTTGCGTGCTCGCACCACTGGAATCCGTGACTGTTTAGAGTGTACTGGACCTCATCGCCGCTGACGTCGGATATCGTGAATTCATGCTCCTTGTGAGGTCGCTTGTTGGTGATGTGACCTTTGCCGATGAAAATGGGCGTGGGCTTGGAGCCGTCCCCTGGGTCGTCCCAGTATTTGAGCTTTGAGGCCACATGGTGTTTCTTGACAGTCATTGTGTATTTGGGGTACAGGAAACTCGACGAACTACAGTAGATTGACCGGGTGCGAAGAAGATGACGAAGCTTCCAGCTTCCAAGCCTCCAAGGCACGACGACACGAAGACGGAGCTTGATCAGGCTATTGGGAGCGCTAGCCCCAGGGGGGCATGTCGCAATTGTTCAGGGGTCCTGACTAGGGGCGCCACGGGAACTTTTCAATGCCTTGGCGCTCTGCCCCTCCAGTTCCCCAATTTACCACCCCACATGCCAATTATTGCTCCGATCAACCTCGTCAGCTTCATACTCACACCATTTTGTCAATATCATGGACGAAGAGGCTGATGGCTTCGTCCTCGTGCCACGGCATTTCGAAGACGACAATTGTCCATCCTACCTGTCGGACATTGAGCAAGTCGTCCTCCACCTAGACGACCTCTCATGGACCCTCAGCTGCTACCTCCACGATAATCCCGAGCTTGGCTTCGCCGAGCACAAGGCCCACGATGCCTTGACCAAGTTCATGGGTTCCCACGCGGGCTGGAAGGTCACATCTTCAGCCTATGGCATGGAGACAGCCTGGGTCGCTGAATACGACACAGGCAGGCCTGGGCCTGTCATCGCGTTCAACGCAGAAATGGGTAGGCGCCTTTGGAAACCCATGTGAGACGGCAAGGTCACTTATTCGAAATGAAAAAAAAAAAGATGCGCTCCCGAATCTTGGCCATGCGTGCGGCCACAATCTCATCGCCGTCGCTTCGGTGACAGCAGGTATCGCGACCGCAGAGACTCTACAAAAGCACAAAATTGGCGGCAAGATCCTCGTCATAGGGACACCAGCGGAAGAAGGAGGCGGTGGCGGCAAGATCAAATGCCTCGAGGCTGGGGCGTACGATAATGTCGACGTGGCCATCATCTCGCACCCGGGGATCCTGAACAATAGCCCCGCGGTGAGAACCACTGCGTACACACACCTCGATGTTTCGTACCGAGGCCGCGCCGCTCATGCCGCCAACAGCCCCTGGAGTGGCATCAACGCGCTGGACGCTCTAATTGTGGCGTACAATGCTGTCTCGGTGCTTCGGCAACAGACGCACCCTGACGACATTATTGGCCTACAGATCACTGACGGCGGGAATAGGCCAAACGTGATTCACGCGCACGCTGCTGGTGTTGCTGTTCTCCGAGCTACGAGTTCGCGTCGTTTGCAAGAGCTTCGACGCAGAGTCGTGGCGTGTTTTCAAGCTGGCGCTGAGGCCACTGGTGCCCAAGTCCACATTGAAGAGACGCTGGGGTACAAGGACCACGTCCCGAATCGTGTGCTGGCAACATCCTACGCAAGATACTGGAGAGCGATGCCAAACGCCCCTGATCCGCCGCTGCCGCCTCCTGGACAGTATACCTTGGTCAAGGCTAGCACAGACCAGGGGAACCTGAGCTACGCGCTGCCGAGTATGAATGTCAGCTTTGCCATTCCTCCAGGCGAGAAGGGCGGACAGCCGCACAGTCCCGATTTTCAAAAGGCGTCTCGCACCCGAGACGCTTTTCAGCGGGCTATGAGGGTTGCCAAGGCGATAGCAGGGACCGCGGTGGATGTATGTGCGAAGCCTGGACTGCTCGCGGATGTGCAGGCGCAATGGAGACTTGATATGGCTTCAATGGCAGGTCAAGAGGAGCCTCATGGGAAAGCTGCGTCCATGGCATAGGTTTACCTGGTTTCTCGACTACGTAGGGCCGTTTCCAGACCAAGCTTGAGTAAATATTGGATAAAACCCTGTGACGTTAGTAAAAGTGATCATAGATGGTCACTTTTCAGTAAGACTGCTTCCATACAACCTGAAGGACTGACTACATTGCGAAGGATATCTACGAGTCACCAAGTGGCAAAGGCACCGGCGGCCGGCGCCTGGACCCCGAGGAAGCACCATGTCCGGGTCGATATGTCTAGTCCGACATGCGGTATTGGAGCATAGCGTCTCAAAGAGCCTTCTACACAGGGGTTGGAATCGTGGAATCTGGATATTCAGCTCAGTCCTCGGTTATCGGCACGCCCCTAACGGCCCGCCCAGGCACCGCCCGCTGGCGCAGCCGGTGCTGGCAAAGGCTCAATCAGAGTGGCGCGTTTGCGTGGCGTCACACCCTCCATGTCTCCAGACTTCCAGAGTTCAGCGACCGCCCACGTGCACGTTTCTCTCCCACTGCGTCTGCGTCCACCTCTCCTAGCAGTTGTTGCCCTCAATAACCCGCAGGGCTGGTGGTCCCCAGAGACTAACAAAGGCCTGATGTACCTTTCGGCGCGTCTCACGCGGCCAAGGTACTTACGCTTGGCGTGACGCCCACCCTTGCCCGTGCACATCACGCTCGTCACTCGTGTGATGATCTCAGATCTTCGTTCAGCCGCGGAGGGCCGCTGCCGCCTGCATGCTCAGCTCAGCTCCGGCGGCGGCGGCGTCGTTCTCTCGCTGAGTGATTCGCACTTCTGATCCTCTCCTTTGCTTGCTCATGCGCACAAGTCTCACTCGAACGAACCTGACAGCCTAGACGAGGATAGACGAGTCACGGCGATAATACAGCTTACATGCACACAGAGCGCCTCGAAACCTCGAGACCGAAACCCCGCGGACTTGTTTGGCCTTATTCCGCGACAGCGCGACCACACCCTGAGTTCAATCGACAGAGAGAGGGGGACAACCAGACAATCGCCACCTGGCAACAAAAGACGACACCAGTCGAGCTGCCATTTTGGAGGCCAAGATGATGGAAGAGGTCGACGACCTTGTCTTAACATCCTTTCGGGACATTGTTGACAAGGCTAGAACAGCGCTGCTCAATGCTAGCGAGGAGAACCCCGTTATGCTCAAGGCCGCTCAGGCGCTGCTCAAGGAGGGTGAGCGAGCCATCAGGAGGATCGAACCGCAGTGTCGTAGACACCTCGACGACTACGGCTCGAGCTTCATCGCCGCCCTCAAGGACAACGATGAGATTGCCACGTTCCGAGCGCAGCTGACCGACCTGCTGTGGGAGTTTGAGGATTATGTCGAGCTAGACGACTTTGACGCTGACAAGTTCACCGAGCTGCAAATGCTCTCACGCAAAGCTGCTCCGAGAATCTCCGATGCCCTTCTGCGGATGAAGATCGAAGCGCCCACCAGCGACGCCGCCTCTTCGCGAGGGTCCATTGCCCAGTTACCGACGCCGACGTCGCCACACGCCGCACTCATGCACGGATTCACAAGCCAGCCCCATCGGGGGTCCGCAGGGAGCTCCATGGCTGACAGTAACGATGCCAGCAGCCTGCTCCGAGGACTCATGCTCTCACCCACGGGTCACGATAGCATCCACAATGCGGCGCGGGAGCAGCCGAGGCCAACGTCAGCAACCCATTCGGACTGGAATGCCAAGGCAGGGGACGATGGTGGATGTCCCATCGAGTCACCCGTTGACGGAAGAGCCGAGCAGAATGAATCGCCGGTTCTGCCAAAGTCTACTCTCGAAGATGATCCAAATGGCAAGTTTACTGTGGTGTTGCCACCTCCTGTCAGCGCAACCGGAGGCGGGTTCCCAGCTCAGCAAATCTACGAGATGGAGGATCGCCGTTCAAGCACCATCAGTGCGCATGGTCACCACCAGCACCATCACTCGCCTCACCCGCAACGTCGGCAGCCGACATTGCCAAACTGCGCAATCCCAGAGCACGAGGTGACCTCGGCACAACCCGGCTCGATCCCGTTCTTCCAGCCCTCACAGCCCTTTTCGCCCACGTCGCAGCACTCCCGACAGCACTCGTTCCCCTTATCCGAGCAGTCAGACGAGCCCCCACGGCCTGACCTGTCCAGCCTTCCCTCCCATGGTGATCCGCGCGCCCGCGGCAACTCCTTTAACTCCAGTATCGGCGCCAGCCCCCTGCAGCCACCGACACCCACCATCCCAGGCGCCCAGCCTATAGTGCAGCCCTCCGCCGAGATGATCGCCATGATGGGAAGCGCGCCCATCCCCGTTGAGACGGAGATACCGGCCAAACCGTCCATCGATGGATCGGGCAAGCTCAAGGGGGCCAAGATCGACGAGGCGAGCTCGTTCCTCTTGGCCAAGGGCTTCTGTGAAGGGGCAAAGGAAGTCATTCGCGGAGGCATTGGGGTCAAGAGGACGAAGAAACCGGTAGCTATTCGTGCCCTGGTTGGGAAGAACTGCAGCGCTGACACTGATATAGGGGTTCGCGACCGCGGCCACTGTAGCGCGGTGTCTTGCCTGTCTGTATGAGCTTGACTTTGCCGAGATTGAGACCGACGTAAACGGAGAGGGTAAGACGACGCGATCCCTCGGGAGACGAGGCAATACTGACAGTAGCCGCAGACAAGGGCAATTTTCAACGCAACGGTATCAATTTCCGCGTACGTTTCCTCCAGAAGAGCCACGTCTCGACGAAACGTGTAGACGACGTGCAATACGCATGTATGTTTTGTGTTCAGGCAGGGCGCACCATCCACGACAGCGACGCCACCGTCTTCTTCAACCAGAAAGCTCTCTTTGAGCACCTTGCGCGCCATCCGCGGCCTCTGCCGGAAGTACCAGGCGTGACGGTCATTGAGGGCAGCTCCTTGCCCGAAAAGTACCGCAACGACTACGACATTCACTTCAAGCAACCCACACGGCCACATCCCGTGATTGAGCGGGCGGACGAGTTGATCTATCGCCCGTCTGCCGTTTCACTCGACCAGGCACGGAGGATGTACGGACAGCGTCTTCTGTACGATCGCTCGCCTGCCCTCGAACTCGCACAAGGCGCGCGGATCAGTGGTCTTACCTGGCCCTCGAAGTACAACGGCGAGTGGGCATTTGGATGGCACGACGCGCACTATGCGTCGGTGCCCACGCTACTCCTCAAGCTGGACGCCCCGTCGACGAGCGAGATTCGATATGAACGATCGAGTATCATCCGCGCCAAGGCGAGGTGGCGGTTTTCCGTCAAGGAGAAGGAGAAGAATGCCGACTGGCTCAAGTTCGACAAGGGCGACATCATTACGAATATTTCGTGTACGTGTGCGTCTTTTTCGCAAAGGGGGCTTACTGACCTGTTCATGTAGACGTCGATTTCGAGCACTGGTGCTGGACGGGCACCAACGCCAAGGGCAAGTCGGGCATCTTCCCCAAGGATTTTCTCGACCCGGCCACCATATCCGAGCCCACAAGCACGGCGACGGCCAACCGTGCAGGATCGCTCAGCGAGGAAAAGGCGCGGTCCGCGTCGTCGATGCTGTCCAAGTTTTCGATTCGCAAGAACATGGGCCGGCCAACCAGTATATCTGGTTGATCAGATGTCGCGTGTTTCTAGTCTCATACTATACATGCGTGGTAGGTACGTAGGAACCCTTGGAATTTGCTTCTCGTGGGGAGGCGAGCAGATCTGGCGTCTTGTGTTTTTGAGGGATACCCCTGATTCCAGTGCGCGCGCATGCTTCGTTTCATAGACATTCGTTTCTTGTTCAATTGATTTGGCGTGATCCTTATCACGCCAAAAGTGCATATGGGACGTTTGTCTATGAGCCAGTCAAGCTTGGTTGCTTATGATTAGTGCACTGTTGGGAATTGGGGGGCAGCAACATGTAGATCCCTGAGCACGCACGCATGCTCATGCTATGGGGTCGTTAGGGAGACTGTTCGCAGCGGTTGGTTTTCATCAAAGGAGGCACTTTTGTATCAATCACAGGACTGACTCGCACCATCCTCCTCCTCGGTCGAAGTCATACCAGACCAGGCACGGCGTTTACACATATTCTCCGAGTCCGCACGTCAGTGGGGAACATTGCACATAACTAGCGGATTCCTCAAGATTTCTTCGTCCTTTTGGTTCTGGCAAGCACTCGGTAGCTTGATCGCAGTTGGCCCGCACCGAGACAAACCATTGACGAGCCATCGCCAAAGCCCGTTACGACGCCCGACGGATACATCAGACAGCCAATTAAGCATGCTCAGAGTAAGGACAATATTATCCCATCCGTGACTCAACATGCCCGTCACGAAAGACTCGCCATCTGAGGCATCAGTTCTCGACAGCAATGCCATGGTCCCACCAGGATCGACTGCAGAAGGCGGCCCAGTATCAACACCACAAGACCGAAAATGGTCCATCCACTCGCCATGGGCAAAAAGAGGCATTGTGCTATGCTCGGCCATGACCGCCTTCTTCTCCCCCTTTTCGTCGCAGATCTACCTCCCCGCCATGACATCCATAGCCAGCGACCTCGACCTCTCCATCTCCCAGGTCAACTTGACCGTCACCACCTACATCGTCACCCAGGCCATTCTTCCCATGTTCGTGGGGCCCCTGGCAGATACCTTTGGCCGACGTCCTGCGTACCTCGTCTGTGGTCTCATCTTCATCGCCGCCAACATGGGACTCGCCGAGGCACCGAATTACGCTGCGCTTCTGGTTCTCCGGAGTCTCCAGTCGGCTGGGTCCAGTCCCACGGTCACGCTCTGTGGTGCTGTCATTGCGGATGTGGCTACGTCCGCCGAGCGAGGGACGTATGCTAGCATTACTGGTATTCCGACTGTTCTCGGTCCGGCGCTGGGACCGGTGGTGGGAGGCCTCGTGTCGCAGAATTTGGGATGGCGCTGGATCTTCTGGGTGTTGACCATATTGGCTGGGGTCAGCCTATTGATCATCTTATTGTTCCTCCCCGAGACGTGTCGCGCCCTTGTCGATGATGGGTCAGTGGCGCCACAGAAGTTGTCTAGGACGGCATGGCAATGGGCGGCAGAAAGACGAGGAACCGGCAACAGCTACACAGAACATCCGCAACAGCGCGAGGAGAGGACAAAAAAACCTGTCATGGCTAGTATACTCGGCAACTTTGCCATGTTGTGGGAGAAGGAGACGGGCCTGCTACTGGGCAGCGGATGCCTGCTGTTTGCCGCGTACACGGGTCTCACAACGGCCTTGGCGACGAACTTTGCGCAAGCGTACGACTTGAGTCCCACAGACACTGGGCTCATGTATCTGCCCATGGTTGCAGGCACTCTGTTGGGTGCCGTCCTCGCGGGGCCCATGATGACCTGGAACTACAAGCGTCAGTGCGCTCGCCAGGGCGTTCCCTACGATCGTTCGCGGCAGATTGATCTCTTGGGGTTTCCGATTGAGAGGGTGCGTCTCGAGATTGGGATTCCCTTTCTCGCAACGAGTGGTGTCGCCATCATGGCATGGGGCTGGGCGGTGCAGAGCAGGGTGCACCTAGCAGCGCCTTGTAGCATCAGTGCCGTCGTGGGTCTCGGGATGACAGTCTTCAACAACACGATATGGGCGCTGCTGATGGACATTCACACGGCTAGGGCTGGGACAGCGACAGCGGGAGCGAATCTTGGACGAGGACTGGTGAGCGCAGCCACTGCGGCGTTTATTGCACCTGCCATTGATGGACTGGGAATGGGTTGGACATTTACCGTTCTCGCTATCCCTTATGCAGTCGTGGTTCCCGTCATGTGGTATGTCATGGCGAATGGCATGCGATGGAGGGCTCAGCAGGTCCAAGTGGTGGAAGGCCACGCTCTGTCTGCGAAGTGAGAATATGATGAAGCGTACTGGGCGATGCCTCTGTTTCGCACGCGATGAGGCATCGTCCATTCACATTTGCCGTGCTCATAATCTCAGCCCTGGCCGTGGTCCTCATCGTCTCCCTGCTACGGAGAGGGTGACTTTGGCAGGGAGACTGGCTACGTGTATGTACTCTCGAACATGTGCATCTTGGGTGCATCGGGCACGCGCCTTTGCAAGATTGGTCCCCGAAATGGGAGATGAGAATCCAGCTGAGATCGGCCATATGTGAGCTGGCATATGATAAAGGACAATCAAGTTGCGTTGCAGAACAAATTGGCAAGACAGGCTGGCGCACACATCACGAAGAAGGCATGAACTTTACTTTGAGAGCTTCAAAGCTGCCGCCACCTTTGACCTATAGCGGTCTTCATGAGATGACTGACCATGATAAGAAGAATTTGGGCCCTGTTGGCTCGGGCACGGTGACTTGTTCGAGCTGAAACGCACAGGGGACGATTGGCTGGGGTTGGCGTTTCGATGCTTGGCATCCCAAGGGCGGTTGCGCGTGTGGAAGTGCCGAGTCTGCATTGTGCAAGCCAACTCTTTTAGTCGCTGGAAGGTCACTGCATCTCATCGGTACGAAGTTGTGAGCAGAGAAACTTGTTGTGTCAAGCGAATTCAACATGATGAGAGTTATTCGAGTACAAAATAAGATTGCTGGAAATCAGTATGTACAAGGACTGTAGGTCCGTGAGGGTTAGGCGGCAGTCAGACCTGGAACATTGTAGTTGCCAGGCCAAGAGTCTTCCCAAACGATCATCAACCTTGCAAGTCCGGGATTCCATCAGCAATGAGAAAAGAATATGCTCGAGTTCTGTGAAAATCAAGCAGGCACACCGTGTACAGGGTATGCATATTTGTTCCCCGGTTAAGTTAGCCCTTCAAATCCAGAAGCCCTCGAGGCGTTGTTTACTTTCTCGCCCACCCACCACATACAACGCATGAACTCGCCCGGTCACCGAAAAAGCGATGCAGTCTATATCGCGGTGGCTACCGTCTTCTCTTTTCCTCTGACGCAACCCCCTTCGCGACCATTTATGATCCCCCGCCAACATGCACTACCCAGCCAAGACCGCCAACAGGTGGCGGCGGCAGCTCTGAATGCCCAGCCCCATCCTGAAACGCCTCGTCTGCCCTATCGACAAGCGCGCAACCACCTCAGGTCGCGCCCCTTACCGCCGCGCTGGCGCCGCACACGGACGTGGCAGCCGCTCTGGGCGCAAGCTCTCCCCTTTGCCACGTCTTGGACGATGCTTGGCTCTCTGGCCGACACGAAGGCTGAGCCACTCCAACGACTGGGCTACCTCAACCTCCGACGTGGGACATGGCTCGCAAGATGAGCAAGGAGGCTCGCTGGGCCCGGCCCGCGCCTGGTGTCTTTGTCGGCAGCTTCTGTGATGATGAAGCGCCTGGATATATTACCTAGTATCCTCGCCGTTGGCCCAGATGTTGACCATAGAAGTACAGTCGCTCGTTTTGTTTGCCTCTTCTACTACTTGCCCACGGGCTCAACCGACACTCGTTACTACATACACACTGTTCAGCGCCAACGCTACAGGCACAGATACTGGGGGTTAATCATGCACACTTCTTACTATTGGGCGGCGATGCCCCTCTTGGCTGCCTCAGCAGCTGGCGCAGACACAAAGGAATATGTTGGCAACGCCGTGAGCGCCATTCAAACACTCAACGACGAATGGTACAATCTACGCACCGGCATATGGGACAACGCATGGTGGAATTCGGCCAACATGCTCACCACGCTCGCCGACTTTGCGACCCTCCGTCTCGACGAGGCCAATGAGCTGAACGTCGGCGGCTACATGCGCAACACCTTTATCCAAGCGCAGAGCGAAAACGTCCAGACAGTCAAGCAACTCTCCGACGCGGGCATGGTCACGTCGTCATATTGCATCGACGACGACGTCAAATGCACGACGAAGAGGCACTTTCTTGGGAAGCGTGGCTTTGACGACTTTATCAACGAGTTCTACGACGACGAGGGATGGTGGGCTCTCGCCATGATCAGGTCCTGGGACGCGACTGGTGATCAGGAGTATCTGGACTCCGCCGTGACCATTTTCGAGGACATGCAGACGGGTCTCGGGGGACCCTGCAACGGCGGCATCTTCTGGAACAAGGACCGCAAGTACGTCAACGCCATTTCCAACGAGCTCTACCTCTCGGTCGCCGCGTCACTGGCCAACCGCGTGCCCAACCGCGACTATTACCTCGCCATCGCAAGGGACCAGTGGGCCTGGTTTCGGGACAGCGGCATGATCAACAAGGACAATCTCATCAACGACGGGCTCGACGGCAAGTGCAAGAACAATGGGATGCAGACTTGGTCTTATAACCAGGGCGTCATCCTCGGTGGTCTGACAGAGCTGTACCGCGCGACGGGGAACAAGGACCTCCTCCGCAAGGCGCACACCATTGCCAAAGCAGCGATCAAGAAGCTCGCCAATGACGAAGGCATCCTCGTCGAGACGGACAAGTGCGAGAAGCGCAACGGCCACTGTGGTCGTGATGGGCAGTCGTTCAAGGGCATCTTTGTGCGCAACCTGCGCTATCTGCACGACATGGCGCCCGACGACGAGTTCAAGGAGTTTATTGTCAAGAACGCCGATGCCATATGGGCGCAGAACCGCAACAAGCAGGGCATGCTGGGCGTCGCGTGGACGGGGCCATTCATCAAGGCGACGGGCATGTCGCAGGGCGCGGCGCTCGATGTGCTCGTCGCGGCGATTGGCGTGTCTGATTGAGGGTGATTGAGAAAAGACTATTGGTTTTGGGACACTTTAGAAAGCGAAGGGAGTTTTTTTGGATCGGGATCCATAGATGGGGGTTTTGCAGACCAGAAGGGGGTCATAATTATAGAGCCACACACTTGATACCACGAATCGACAAAGTTGACTGACCACCCTGCAACAATGGCTGTTCTATGCCAAACGGATGACTGCGGGCTAGATATCGATTACGACGGCCCGACTTCGCACTTTGCCCGTGTTCCCATGCATCTGCGCCGCATTCACCATCAGCCCGCCCCTGTTACTGCCCGGTCCGCCCATGAGCCACTTCCACGCCACGCTCTCGAGGCCGAGGTACAAGACCGTCGCAACGTCCCACCACAGGTCGCAGGGAAAACACTCCCTCAGCCAGCCTCGCTTGGGCCGCGCCATGAGTCTCTCGTAGGCCGTCTGCAGGTCGTCGTAGTACGCTGGTGACGAACCATAGCCAAAGTGGACGTGGCCAAAGATGTGCAGTCTAGGACGAACGCGATACAGTTCACGCAGGAGATTTGTGTCGCCGAGGGCGAGATCGTGGTGGTGTTTAGGCGGAGAGTGGGTGATGAGGATATCCGTCTCGGGGGGGATCTTGCTGAGCCACGGGTGCTCGTCCGGCTGGTATTGGAAGCTGGGACCGCGGGTCAGATCATGTGACACAACAATGGACGTCTTTGTACTTACGCGAATTCAGGAGGTCCGATGTTGGGGATATCTGGGACCCCAAAGATATGAACCTTCCGCCCCCTGATTTCCTGCACCGTTATCTGGCTCTCGAGGTACACCACGCCGTCCAGATCGACCTGGGCCCCGGACTTGACATCTTCGTCCCGCCTCGACTTGGGATCAAACCAAGAGTCGTGGTTGCCCGCAACGACAACCTTGACGGCGTGTGGTTGGCGCTTGAGCCAGTCGATTTGCTTCTGGATATCCCGCACGGTGCCCTCGTTTGTCAGGTCGCCCGCGTGCACCAGGATGTCGCCCGGGGGAATGTGAACGAATTGGTCGTGGGTGTCCGAGATGGCGACGACGCGGATCTTGGGGCGGGCTGGGTGGAAAGGGTGACCTCGTAGGAGGAGCACGACTTGGTAGAACAGACTTGTGAGGTAGGTCAATGGCGAGAGAAGAAGGGAGTCGAGAAGGGTGGGTGGCTGCCATTGGTCGCGCCTGCGCAGACCGAGGCATTGGAGAAGACCCATTGCACCGAAGGTAGGTTGTCTGATGAGGTTGAGTGTCACTGGCGATGATGGCCCATGTCTGCAAGGTGTAGGTAGTGAGTGAGACGAAGCTGGTGAGACAATCAGGCGTAAAGTGAAGACCCACTGACATCATCCAACGGTATTGCTGCAGGTGCAGGGTAAGTGGACTGTGACGGCAACTCGTGCACCCGAGTTGCAGGCTTCTTCCAACAACCTTTGACTTATCCCCGATTCACATCAATGCTTTTAGCGCAATCTGATCCCCAGAAGTGAGAGGGGGTTCAAGATGCTGCGACATGGAGCTCGTCGAGAATGAAGATGAGCACCCTTCATGGACAAAAGGAAAACACGAGTCAACTTGCCTTGACGCCCCGGCCATCGACCTCACAATGCGAAGCGCGTGAAGCTGTCGCAATCACTCACTCGAGTCCTTTACACCCTCATATTTACCCAATGTTATACAATGTCTTACCCGATAGAGTTTCGGGAAGACGAGAAGCGACGCACTGTACAGCCCATCAACCTCTCCAATGCGTCGACTCAAGCCCAGTCGCCATTTCTCTCAAAGCTTCCTCTTGGAGTCCGGCGCGTCATTTACAGTCAGCTATGGTCCCTCAACGGTCTGGAGCAGCATATTTTCGCCGAAACGGTGTGGGACGACGAACTGATGACTCAGGGACCACATCTGCCGCCGGGGGACAGCATACCAACAATGTCCGAGAGCTGGAATAGCGAGGGCCAAGGGGATGAATTTCACCTGAATTCTCAAAGCGATGAGAAGTCCCGAGAAGCGAGTATATTAGACGCAGACGCACTTGAGGATATCGACAGGGAAGATGACAGTGCCAGCCACACAGACGGGAGTCTGATCGATGCCAACATTGAGAACGGCTCCGACCACGACATAGACGACTATTTTGCACACCACCCTGACAGTTCTCCCTACATCTCACCGGCCCACAGCATGGCCGACTCATCGCGCACCCCCTCTGTCAGAGCCACCTGCTTCCCTTCTCCGTCCTCGCCTCTGCCCACGCAGGTGGGCCACATCCGCCGCATACGCTGCACAACCGACTACGCCCTTCCAGACATATCCTTACCCAGTCATTCATCAGCACTGTTTGGCAAGACGGCCGAGCATCTTTGGCGCCATGACTCATCCTTCGTCGACGGGACGGAGCCCGTCTGGGAGGAGACGTGCTACTGGTGCAAGGCAGCGTACGAATGCTTATTTGACAGATACGGCGATCCAGATCCTCCCCAGGAACGTTCCGATTTCATGGCGATGCTCCTCGTCTGCAAGAGCATGTACGGCGAAGTGCTGCCAAGTATCATGGAAGACGTACGATGGAGCTTCACCAAACCCTGTCATCTTTCCGAATTCCTCAAAATGCAGTTTCCCATGATACATCTCATCCGGCGGATCATTGCGCTCTGGGATATCAGGCACTCATTCAACCCCCAGCTCGCCAAGTGGCAGGCGAGTCTTCCACGGCTGGCCGCGATGGAGAATCTGAGGGAGCTAGAGATGTGGATGGATTACAGCCGGGCGTGGTTCAATGACGAGGAGCGTCTTGAGATGGAGGATCCCCGACGGGCCAGAATATGGGCTATGGCGCCCGAAAACGTGCATCTGCGCGTGACATATCCGAAGAGGGTGGCGGAAAGCTATTCGCACGAGCCCGAGGACGCAGCGCCATATCTGGTTAGGTTTGTGAGAGGGACAGGCGGTTGGGCCAGCACCCAAGAAGCGCAAAGCGATGTAGATATATAGAGGGTTGCTTCAACACATGCGGACAGTGTACTTTGGTTTCTCCCGATCCAGGTGTAGGTCGTAGTGTCCTACACAAAACAGTAACACGCAGCACACTGCCCGGGGAAGACACCTTCTTTGAATCTTTTATTTATGTCAGATTATCCCCTGAAGATGAAACACGATCATGAACTAAGTAAAGGGAGAAGAACATGAACGACTTATGCGATACATTACGTGAATTTATTGCTGGCCTCTTGAAGTTCGAGGCATACTAGCTCCAGGGTAAGGCGAACTAGGGAGTAGTTAGGGCCACTGACATCATCCCGCTTCGCCGACCCCTAAATCTACCCTTTGACAGTGGGTCTATGCAAATGTGCGCCAGGCACCTTTAGATCTGTATGAAGAAGCAGATATATAAAATCATGGGATGCGCTTGAATTTTGGGATGGCAACATGAACAAGTTCAGTTCTGTCACTCGACTGTTCGAAATTGTCAGTTTGTCAAGTGCAACGGGAATTCCACTCTTGTCTGCTAATAAACTGCGAATGATCGGCTGCACGCGCGCACTAACTCAGCGCTAGCAGCTACAGCTACAGCTACAAGCTGCGGCGACGTGCTGGAGCTTCAGCTGGCTTTGGCATGTGCGGGTGGTGGTGACGTCTTTTGTGGTGATGCCCGTCGTCAAGCAAGCAAGCAAGCGAGCAAGCGAGCAGGTTGGCAGGCAAACAAGCTTTCCCTGACCTCGATCTAGTTCACAAACTTCCCGTGCCCTCTTCCTAATCACTGCCTCCCTTTCAATTGTCTTGCCTCATTCTCAATCGTCGTCTAGACCCAGATAAAGGCAAACAGAAAATGTCCACGCTCAAGGGCCTGTATGGCAAACGCGACGATGGCGGGGTCGAATCCAACTACGGGTGCGTCCAGTGTCTCTTCATCATGCCAGCCTACCATTGCTGCTGCGAATCCAAAAGAATTGATACGCTGACGATGAGAAACCCATCACAGAGTAGACTATATCGTCCACCACAAGATCCCAGCGGCGGAGCGCGAGGCTGCCGAGGCCGCCTTCATCCAGCTCATCACCGCCCTCACAAAGGTTGGTCTCGCCACAGAGGTCCGCCATGGTGATGGCACAGACCTCCTCGTCTTTGTCAAGATTGCCTCGCCAGAGTACCTAGCGAAGCACATCTACCGCGCTCGTCTGCAGGATTGGCTCCAGGGCGTGCGCTCAGACAGCCCTAACAAGGACATCTCGCAGGCGCTCGAGGACGAGCCCGTCACCGAGGCGGAGCGATCGCGGCTCGTCTACCTGATCCTCACAAAGCCTACGGAAGACGGCGGTGCAGGCATCACGCCGGGCAATGGCAGCTGGAAGTACGTGGCAAGCATCTTTCCCCTGCACAACCACGCCTTCAACAAGGCCTGGATCCAGAAGTGGAGTCGCAAGTACCTCCTGGACCAAACCGACCTGGACGAGATTCGCAACAAGTTTGGCGAGGATGTGGCCTTTTACTTTGCCTTTACGCAGTCATACTTCCGCTTTCTCATCTTTCCCTCGGCGGTAGGCCTCACGGCCTGGTTGTTCTTTGGTCAATTTTCCAAGGTATATGCGCTCCTGAGCTGCCTCTGGTCCGTCGTCTTCTTTGAGTACTGGAAGAAGAAGGAGCAGGATCTCGCCGTCTCCTGGGGCGTCCGCGGCGTATCCAACATTCAGCGTCCCCGACCAGAGTTTGAATGGGACTACGAGAGGGAGGACGCTGTGACGGGCGAAAAGGTCAAGGTCTACGACCCCATGAAGAGACTCAAAACGCAGCTGCTGCAGGTCCCCTTTGCACTGGCCTGCGTCGCTATCCTCGGTGGTCTGGTCGTGACCTGTAACTCGCTCGAGGTCTTCATCAACGAGGTCTACACCGGCCCCGGCAAGCAATTTCTGCCCTTTCTACCCACTGGCATCCTATGCACAATGACGCCACTCTTATCCGGGTTCTTGATGAAGGCGGCTGAGACTCTCACGACGTGGGAGAACTATGAGAATGTGGACGGTAAGCTCTCCAGTTTCTTTCCACACATTCGTGCCTTTTCGCTGACTTGACAGCCTACAACGCGGCTCTCGTCCAGAAGCAGTTCGTCCTCAACTTCATGACCTCCTACATGGCCCTCCTCTTCACGACATTTGTGTACATCCCCTTTGGCCACATCCTCGTGCCCTTCCTCAACTTCTGGCAAGCCACTGCGGAGACCCTCACATTCTCCGAGAAGCCCCTGCCCACAAAGACGTTTGAGATCAACCCCGCCCGCATCAGTAGCCAGATGTTCTACTTCACCGTCACCGCGCAGATTGTCAACTTTGCCACCGAGGTCGTGGTGCCCTACGTCAAGCGCCAGGCCGCCGACAAGGCAAAGGAGTTTCAGCAAAAGGACAAGCCCAAGGTGCAGGATCACCCCGAGGAGGCAGAGTTTCTACAGCGGGTGCGCCAAGAGTGTGGTCTCGAAACGTACGATGTCAGCGGCGACTACCGCGAGATGGTCATCCAGTATGGCTACCTGGCGCTCTTCTCCGTGGCCTGGCCCCTGGCTTCCACCTGCTTCCTCATCAACAACTGGTTCGAGCTACGCTCCGACGCCGTCAAGATCGCCATCAGCAGTCGACGACCCATCCCCTGGCGCGCCGACTCCATCGGCCCCTGGATGACAGCCTTGGGCTTCCTCAGCTGGCTCGGCAGCGTCACCTCGTCCGCCATTGTCTTCCTCTGCAGCGGCTCCCAGGACGGCGCGCGCGGCACCACCTCGCACATCACCCTCGCCGGCGCCCTGGGCAGCGTTATGTTTGCTGAACACTTCTACTTTGTCGTCCAGCTGGTCGTGCGCCACGTCATGTCCAGACTCGAGTCGCCCGGCGTGCAGCAGGAGCGCAAGGAGCGCTACATGATGAAGAAGCGTATGCTCGAGGAGACGCTGGGGCAGACCGTCGAGGAGAAGGACGCCATTCCTGGACTGCAAGGTGGTGAGGAGATTACGCGCGGGGCTTTGGAGGAGGAGGCACGGAAACAATCGACACATGGCCACGGGACACCCGAGGAAGCGTATGTTCTGCATTTGCCTGTCTTTGCTACTACGAGTGCTAATAGTCCTAGTTTCTGGCAGCGCCAGCGTGGCATGAACGAGACGATCACCATGGGCCGCAGAATGATTGAGCAGGTGAGTTATCCTCCATGTCTGGTTGTGACATGCGCTGACGAGAAAAACAGTCGGTTCAGGGGAAGGGCAAGTCTCAGCAGCAGGCACCCAGGCCCCAGGCCCAGAAGGAGCTGTGAACGAAATTTTGATGGATACCACTCAAGGTTACGGCAGCTGCGGAAGAGAAAAGGATCGAGATGGGGATCTTACGTGTCATACGGGTCGTCCTACTGCACGTGGAACTTGCAAGGCTTCATCGGCACTGGTCAGCATACGAGACAACAAGGATCCGCTGATATTTTCCGCTATGGGAAACTGTTCTATGAGAGGTAGTTCATTGCCCCAGACTTCAGCGCAAGAGTGAATTGAGGAGGACAGGCGGCCGAAGACTCTTCCAAGTTACCTAGTGCGCTGTGTAAATAACACCTGGCCAAAGTTCAAGATTTGGAAGTAGCGAAGCTGTAATGGTGTTTACCTTGTTTGGGTAGGTAGGGTACACCATGACTTGGTACAAAACTCAAAAAAGAATGCAATCGCGATCTATCCTATGTGCGTCCACTGTTGACCAGAATAATAACCAAAGTCATTGAACACTCAATATCATTAACTGTCCATACCTCAATAACATTAACTCTCCATGTCTATGACAGAGAAAATAAAAAACGCCATCTATCTATGCATGCATGCGTGGGTATCCCAAACCAAACCAAATCGCTTGTATCAATCTTTACAGCCAAAGGCGTCGTGCCCTCAGATCACCATCATTATTCCCATGGCCACGACACCCCAGACCATCATGCTTCCAGGCCCCTTCCTCTCCACGCTTCCCGCGACAAACGGAATCGTCCCGTTGCCACTGGGCAGCGCGGCACCAGTGATCATGGGCGGTGGCGACAGCAGACTCTCGTCCACCGCCGCAGGCGTGGCCGTCTTCTGCGCTGCAAGGCTCGCTGCGCACACGGTGACTGTCGACGTGTACGAGACGTCCGCTAGCCGTCCGCCCATGGCAGGGGGCTGGGGGATCACTTCTTCCGCGATCTTGCCGTAGATGCTGAGCAGGGTCTCACCGCCGCAGATCTGCGTGGCGTTGCCGGCGCAGGGCGCCCCGCAGAGCGAAGGGTCCGAGGTGGAGCGGGTCTCGGCGTCGAGAGACGCGGCGCAGAGACACGTGCGGCCACAGGAGAGACCGGCGTACTTGGCACCAACGCACTTGCTCACGCAGTGCTCAATGGTCATGTCGTCCGACTCCTCGGCGACTTTAAAGGTGGAAAAGGAGGATGTGGAGTCGAAGCAGCCCATGGAGGCGTGGTTGTCCACCTCGGCAGGGTTGGCGACAGCGGCGACGGGGGTGTTGGCATCAAAGGTTGCCTGGGCCGGGAGCGGCGTCGCCGATTCACCACCGACAGTGACAAAGGTGGTCGAAAAGCTGGTCATGGTCGTGGTGGTCGTGGGCTCCGGGGTCGCGGCGGCCTCGTCCCAGGTGTAGGCCTTTATGTACTTGACGTCCCAGTAGGCGTTGGCAAAGGCCTGGGGGTTGTTGGCCACGTACGAGGAGCAGGTGGGCGCGTGGTCGCTGCAGGTGGCGTCCCAGTTGCCATCGCCGTAGTCGCCGCAGAAGTTGATGTTGATGACGATGCTCATGTCGGTGAAGTAGCCGTCGACGTCGCAGCGCGAGCCGCCAAAGACGGCCTGGGGCAGCACCCAGGAGGAAGGATCCGGGTTGCCGGCGTCAATGTCGGCGGGAACCTCGTCGCGGGCAAAGTGCCACACGCGGATAAACTCATCGTCCCACTGCATGGCGTAGACACCGCCGCCTACCGCGTTGAAGCTGTCGCCATAGGTGTGCATGGCGCTGTCAGGGGGGTTGAAGCCGCACCCAATGTTCTGATCGCCGACGAAGCAATCGTCGTTTCGCTGTTCGCCAGAGAAGGCAGGTGTGGAGCTGGATCCGGTGGGATCGAGAACGCAGCCGGGGCCGGTGTGTGCAGAGATAATGTTGTTGTGCGCCGTGTTGGCGCCTTCGATGATGTCGAGCTCGCCGCCCGCCGGCCAGTTCTCTCCATAGGTCCAGAATGCCGGCCACAGTCCACACTGGGAAGGGGGCATATGTTCAAAATCGGCGATGTAAAGTCCATGATTGAAGGCTTCCTTGCTTTCGAGGCGGATGCTTGGTCGTCCCTCATCCTCGCCAAAGACGTTCGTGCTGTCAACGCCCAGGCGGACAACGTTGGTGTCGGTGTTCAATGAAACAATGGACTGCGCCTCTGCGTCATCGCGAGATTGGTAACTGTATCCTCATGTCAATAAGCTGTGCAGGAAAAACCATTGAATGGTAGGAGGGATGGTGAAAGGGGGGAGAGAGGGAAGTTGGGAGGGAGGACGTACGCAACGTAACCATTGGATGGGTCAGTGCCGTTGAACCAGTCGAACCCCGAGAGAAGGGACTCGCCCACATAGGATGTCGCAAGTGTGTAAGCCATAGTGATGATAGATCTTCTTGTTCTTTGTTCCTTGTGAAGAAGCTGAAGATGCTGATGCTGACGATCTCCAAATGGCTGCCACAACTGGAAGACGTCGTTGCCTTTTATCCTCGTCTTCCACAGCCAGTCCTGTGCAGGAATTCTTCGCCAGCCTTACGGTCCATGCCCAAGAACGCGCCCCAACCACGAGCCTACCCATCGGCCACGCGGTATTGAGTGCCCAGAGGCGAGAAATAGAAGCTATCGCATTCCAGAAGATGGTCCAAGCCACATCAGCCACCTGTTAAATCTGCAAAAATGGGGGTTCCAGAGGAGACGTGAGACACACCAGCCTCACATCACTAGCAGAGTGAGACACCATACCATTCCAGCTCCAGGTAGAATAGAGCAGTATTGGGTTCCCAAGAATAGGTGGTCGTCTCTAGAATTTTCAGCCCTTCCCAAAGTCGCGTGGACTGCCGCGCAACGCCATGCTAAAGCCGCAAATGCAATACTGTTGATACATTGGGGCAAGCCAATAGCCCCAAGAGTCGACGGGATGTGACCTCAATACACCTTAGACCATGATCCTTCGAAGACCTTCTGTCCCGCCCAGCACCCGTCTTCCCGTCACAGCGCATCGGCCTTGTCCGCTCTCCCACTTCATATCCCTGTTCTCCATGAATCCCTCCTGCATCGGGTGCATCCCCTCAAGCCAGCGGTGGATGCATGTGTAGCAGTACACGACGCCGGTCTGACACGCTGTTGGCGTGACGATGTCTTCCTGGCATATCGGACAAAGAGACGAATCATCTGGTGGCACGACGGTGTATATCGGCAGCATCGAAGGAGTCGCAATGGGTGCGTTCTCGGCAATCAACTCCCCATTCTCGTCCTCCCTCTTCTCCACCTTCTTGTTCAGTTTGTTCTTTGGGGTCGTGAGAACAGGCGGCGGGAGCTCAATGTTCTCTGCAGCTTTCCGCGTAAGCTGCTTTGCAAAATCGCTCTGATACCACCATTCCAAGAACTTGAGCGCAAAGATGCTCATAGGCAGAGCAACTGACAATCCGCTCAGGATCCTCGGCCCAAGCTCCCTCGGGCTAAGTAAGCTCGTCCATCCTGGCGCATGGCCACGCTTGAGCTTGCCAGCTTGCGTCGTGTTGAGCGCATCGATGGCTTGATAATCTGCACCATTCATCCGCCGCACTCTCGTCCCTATCAGCCACATGAGTGGACTGTGGTACCGACTCCCGTCGAACAAGTAGCTCAGGTTGAATGCCAGCATGGCAAAGCAGTACCCCGCGTTCACACTTGGATACACATTCCGCAGGAACCAGCGATAGTAGTGCAGAAATCGTTGCCTGAGCGTCGGATTCTCTGGCATGCGAGTGTACGCTGCACCCAGTAGCGCTCGGGGTGCATTGACCTCGTATCCTTCGTCCAGCTTCCTCTTGAGGTACGGGACGGCGACGAGTACCGCGAGGTTTTTCCACACATCCTTGTTGCTCAACCCTAGAGTCTCCCGTGTAACATTTTGTGCCGCAGCGCTAGCACGAGGGATCTCGCCTCGCAATGCCTTATCTCGTTTCAGCCCATAGAAGTTCTCGGTGAACGAGCCGCCTCGTGTGCGCAAGTAATGACGCTCGATGAGGAGGAAACAGAACGCGTAGAGCTCGTCAAACGAGTTGAGGATTCGGAGGAGGTAGCGCGGATGACGATGCGTCGCGACTGTGAGCAGGTAGCGGAGTGTGGGTGGGAGGAGGGAGGCGAGTTGCTGCTCGGAAAGAAGCTCGAAGAGGGAGGGTTTTTGGTCGTCAAAAGTACCACGCAGGGCGGTGACAAACTCCATGTTGTTGGCCTGGCTCGCGCTATCGCCCCGTTATGTGCTGTGTTGACATGGGCGAGGAAGAGGACTGCGCGGTGGAAATTGAAAAGGAAGACGATAGAGGAAGTGACGAGAGAATCTGGGGAAGGAAGGCACAACCGGTAGCGGTCCACTTTTTCCACTGCCTCGGCACTTGGCGTCTTCACCACCGTGACATGACGACTAGCCCCGACGCGAGTTGCCGAACGCAGCGCTCTACCTCACGACAATTACATGATGTAGACTTCTTTCATTATGCTGATCGCTTTCTCTCAGTAAAAACACTGAACATCGGCACGCTCAAACACATTCACTCACTCGTTTATAACATTGAAGGCGCTCCCCCTCTATCCAATCAACAATCACCACCTCAGCTCACATCTGAGACAATGGCCAGCGACAAGCAGCAAGAGGAGGCTGCTGCAGAGATGCGTCTCCTGTTGGAGGGCACGCCTGAGCAGAAGATTCGCGCATGGCTCGAGCCCACCATCAACAAGCACGATGGATGTTTCCGATCAGGTGTATGTCTCTTCCAAACCTGTCTTCCCCCTCCTCGCAAGCCACCAACTAATGCCCATGATGGCGGTAGAACTGGATGGCAGATCTGGTGCCGCATGTCACCGTGCACTCGTTGTCACCAGAAACCAACACCATCACTCTGCACTTCACGCCGCAGTCGCAGCACTGCAATCGCCATCACATGCTCCACGGCGGCGCCATGGCGACGCTCTTTGACTTCCTGACGACACTCGCGCTGTGCTTCGTCAACGACAAGCCGGGATTCTGGAGGTATCTGGGCGTCACGCGAACCCTGAACACGACGTACTTCCGGCCCGTCGCGCAGGGCGAGGTTGTCGCCGTCGAGGTCTCCATCCTGCAGGTGGGCAAGAAGCTTGCGACCCTCAAGGGCGAGATGAGGCGCCTCAGGGACGGTGCGTTGATGGCCGTATGCGAACATGGCAAGGTCAACACCGACGCAGACTATGCCAAGTCCAAACTGTAGATTTACAAGTACCAACGTAAATAACAAGAGAATACACATGTGATTCTAAAAGCGCACCTCGTCAGCTTGAGGGGGGCCCATTCCCTGGTCTACCGGCCAAATCGGTCACTTCACGTTCCTGATCCTCCAGCAGCCCATCCATCTCACCCTCCTCCATACTGCCCAGGTCCTCCTCGATGTCATCCTCGAACACCATCATCCCCTCCACCCCGACCTCTTCGCCCTCGTCCTCGTCATCCCCGAGCAGATGACCAACCCAACTGGGATCCCCTCTCACAATCCGCACGCCCTCTCTCAGCGCCCGTCTCGGATCCTCCTGATCGCGTGCCTTCCAAAAAGCCGTCGGCCCAGCAGGACCATGGGGATCGTGGTCCCGGTCGAACCACGTCCCCAGCACACCCCGCGCCGACTTTGGTCCAGCCACTTGCACGCCCTCGCTTGCCCAGCGCTCCTGGCCGTCAAACACGGAGACGCTCGTCCAGCGTACGTCAAGCCCCTTTGTCATCCGGACAGTACCTTTGTTCACAAGACTCAGTTCAGCTCGGTCCTTCAGCTACACACTTCTTTCATCTGGTGGGGGGGGGGGGGGGGCAACCAGCAGACTTACCTCGGAGATCAGAGTTGGCATTGTCGTCAAAGATATCGTCCAGTGAGCGTGACTCGCCTTCGTAGTGAACCACTGGCCAGGAGGGATGGTCGTCCGGTCCTGGTGGTTCGATCCGCACCACTTTGATCTCCATGATGATCAAGCGCGTCGCTTCGCCTGCGTGCAATGGAGGCATAGCGACGCTGTCCAGGACGTTTCGTGTCGTAAAGTTGAAGTGGAAGAAATCGCTGTAATCCAAGAAACACACAATCTGATAGCATCGTCGTCAGCAGCAAGTCCTTTTTGATCGTCGTCACGCGCAGGGAGAAACGCACTCGGTACCATGATCCCGACACGCCGTACGGATCGCGCTTGTCCAAGTCATCCAGCTCGTCGTCGTCTGGTTCGTTCTTGGGCACAAATGCCCCCCTGTACGCACCGCCAAACGGACAATCCCACACCTCGTCAAAAATCTTGCCCCCCGGCCATCGGCCCTTGACGTTCTTGCCGAGCACAATGTTGATGGCCTCCACCTTTTCCCAGTCCACTGTCCCGTCGCTGTTCCAGGGGCCCCATCGATTGTCCTCCGTGAACCCCCGGATATCGTAAACCCGGCTCACGGCGTACGGATGAGTTTTGCAGCTGCGCGTCCGTCCATAGTTCAGGATGGGCTGTCCATAAAGCGTGTGTAGCTTGGCGCTTAGCTGTCTCTTTCGTCTAATCTCGCCGGGTGTATTGACACCACGCCTATACCACGTTTTCCCTGATCGAATGTGCTCAAACAGCCCGCTTTGCTGGAGAAAGGCCATGCCGGTGATGCCATCACCAAATAGTGACTGCAGGTAGGCCACGTTGGCAGACGAGGAACCCGAGTAGAGGTTCTCCAGGGAGTTGATGTGCGAGGCCCGGGACAGGATGCGGATGCAAGTCTTGGCCACAAACTCCAGCTGGGACAGATCCACGTCTTGGGTGATCATGGAGTGGAAGATAGTGTCTAGTCTTACCAGATCCAACGTTTCCTGTTCCCATTCGATACCCGCCACTGGTGCCGGCGTATCCTATCGTGGGTAGTCAGCAGACGCACATTATCCTCGTCCTTTCTCCGTGGTGTGTATCGCAGGGCGTACCATTTTGAGCAGATACACATCTCGCCATAAAGTCCCGTTGCCAACAATCAAGTCACGGAACAGATGAGATACCCGAGCCGACGTCAGCACGCTGGCAGGGTCAAGCCAGGCGAATACATTGTGGAGGACCTCGGCCGGTAGATCCGTGATGTGGCCGGCTGAGGGGGCCATGATCGCGGCTGGATTTCTCAATCACGAGATTCTCGACTTCTCGCTGGCGAAGGGGATGAGATGAAGGAAACAGTAGTCGAGAAGTCCATATAGGAAATTAACTTTGGTGGTTCAAGGTGAACTGCTCGGACTTAGGAGCAACCGGCGACAGACAGGTCACAGAGGGGGTCACCAATGCACCATTACCAATTCCAGTCAACGTCAACTCCTTAAATGGAAAAGCGGGGCAAGCCTCACCCCCTCTACACCTGGCATTCCGGGGACTGGACATCGTTAGTTTGAGAACGACGTGACAATTTGACGGGAGTCACTCGATGGAACGTCACTGTGTAAGTGGTCAGGGTATCAGATCTTGTATTTACACTGCCAAGTGGAAAATCGCTCATTCTATATAAATAGTGCCAGGGCACGGGGTATCCTTATTCCTTCCAACATGATGTCTACATCTCGACGTCGCAATCATCGCACGGCCCTGCTGAACAACAAAACAGAGCCGCAAACGTGCTTGATGCCCAAAAGAGCATCCCGCGCTCAGGGCACCATGCCACCACTATTCAACGTGATGCAATTGTTGAGCAGGTTCGATCCCTCGTGCAGCAACTCCCATCTCGTCTCCTCAAACGTATCCTTCAGAACCAGAAGCAACGCCGTGTTGCAGTTCAGTCCCTTCGCCTGCTGGAGGTCATGCGGGTTGGATATGCTTCCGAAACGAGTCAAGTAGTCTCTCATCTGCTGCATCTTCTCATGATGAGACGAGGGGTATGCTACGTGCGAGCTTGGTCCTTCCAACGCATAGCCGTAGCACCAGACGACAAGCATGGCAAAGTACATGACCCATGGCCGATTCAGCAGCACGTCATCTCGCGCACGATATGGTTCCTCGTGGTGGTAAGCGCCGCCCAGTGACGGTCCTTGCGCGTCGGGGATCAACACTGAGCACAGAAACTTGAGCGCGTAATATGTGGCATCGCGAGCGCGAGCAGACGGCGCCCACGCGTCCTTGATCCTGCGCTCTGCACTTTTGAATTCCTGGGGGCCGATCGCTCGCCCGAGAAGTCGCTTGGCTCGCGCGAACATCTGTACGTCCACGATGTCGGCATGCATGGCCATGTGCGCCAGATGATGTAGCACAGTCCGGCTCTCGAACACAATGTTGAACTCGTTCCTCTTGGCCGCGTTGTGGTGGTAGGGGTCAGCATCGCTCCGCGGCAACGATTTGTCAAAGTCGGCTTTCCAAATGTCGTAGGCTCGAGTCAAGGTAGCCCGCCACTTGTCGCGACCACCCAGCGAGGACCCTACGCCACGTCCCAACACATTGACTTGAAGGTCACGTTGGTGCATGTGCCACGAGACGCTCAGCAGTCCTGTCATCAGCACAGTCCGTCCAAATGAGTTGGTCTGCACATCCTGGCCGCACAGTGTTCGCTTCAGACCCTCAAGGAAGGAAACAGGCTTGTTCCCGCGCGAGAACAGATTCGACTCTAGTCGCCCAACCTCGGCACTGCTTGTGGCCTGCCACAGGGACTCGTCGCAAGGCAACGGCAGCCTCATCTCATGAGCTACCATGACACCAGAATGCCCAAACATGGTGGCGTGCAGAGAGTCGACCACAAAGGCGGCAAATGCAGCCCTCCTTGTAGCTTCATTGGTAATCCACTGATTCCACCACTCCTCTGCTGTCTGCGCAATGCCAGAAGTTGACGAGTGACGTGACCCGTTGAGGCTGCTCATAGCATGGGGCGGCGATTCCACGGACGATTTTCCAATCAACGCCCGACCGCGGCGCATGAGCTGAATCGTCGTCGCGTGGTGGATATGGGCCCGCTCGTGAAGTTCTCGTGTCGAGTACATCTTCTCATACAACTCCAACAATATCAGAGCCTGGAAAATCCATAGCTTTGCTGGGGGTCGGGCGCCGACGTCTTGAAAGATTTCCCATCGCAGGTGCCAGGCCAGAAAGTTGGAGAGCTTAGCTCCTGCTTTGACTACTTTCGTCCCGTGTGTTCTGTCAAGCAAGGCGGCGCCTATTGTCATCATGGATAGGAGGAGGAGGTTCGGTGTGTTGTTTGGCGAGAAGGTTGGCTTGTGAAGAATGGGCAGTTGTTCACTAAAATGATACCAGTAGGAGCCAATGTAGGCCTGGATCATCCTCTGGCTCAGCACGTGGTTTTCGGCGGCACGGTCGCCGTCCAGGATGCTGTCGCGGCGGCGGTCGATGGGCGCCTCGTCTTTTTCGTGGAATCGATCGCGAATGAGATCAAACAGCTCTTGGCACTTTTCCTCGGAGATGTCGGCCTCTGGGACGTTTTGCTCGAGCAAATTGTTGACAGCCATGACTTGCTGGGGAGCCGATGGAAAGTAGCCCATTGATCCAGGGTCTTGGCCAACGTAGGGGATGGAGTATTGCGCGTTGTTCAAGTCGCCATAGCTTGAGTAGGGGGCCTGCATCATATCCTTTGGCCCCGGTGATCGTTCACCGGGTGAGGCTGTGTTGAAGAGATAAGACAAGAAGTCCTCGGGCAACCCAGCGTAGGGCGACTTGTTCAGTATGTCGCTCCCAAATACTGGGACAGTGCCAGGCATACCCATTTGACCTAGCATCATCATCTCGGTGGCTTGTTGACTTTCCGTGAATTCGCCTTTGATGCCAGCAGCGTACGACTGCGACACGCCCCCTTGCGACACCTGCTGACCGCTACCATTCCCGTACTGCGAGGGCCCGAGGTCAAAGGACATCATACTATGTTGAGGCACATAGCTCCCGCCGACGGGCGGGGACCCGGCGAAACCCTGTTGCTGATTCGGCACCGGTGATGAAACGCCATAGGGTGGATCCCCGGTAGGATGCGCTGGTGCTACAGGTGAGTGCGGCTGCTCATGAGATATGGGGTAGTGATAGCCGCCGAGGTTCTGGTGGCCATTCACCTGCCCCCCATTGGTGTATGGCCCTGGTTGTGAGGGTGTGATCGGAGAGTACGACCCATCGTGCTGATAGCCACTGTGCGCACGCTGCTGCTGGTAGTCTTGTGCCGGTCTTGCAGTCTCGGGGGATGCAGAGCCCAAGGCATTGCCTGACTGAGATACGTGGCTAAGCACAGAGTCACGGCGACTCAGCTGTGAGCCCTTGGCCGTGTGGCGATCCATGTGCCTCTTCAGCAAGTCTCCCCGGACGAACGTACGAGTGCAGTCTGGGAAGCTGCAGCGGAAGACTGTCTTGGAGCTGTGATTGAGCTGATGGCGGTAGCTAAGTAGTTAGCGAGATGCTCAGGCGGAATTTCTTGGTACTCACAGGTGCTCTGCTCTTGAGTAACTTTTCCCGCAGCCCTCCGTCGGACATTCAAAACGTTTGCTGAGTCCTTTGCGACTGCGCCGGCGCTTGCGCGCCGGCCCGCCATCCGAATTTGAAGAGCCTCTATTCTGCGCGCTCTTGTCATCGTGCCCGTCGTCCATATCGCCTTCTGGCGACTGGCTGCCGACAATAGCAAGTTCAGATTCGTTGTTCATAATGCTGAACGTTGGGCTTGCGCTCTATAGCTTCGAGCCTTGTTCTATACTTCCGCTTGCCTTGGAATACCACAAGGACATTCCACGAAGCTATGTAGTGACTCGTACGCCTCCTTATGATCCGAGGGTGGTGGTTACGGGGAGCAGCAAAGGTTGCCGTCGGTTGACAATAACTGCGTCGGTCGATCGCGCGGTTTATAGCGCAGGCCTGCAATCCGAATCGCGGCGTAGGCGTCGAACACCGTTCGGCTCGTCCACGTCAGATGGCTGCGCGACCATGTACCATCACGGCGTAGGCGTGCAGAAAGCTGTCTGCCGGACACTGCGTAGGGTCGGGGTGTTCAGAAGTAGCCGGTCGTGGGAGATAGGGCAAGTGCTTGCCGTGGCGAAGTAGGTGTATGCAGCCGTCTCCAACACGCAGTCGCTTCTTGGTGCCGTGTCGAGTGAACGACTTCTATCAACGATATTTCGGTCCGGTTTGAAGACGCCTCTGATGGCATACTGCCAGAAGATAGAATAGACAAAAGAACAGACGTCGCGAGCAGCTGGGTCGAGGGTGGTGGCAGTGGTCATGCGCTGCGCGCGCCCGGATGATTTGACCTGCTTGGAGGGTGGAAGGTGCAGCCCTGGAGGTGCAGGAGGGCTGCGACTTGGGGGTAGGGAGTCGCGCCCTGCTATTGGCAAGCGTAGCTGCGATGAGTGGAGTGGACTCGTCCGCACTGTATTCTCACTGTAATTAGTGGGCCCTCTAGCGCTGTGCCCCGCTGTCCGCCCGCCCCCCCCCCCCCCCCCCCAACGACTGAAGCCCCAGGGTGGTCGCATCTTACCTGGGAGTCATGTCCTGGGGTCCGGCCATTGATGCTGACAGCGATCCAAAAAAGCAGACCACGTCAAAAGTCACTCGGTTTCGAGTGCATGACCCGCTCAACAACTATTCTTTTCCATCGGCAACATATGTCGTACAAGGCTGCGTAATGCGCCCAGGATTTCGAAGTATGATTTGCCTTGAAGGGACTGGACCTAGGGGCCTGGGAACAGCCTGGAGCCAGAAACATGCGCAGCTGAGACGGAGACGCCGATGGCCCGATTTGTCAAAAAGTAAGATAATGCAGTACGAGGTATGATATCTCACGCAAGCATTCGCAGGTCAACATGGCCTCATCCTACTACAGCTCTTCCATCTTCAGAGCCTCACAGGCAGCTTCTCTTCTGTAGATTTCAGGCACCTTGACATCCACCACCTCGGCACAGCGTGACTGATCAGTCGCGAACAAGGACGCGCAACTCGTTCACATTGTCAGGCTGCCACAGTGCCGAAAAGGCACTCGTCGGAGCGCGCCTCTACGGGCCACGGCCGGTGCCGTAGTGGGGATCGGGGGGTTACGTCCACGGTACTGGACAGTGTGCACAGGCCTGCTGTGAGGCTGAAATTGTCATCGTGATCTATGATTTGGTGCCCAAGGACACTTGATAAGTCTGGATCTCAACTCGTCCCGCAGAGCTCTCGTCACTTCTCATCGACTCATCCATACCGAGGCGAGCTCTCTGAGTGTTCCTCGCCTCCGTGACGTCCGCCTCGCGAGTCGTGCCACTGGCCGCTCGTCTGGGGAAGTGGGATGATCCACATTCCCACGCCCGGGCCACTGCTTGGTGGGGGTCATCCTCCAAGAAGCGACACTTTGCCCCCGGATTCCAGAGAGCGTGACCTAGACATGAGTGGCTGTACTGCTGATCAAACGGGTGACACAGTTTTACAAATATCTTCAACTGATGCATAGCTCGCGACGCATGGTCCACAGATCATCTGCTGTAGCACCAGACTGTGCAGTATGCAGCAGGGGCCCCTCCCCTAACAATATATGTACATACTCTGATCCTGAAAGCCCCTGATTTCAGGTCATAAGTGACAATGAACTGCCAAATGCACAATCTTCCTCACAAAATCCTCTACCTCGTCCGCGGAAGTCCGCTGGCCTGTGTTTGCCAAGCATATGATTCTATTCAATGCGCTTACCGCTGTGTTGGGCCACTTCAGAAACACCTGTCCATGTAAGATGATCCCAGTGCGAGGCGCAAAGCACACGTCCTGATGGCTGCAAGGTCAATAATAACGCTGCAGAAGAGACCCTGTTTGTGGGAATTTATTAGCGCACATTGGCACGCACAGGCTGCGGCTGACCTTCAGGCACTGAATGGTTGGGCTGGCCGCTCATAGCGAGTCGGGGACCCAGTAAACTCCCAGGTTTCGAAGGCTGGGTCTAAGACATTCACCTCGACAGTCAATACTAGTCTGCTGAGAGCACCGATACTCACTATAGAATTGCATTGCGCGAGTACCTTTGCGTTCTTCATATCGACCAACTCCCCACCGCCTGACACCTCCGGATGTTGGATCTGGAAAGTGGCCGCGGAATTGTAGCCTCCGTGCGCTCGACCGTCTGCCGACCGTATCTCTCGCCTCTCTGATCAGGCCATTGTGTGACATGTCTCTGGCAGGCAATTTTAGCGAGTCACAATGTCTTGAAATTCACTGCACGTCGATGCATAGGAACAGTCCAGCCACTACCTTCAGGGCCCAAAAAGGGGGGCGGGTACAGTGCGCCAACCCTGTCACATTGTAACATCGTCGCAGGCCTTCAGATTTGCCGCAAGTCTTGCCCATCATGTTGGAGTGTGGCAACAATTGCTCGCCCGACCAGATAAGGTTTCAAAACACACGAAATTGATAGATCGTACAAATAAAATGCGGTCGATCCTCCAATGCTCGTCATCTCCACAGGGAAAATCGCCAAGCTGCTTGCCAGATCAGCAGCGTGGGGGTCTCAATGACAGGCGTCATCAGCGATCCCGAGTCAGCGGTCGAGGCGGGTGCCGAACTGCGACATGGATTCTGCCGCTGATTCCAGCGTAGTCTGGTGCGGGAAACAAGAAACCGGTCAATGGCCTCGTGATCTTTGGTACATGTCCATAACACGTGGTATTGTACCACAAGCAAGTGGCGTCTGTGCCGTTGTCAGGTTCGGAGAGCGGTATTGGGCTCTGAAGACTGAAGCTACCCACAGATCCGGGTATCTGTGCTGCAGTTAGTAATCGACCCTATCTAATGAGAGAAAAGGTTTCGTGGGAAAACAGGGTGAGTCACATTTGCCTGTTCTTCCCACTCACTGTCCGAGGTATGAAAACACATTGCGCACCGTTGCTGCGAATTTTAGTTCTTTGTCGATGGCCGATAGCAGCACATACGATACAGCATGAAATTGGACTAGAAGAATCTATGAACCCATCTAATTCAAAAACTCCGTAGCCCTTCTTAAATAATTTTTATGGACTCCCAGCAGCAGAAGCTCTGCGCGGAATAAGAAGCTGAAGTGTGATGCTCCAGGGTAGGGACACGCTAGAAACAGACAAGGGCTTATTTTAGACGCCGAACGAGACGCGCGCATAAAATAAGAGAACAGGTCAATTCGACTCTACTATTTCGCCGTACACTGGTACAAGTCCATGAAACAGTCTTCTCTTACATTGTCGAAAGAAACACAAGCATTGGGATGCTACAGCATCACACTCGCTAAGAGTATATCTTTCCTAGCAAGATGTACTTGAATACTCTGAGACTGCTGCAATTGGAATTTGGACCCTGAGTCTAAGCACGGCGGGAGAAGCAGACCCCACTCTTTCGCTCACCGGAAGTGACGTCGCGTGCACTTTTCTCGAACCCGTGCTCGTACAGGAGGAATACACATGGACTCTTTGTGCCTGCCGTTACGGTGGGGTATTAGATCAACAACTGCCAAAGTATCAATACAGCAATTGCACACACGCACCTTCAAAGACCACATTGGCGGCCAGCAGCCGCCACGCACGAATATCAATGATTATTTAAATATACCGAATCAAGGCCTCTCAGCGATCTAAGCTAGATACTTGAATTTCTTAATGATGCAATCGATAGTGACGGTGGCAGAGCTATATCAGAATCCACGCTCACGAGAGCTCTGCTAACAGGCTAGCAACAACCCGCAAGAGCCTAATGATATTCTTCGTCCCCGCAGCCTCACCTAAATCGCCGCCCTTACCGTAGAATTCAATTATATGATAAATAAATAAATTCACTAAGATCTAATGATAGCAGGCTTCGAGATCATGGTATTGATTTTTTTTATAAGGCGTGTGGCGGCTACTGGCCGCCAATGTGGTCTTTGAAGGTGCGTGTGTGCAATTGGTGGTTAACACTGTGGCAGTTATTGATCTAATATCCCATCGTAGCCGTCGCCAAAAGCCCATTTTCCCGCCGACCGCCAAAAGTTCAGTTCTGCCCCCTCTACTCTCCCCCTTCGACACCGAGATTGCACCCTCGTCACCACTACTGTCTACCATCAATGATCTTCATTTTGGCCCTTCTTCTGCGTCTGTCAACTTCTGATAATCGACTGCTCAAGATTCTGTCACCAGATCCTCCCTGAGCCGCCTGTCTCAACTTGTTGTCCCAGCCTTCCCCCCTCGTCCCTCAGAATGCCACCGGCCAAATCCGCACGTAAAGACGCCGACGATGGCAAGGCCGATACTCCAACAGGGAATGGAAAGAATGGTAATGCCACGTCGGCTAAGATGCGTCGTATCACAAGCCAGCAAGGTGGCTCGCAGCTGCGCGAGGTCACCAACGCCTCGGCGACGAGTGCGCCCATGACCCAGACCGGCGAGGCGACGGCACCCAGTGTACGCAACATTCCGCACATACCCTCGGCCGAGGATATGAAAGAGGCATGGAGAAGATGTGCTAATAACCGTATAGATCAACTGGGCCTCACTCTCCCGCGAAACGCTCCACACCTACGCTCGACAGCACGCCCTCCAAACTCCATCGTCCTATACGTCGTCCTTCCACCGCACGGTGCTTTCCTCTCCCATTGGAATCGGAAAATACTCGCCAACAATGCGCAAAAACCAGCGACAAACTCGGGAGAACCTGACGCGGACCGTCAGGAAGCACTTCAACGGGATGGGCGTACAAGAGAATGATGTGATTGTGGACTTTATATACAAGGTTCGCAGCGAAGATGCGGCCAAGGCAAGAGGGCCCCAAAAGACGAGCATCGTCACGGAGTGACAAGGTCTGGTGAGCATTGCTCCCCCTCTACCTCTGGAGTCATCAGGTGTGCATTCGGTGGTGTTTGGTGTTTGGGTTATATCAACAAGCTGGTCATTGAGAACCAACATGATACCAGGACAGGAAAGGCGTTTTTGGATTAGCATTTGCATTAAAAATGTTTAATGTTGGATCTGTTCGTGACTTGCGGCGATCTTCAAACTCAATGGCACTCAAGATGACAACCACTAAGTCTTCGGGATCGGCTGCGATTTCGCTCCTTTTTGGTGCGGCAAGGCTCTTTCTCAACAGGCGTGTAGAAGTCTTCAATGATCCTTTGGCCTCTTCTTTGCGGTACAAAACTAGGCGCATCGCTGGCGTCGACTGCGGCAGCGATGCTCGGCTTATGACGGCATTGTAAACCTCAGGCAACCGAGCCGGCCCGGACTCCATCTTGACGGGAGATAAAAAGTGGAAATTGTCGCAACTGACCACTCATGTCGCGCAAAGAATTTCTGACGACACCGGGGCGCCAGAACGTCCTGGACTTTTCCACGCGCGAAGTCTTTCTACGCAGTCCATCCAAGGCGTGCTCCCGTTCAAACAACCAGAACGACACACGTAGACAAATCTCCCCTCTTTCGAATCCGATGCTGCAGCCTTTATGATGAACCCCAGCGTGTTAACGAGGGCGGCGGGCCCGGCCCGAGTCTTTGCGCAAAGCTGTCGCTCTGGGCCAGCTTCGACCACGTGCGGACGACCATTTCAGAGCGCGACGGTGCGCGTCAGGGGTGACGAGACGACGCCCCTGTCACGAGCAGCCAAAGTGCCATCATCCAAGAGAGTGCGTCTTGCTTCCCTATCTATCCGCGAGAGCCACGACTGAGCTAACGATTGCAGGCCTTCCACACGTCCAACACGCTCTCTTCGAAAGACCCGTACGGCGCGCTTGGTGTGAACAAATCTGCGTCCGCCTCGGAGATCAAAAAGGCCTACTACGGCCTGGCGAAGAAGTACCACCCTGACACAAACAAAGATCCGTCTGCCAAAGAAAAGTTTTCCGACATCCAGTCTGCGTACGAGATTCTGTCCGACCCCAAGAAAAAGGAGCAATTCGATACCTTTGGCGCTGCCGGCTTCGATCCCAACGGGGCAGGCGGCGGCGGCGACCCCTTCGCGGGGGGAGGCAATCCCTTCCACGGGTTCGGCGGTGGCCAGGGTGGCTTCGGTGGGGGCTTCAACTTCGACGACATCTTCAGCGCATTCACTGGACAGCAGGGACCATTCGGCGGTCGGGGTGGCCGTGGCGGCCGAGGTGGGAACCCGTTCCAACAGGAGATCCTGGTGGGCGACAATGTGGAAGTGCAGGCGAGCATTACGTTTATGGAAGCGGCCAAGGGAACGAGCAAGACGATCCATCTCACACCCCAAGTACCCTGCGGGACATGCGACGGAAGTGGCATGAGGAGCGGTACGCAAAAGTCAGCGTGCAAGAGCTGTAACGGCACGGGTACACGTGTGCATTTCATGCAGGGTGGCTTCCAAATGGCTTCGACATGCGGCACTTGCGAGGGTACTGGCACGACGATTCCCAAGGGCAGCGAGTGTCGCACCTGCTCGGGAGACGGTGTTGTGAGGGAGCGGAAGACGATCACCGTGGATATCCCGGCTGGCATTGAGGATGGCATGCGCCTGCGAGTGGACGGCGCAGGCGACGCGCCACCCACAGGGCGATCGGCTGACCCCAACGCGAGGTCGCAACGTGGTGATCTCTACGTCTTTGTCAAGGTCGCCAAGGACCCCAAGTTCCGCCGCGAGGGATCCAATATCCTCTACACGGCCACGATCCCCCTCACAACAGCCGTGCTCGGTGGACAGGTCTCGGTGCCGACGCTGGATGGCTCCGTCAACGTCAGGGTTGCGACCGGCACCAACACAGGCGACAAGATGACAATGACTGGCATGGGCATGAAGAAGCTTGGCGCACGCAGGGGTGGATCCGGTGATCTGCGGGTGGAATTCAAGGTCAACATGCCAAAGTACCTGAGCGCGAACCAGAGGACGCTTTTGGAGATGCTGGCGGAGGAGATGGACGACAAGAGCGCCAAGAGGGTCATGAATGTCTCCAAGAGGTAAGCTGCCACGGACATATGCAACTACTCACCTCCGGACTAACAACGAACAGCGCCTCTACCGATACGTCTGATCCCGAGTCCCACAAGAATGAAGGCTTCCTCAAGTCCATCTGGCACACTCTCACCAACCATCCCGCGCACCAGAAGTCTAGCGAAGACAGCTCCCCCTCGAGTAACAAGGAGGGCGCCGCGAAGGACGACGCCAAAAAGGACTTAAAGAACGACTCCGAAAAGAAGTCCGACTCCAGCTCCAAATGAGCAGCAGTTATCCCCTCCTTGAGTGTATTATACCATCGATGTAATGATAGAAGAAAGGTGTACATGTGGAGGACATAGCATTGGTGGTGTTTAAAAGGGGGGGTTGGCAATTTTATCTTTTAGTTAAGCGTTGTGGCCGCGCGACACCTCTCCAGATCTATTGTCTTTTGCAGAGTTTGGTATTGGCCAGTTGTATACTAGCGAGTAGTATAGACATGGGAGCGGGTACAAAACACTCACTCTCCTCAAAGCGTCTTCACCTACATCTACGACTTACGACCTTACCTCGTTGTGATGGGAGGGAGCATGCATCTGTGTGCGCGCTCGCGTGTACGTACGTCACGTCCTGCGAGTCTGAAGTGGTCAGAGTCATTCCTCACAGTGTTATTCCACTCACTGACCAGTGTAGCCATCTCGTATGTCCTCCGGCCGCAGAACGTCCTGCCTCGTCGAGGCGAGTTCTGTGATGACGTTCCATCCACTGCAAGCCGACCAAAGTCTAGCCGATGGGCTTCAGCTTCTTCTTCTTCTTCTTGCCGCCCTCCTCACTCTTCCCCCCCTTCTGGAATGTCCGCCAGCTGCTGATTCTCTCGTCCCGCGTCTGCTCCCAGTCCTTCTCGTGATCTCGCTTGCGCTTCCGCTCCTCGATCTCTTCATCTTGTTTCCTCTGCTCGCGTCCTTCCTCCTGCAACTGGGCCTTCATTTGCCGTCTCCGTCTGTGCTCGCTGTCAATCAGAACCTCTCTCGCCTTGTTCCGCCAGTCCTTGAGGAATTGATCAGTCTTGAGCTCCTCCGAATCCACGGTCCATTTATTCTCCCGAATCAAGAGCATGCGCGCATCGGCAATGGCTTCGTCGAGACGCTCGCGGTGCTTCTCGTCCTGGAGTTCCGAGACAGCCTTTTTGAGACGATCGAATGCGTCCGGCGCGCGAGGATTCTTGGTCTTGTCCGGGTGAATGAGCAGTGACTTTTTGCGGTAGGTGATTTTGATGTCGGAGTCGGGGACACCGGGGTTGAGGTCAAGAACAGCGTATCTTGGGAGATGTTAGTAGAGTTGGGTATAGAGGAGGATGCTACTCACGCATCAAGGCGAAAAGCTTTGAGAATGCGATCAATTTCAGCGTCCTACGGGCTTGTTAGAACAGACCGTGACGAGTTGGCTAGGATAGGCTCACCTTGTCGAATTCCTTCGCTTCAAGCTCGAGCGCATCGAGGGCGTCCTTGTCGTCGTCCGACATTGTTTCGTGGCCTGTGAAGAAAATTGGTTTGATGGCTATAGCGTTCTTTCTGGCGTATAGACTGGAAGTGTCGACTGCGATTTATCTGTGCGCTCTAAGACGAGTGGTGTTTGATATGGAAGTAGGTATGTCGAATGCAAGTCCGGTCGCGACTCCAAGTCCCCGGACCCACCGCCCGCCCGCCCGCCTCGCATAATCTTGCCCCGCGATAGTGATAAGATAAGAACGCGATAACAGAAAAAAAGTTCAGACACCTTCACCTCAACACGAGCGCCCGCCAAACTGTCGCAGCTCATCCATCCACCATCCCTCACTGCCTATTGTCGGCAACGACACACGCACAAAAAAGGCACCATGCGCGCCTCACCCACCCCCTCCGAGGGTGAAGTCGACATCTTCACATCCCTTGCCGAAGCGCCCTCTGCCCCGAATGGCGCCCACGCCGACGATCTCGACGACATCCTCGACGTGGCCCCATCCGACGACGACGAGGCCTTCATCGCCCTCCAGCAAGCCGCTTCGTATCGCAAGTCGTCCAATCTCAAGGGCCGAACAGTGAAGAAGGGAGGTGGCTTCCAGGCCATGGGCCTCAACCCCAACCTCCTCAAGGCCATCACGCGCAAGGGCTTCTCCGTGCCCACACCGATCCAGCGCAAGACGATCCCCCTCCTGCTCGACCGGAAGGATGTCGTCGGCATGGCACGTACAGGTTCAGGAAAGACGGCCGCCTTTGTCATCCCCATGATTGAGCGACTCAAGAACCACAGCGCGCGGTTCGGCAGCAGAGCGCTCATCATGAGTCCCTCCCGCGAGCTGGCGATTCAGACCCTCAAGGTCGTCAAGGAGCTGGGTAAAGGAACCGACCTCAAGTGCGTCCTGCTGGTCGGTGGCGATTCGCTCGAGGAGCAGTTTGCGAGCATGTCGGCCAACCCGGACATTGTCATCGCGACGCCCGGTCGTTTCCTGCATTTGAAGGTGGAGATGGCGCTGGATCTGTCGTCGGTCCAGTACGTGGTCTTTGACGAGGCGGATCGCCTGTTCGAAATGGGTTTCGCGGCACAGCTCACGGAGATTCTGCATGCGCTGCCGCCATCGCGACAGACGCTGCTCTTTTCGGCGACACTGCCGGGATCGCTGGTCGAGTTCGCCAGGGCAGGTCTGCAGGACCCCGAGCTTGTGCGTCTCGATGCTGAGACCAAGGTCTCGCCCGATCTCGAGTCTGCCTTCTTCACAGTCAAGGGCGCCGAGAAGGAGGGCTCATTACTCCACATCTTGAACAATGTCATCAAGATGCCCACAGGACCGCCTGCGGGTGTCGCACCATCCACCGGCGAGAAGCGGACGAAGAACAGGAAACGCGGGCCTGAAGGTGCTGGAAAGCCTACAGAACACTCGACCATCGTCTTCACCGCCACGAAGCATCATGTCGAGTACATCGCCACCCTGCTCCGGGAAGCTGGCTTTGCCGTATCCCATGCCTACGGTTCCTTGGACCAAGTCGCGCGTCGTATCCAGGTGGAAGACTTCCGCTACGGCAAGACGAATATCCTGGTAGTGACAGACGTCGCCGCGCGTGGTGTGGATATCCCCGTTCTCGCCAACGTGATCAACTACGACTTTCCCACGCAACCCAAAGTCTTCGTGCATCGAGTCGGACGTACCGCTCGTGCTGGCCAACGCGGTTGGGCATACAGTCTTGTCCGCGAAATGGACGCCCCCTATCTCCTCGATCTCCAGCTCTTCCTCGGCCGTAAACTCGTCATTGGACAGGTGAAGGAAGACGTCTCCTTTACATCGGACTTTGTCGTGGGCGCTTTGAAGCGAGACGACGTCGAGTCACAGGTCGAATGGATGAACAGGATTCTGGGCGACAAGGAGGACATTGATGCGCTGCGCAAAGTCGCCGCCAAGGCAGAGAAACTCTATCTGCGCACACGCAACTCTGCCTCTTCACAGTCTGCGAAGCGAGCGCGCGATCTTGTCAAGTCGAATGCCTGGTCAGAACTGCACAAGCTATTTGGCGACGATCTCAATAACGACGAGCGCGCGCGGTCAGACATGCTGGCCAGGATCGGCGGGTTTAAACCCAACGAGACGATCTTTGAAGTAGGCCAAGGTGACAGGAAGAAGGGCATGTCACAGGCAGCCGAGATTATGAAGAAGCTACGTCACAACATCACACCGAGAAATCGGCAGCAACAAGACAAAAGGGTCGAGAGGCTCTCGGACGACGAGGACATGATCGACGCTCAAGCTAAGGTTGCGCCCGAAGCAGAAGACGATGATGAAGAAGAGGAAGTGGTGGAGGCGGTCGAAGATGAGAGTGGACAAGAAGAGGACGATGACCTGGAAGTCACCGTATCCAACCCCTCCGCCAAGCAACGCAACAAGACCGACTGGCGCGACAACGAGATGTTCATGTCCTACACGCCGCGCACGACCAACGCCGCCGAGGAGCGCGGCTACGGCGTCCACTCGGGCGGCAACTTTGTGCAGGCCGCGCGCGACGCCACCATGGACCTCACCAACGACGACACGGCCAAGGCGTTTGGCGTGCCGACGCGCAGCAAGATGCGCTGGGACGCCAAGAGCAAAAAGTACGTCTCGCGCGACAATGACGAGGACGGCAGCAAGGGTGGCAAGCTCGTCATGGGCGAGTCGGGCGTCAAGATTGCCGCGAGCTTCCAGAGCGGACGGTTCGACCGCTGGAAACGCGAGCAGCGCATGGGCCGGCTGCCCCGGGTCGGCGAGGAGGAGAAGCGCGGCGGGCCGCAGCATGCCGGCCTGCCGTCTGGACCGCGGTACAAGCACAAGGCCGAGAAGGCGCCCAAGGAGGCGGACAAGTTCCGTGATGACTTTGAGGTGCGCAAGAAGAGGGTCAAGGAGGCGCGGGAGAACAGGGTCGGGCGTTTTAAGGATGGGATGGGCAGTCGAAAGGAACTCAAGGGGGCGGACGATATTCGCCGGGCGAGAAAGGTCGAGCAACAACGGAAAGCGAAGAATGCAAGACCGCAGAGGAGGAAGTAGTAGGCACAGGTCTAGACGCGGTAACGTATCTATCAGTAAAGCATGTATGTATGTATGTTTTGGCCAAACCCTCCTGGAAGAGGCGCCCCATATACCTCAACGCCGCCGCCATGCCGAGCACCATCTATCTATCCTGGTGACTTGTGTACCTACCTCCGTCCGTCCAAAAGATCTACTTACTCCCTGTACCCCAAGTAAGGATAGATAATCGAGTCGCGGAAGAGTGCCTCCTAGATCCAGTGATCTTGGGTATCAAGAAATATCAAAACCGGGGTATCGTGTAGGGCCAGCTGACTGGGGGAAATTCCCGAGTCTTGGCTGCCGCTGTATGCATCTGCCGAAATTTCAAGTAGTATGCGCTTAGGATAAATCAGAACGCTGGCGATAATGGGAGGAACTCGTTTTTCATGTCAGAGACGCAATCTTTTCATTCTGGTCCGTCGAGACTGACCAACCAGTCGCGGACCGCACCTTGGAGGACGCTCAGTTGATAGCGGCCCCCGGCACCGACCTCTGGCTCATCGCGAAGATGGCTATCGCGGTCTATCATGTCCCGTATGATGTCTTCCAGTGCCGACAGTATTGTCGTTTTGCACTGCACACGGGGCACATTGAGTTGGCCAGCCGCATGCTGCGCAGGCTCTTCGCGTACATTGGTTAATGTGTGGGTGCTGCTTGCATCGCCTTTGCTGGGAGCACTGCGCGCAAGAGGACTGTCCTTGCTGTCATCTGGTGTACACAAGAGCACCTTCTCAAGGGCATCGACAAGGACATCATCGGCCTTGAAGATGACCTCCTCGATGAATTCTTCTTCAAGTTGCGTCTCATATGGCACGATTGACGGTGTCAGAGAGCCCATTCCAGCGGTTGCATGACCAGCGTCGGGCGAGCGTTGCTTGACCAGACGCCTGCAGATGACTCTCCGCACAATATTGGCGCTTGTATCGGCGAGGACCACTGAGCCTACATCAACCCACCTCTCCGCTAGACCTTCGGCAGAGTGGACTGCGGTGGGCGTAGGCTCTGCCCGGAGCGTGGCCTTGACGCTGTCCATGAGATCAGGTTGCGGTGGTATAGCCTGCAATGTAAAGTCTGGATGGAAACGGGTAAGCCATCCTGCGGCATTCAGGTGAAGATCACCGTCCAGCGTGGCTTGTGACAGTTGCTCGAACGACTCCAACCCTCCGCCCAGGCCAGGAATGGACAAATAGCCACTGCTAGACGGAGAGCTGATGGCCGAGCCCATGGAGGTTATATAGTCAGGGAACGGGAAGTCGACGTCGATGACGCCGTCTTTCTCGTTGACTGTCGTCTTTACAGGCGAGTCAAAGTGAGCAGACTGTTCAGAGGTCCGGTGCGGCAGGCTGAAAGATGGTCGCGGTCGTCCCTGCTGGTCTTTGGGTGTTGTTGCTCCTGCAGCACGTCCTGCTTCCGAGGCATCTGTCTCCTCCATGGCCGTCGCTTCCTCCACCATTTGTGCCAACTTGCCTAGTCTGGGTGGCATGGGCCTGGTAGGTGATTTTGGATCGTTGGGAGCTCCAGGTGAGCTCGTGCTAGTTGAGCCGCGCCGGCGGGGGCTCCAGAGGCTTCCTATCACGCTGCCCCATCGAGAGCTACTTCTGGAGTCGGTACTTCCAGTGCTGTGATGACCACTGCCTTCCCCGCGCTTCAAAGATCTCTTCAAGTCATCTGTAGCCACACTGTCACTGCTGTCCGGTCGAGGTCTCCTAATGCTGTCGACTCGTTGCACAGAAGAAAAGTGTGGCGCAGTAGTGTCGGGCATAACGGTCGTAGTAGTCGCGACACTGCTCTTTCTACTCATGATATCATTGCTCGTGATTGCCAGGCTTGTCGGGCGGATAGAGCTGGCGTCAGACAGGCGTCGGTCGTTGCCTGAGACTTGCGACGGGACCATGGAGCTTCGCTGACTCTGACTATGCGTCCTCGAATGTGAAGCTCTTCGGCCCTTTTGGCGGTTCATTTTGCGCCTCAACGATTCCTCCTTGAGCATCGGCGCGACGAACATTGGCGGCGACTGGGCGAAACCACTGATGGATGTCGAGGTGCTCGGCCTGTGGGCCCGAGGAAAAGACACCTGCGAGTTCGAAGGCAGAAACGCGGAGAGTAGGAAGATCATCCTGCGCGCCGCCATCTTGTCTTCCGACACTATGACCGTGCGCGCAGGGAGCGACAGGCCCTCTTCTTCCCTGCGATGCCGACATGTCAGGTAGCGGCGGCGCACGGAGGGAGGGCTGAGAGCCTGCAGCCAGTCGGTGTGCGTAGCAAGAAAGCCCGTCATCAAGTTGTAGAAGAATGGGCTTTGGTCTAGAGACTGCGCCCACTTGGACACCCAGATAGCCTCATCCCGCCAGATGCCCCACCGTCCCTGCCCTGTCGTGACTCTGGAAGCCTTGAGTCCCGTCACAAGTCGCCGTCGTGCCAGATGTACCTCAGCTGCGATGTTGACGTCAGCTCTCAAGCAGCCAGGCTCAAGGGTGACAAGTTTCGTCGTTCCCTTTGACGCCTTGGGTCGGGGGAACTCTCCGCTACGTCTAGCTGATGAGGCCTGACCGCGCATAGGCGCGGAAGAAACCGGCGGTACAGATGCCATTGGCTCTGGCGAGGCAACATCAGCTTGTTTCAGGAGCGCCCGTAGTGTCGTCCCTGTCACGGACTGGAGTTGCGTCAAGGTGCGCATGACAATGTCCCAATGCTGCGTGATGTGGTCGAGCCTATCTTCCACATCGAATGCGGAAGACGGCTCCATCCCCTCGCCGTGGACACTGCCAGCCCACCACTGCGGCTTTGTGGAGCCGTATGAGGAGGAAAAGACGTCTTCAGTCGGGTAGGAGCCAGGCTCTCTGAACAGCGAACGTGGTGTGGCGACAGTCGAAGACCTCGTATTCGCCAGTTGCACGACGAGCACGACGGCGTACATAGGAGTGCGGCGCTGCTTGTGCGGCACTCGCTTCTTCGCCGCATCCTCGTTGCCTGACGGAAAGGGAAAGCCGGTGTTGTCGTCCGAGTAGTGACTTTGCTGCGGCGTCGTATCGGACGTGACATCATCGTTGGTGATGTGTACGGGGAATAGTCTTGTGATCAATATCTTCTTCCTCGACCCCGAGGATGTGGCACTGGGCGGTAATGCGGTGGTGTAACCCCCCTGTGACGTGAACGACTGCGACAGTTTGCTCGCTCTCCCACTCGACCGACCGATGGACGTCCTGCCATCACCGATGATAGAGGAGTAGTACTGTGAGGCCTCGCTTGGTTGAGGCGTGGCGGGGACGGTGTGCACTTTCGTTGATGTTCCTTTGTGGGCCATGAGTTCGGAGTTGCCAAAGATACAGCTCGAGAAGGTGGCGAGCTCGTCCCGATACTCGCGGGACGCACGCTGGGCCTCGGTCTCCATTGTGCTTGGCGTCCTTGTATGCATCGATCCTCGCCTGTCGAAGGCACCAGGGCGAGTGGGTATCGGGTTCTGCGTGTTGATCGAGACGGGTCTCGAGTGTTGTCCTAGGCTTCCCTTACGAGATGTCGTCGAGGCCCTCCTGTTGTCAGCTGCAGGACGGTCCGTGCTGACTGGTGCGTCGGGAACGGGATGGCTGTCGAACAGGAGTGAGGCGCCCATGTGGCCCAAGGTGTCTTGCATAACTAAAATACGCACGTCACGCGTGTCGAGGTCCACCTCCTCGTTGCTGTCGAATGCGTTGGCCGCTCCGGATGCAGGAGGGGTCTGCGGGGTGGTCGACAGCGGGAAAACCTGGTCATTGCGGTTTTGCTGGAAAAGAGCGCGAGGATCGGGGAAAAGGAGATTCCTCGTATGTATGTCTTCATGCACCGAGTCGAGGGAGGAGACCGGACGGGCGTGGGCGGCGGAGGGTGCAGCATTCCCTGCCTGGCCGCCGCCGGAGCCGAACTGAAGGAGACGCCCTATCATGGCGACTCTACGATGTTAAGAGAGGGCTTACACAAGCGTGCGTGGAAAATCTTGCTGTTTGAAGAGCAGTCAAGTCAAGCCTGCACAGAGCGGACGTCCATGGCCCGCGAGCAGATGAGCTGGAGAGGAGGCGCAGACATAGTATCGTTCGTGTTCCCCGAGCGCCAGTGTATCACAACTGCGACGAGTCCAGGCCAGGTGATGGACGGGCGACAGCGAGGCAAGCACCTGAATGACGCCACTGGCAATTGATCTTCTCGCCTCGCTCGTCAGGGTTGGGGGGGCTGCCTGCTTCTGGAGATGATGGCGGGTAGCAGAACGTGGCGCGCGCTCGCCAGAACAACAGCAGGGGCACGCTTCGGGAGAGCTTTGTGGCGGCGCGCGTGCAGTATCGTGCTTGAGAAATAAATGCTGGTCTCTGGACCAATTCGGCTGGAACTTGGTAGAGGCGGCGAAAGGGAGCAAAGGGTGAGTCGAGGGCGAAAAGCTGCGCAAGGCTGCGTACGGCACCTTAAGGTGGTTAATGGCAAGCAAGCACCTGCGAGGAATGCGCGAGGAAAGAGCGCCTCAGGAATGAGTTCGGGCGGCTAGTAGTGATCAGAAGCAGGAACTAGCAGGGGATAATGTGTGATTTTAAAAAGGACAATGTCGGCAATGTGCCCGCGTGGCCCCGGCGACTGTGATGTAAGGAATAAACAATGCGGCTGTTGATCAACAAGGACCACGATGAGAGATGAAGTCACAAAGAGCAGAATTGCAGGTGAGATGAGCTCAATCCGCGGCGGAGCAAGCCTGCAAGGCCTTGGCGCTGCACCCAATTAGCGTCACGCCCGCTGAGATCCTTGCTGGGGCTGGTGGTGCTAGCGGTGGCGCCAGGCTATTTTTCCAGTGGAGCAGGCCAGTCCAGGCCCCAGGGCTCCAGGCCAGGAGCGCTGAAGGGCACGTGAGAGCCTGCGAGCGAGGACTGGGGATTGTTGAGAGTTATTGTGTACATGTGCGGATGGTCACTGAAAATTAGCCAACGTCGACATCAGAGACTCTCAGGCTGACGAGAGCTCCATGTTTCCTGGACACTCGACAGACGCGAGACCCGGGAGACGGGAGACGGGATCCTGAGCCCAACAGCCTGGATCCAGCCGCCCGTATCGAGTCGCTGATTGTCTAGTCTGGTGGACCTCCATCATGCGACGCAGCCATTCACAATCTCGAGATTTCGATCACGGAATCGCGACCCCATCGAGCACGCGCCGGGGGCAGCCGAATCTTCGAGTTGAATCATCACGTACGTGTAGCGCTGCGCCAGTGCGGGCTTGCCCAGCCCAATGGCGTGTAAGACAATGGATGGTCGGCCAATTGGTTCACTGCTTATAGATGAATTTCAGCACTCTGGCCAACCTCTTTTTAGCAATAGCAATCCACGTGGATTCGACCTTGCCGTCCACACGTTTCGATGGCCTCGTGTTTTATGTTGATTGTGCATGGTACCGTTGTCCATTTTGACAACCAGTTTCACTTACACGGTCACCGCCTCCTGCAAACGCCCGTCCACATGCAAGCCAATACGCATACCGAGGAGCAGCCTTTGGGCTTACAGGGTTTCGACTTCCGCATGTTCTTGACCGGTCCAACCCGTCGCAAATCCAACACCACCACACTCGGCTCCCGCCATGCATGGTAAAGCTTCCTGGTGGAGGGGCTGGTCCCGCTCTCAACCGCCTTTTCACCACTCCCAGCTAAGGTAGTAAATAAATAAATGGGGTCATCGTTGATCAAAATGCGGTGAGCGAGCAGAACTTGGATGCGCGCTCTGATCTCCCTCGCGGGTACCGTCATCAATTGCTTATCTCGACGAGGCGTCGACGGCGTAGGCTGGTTGTCCAGGATTGACCTTGTACACCAGATCACGAGGCCTTTTGAAACTTTGAAAGGAAGGGTGATATGTACGCATAGTGGCATCGGGTGCTCGCTGAACCTAAAAATGACTCAGAGGGAGGTGGTGCCGCTGGCAAGCAACACATTCACAAGCCGCCCCCGGAGCTCAGCCTAGTGCCATGCTTCAGTAATCTTGGATACATTTTCAGACAAAGACATGCCAAGATCGATCGCTTCTCTGAATCGGCATTTTCACGGCACTCTGTTAACAATACGTACGCATGTAGCTCAAGAGCCGTCTCTACGGACTATGCCCGTCTGGATCGGCGTGTCCGGGCCGGCGTATTCAGGGTCCGCTGTCTGCACCCGAATGTCACTCAAGCGGGCCAAGTCGGGTGACGTTCCAACTGCCTTTTTATTACCCGGACGGTTGTACGATTTGATTGCCGATCGGCAGGGCTGTTCACTTCTTACTCTTGTTTCAGGTCACCCTGACTTGAAGACTTGATGTTGTCTCCGTATTCCATGTGGTCGAATGGCTTATTATAGTGACCATGTGCTTGACATTGACCGCGTCGCACGATCCTTTGGTTCACTGGATTTCACCACTAATGAGGCAGCATTACTCGCAGCTATAGGACAAATGTCATATATTATCTTATTGACCAGTCACCTAGACCAGTCGCTCAGCACCACCTATGAACCCTACGACGTTGATGACCTCGTGTCGAGATTACATCCAGTCGTCAAGCACGAAGCTATCCGGCACGTATCACAGCACTGCGATCCCGGCGAGAATATGGGAAAGACAAAGCCTCCCTTAGACAAAAGTCGCTGCACGCTCTGCGGTCAGAGTCCGCTTCTTGGTCAAAACTCATTCGTCCCTCCCTGGGCTCACGCATCCCGAAATCGCATGATGACCAGAAAATAAACTACTCATTGATTGTGTGTTTAGCCGACAGATCGACTACCCCAAGCCTCATCCTGGCTGCAGCACACCAGATCACCCGTAGTGGCGGCACGAATGTGGTCTGAGGAATGCATCATTCATGTACGGCCCCGCATCTACGTACGTACGTCTGTCTGATCAGCCTTAGTCTCCCCGATGCTCCCGTCATTCAAACAAACAATACATCGTCAGCCAAAAATCGCCCTCATCATGAAGCTTTCATTGTTCAGCGCCAAACCCTATGACAAGACCTACTTCGAGGCAGCCCACCGCGGGACAGCGTCTTCGGAGGCCATCAAGGTCACATATCACGATTTCCCCCTCAACGAGGAGACAGCCTCCTTCGTCAAGGACACAGATGCCGTCTGTGCATTTGTGAACGATTCTCTCCATGGAGCCGTCATTGACATGCTAGCCGAACGGGGCGTCAAGGCTATTCTTCTTCGCTGCGCGGGCTTCAACCACGTTGACCTGGACGCAGCTGCGCGGCACGGCATCATGGTCGCCAACGTGCCCTCGTACTCGCCCGAGGCTGTCGCCGAATTCGCCGTCGCGCTCATGCAGACACTCAATCGGAACACGCATCGCGCTTACAACCGTGTGCGCGAGGGCAACTTTGCCCTCAATGGGCTTCTGGGAAGGACCCTCCACGGGAAGACCGTGGGCATTCTGGGCGTGGGTAAGATTGGCCTCGCCACAGCGCGTATCATGAAAGGCTTTGGCTGCAGAGTCATCGCCTTTGATCCCTTCCCGTCCAAGGCATTTGAGGAATATGGCGAGTACCGAGATCTGGACACTTTGCTGGCGGAGTCCGACGTGATCAGTCTTCACTGCCCGCTCATGGAGGAGACAAAGCATATCATCAACGAGGAAAACATCGCAAAGATGAAAAAGGGGGTCCTGCTTGTGAATACGTCCCGGGGCGGGCTGATTGACACCAAGGCAGTCATTAAAGCCCTCAAGACCCATCATATTGGTGGTGTGGCTCTTGATGTATATGAAGGCGAAGGCGATTTGTTTTATAACGATCACTCGGGAGAAATCATCCACGATGATGTGCTCATGCGGCTCATGACGTTTCACAATGTGATTGTCAGCGGCCACCAGGCTTTCTTCACCGCAGAGGCCTTGACAGAGATCGCAGAGTGTTCGCTGCGCAATCTGGAAGAGTTTATGAAAAACGGATCGTGCGCCAATGCGCTGGGCAAAACGGACAGTGGAGCAGAGAAGACGTCTTTTCCTGTGAGAAACGTGTAGTAGTGTCTGAAATTATGGGTATCCTATGTTCGCTGCTATATATTTACTCCAAGTATGAATCTTCTCTCCGCTGTGCATCACCTTCGACCTCCTGGCATTCTTTAAGGGTTGCTCACGTAGCTCCTCGCCCTCCTGAGGTCCTCATCCTCGGACTCGTCATCCCTGGTGATACCACCGACGGGATTCTGCGCCACCTTTGCCTTCTCCACGTCATCCGCGTCCGTCTTCTCCTCCTCGTCGACATACGCGTACTTGCTCTTCGCCCGGATGCGCGCGCCAAACTTCCAGAACAGGAAGGGGATCGCGCAGCAGGCCAAGCTGATGAATCCAATAAGAGAGCTGGCCCACTGGTCGCCCAGGCGGTCGTACATCTGCTCGGTAAAGAGGACAACGGCGGCACCCCAGAAGCTGCGGATAAAGGTCTTGGCCGCGAGCGCGGAGGCGGCCTGGTGCTGGTACGAGTCGACAAGGTAATTGTTGGCCGAGTTGTACAGGAAGATGAAGCCAAAGCCGACGGGGAAACCACCCATGGCGGGTCCGGCCCACGAGAGCTCGGGGTAGCTCGTCCAGGCGAAGATGAATAGACCGATGGGGATGCACCAGCAGGACAGCATCATGGGGATCAGTCTCGTCTCGGCAGGCGGCTTGCCTCCGTGCTTTGCAACGAGCGTGAGGTAGTGCTTGTTGACAAAGGGGGCGCACGCCGCAGAGAGCAAGACGCCCACGGCGACGGGGATGAACATGAGACCCGTCGTGCTGGCGGAGTATCCCTTGCCCTTCTGGTACACAATCGGGTAGGCCACGAAGAACATGTACAGTAGACCGTAGAGAACGGACATGTATAGCGAGATGAGGAACACGATGAGTTCGCCAAACAGGAGTTGGAATGGCCGGATGAGGAAGACGCGCAGCCGAGCCGAAATGGGGCGCGGGTCAATGTCCTGCTCGGTGACGTGCGAGGGGTCGTCTGTCGACTTGCGCAGCTTCCTGGCGCGGCGCGAGAGAATCGTGGGCGCGTAGGTCTCGGGGACCGTGAATGTGATGAGGACCCAGACGACAAAGGCGAGGATCAGCTGGATCCAGTAAAGCCATCGCCAGCCGGAAGAATCAGAGAGGAAGCCACCAACAAGAGGACCGACTAGAAGCGAAGTGGTTAGTCACTGTGACAATACCTCGTTCGAGATAGAAAGGCACTTACTCGCTGGCCCAATGAATGGGGCAGCGGAAAAGGCAGCCATGGGCACACCGCGCTCCTCGTTCCTCCAGAGGTCTGCCAACGTACCGCCCACGAGCGTCATGGGCGCCGAAAAGGCAATCCCATCAATGGCACGGCATACGAGTAGTGTTGTGATGTTATCAGCAACAGCGCTTGGGATGATGAAGATGACGGCAACGAACAAAGTCGTGCCACTGGCCCCTGTTAGTCGTCAAATACCCCCCAGGCACCAGACCAGATCACCTACTAGATGATTCGCCGTCCATAGACTTCACTCAACGGTGCAAACACCATGGGTCCCACGCCAAATCCCACAACAAAGATGGAGATGGAAACCAGGGCGACTTCCTCCGAGACGTCAAACTCCTCTACAACGCCGGCAATATCCGCCGTGATGACGGACGACGCAAACGCCACGACGAAGCACGTCATGGCCACCACGAGCGTGATGTACCATTTGAACGCCTTGGACCAGTTCTTGGGGTTGCCAGGGTCGTCGGGAGCAAAAGCCACAATTCGTTGCTGTGTGGGCACCTGTTCGTCTGGGCGTTGGGTTCCCGCCGTGGAGGAGGAGGCAGCGGACGAGGAGGAAAATCCCTCCTCTCGTGTCAGTATTTTCGAAGCAGAAGAATCCATTATATATGAGATTGACCGCCTCTGAGCTGCAATGCTTATCTCACAACGTAGCAAGCTCAACGGAAAGGGAGGCTATTCTGGTCATATATGTACACGACCTCAAACCGCCGGAGCCGCTCTAACCGTTCAGAGACCCACATAACCGGGTCTCTCCTACCACGACTACCGATCCAAGTGCTTGATGGCTATCCACTCTGAAATAAAAGGCTTCTTCATCTGAGGGCCGGCCTTATTCCCGTGAGCAAAGTGTGCGAAGAGCAACGTCTCAATAGTAGGTCGAGTTTCATCAGGGGCAACCTTGGTGCTTGGCGCGGACCCATAGGCCCGCTCAGGCCCGCGCTTGCAGCTACAGCTTTCCAGGAAACGGGAGCCATTGTACTGCAGAGCCCCGACTGTACTAGAGAATCAGAACTTGCCGTCATGACCTTTCAAGGAACGTTGTTCTTCCCCACGAATACAAGGCTTGCAAATTTTTCGCGTCAAGTTCGAGGTCAGGCAGTGAGACCCACCCGGACCCGATGTGGGTCTCTTCGGGGCCCATAAATAGTTCCTTATTCCGCTCCGGCCGCGGGAACACGGATCCACACCTTGAACTGAGTGAGTCCCGCTGAGTGCTCATGATGTCAGTGGGCCGTGGTCGACGTTCACAATAGACTGCATTCCCAGGCAATGTGATAAATGTGAATACTCGTTCAATGCGTGTGCAATCTACCTAAAGTAGATGTTGGGTATCTCCTTCCCAACAAGTGCAACTGAAATCAAGAGCGAGGCCGACACAAAGTCTCCATGTCAGCCATACATACGGGAAGCATGTTCACGCCGCATCAGCACCGCTATCACGCCAGACGTTGGCATCACCAATGCCCAGGCCAGAAACGGTGTTAGGCATTACCAGCGAGGGCAGCTCTTCTGTCGATGTGTTGGTCTCCTCCTCTGTGGGAAGCGCCGGCGGATCTCGATATACCCAGGGTTGTTTCAAACTGGAAAAAAGTCAGTTGAGCGCCACAATCACTCAGAGCGAGTCAACTTACGGAACCACAAGGCTGGGGTTGACAAAGGTCACGCCTTTCTCACGGAACTCATCGAGCGTGCTACTTCTTCGGAAGAGAGCCTGTGATGGCCGCGACTCTTCCTCATCAGCAAATTGCTCATCCATCAAAACGGCATCCTCGTGATCTTCCGTTGACCGAATTGCCCGAAGCGCAATGTACTTGGTCAAGGGTTCGTAGCGCTTCTTGAAATAATAACTGTACCATATCGTGAATGGAATCAGCGGCAGGATGAAAATAGATTGCACAAACGCAGATTCGGTCGCAATTTGTCCCACCATGACAATCTCGAATATGATCAGACCGACAATGATGCGGTAGCATATGATGCGCCAAGCACCCCCGGTAGCATGCTGGGGTTGGTCCATGGCGTACATGACCATGTACTTGAAGGTGAAATACCCCAGAACGAAATAGATGATGCCGAAAATCAAAATGGCAAAGCCCCAACGAAGCACGCTGTATATCAGACACAAATTGAAGATGAGCAATGCCGTCGGCAGGTAGAAGCCATACTGAAACACTGGCGGCTTCTCCAACTCGGCATAGTCCCGCGGCGTGGACGACATCGCCCGGTAGATGGGATACAGCACAACGCTGCCGAATTCGAGCATGCGGAAAGGCATGAGGCCGATGCCCTGGAGCATGATGAAGGAGATGTAAAAGACAGACAGCCACTCGACATCTTCCGATATGGCGCGGGGAATCTGGCTAGTGTCTTTGAGGAATTCTTGGAGCTTGCTCAGAAAGTCGAGACCAGTGAGTGAAATAGCAAAGACGAAAAACGTGTTGAAGAATGTGAAGAAGAAGTTTTTGGAAATGACCGAGAGCTCGACATCGCCGTGCGAGATCATGCCCTGGTAGTTGGACAGCCAATCATATAGGTAAGGGACTGCCACGTTAAGTAAGGACACCACTAGCGTCGGTACACCATTTTGTAACAAGGAGTACATGATGGGATGGTCTTTCAGCCAGGCAGCAAAGTCGGGTGCAGTTTTTTCCACGGTGCAGAAGCTGAGCAGTGAGGCGAGGAAGACGGTTGGGAATATCCAAAGGATAGTCAGGATGCAAATAAAGGTTGTGATGGACCATGATTTGAGGCGACGGATGCCACGCATGGCGTACGTGTTCTTCCACACCAGATCCGAGGGCGCAGGTGTGGCTTTGGTCAGGAGATTGCCAGGGCGAGGATCGATCCGTGCTTGGATGACCATCTGGCAGGACGCGACAGAGTCCATTGTGACCAGGGCCATGTCGGTTGGCTTGTAATCCTTTCTCCTTGCAGCAACAATCTTCGAATCGATCCGACGCAGCTTCTCCTCGTAATAGTCGATGGCATCCACTTTGCGAGAACGCAGAAGAAATGGCCCATACCGAACTTTCGTTTGGGGTCGCTCGCCCTCCAGCATGTGGGGGTTGTCCGTGTTGTCCTCGAGGACGCGCTGGTTTTCGCCGGCCTCTTCGTCAATGTGCGGTGTTGAGTTCCCATTTGCAGGTGCAGCAACCTGGCCTGGCCGTTGTGTTTGCTTGTCTGGATTTTGCGATTTGAGATATCTGGCCCATGCTGTTTCAAGCTTCCGCAAAAGCTTGTCTCGATCCTCCATCAAATGATCAACCTCTTTCCAATTCCGGCACATGGTTACACATTCGACGCTCCCAATTTCGAGCTTTTCGATCAAGTGCTTGACACGACCTTCCGATCGGAAGTCCTCGGGAACACCAGTCAGACGGAAGGTTCGATCGGTGACAGTCGACTGAGAGCCTAGGTAGTCCTGTCTGAATTTGATGATGCGGTTTGTCTCCCAATTTATGGTATACATTGTCATCGCAACAAACAGGTACGTGAAGAAAACATAGGCCCATAGATACGTTCGCTTGGAGCTGAGGTCTTTGTGGTGCCCGCCCTTGTACATGCCGAAACTGCTGTCGTCGTCGTCTTCAAGTGGTAAGAGCGTAGGCGACAAGCCCAGCTGGGATAAGTCGTTTCCGTCTTCAGTTTTGTTGTCACCAAAAGTCGGTCGGAAATGCCGAAATTGGTTGTTAATAGGTAGAAGAACGACCAGGGCAAAGAACCCCATGACGCAGAACAGACGAATGGCCATCTTGAAGAAATTCAGGAACTACGCACGTCAGCACGCCTGACTCAAGCAACCATGGAGAAGTGTTACTGACCACAAAGGCATCAAGACCTGCGCTTGCCAAGACCTCATGCTCCGTTATCCTGTATAGCTTCGGCATCCATCCAAAAAACGATGTCCCCAGTTCGGGCAGCTGTATTTGTGGTTCGATTCGTCGCTTGCGCGCGGCGTATAGCTGGGGCCATCGTGGGCGCAATACCTGGAGTGGTCAGTCGAGAACGCGCGCATGTAGCTCAAATACCAACACAGAAGGTGATGAGTGCCGTAGCACCAAGCGCGAGCGACAAAACAAGTTGCACGCCCAGGTCTTTCTGGCTCTTGGAGGGCGTGACGTGCACGCTGCCGGTCGAGTTGCAGCTGCTGCTGCCGTTCACGTCGGGTCCGCGAAATATGTCCATCGTGGCGCCGCTCTCCCTATTTCCTTGTTGACGGTGATGGCACCGTTGAGGTGATGGGGAGAAGTTGGGTTGATGGTTGTCAAGGGTCCAAATGTCGCGGTTGCATGTCGCAACCCATCTGTTGTTCAGGGTGCCTAGCCTAGTACCAGCTCTGGTGACGTAGTGCACGTGCCGAGCCGCGCAGGGCTTCACGCGCCCTGCACCATCGGGCATTAGGTCACGCAGCCAACTGCCAAAGACGTTCACCAATTACACGGCCAACAGAGTTTCACTTGTCACTCTTGCACAGTGACATTATCCCATCTATAAACCTTTCTTTCATTAAAGCTCGGGCGGATAGTCCCAGGGGAGATTTCCGTCTGCAGCACCAGCCAAGCCCGAGAACATTGTGTCATCCATGATCAGACCCTCAAGGAACGACGATGGCAAGAATGGGAGCCCCGACGGCGACTGGGATCCAGAACAAGTGGGCGTAAATGCGAACGAGTCGCCCATCCTAGTCCGGCACTGCGATAACGGCACAAAGTCATGATGGGGCTGTGATGGGAGGTCACCGGCAGGCCCCCTCGCAGCCGTTTCTGGACCAGAGCTCTCGGCATCTGCTCGTTGCTCGGGTTCCGACTTGTCCAAGCCCGCACTTTGCATGCTACGAATGAACTGGTCCACCACGCTGGTCATGTACCCAGCAGGCTGGTAGTTTTTTGCCATCAAGCTGATGGCGAGCCGCAGCGATGTGATCTTTTCAATCAACTTGTCGCGCTGAGGCATGTCCGTCTGAAGTATGACCTCGCCCATGAGCGCTGTTACTGCCGTGCCAGCATGTTGCACAGCCGTGCCATAGGCCTGCGCCATGTCGAAGCGTGCGCGGTACTGTTCGAAAATGGTGGCAATGTGCTCAGCACTCTCGACACAACTGGTGCGGGACAGGCTGGTGAAAGGATTGCCCACATCCGCTTCCGACTTCTCGCTGTATCGCACAAATGGCCGATGTAGCAATATGACTGCTGCATGATACTGCGTGCTATCTGGGGTCAGTAAACAGATTCTATCACTGGCAACCGGTTGTGCTAGAACATACTGAAGAAGGTAATACGATGGCGGCATCGATTTCTGGGTTTCGAGGGACCACTGAAGGTGTCGTGGCAGACTAGCGCACCAATCTCGGAGTTGCTGATCGATGGCCGCCATTTTAAAGTACGTCTCCGTTGACTTGGGCGCTCTTGGCCCCCTGAGCTCACATAGCTGGCTGATTGTCTCCATCATCTGGAGCAGAGCCTCATATACCCTTGTGGTCGGTTTCTTCTCATGCCATGATGGTCTACAGAGAATCATTCGGCCAAAATCGAAGGACAGGCAGGCGGGTGAAACGTCGGTGGTTTTGATCGTCGTGGGCCTCCCTAAGTACAGCGACCAGAGCCTAGAAAGTCAGCGAGGTTGAGCCATGCTGGTGATAGTGTGCTTGCCTGTCTGTGACCATGCACGCCCAGAGGACCATATGTCGGATCTGCACATCTCTCTCCGGCAGACCTAGTTGACTGGGGTCGACATGCAAACCGGCATCAAAGATGATACGGAAACACATGCCTGTGTACAGCCAGCCGGTATCATCGTTTCCGCAGCAGAATTCCAAGCCTCCGAGTAACTGGAAGGCTTGAATGGATGGAATACCCCCTGGCTTCTCGACCTCAAGCTTGGCAAGCGCTTTTGCCTTTTCATGCAATGTGGAGGTGGCGTACCCCGGCAACGCAAGCCGTCGAATGTCACCTCTGGTCTTGTCTGCATACCGAAATCCCGTCGCCAACATCGTCAGGTGCAGGAACGTCGAGTAGAACTCGACTCCTCCTTGTTCCTGGTCTCGGGAGAAAGTTTCAGCATGTACCAAATGGACCACGGAGTTGTGTAGATCCCAGAACATATCCATCAGGTAGTCGTGTGTTTCAGATGACAAATCGCGAACGAGGAGAGCAACTGGCCAGTGGGTATCACGCCGAGCAGGAACGTCATGGTTCGAGCTTGCGCGAGCGAGAACATTCATGTGCGTCGTCGACCCAAAGTACCGCACCCTGCCAGAGGCCATGTCAAAACGGATAGCAGAAGGCATAAGCTTAGTGACAACCAAATCCGGCGAATCAACTGGTCTGATTTCTTTGTTCTCATCTTCACTGTCCGGTGATGTATAGGGCGGTGGCTGGCTTAATGGCGTCACCTGGCTTTGAGGTGGAAGAAGGTCTTGGTCGGTCGCCCGAGCTTCCTTCAATTGTCTCTCGAGATCGTTTATACGCCGCATTAGCTTTGTCTCGACAGCTTTTGCCGATGCGCGGCTACACAATGGGTTAATATCACGATGAATCATGGCCCCTCTTGCTCTCACCTTTTGCGCCCATCTTTGGCATCGTACACGCAGACAAAATCGCTGTCTCTACAGTTCACACACGTGGTACTCTTGGGGTCAAAGATGCACTGCCGCAGTCAACCACCATGGTCACCAAATATTCTTGATCCGAACAACCTACACGAATTCGTGATTTGCGGCATTGTGTGCACGCGGCTGTTGCCCGATGACGATGCCTTGCCGGCGTCGAGGTCTGATCTGAGGACGAAGTCATGGTGTCAAGCTCATGGTCATCGAATGACCGAAAAAGCCGTGAACATGACTGCCCCCCGGAAGATGATCTGCCTGAATTTGGAGGTCTTAAGGTTCGAGGTCAAGTTGTGGGTTCCGAACTACGGAGATGTTTTCCCTGGGCAGCACGGTACCATGCGGTTTCCTTCATCTTCCCCACAACGGGGACTGTTCTCCAGATTCTCCGCATCAAGCTTCTGGAAGCGCGGTGAAAGAAAGTGAGGACAGCTGTGCAGGAAATTGAATGCGCTCATGAACAATGGCATGCAGGCTGTAAGATGAAGTGCACAAAGCCTTCATGTTCCAAGGGGAAACCCATGGGACATGTGGTTTGAGGATTCGTACCGCCCAAGCACATCCCAGGTGCGCGACCTTCCGATGGAATCAAACATCCGCTTATGATCACCCGTCCACGCTAAGTATTATCCCCGCATGATGCCATATGTCCGTCGATACTGGGAGGTAAGGAAGCACACGAGGTGCGCTCTTTTCGATTTGGGATCCGCGGCTTGATGGAATCCAAGTACATGGAACGTGGAACGACCATAAATTCTCCAGAGTGCAGAGGCTTTCTTTCATTCTCTCACGTGCAAGATAGAATCAGAGGAATAAGCAAGCCTTCTTCACGCACAGGTCGTCTTTCCAAGAGCTTTGGAAACAACGAAACAGCGAGATGAAAGATAAAGTCGTGGTGATTACCGGCGCCGCCTCAGGCATAGGTCTCGAGACTGCGAAGCTTCTTGCCTCCAAAGGCGTCAAGGTTTCTTTAGCCGATGTCCAGGAAGGCCCTCTTCGCAAGGTCGTGGATGACATCAAGAACAGTGGCGGGATTGCGTCTGGGACTGTCGTCGATGTCCGCGAGCGCAAACAAGTCGAGGCTTGGATAGACGCCACCGTCAAGGAATTCGGCAAGCTGGACGGCGCAGCGAACATAGCAGGCGTCATTGGTAAGGGCATCGGCATCCGAGGCATCGAAGAGATTGAAGATGATGACTGGGACTTTGTGCTTGGTATCAACACAAAGGGCGTGCTGAATTGTCTTCGGTAGATCCCCTCTGGTCTGGGCTGCGGATCCATACTGACGAGAACACAGCGCTCAAATCCCGCAAATGAACGAAGGAGGCTCAATTGTGAATGCCGCGAGTATAGCTGGCTTGATCGGATTCCAGAACAATGCCGCCTATGTCGCCTCGAAACACGCAGTGGTCGGCTTGACAAAGGTAGCAGCCAAGGAGCTCGGCCCTCGCAAGATCCGCTGCAACTGTGTTTGCCCGTACGTGCGCCACTTCCCGCGGAAGTTACATGCTGACATGCTTTCTAGGGGACCGATCGACACTCCTATGATTCGAGCATCTGAGGATATCAAAGGAGATGGAAAGGTCACTTTTGAGGATGGGATATGTTTGCGGCGAAGAGCTCATCCCAAAGAAGTGGCCGAGGTTGTCATCTTCTTACTGTCTGATGCCGCAAGCTACGTTACCGGGTCATCGCAGCAGGTTGACGGGGGTTGGAACTGCTGAATTTGGTCATGAAATATCACAAGAGCACCTTTATCCGTGTACATGCCGTGCTGATTTGCGGCATCAACAATGAGCGCAATTGTGAAAAGCTGCGTGTCTTGGGCGTCCCGTATAGGCATGGGCATGCGATGGGGCGACCAAGGTGTCGAACAGTATACCGCAGATGTAATACATACAGTGAAGTCCAATTGACCACAAAGGTAAAGTTGAAGTCGTCGGCTACCGCGAATCTGGGGTGGAAGCTGAAAGTCGTGGAGAACGCGCACGGGCCACAGCGAATCATGTGACGCGACGACCCGAATAATCTTCGACATCAAGCAATGAGATCACCACCGTCGACGACCACTGCTCCAAGCCAAGTTGAAATTTACGACCACCACGGAACCCGCCTTTGCCAAGAGTTCTCCAGCTGCAGAACAACCAGACGCATCGATTCCTCGAGTCGTCAATCTCACAGTCGCCGTAATGCGCCGCGCCGGCCTTCTGACGAGCTGCTGCTCGCGCGGCATCGCAAGCTCCATTGGCAGCTCTTCATCCGCCGTCTCAACACCTCTGCGCTCGGCCATTCTCGCCCAGATCCGATACAAGTCCACCTCCTCATCCAACCATGCGAATGCCGCGCAAAAAGAGATCAACGCCGGCACCTTCCGCACCGGCGAAGATTTGGCCCAACAACGTGCTTCGTCCACCGTCCCGCCATCCGAGCAGGTCCCTTCCAACCCAGCCAACACCACACCTCCGCTAGACTGGAACACCTTTTTCAAATTGCGCATGCGCCGCCGCCGCGTCCAGCTTGCCTTCAGCGCGACCACGGGTCTCATTGGGTTCGCAACTGGCGCGACACTGCTCCCTACCGCCATGGGCGAGCCATTGGTCGCCATGATCCCACTCGACCCCATCTTCAGTCTCGGAATATTGACCCTCGCTTCTGCGGGCGTGGGCTGGCTGGTCGGACCTAGCATCGGCGGGCAGGTGTTCAATCTGCTCAACCGTCGGGTCGTCGGGCAGATCAAGAAGAAGGAGGTGGAGTTCTTTTCGCGGATCAAGAAGAACCGTGTCGACCCTACCAACTCGAGTGCAGCGAACCCTGGTGAGTTGTCAATCTTGAAAGCTCACAAAATGACTGAACGCTAACCACGGCAGTGCCTGACTATTACGGCGAGAAGATCCAGAGTGTCCATGGATACAGGCAATGGCTGAAGGATCAGCGCGCCTTCAACCGCAAGAAGTCTGCCAACTTGATATGAGGTGGGCAATACCAAGCTCTCAAAGCATCATTTCCTTAGGTACATGTTCATGGTGCGGCTCGGGTCATGGAAAAAAGGGTCGCCACTCATCATCAGTGTAGCATTATTGTTTGTGTACTTTTCAATGCCAATGCAAGCCAGTCAATATCTGAGGCTCGCCATGTTATCTCAGTGCGTGTTGTCCCCGGCTGATGACAGATTCGAACCTCTCGGATTGCAAATTGGTCTGTCGCTGAGGATGCAGATCATGGAAGTGCTACGGCGGACACAGGATGGACAACAGCCGAAATGGCTCAACGCATCTGCCACAGTCTCGCCGGAAGAGGTGTTGCGGGGGTGTAGATAAAATTTTGGCAAGTATAGAATCCGAGTCCTATAATACGATTTTGCACATCGCAACTACCGGTAAGCCATACGGATCATTCAGACCCATGGCCTTGAGCACGAAAGGGAAACAGCCCCTAATACAAATCGTTCTCAGTGCTTCGCCTCGTAAAGGTTCGCTGAACACTCTCTTAACCAGCAATGGGCGCCAAGAGCCCTGCAGGCCTCGTCAAAGCCTCCAGCTCAATACAGCGGGAAGAGGGGCACTGAAGCCTGGCCAGAAACACCGCAGAGACGCCCCATGAGCCGATTGTCTTCCCTGGTTGGCCTTGTGGAGGCGTGACTTCTTGCCTAGGAGCAAAAAATTGTTGTTCTTCCTCGAGTTTCGTTCCGCAGATTCGCTTGGTGAAGGTTTCCAGTGATGCGCCGATGCGTCGAGGTCTGCTCTGGTCTTTGCGTGCTTAGGGCAGATGTACGCTGTCGAAAAGGGCAGTCAAAGATCTCGCCCGGCGATTCGATCATCGCCGAGCCCCCTCTATCCGGGCCTCGTCCTCGAGATCGACGCGCGACTGAGGGTGTGAAAGGCCATACGGATACAGTATGGCTTGAAACGCGTTGTGTGTTTGACCCATCATGTAAAGGGCATGTCGGGGTCAACGACCTGTTTCCAAGCAACAAGCCCGCCTTCAATATCTCCGATGAAGCGCCCATTCTTGCCCAATCCCATGTCCATGAGCTTTTGCGCCGCAATTTGAGAATCGTTGCCCACTCTGCACACAACGTAGATTGGCTCACCACCAGGGATGGTGTCTGTCACCCAGTGCGGCACTTCTTCCCCACGATAGTTCATGAATCTGCCTATTGGGATGTTGACGGCCCCAGCAAGGTGGCAGAGCCCAAATAACTCCTTCTCCCTCACGTCCAAAAGGACATGGCCCTTGCCCATGATACTCTCAGCATAGTCTTTGACACTGATACGCTCCTCTGGCTGTAGAAGAGACACCGGTTGCCGCACGCCACAGAACTGAACATAGTCCATGGAGGTTTGCAGCCCTTCTAGGGTCAGGCTAGGATTCTCCCCGCAGGCAAAGCAGTCTTTGCGCTTCCCTCGCATCCTGATTGATCGAAACGGCGTCTCTGCCATGCCGCTGAACAGCAACATCATGTTCTTCTCTGGTGGCGCTTCCCTGTTGATGACCTTGAGAGTCTCCAGGGCCTGGAGAACACCCATTGTGCCGACCACGGGCCCCAGAATCCCACCCTCACCGCAGCCAACGACACTCTCCGGCGGTGGAGGTTTGGGAAATACACACCTGTAGCAAGGTCCCTGACCGGGTGGATCGTTGAGGACCATCATTTGTCCGCTTTTTTGAAAGGCGCTGGCGGATACAAGTCTCTTCCCCAGCAGAGTGCATATATCCGAGATGAGGTACCTCGAGGTGGGATGATCTGTGCAGTCCAGCACAATGTCCCATTCTCTGACGATCTCTTCGGCATTTGACGTTGACAGATTTGTTTGATATGCCTTGTACGCCACGTTCGGATTCAAGTCCTTGAGGAACGTGATCGCACTGGAGACCTTGGTCTGTCCGACGCGAGAGGTTGCATGGGCAAATTGGCGGTGCAGATTCGACTTTTCAACAGTGTCTCCGTCCACGAGGCCAATGTGCGAAGGTCCGGCGGCCGCAAGATAGGTCGCCGCTGGGCAGCCTAGACCTCCTGCGCCAATGATGAGGATCTTGGCGGCCTTGAGCTGAAGTTGAGCTGGAAGATGTTAGCCAACAGTCATGACGCCACGCTCGCCGAAGAGATTCATTACCCTCGATACCAAAGTTGGGGACGATCATCTGCCGTGAATAGCGCAGGTATTCTTCACCACTCAAAGGCCAAGCCCAGGGCTCGGCTTGCTTCGCGAGACGATGCTCAGATTCAGCGAGTGCAAGTTGAGATCTCAGCTCCGCGAGCTCGGACTCACGGAGCGAGATCTCTCGGCGCAGATGATCTATACGGTCCATCCTGATTCTTGGCCTATTCTGGAGGGAAATTCGAGCAGCCCCAGAGTATCAAACGCAATAATAATGACCTGCTAACATTAGATTGGACCCTTGGAGGGGCAGTAATCGTTGCCAAAAGTGTCTGTTCAATTTTGGCACCTACCGAAGTGAGGTACCCCGCCAAGGTTCCAGTCCAATGCTTCTCGGTGAGTTTACATTCTTCACCGAAAATATTCTGGTTACAGCATCGCCATCGAGCAGCAGACCATCATTCACCCATTGTCGACATCGCAACATCCACGACCACAATGGTATGCTTCCTCGCGAAATGTCCCATGTCTCCCAGATTCCCCTGGGAGTCAATCTGTCAGCAGCCATGTTCGCTGACAAGTTCAAAGGCACCCACAGCGCCCCCGTCCTCCAAACCATCCGCCCGCACCCTCCGCCACCAGCGCATCACGGGCCAAATCCACCCCCTCCTTCCCAGCAAGCTCTTCCGCCCAGACGCCCAGGTCTCCGACAGCTTCATCTCCTCCAAGCGCGACAAGCGGACCATCAAGCACTCCTCGTTTCTCTCCAAGATCCAGTCCACGCCCCATGCGCAGAACCGCGTCGGCAAGAACAAGGGCGGCAGCGGCCACCGGCGGCACAAGCGACCGGGGAACAAACTCACGGCGCTGGATGGACTGGAGGATGCTCTGCCGGATGTGAGTGATGCCCCGGAAATGGGCAAGGTCCGTGCAAGGAGCCTCAAGAGCCGACCGGGCGCGCTGAAGAGGAAGGAGAGGATGATGAAGGGGGAGATGGAGCGGTTTGGGATGAACATGGCCAACCTGGCCAACTTGGCTGATCAAGCACCGTCGAAAACACAAGAGTCCATGGAGGGACAGGAGGTGAAGAGCAAAGAGGACCAAGGGCGGGCGAGTCGATGGGCAGCGTTGAGGGGGTATGTCTCGTCCACGATGGAGCAGAACCCTGCGTTTGCAGACAAATTGTAGGGTCGGCTTGGTCATGGTGTTATAGCCGAGGATTTTTCACACTATTTTAGCAAGACGTAAGTCACGAACCGGGGGGGGGGGGAGTTAGGCGTTTGGTATCGCAGCCCGAGGAGGCCAATGCATGCAGTTAAAATAATTGCTCGTAAACGCATAAACTTCGTGAACTCATTCGCAAACCGCCCAACTCCTTGAATGAGAATGCTCACCCGCCCTGAACACCCATCATTGCCGCGGACCATGCTTCCTTTCATATGCTCGTAATACCAGTGACTCAATAGGGAAAGAATAACGAATCAGTCGCTCGACAAAAGAGACCTATACACAGCCGTAACGTGTTGTCTCGCTCAGCGCATGGGTATCTTGTTTCTAGCGTAAGATCGGAATGAATGACTCTTTGGCCTTCGCAGCTTGGCAAAGACACTGGCCGGACCCTGCTGTTTCGATGCCGCGGACGCGGAGAGATAAGGAGGAGATGAAGAATCGGGAGGAGTAGCGTTTTTGCGCTTGGTCGATATCGGTGACGACCCGGGAAAGTCATATACATCTGAATCTAGTGGGGGGTCGACCAATGGGTACGATGTCTTCGCAGAGCCCTTCGTGCCGTACGTTTTGAGAGCATGTGTCTCTTTCGGATCACAGCGAGTTCTCAGCGCCTCGTTGTGGGCAGGCGCCAGGTGACTATCGCTTCGTGGTGGCGTATTGGCAACGCGCGGCATGCGCAGGTGATTCGAGATCTCCTCATAGTCCCTCTGGGAGCCGTAGCGTGCCGCATTCTATTCGATTCGCGGGGGCGTCTTTGATGCAAATGGACTTGCGCTTCTCCTGGTACATGGTCAGTCACGGCACTCCAGTCCACGTACTGTTGAAGCAAGTAGAATGACTTACGACCGCCTGCGCTCACCTTCCTCGCGCAAGTTCTCAATGATGGCCAGCATCTCTTTCCTCCCGCCGTTGCTATCGACCATCTTGCCGCCCATACTCATGCTCACTTTCTCGCGCGCGTTCGCACTCAACAACCGCTTCACCAGGAGATGACGCATGATGATGCACACAAAGACGCCGCAATCGCTGCCATTCTCCTGCTGCGGCGCATCGCGCAAGTTCTCAAAGTCCAACCGTCTCTTAAGAATGTGGGACATTTTCGTTGTCGCGAGCTTGGCTTCGTGATAGTTCGCCCCACCTAATGAGTCGTAGTGGAACGCTTTTCCGTCGAGCGCGGACACAACGAGGAGTGACCAATGCGAGCCGCCCTCGGCCACGGAGACATTGCGGTTGTCGTTGATCGGCATGAAGATGTGTGTGACTTTGGAGAAGTCCGGCAACGCGGCGCGAATCGCGCGTTGGTCGGGCTCTTTCATTAGAAGGAACGTCATGCTCGGTCGCAACAAAACGATGCGTGCCTGGGGGAATTTTGGCAACGTTTCGCGCTCGAGATACTCTTCCCAAAAGGCAATGTTGTTGTCGGTCAACCAGTCATTTTTCAGGGACTTGACGTCCTCGAGCGTGAGTAGGACATCGTAATAGCTGAGGTAGGGTTTCTCAGGGGAGAGTGAATGGCCAAAGTGGCGCACGATACGGTCGCGCAACGGCATTCTCTTGCGTCGCAGGGGCACAGGGCTGCCCTTGTCGGAGGGTAAGGAGGTTCCAGACGAGTTGGCGTCGTCTTCGTCGCCGTCAGAGAAAAGAGAGATGATCGAAGTTGTTGACGCTTCGGCGGAGCTGGCGCTTCCTTTGCGACTTTTGCGAAGAAAGGAGAGAGAAAACCGGCTGCCAAGTGAGGGTATTAACAAATGATCAGGGGGGGAGGAATGGAACTGAAGCGAGGCGAGGCGGTCCTGGAGGGAAAATGGGATGAGCCCGAGATGGAAGAGGGGCGGGCCTTGGGCGGCTGACCTGGGTTCTGGACCAGCAGCACCTGCCAGCGAGCGGGAATGACGAAGCTTGAAAATTGGAGATCGCTCAGGCGCCAGGGAATGTTTCTCTTTTTCCGTTTGTCTGTTCGTGAAGCAACTCTCGCTCGAACCATCAACCGGCCAAACATGGAGGATTTTCTCGTGACCACATATGCAGCATGTGGTAACCAGAAAAAATAACCCAGTGCTTGATGGGAGTTGATTCGCGCGCGCGCCAGCTGGAGCTCTGCGTGGACCCTGGATCGCGCCGCCCCTCCGCAAGGTAAGGCGGTTGGGCACGCCCAGACCGGATTCGTCACTGCCACGCGCTTTGCGCCACCATGGCACTCACGTAGTCATGGTGGCACAGTCAAGTCCCTTCATTCCCCACCGATCCCCAGACTCGCTAGCACTGGCACACGGCAATCTCCGTGCAAATGGCAGAGTGCATCGGACACGCGGGCAAGGAGAGACGTGCAGAGAAAAAGCCGTGTCTCTTACCTGCTTGGTGACGATGATGAGCGGCCTGTGGCCTCCTCGTTGTCAAAGGTGCTCATGCCCTGAATCGGATGGGTTATATGTTGAAGACGTTCGAAAGACAGCTGTCGGTTGTCGTTGATTCGGGCGGCGCAATTACAAGCTGTCGCTCGGTGATATTCGTCGAGATAGCATTTGCGTATGATGAGAACGACGATGGATTGCAGAATGCCAGGGAATGGGTATCACATTGCTAATATGCGCAAACGCTTGCCTGCTCGTCATCTCTTGGGCACGAGTCACACCCGGTTAAACACGTTCGCCCGTCATTTTCAGGAATGGGGGGTGCACATGGAGCTAAAAAGTGCATACGTCACGGCGCAGCGCACCTTATCCTCAAAGACCAGTTACACAGCCCAGCCTAAAGCCCTCTTTCTAGGCATCGAAGTTCTAGAACCGAGCTGAGCAACTGAACATACGTTTGTACTCTGTGCTGTACGCAGTCTGGGGCAGACGCTCCAATCGTCTGCGCTTCTGGTCAAAGTCAACTGGCGCCCTGCCACGAAAAGCTCAGGCTACCCTACACCGCATGTGAAAATCATATTCGATCTTCCCCGCGGACACTCGAACATTCATTCATAGGTGACCAAATCGAGCAAAGCTCAAGTGATAATAGAATTAATTACCAATGTCGGGTTTCTTTCTCTTTGCAGTAGACTCTCTTTTTCAAACCCTCCAGACATTGTCACGACGAAATTCATAAAGTTCCCACCCGCCCATATGCGCCTCCGTTACGAAGAATACCACAATCACATGTCGAACAAACATGATTCGGTGCCTCCAAAAATTAAACATGCCCATAATCGCGCGCAAACCTGTAACATGATCAAAATCCACCCTCAAGGATCTGACGCTCGAACGATCGCAAGCTCTGAGCGGCTTTGACGTAGAGTTGTTGGCGATCACCCGATACGGACTTGAAGAAGCCGGCGATATCTCTGCGCGACTGATTCCCACTTACGAGGGTGGCCTTGTTGTCTTCTGCAACGCGGGAAAAATTGCGGGCGTCAGACGTCCACTCGTCGCCCAAAGCCTCGAACTCCTTTGTGATACGTTGGTCGATCCTGTCGAGACAGTTCGAAGTCCCCTTCTCGTAAGCATCGACGACCTCATCGACAGCCTTGGTAGCGCTGTCCAGGCGTGTTGTAAAAAGCTGTGCGAACATTAGTTATTGTCCGTACCAGGTCTCAACTTTGCCCGATTGACGAACCTTGACTACACCGTGGAGTTGATGCGCAATTTCCACTCCTGGCGTATTCACTAAGGTCTGCTCTTCGTCTGTGCGGTTCCCAGCGTCCGCGCTTGTCGTGCTTCGCGGCTCGCGAAGGTAAACATCTTCCAGGTTCCGTTGCAAAGTCTTCTTCAAGGGTCTAGCATCATCTTTGCAACCCCCCTTTCGCTTTAATACGCGCGCTAAATGCGAGCCTGAAGCTTCATCGCCCGTAATGCCAACCACTGCAAGCTTGGGTTTATCAACAAGCTCGACAGGGGCTTGGCCGCTCTTTATGGACTTGGGAAACAGTAACCTTTTGCTTGAGCGTCTTCGGATTGGCAGCAAATCTGTCTCCAGATCATCATCACCTGGTCCGGGATCATGGTACACTTGTGCGACTCTGATATCTCCAGGCTGAAGAAGAGGTCTGGGGCTCCCGTCTTCGTTGATGCTGACAGACCTACTCTTCAGCCTTGGGAGCTGACGAATCTGGCGTTGGGAGCGCTCTTCGAAATGTTTGTTACGTAGTTGCCGCAGATTCTTCTTGGCTGCTTGCTCGCGCTGCACCAGAGGCAACGTGTTTCTTGGTTTCATAAAGGGCTTTTCTGCGCCAACAATTCCTTGGCGTTCCCGACCGCTGGCGAATTCGCGGAAGTTGACCGGGTTTTTGACCCCAGGATCTTGTGTGAGAGGTTGCTCGCTGGTGTCTTTGGTCGTAGTCATCGGCGATTCATTGACCCTTTTCCTCCGCGTCGGAAACGTAAGACCAGTGGACTCCACATGCTGCTTTATACCGGGCCCGGCTTTTACGGTTTGGTCATCAGTGCTCTGATGATACACTTTTCTTTCCTGCGGCCGGAGGTTATCCGAGGTAATTCTCGTTTGGACCAGCGTCGTGGAACCGTCGCGCAGGGAGGACCCAGTTTCGGCATCGTGTCGGGCCTCCCTCACACGGTTGTCACCATCGTGGTACTCATCATGTAGTTTGACTGCTTGGAATGCAGCCTGCTGTTTGTCGCTTTCAGCTTCCATGGAAGGGGACTGATCGTCATCAGACGATATGGCGGAGTCAAAAGATGCGTCACTCTCAATCGCAATAACATCATCAAACACAGCCTTTCCATCTTTCTCAAGGGGTGGCCGGTCTGCCGTTGTCATCTCAGTGGATTCGGGACCATCGTTGTGGGCAGTCTCCGCCTTTGATATCTTCTCTGTGACCACCACTGCGAGAACACTTGGCACTTCGATCGGGTTGGGTATCGCGGGAGCGTCACTGGGCGAGGATGAATCGCTGAGGATTTGGTTATCTGCATATGTGTCCTCAATCACCGGACTGCTCAACATTTCCGGTGGAGAGCCAATGGCTTTCGCAGATCGCATGTCGCTCGTCGTTGCTTGAGCGGTATCAGCCGTGACAGGCACAGCTTCCTCCGACACCGCTTCATGTTGATTACGAGTAGCCTCAGCGGCAGCTTGACCTCGTGTCCGCACGTTCGTTCGAGGAGGGTTGATGGAAGGCGGCGGCATGTCGTTATGCTGGGGTTCGGGCAGCGAAGTAGGTGGCAGCTCAGGGACATGAGACGATTGCTCGGAAGCCTCGCTGTCAGCCTTCAGTATAGGCGCGTCTTTGACTTTCACAGAATTCTTGACTGAAGATGACTTTCCCACCAATTTGGGGCCTTTTCGCCGGCTAGTCGTGGCAGAGGACTTCGCCTGTTTGGTCCCAGGCTTCTTCAGAGATTTCGAATCAGCGGGGTTGCTCCCCTGACCATCGACGGGTGAATCCACCTGTTGTTGAAACTCAGAGGCACGATGGCGTGAAACGTTCTGTACCGGAGGCTTCGCGAGTTCAGCTTGCGGTTGACCTGCGGCAACTTGTGAGGCGCTGTTGAACTGCAACGGCGGCTTGGGACGCTGTTTCCGCTTGGTGCTGCTTGGGTCCCCGGTCTTCATTTCAGGGAGACTTTCAATCTGCTCGGGGGTAGTTTCCACTTTGGTGTCTTGTGGACACTGCTGCTGAGGTGATTGTGTTGCTTCTGCAGATGTCTCGGAAGTTCGCCTTAGCTTAGAACTCTGACAAGAGGTATTTGTTACTTCCACCATCAAAGCTCGAGGCTGACGGTGCTGTTTATCTTTTCCGTTGAACTGGAGGACAGCATTTGACTGACGCGGGTTGTTTGCGCGGTCGCCTTCCCCTGAACAGCTGATGCGATCTTCGAGTGCCTGTTGTCTCTTGATCTGGCCGAAATCCACTATCTCTGAGTTTGAATCATCTGCTTTGGAAGACTTGTCGATTTTCAGTACTGGGATTTCCTCCCATGCGGCATCAGAGAGCAGCTCCTCAAACTCCTCTTGATGAGACCCTTGCTTGTGGCTGCACTTTAGATCGACGTTTGTGCTCTCACGATCAACAGTGGCCTGCTCTGGATCTCTAGGAAGGTGATATGGGTCAACCAATCCTTCCGCAAGGATTGCAAGGTTCCCGATGGTGTCCTCGATCAGAAACTCCTCATCGCCTCCGCCGTCTTCCACAGCAGGCGAGCTTCGACGTGCAGTAAAGACCGAAGCTGTTTCTGAGAAGTCCACCGCTGGCAGCTGGCCGATGTACCCTTGCACAGTGTCGTTCAGAGGAATGGTATCTGGCAAGTTATCGTACCCTGGTTTTGGGCTGGAGGAGGGAGGGACTGAAAAGTTATCGTAATCTGTGCCTAGACCAGAAGCAAAATCCTAATCCGCTTTTGGAGTCTGGCCTTCTTTGGCTGGGGAGCTGCGTCGTGTAGAGAATGCGTCGCTGACCTCTGACCAGGCCACGCTAGCTTTGCGTTGCTTCGGAGCTTGGTTGTGTTGAAGGTGATGCTTATCCCCTCCGAACTGTTCCCAGACGTCAACGTGGCTGGGAATGAATTTTGGCGTGGATTTGCCGAGGTGAGGTGTCAGGTCGTTACGGCCCCGTTTGCTGTCGAGTGGTAGCTGCTGCTGCTTGGGAGACAGCATGTTGGGACTCGCGGGAGAGACTTCGAGGGGATATGCGTGCACGCGGGACTTTGGCCGATGGTTTGGAGCTTGCCGGCCCCTTCTCGTTTGAGGTGCCATTTGAGTCGTTTACTCTTGAAGGAAGGATCATTTGGCGCGTGGACGAGTTGGATCGTGAGAACAGCCTCGAGGTAGGGCGCGACTTGAAGTGTATGCTCAAGGACAGTCAGTTTGCACTTGCTTTGGCGATGTGGATTAGCTTGCGGGGTGAAGTTCAGGCGGCAATTACACCGTGAGACCTAGGGATTTGACTGCCTCAGGATTTCGTGTCGACAACATCGGACGCTGTTATTAGGCAGGAGCTCCTGCCAACACTACCCACGTCCATCTTGCGTGACCGTCTCTGCCGACGTGCCTGCAATTGGAACAAAGCCCACTCGGGGACTCTTTCCCTTGTTCACCCCGTTGGAGGGCAGCTTTGCAATGGCAGCAGATATCGGAAAAAGGATTCTTCATGATCTTGTGCATAGCACTTGCGGACCTCCGACTGGCTTACACGACCTCTGCAACCTTGATCGCCTGATCGAGGTGCCATGCGCATGTTTTCGTCCTGCCACTCTTGCGCTGACATCACTTCGATGGGAACGCCGCCGTAGCAGTACAGTTGCCTGCGGACTTTGCGCGACGTTCCGCAGGTTAGAATGAAACCCGGGCTTCGGAAGATTGAAGAGTCAACCACTCATGTTCGGCGCCAACCCCAGAGATCTCTTTCAATGGATCTTGGCGGCGTTCCGTGTCCCGCAATTATTCAGCAACAAGCACCCCTGCTTTACACCCACTTTCCACCCACTCCGCCGTGATGAGCAATCAACATGCGCCGCCGATGGCCCGTCCTTCAAAACCAAGCCCGTCGACGGTCTGTCATTGTGAGCATCAACGTTCCCTCTATGCCAACCATCTAGAACTCAACATCGGCGGCTCTGCTCTTATGAACACCAGTCCGAAACATGTCTCGTCAACGCTCGCCGCATGCTGGCGCTTCGACGGTGCATCCGGACGAAGTCAAGAGCGCCCACTACAACTCGCCCGCGCACGCTACGAAGTCGCCGCAAACGCCCATCGAGCGCCTTACAGAGAACCTAATGCAAGATGATTCCAACAAGGATCTAGAAGCGGACTCTGGAACCATTCTTTACCTCGCATATGGATCGAATCTGTGCGAAGAAACCTTTCGAGGCAAGCGAGGCATCCGCCCACTTTCCGAAATCAACGTTTCGGCGCCGACTCTTCGCTTGACAATGAGCCTGCCTGGCGTGCCGTACGCGGAACCATGCTTTGGCAACGTTGCGTTCAGGAAGCTCCCCGAGAAGCCCAAGCTGCCAGACCATCCGAAACTCCCATTCGAGCCGCCCGCTTACTCGAAAGGACAATGGGACGGAGGACTCATGGGTGTCGTGTACGAGGTGACAAAGTCGGACTACCGCAAAATCATGGCCACGGAAGGTGGAGGTTCGGGATATCAAGAGATATTCGTGCCTTGCGTCCCTCTGCCGCCTTCAGCTTCCATACCGGAGAAACCTCCGCTGCCCGAACTGCCGCGACCGTTCCTTGCGAGGACCCTGTACGCGCCTTACCTACCATCCGACGACCCGGGCCGGTCAACCTGGTGGAAGAGACTGTTTTCGAGGACACGCCGCAATGACCCGGACTATGCGCAACCAAGCGCTCGTTACTTGAAGCTGATCACTGATGGCGCAGAGGAGCATAACCTCCCCGCTGCTTATCAGGAATGGCTACACTCGTTGCAGCCGTACACGGTCACGTCAACGAGACAAAAGATTGGCAAGCTCGTCCTGATGGCGACGATTGGACCCATGTTCCTGACCTTTATGGCCTTGGCCAAATACACAGCCGACGAGAACGGCCGGTACCCGTGGGTTGTTGCGCAGACCATGACTCTGCTTTTCAATTCCACCTGGGTTTTGTACGATTGGATCTTGAAGCCGTTGTTTGGTGATGGAGAGCATACGCAGGACGAGGACGAGGGCCAATCGGCAATGAGCAAGCGGCGATTGTCTATAGGCAAGCCTCAGCCAGATGAGGAGAAGACGAGTCTTCTGCAAGGGGAGGTCAGCTAAGACCTCGGCATTCAGCATGGGCAACGCTAGACTTGTATGCAGTCATCTAGCAAACACATTGGACCTCGTGCCTATGAGCACCAAGTGATCAGACGAGCTTTAAAGCAGTGCGGAGACCCAAGGGTTCACCAAGACAATCGGCCCGCTGCAGGGCAGATCAGGGGTTGGGATTGTCGTATTGCGTGACTGCATCGTATCGGCGGTCATCCGTCTTGCATGTGACAAGGGATTTCTGTTCCTGGCTCAAAGTGACCTTCGAGAAGAACGTGAATCGCATGTGAAGGTGGGAAATCCCGCGGGCCACACTTCGGGGGGCCCTGGCTAGCGGGCGAGTGTTACCGCATATGGCAAGCGGTGAGGAAAGCTGTTGAGGACTGGACCGTTTTCTGCCATTTGGTCTAGCCCAAATGCGTGACGACAAGCTTGTGACCCTGCCAGAAGCTGCGTGATAGTACGTACTACTTACATGCGGGCTACTGAGATACAGGTGGTACAAAGGCATCCTCACCCCTCCCCCAACAACTATCGTGGCGCTCTTCTTCTTCATGTTGCGGTCTATCACAGCACGCTCCTCTCCCACCTTTCGAAGTCTCTGTCCTCCTACTTTCCAGTACTTTTCGACTTCGACACTCGTCGGCGCCAGCAGAATGGGCAGCTCCAATTTCCTAGGCGGACACAGTCGCAAGCACAAGGTGACCATTGTAGGGTCGGGCAACTGGTGAATTTGGATTCCTTACCGCACGGCGAGACGCAACAACTGATGCTAGCTAGGGGCTCTACCATTGCTAAAATCATCGCGGAGAACACGCGCGAGCACACTGACGTATTCGAGGAAAATGTCCAAATGTGGGTATACGAGGAGGACGTCACGATACCCAAGGAGTCGAAACACTACAACGAGTCGACGGCCGATACGCCCCAGAAGCTCACCGAGGTCATCAACAAGTACCACGAGAACGTGAAATATCTCCCCGGAGTCGCCTTACCCCCCAACATCGTCGCCAACCCCTCCCTCAACGATGCCGTCCAGAACTCGACGATCCTCATCTTCAACCTCCCCCACCAGTTCATCCGCAAGGTGTGCGAGGGCATTCGCGGCGAGATCATGCCCTTTGCGCGCGGCATCTCGTGCATCAAGGGCGTCAACGTGACGGACGATGGGATCAGCCTGTTCAGCGAATGGATTGGCGACGACCTCGGCATCTACTGCGGGGCGCTGAGTGGCGCCAATATTGCCAGCGAGATTGCGCAGGAGAAGTGGTCCGAAACTACGATTGCCTATGACCCTCCGCCCATGGACAGCCGGGCGCCGACGCCCAGGAACGCGAGCCCCAACCCCGATGCGGCGGGGGAGATACCCGAGATCCAGCACCTCGACGCGCGGGGCCGCAAGTCCAAGACCAAGCTCACCCCGCTGCCCATTGAGTACCCTCCCCTGGACCACAACTGCTTCCGCATGCTCTTTCACCGTCCCTACTTTCACGTCCAGATGGTGTCCGACGTGGCGGGCGTGTCGCTCGGTGGCGCGCTCAAGAACATTGTCGCGCTGGCGGCCGGGTTCGTGGACGGCCGAGGGTGGGGCGACAATGCCAAGGCGGCCATTATGCGCATTGGCCTGATGGAGATGGTCAAGTTTGGGAAGGAGTTTTTTAGCGAGACGGTGCGCACGGGCACGTTCACAGAGTCCTCGGCCGGCGTGGCTGATTTGATCACGTCGAGCTCGGGCGGGCGCAACTTTCGCTGCGCGCGCAAGGCCGTGGAGAAGGGGGTCTCGGTGCAGGATGTCGAGCGCGAGGACCTCAACGGTCAGAAGCTGCAGGGCACGTCCACGGCCCACGAGGTGAACAGCTTCCTCAAAGCAAGGGGCCTCGAGGCCGAGTATCCCCTTTTCACGGCCGTAGACGGCATCTTGCGAGGCGAGAAGAAGGTTGACGATATCCCTGCTCTGGTTTCAGACACATGAGGTGGCGTGCCACGTTATAGCAGGGGTCAATGGAATATGCCGCCATAATTGATGAGGCGAAATGAAACATAGTGAAATCTGGCATTGCAGATCCCATTTCTACAATTACATGTTCAGCGTCATGTGTGCTGCGAGCGCAATGCAACGAGCGCTCCACCGGACCAAGCGATGCTTGGCCAAGATTTCGATGTATCTGTGGGGTAGGACAACCCTCCACGACAATGGCCGGAGTCGCGGAACGAGTTTGCCATCATTCCGTCCGCGATTCCGTGCTGGAATTGTCGTACTACCTCTCTGGCTCAATTCCGTCAACCCATCTTCAATATTGAGAGTGCGACTGACACTGGGGGCACGACGTTCACCAGATTCACCCGCCAGCCAACATGACGAGTATCCCGTCGTCGTCGCAACTCAAAACGTCCTCCAGCCCAGACGGCCCAGACACGGTGAGCGCGACCCCTGCCACAGCGGAGCCGCCAGTCCGGCCCACGAGGAAGCAGGTCTCGCGGGCATGCGACTGGTGTCGCGCGAGGAGGATCAAATGCGACAATGGCAGACCGTGTCGAGCGTGCAGGGCGCGAGGGGCCGATTGCACCCACAAGGGGACTGATGAGCCTCGGACGCTGCCGCAGGCGATGAGGTGAGGATGAGCCGTGACGCACGTCATCAATGTGAACGAACGTCCGCGATTGACCAAATGACGCAGGGAGATTGAGAAGCTCAAGCTCAAAGTCAAGGAGCAGCAGGCGGAGATTGCCGGGTTGAAGCTCAAGGAGCAGCAAGCCATGATACCCACGCCGACAGAGACGTCCACCACGTCGGCGTCCCCCACGGCGTCCAGTCGGCACAACTCACACAACAGCCAGCAGCAGGGCACGCCCTCCTTCACCCTCAAGCCCAAACCGCAGTGGGAGGGCATCTGGCTGGCGACGTCGCGGTCCGACCAGACGTCCTACTATGGGCCCTCGTCTCACTTTTACTTTGTCAGTCGCATCGGCACGTACCTCAACAAGGCTCTGCAGCAGCCATGCGCGGCGGGCTGCATGCAGCCGCAAGAGGCGAGGAAGAACATTGCCATGACGAACCCTGCCGAGGCGGAAGAGGCCCCGGCCGAGGAGGGGGAGCCACACTCGCCCGGGACGGATGGGAGGAAGAATCCCTCCATGTCGCGGATGCAGGAGGAGTACTTTCTCAGTCTCTTCTGGGAATCGTACCACTGCTTCGCGCCGGTGGTGGACGAGGCCGACTTTAGGCGCCACTACGCGTCACTGTGGGAGCCGAGAAGACCGTACCGGAAGATGTCGCCCCTGGTGGACATTGTGCTGGCCGTCTGTCTGCAGTTTGGATACTCGTTCATGCCCAAGGCGACGACGGGGAGCTCCTCGTCGGACGACGCGACCATGGCGGGTCGGTGGTACTACAGGCGCTGCCAGTCGCTGCTGACGGCGGATCTCGAGAGTCCGACGCTCAACACGGTGCAGTGCCTCATCTTCTCCATTGCCTATCTCTGCTGCGCGTCGTTCCACAACATGGCGCACCTGGCGGAGACGCAGGCCATCCGGACCGCGCAGATCATAGGCCTCCACCACGACCCCGCCGCCGACATGTCGCGTCCGGAAAAGGAGCTTCGACGACGTGTGTGGTGGATCTTGTGGATGATGGAGGCCAAGACGGCGGCCAAGCTCGGTCGCCCCGTGGGCATGGACCGGTCAGAAGTGTCGACGCTGATGCCGTCTGACGATATCGAGGCGGCGTCGGCCAACGGCGCTCTGCTGGGGTCGTTTGGCAACGTCACCTGGCTCAGCTACAACCTACAGCTCACCAAGCTCATCGACGTGAGCTTCAGTGTCCACACGGCGCTGTACGACCGCTGCGGCGAGGCTATTGCCAGCAGTCCCGCCGGATCCCTGTACAAGGACCCCCAGGCACTCGAGTCGTGCGCAGAGCTTCTCGCCACGCGCATCCCGGTCATCACGGCCTGGGCGGACGCCGTGCCCAGCAGCCTCAAGATGTGCCGGCGCTACTCTGGCGAGGCCTTCTCCGTGGACCGGACGCCCCTGAACATCGACTTCACGGCGCCCATGTGGCTCCAGCGGCAGCGCATCTGCCTCGAGCTCATGTACCACACGCAGATCCTCAATCTGTCACGGCCGTTTATCACCTTTTACTCCAACTCGACAACCTACACACCCATCGCGGAGCGACACGCGGCCGCCTGCGTGTCCCACGCCATTGCGCACACGCTCGTCATGCACCAGGTCGTCACCGAGACCGACCTCATGGGGGGCTGGTCCGAGTTCTTCTTCTGGCAGTGGAACGCGGCCATTACGATCAGCGGCTTCATCCTGGCGTACCCCATCCACCCGTCGACGCCCAACGCCCGGCTGGCCCTGGAGAAGGGCGTGGCCATCTTTGACATTTTCGGCGCCAACTTTGCCGTGGCCGCCGACGCGGCCAAGATTATCCGCGACCTCATGGGCAAAGCGGACCTCCTCACCGGCCGTCTGCGGTACGGCATCACGAGCGGCGCGCCGCAGGAGATGCCACCCAACGCGTCGTCGTCGTCAATGACGACGACGGGGGCGGCGGCGCCCGTCCCTGGGCCGAATGGGCTGGACGTCACGGGAGGAACAGCCATTGATCCCGCCATGGACGACGGGCTTGGCTGGCTGGACCCGAGTGAGCAGAGCGATCCCAATTATTTTAGCGAGTTTATGGACTGGGCGTTGTCGGTGGATCAGTTCAACAGCTTCGAGAGGTTCTTTGATGCGAGCAACCCTGCGGACCCGTTCTTGTTTGGGCAGCAAATGCCGCCGCCGCCACCGCAGCAGTAGTCATTTTGTGTATACATCGTTATCAAAGTTGAACAGCCTGTGTACGCTCCTCGTAGTGTGACTCATGCGTGGGTCCTTGTCAGTGCTGACCCCTTGCAGCAACGCATTTCCGCATCTGGACTGAACGCAGTCAATGACTGGCTCAATTGAAAGGTGATACTCTACTTTCACGAGCAGATGGCGATGGATTTATTCGCACAGACGATGATAGGGGTCTCGCTGCCACATGGCTCACGTGCTCAAAAGCGCGCGACGGAATAGCGATCATAGAGTCAGTCACCAGTCACCAGTCACCAGTCACCAGTCACCACCAGACAAGACCGTAGCGTCCGCTTGCAGCCGATCCAGTCGTCTACGAGAACAATGAATTGGACGCAGCCAAGGCCAGGCAATCTGCGGAGCAGAATGGCATACCATCAATAGGTCCCGTACTTTGCGCTTGATTTATTCGGCGTCAAACCTTGTTCCGCATCGGGCATTGAATCAGCCACCGACCGTCATGTCGAGCGGACAGGCCCTCACTCACTCACTCGACAGCTACCGAAGCTGGAACGATTCGCGGGCTTTTGATTCGACTTGTCTTGGCCTCTTTTCCCCGGCTTGGCTGAAGCACTGTAGTGACATCACCACTCAGACGGATGAATGGGGGCCCATTGCAGAGCCCAGTCGTCCAGACATGCTCTAGGCAAAGGCGCAGACGAGCCAACACAGGTCCGGGACATGTCGCCCTGTCCAGCGTCGACGACCCCCTCGACGGCCCCGGATGATGTGATGAGCTAGTCACCAGTCGTCGCTGTCACCAGTCTTTCCTCCCCGCAACACTACTACCTGTACTACCTGTACTACCTTTATGTACATTACAGCTATCTGACATACATTCTTTCCAAACGTATAGAACCCTCGTTTTCTGCCAAGATACGACACGGAGGAGGAGTGGAACACCAACACGCAAAGATGAAGGAAGCCATCGTCCACCCCGGCGGCAAGGTCGTCATTGAAGAGCGTCCCGTTCCCCAGCCAGGACACAACGAGCTTTTGGTGAGGGTCGTCATTGCCGGGACGAACCAGAAAGACTGGAAGTTCCCCTTTCTGGAGGACACACCTCACAATGCCGGCGATGATGTCGCTGGTGTCGTAGAGGCCATTGGCGACGGGGTATGGGAGTTCCGCCTAGGCGATCGCGTCGCGGGATTGCATGCGTTCCCTGAGCCTCACGGCGCCTACGCCGAGTATGCGATCCTGCCCGCGTATCAGACGTTTCGACTCCCAGACACGGTCTCCTTCGAAGAGGTGAGCGCGCGTTCCTTTTCCCCTCCCCTGCATGTGCTCAGCGACTGTAGTAGAGCGAGACTGACGTACATTTCAGGGCGCGACCGTGCCACTGACTGGTCTTGGCGCTGCCTTTGCGCTCTACCACAACCTGCAACTGCCGACGTCCTGGCAACGGCCCCCCGAAAAACCCACGCCTCTCCTCGTCTATGGCGCATCGTCAGCCGTAGGCGCCTATGCCATCAAACTCGCCATCGCGTCCAGCATCCACCCCATCGTCGCGATCGGGAGCGAGCACAGCTGCTTTGTGAGGAAACATCTACGAGCCGAGTTGGGCGATGCTTTCCTCGACTACACGGCGTTTGAGAAACCGTCCGACCTCGTCGAAGCGATTCATCAGGCGTTCCACGATGCTGGGACCCCAGACGGCCGACCGGGACACGCGATCGACGCCGTGTCGCTCCCGGGCACGTTTGACCAGGTGGTAGCGCAGAGCATGGCCGGTGCGCCGATTGACGGGCAGAGGCCGCGCATGGCGGTCATGATGCCCGGGCACAACTACAGCACCGCCGACACGAGCGTCGAGGTCGCCGAGGTGTACACGGGGCTGGCGCACCAGGGGGGCGATGTCGGCAGGCGCTTCGCCTACACGGTCTGTCGCCTGTTCGCCCTGGGGTTGGCCGAGGGCTGGCTGGCGCCGCACCCCTTTGAGGTCCGCGAGGAGGGGCTGGAAGCGCTGGAGGGTGTCTTGCAGGATTCCATGAGCGGCAAGATCCACGCCAAGAAGATATTGTTGCGGGTGGGCCAGGTTGAGCAACAATGTGATTGATACCCACTTCAGCTGAATATGACTAGCGAATGTACGTATTGATCAACTCCATACCATCTCCCATCACGCTCGGTAGTTGAAGGTCGGCTCCACCACTAGTCGTCTGAGTGCCGCGAGGGTTATTGGAAGCGTGTGCCTGTCTCGGGAGCGCTGGCGCCCGTGCCGACGACATGGCGGGCCTTGGAAACAGCCCGAGAGTCCGTGGAAAGCACAAAGAACAAGCAAGAGTCTATTGGTGCGCCTCGCCAAGAAGCGGTTGACGTGGGCGGCCCAGACGAGGACGACGAGGTGCGGACGCCTACATCCCGAATACGATGGGGCCGCCGCGAATCCGCAGATCTCAAGATCCCAACCCCCATGTGCCGACTAGTCTACTGCAGTATTGCCCCGGCGCGGAACTTGGACCCCAGTTCTTTCATCGGGGTTGAGCACTGCCGGGGCACGTTATGCACGATCTGCACAATTATGACCGTCAAACGAGGCCATCCTGCCGGCTGTACGCTGCCACTATGCCATATAGCGACAGCATGGGCCCACAATCGTCATCTACATGTCTTGAAGCCGCATACGATGATACCACAATATCCGGATGAGGTCTAGGAAAGGCAGTCCCCGTCGAGAGGAGGGGACGGGCAGAGGCGATCCTACTTAAGGGGTCCTCCCCACCAGACGACAGTGGTAAAGGAGGAGTCCAGCCACTACGCGACACATGTGGCCTCTCCAGCATCTTCAACACGATGGCTTCATACGAAGTATACAGCAGGCTGCACCATGAGCTTGAGGAAAGGTGGCCAGTCGTTGCCATCACGGCCCTGACGCTCCTGGCGGCTCTCGTTCTCCCCGGGCTGATGAAGACGAATCATCTCAAGGCGATCCCACTTGTCCGGGGCGGCCAGTTTTCTTTCATCAAGGACGGGTGGGACGTTTACACGCAAGGCTACAGCAAGGTACATTGTCGCTTTGCATGGAAGAAGACAAAGAGTGATGCTGACCGTGGGCACAGTTCAAGCAAAGCACATTCCGCATCAAGAGCGCGCGGAGTATGGACTAGACGAGCCCCCAACTGGAGAGAAAGATGGCTCACATCTCACAGAATCACCCATCGTCGTCGTGTCCCCCGTCTTTCTGGGCGAACTCAAGAAGCTCCCCGACGATGTCCTCAGCTTCGCCAAGTCTGTCGACGAGTCGATGCAGACCAAGTACACCGGCGTGGAGGCCGACGTCCCAGCCATTCCCCACGTCGTCAAGACCGGTCTCACGCCTGCGCTTGTCCGCCTCAACCCTACCATTTCGGACGAAGTCGGCGAGTCGATGCGCACGGAGCTGCCGCAGACGAGCAACTGGGAAGAAGTCTGCATCAACGACAAGCTCCTCCGTATCGTGGCCATGGCGTCTGGTCGCATCTTTGTTGGGCCCGAGCTCTGTCGAGACGAAAGGTACCTGGATGCATCGATCAACTACACAATCGACCTCATGACGGCCGTCCACCTCGTCAGCTTCACGCCCTCGTGGCTTCGCCCGCTCATCGCACCGATCCTCCCACCAGTACGCAAGTTGCATCGCAGGATCAAGGAGGCGGATGCGTTCCTCCGACCTGTCGTGGCCGCGCGGAGGGAGGCGGCCAAGAGCCCCGACTACCAGGAGCCCGATGACATGCTGCAGTGGCTCATGAACTCGCAGGCCAAGTTTGGTGCCAAGAACGACAAGGAGCTGGCGCAGAATCAGCTGGGCATCAGCTTTGCGGCCATTCACACCACCACCCTGACCACTCTGAACGCGTAGGTCGGGTCTGCGCCAACCAATCCTGACAGCACTGACCAAGTCTGGCAGGTTTTCTAACTTGGCTGCCGACCCCAGCCTCGTACCGATGCTGCGAGAGGATGTCCAGCAGGCCCTCGCCGAAACGGATGGGGTGTTTACCAACATTGCCATGCAGAACATGAAGAAGCTCGACAGTTTCTTGAAGGAGACCCTGCGAGTCTATCCTTTGGGTGCCGGTATGCCACATGTGTGCCACACACAGGCTTGGTGATCTCCCACTAACCCCGGTGTAGCCTCGTTCCAGCGCATGGTCCTCAAAGACTTTACTCTTTCCAACGGCCAAGTGATCCCGGCCGGCTGTATCATCGAGGTCCCCTCGGGCAGCGTCAATGTCGACCCCGAAGTGCACGACAACCCGGAGCAGTTTGACGCCCTGCGCTACTACAACATGCGCATGGCCAAGGGCGAGCAAGAGTCCGCCACCAAGACGGCCGAGGTTGTTGCCAACTCGCAGTTTGTCAGCGTCGGGACGTCGAGCTTGACGTTTGGGTACGGGCGCCACGCTTGTCCTGGGAGGTTCTTTGCCGTGAACGAGATCAAGATGATCATGGCCACGGCTATGTTGCATTATGATGTGAGAAATGTCGAGGGGCAGGAGGAGAGGATCCCCAACTGGACGTTTGGGTCGCAGGTAAGTGACCGACATGAAATGGGGGAGGCAAGTGTGCTGACAATGGCAGTCGATCCCCGACAGCAAGGGGAAGATCCTCATGCGTAAGCTATAGGAATCAAGTCACGCGCGGTTGATCAAGCAAAGACAATAATGAATATGCAGCATGAAAGTGTGGTCCTGACATGCCGTGTACTCCTGCAATCTCGTAGTCCATGTGCTCCTCCACTACACCCCTCACAGCCACTGCTTGTTGCCATAGTGCGATAGGAACTCGCCCGCGTCGCCGTTCTCAATGCTTGCCTTGTCAATGACATTCATCATAGCGCTGACTGACTCTTCGGGTGTGATGGGACCCTTCCAATCCGGTGCATAAGCCATGAACTTCTGCGCCAAGGCGCCTAAGGCAGCAGTCTGTTCTTCCGTCACTAGAAGACGTATTAGTCGTTGCCCCCCCCTCCCTTTGAACACACAACCTCTCCCAGCGAGTCCACTTACAATCGGCTTGCCCCCATTTTCCCACGTCCACAGAGCCGGGGCTCAGGCTGAGGAAGAGAATGCCCTCTCGCTTGTACTGCGCGCTGAACTTGCCGACGATGAGGTTCATCTGCGCTTTGCTGGCGGCGTACAACGGGGAGACCTCGACGTCGTGCTTGATTGAGACGTCCAGGTCTGCGTGCCCCGTGGTGATGGTGACGACCTTTTTGGCCTTTCCGTTCTTGATGAGCGGGATGAGCAGGTTGAAGAGATGGATGTTGGCTATGACGTTGACTTTTGTCAGCATCAAGAGCTCGCGCTCGATGCCTTCCGGATCACTGGTCCGTTGGGTCAGTTGAGACTGTTTGGTGTTCGGCCTACGGTTTGTGAGCTCACAGATTGCCGATGGCGGCGAATGCGTCGTAGTCTGTGTAGACCGCAGCGTTGGCGATGATGTAGTCCAGTGCCCCTTGGGTGAGCTCGGCAATCTTGTCAGTGGCGGCCTACATCTTCATTAGCACAATCTCCATATTCGACACCCAAACCTCGATGTTTGCCACGTACCTTCAACGCCTGATAGTCGGTAATGTCGGCTTCCAGGATATGGATGTTGTTGCGGTCAGGCAACTCGGCCTTCACCCTGGCATCGGTGGCAGCTTTGTTACGAACGATACCAATGACAGAGTTGTCAGCATGGGCCGAGATTTGCTTGAGGAATTCCCACTGTCGAATGTCAGCATCAATGGAACCACCATAGGGTCGAGTCCAGCTTACACCGAGGCCCCTTGCAACGCCAGTGACAACGTACGAAGACATGGTGAGGTATAAAAGTTCTTGTACGTATGGAGAGAGCTTTTGTGCCAGATTGAGTTTATTCGTGGAATTCTACGAGACGGACATCTTCATTCTTATACCACGACCACCCGGCATTCCCGACAATACAGCACATGCATAATGCTGACAGTACGGATATAACCAATCTAACTCCGCAGCTTCATAGAAGCTCCGACCCGCACATTTACAGGCGAACGTCCTCGAATTACCACATTAGGAAAACGGTTCAGGTACAGGTAAGCTTACATGCAGCATGCGTCTGCATGCACAGATGATTATCAAGCACACACCTATGTCCAAAGACAAGATCCATCTGCCCGGCCCTCCATCTCACTCTCAGTCCCTTTTCGCTGGCGATACATTGTCTGACGCCCTGTCGGAGACACCCGCCGTGTTGCTGGCACGATGCTCTCTCGTCCCCTCAATGCTCGCACCATACTGACCCATGCCATATATCTCCATGTCATAATCAGAGAAGTACTTCTGATCCAATCCCATCAACTCGTCTTCCTCAGAGGCGCGAAGATGCAGGCCTGGGATCTTGTCGATGATGAACAACAGCAGGCAGCTCACACCAAAACTCCAGGCGGCACAGGTCAGGGCAGCAGCGAGCTGGTATCCCATCTGCGCCCAGTGGCGATTCCACCAGCCACCAGGGTTTCCAGTCGAAACGCCGTCCAGGGCAGGGACAAAGTCGGCCGCGAAGAAGCCCGTGAGGATATCGCCCACCACGCCACCCATGCCGTGGATGGCCCAGATGTCGAGACCCTCGTCGATGGAGATGAAGTACTTGTACTTGTTCGTGTAGAAGCACGCCACGGACGTGACGCTGCCAATGAGACAGGATGTGTAGACGGGGACGAAACCAGCGGCGGCGGTGATCCCGACCAGCCCGCTGATGATACCTGAGCAGAAGCCGACGATGCTGAACTTTCTGGCGTGCAGATACTCAAGACAAGCCCATGTGACGCCTCCACCGCAGGCCGCGAGGTTGGTATTGAGCACGGCATAGATGCTGCGGATCGACAGGTTGGCCGTGCTCGCGCCGTTGAAGGCCAGCCAGCCGAACCAGATGAAGACGGTGCCGATGCCGACGAGAAAGGGGTTGTGGCCCCGGAAGTGCGGGATGCGAGGATGTTGGCTCTCGCCCAGTGGGTCCCTGCGCTTGCCGAGCATGCACGACCAGGCAAGCGCGCCGAAGCCACTGGCGATGTGGACGGGTCCAGAGCCTGCGAAGTCGAGGACGCCGAGCTGGGCGAGCCAGCCGGATGGATTCCACTCCCAGTATGCAAGGCTGCGGGCGTTAGGTCACGGGATGCGTTGCGAGGAGAGTGGTAGGGTCACGTACAAGTAATAGACAAATGTCGTCCAGCACAGGAGGAACAGCATGCTCGGGAACAATCGACCCCTTTCCAGCATGGCGCCCGCCAGGATCATGGCCGTCACTGTGACAAAGGTCACGCCAAATGTTGCGTAGAGGATGTCAGGCACATCGCTGCTCGCTAGGCTGGGATACGCCAACACGTTGTACAGCACGCCCTTTGTCAGATTGCCGAGGATGGGGTTCGAGGTATGCGACATGTAGAGGGAGTATCCGTACAGCCAGTACTGGATGCCTACGGCGCAGGCGCAGAAGAGTGACTGAAAGACCATGGTCAAGGCGGACTTGCGACGGTGCATGCCGGCGTAGAGGAAGCCAATGGCTGGGGTGATCTGCCAGCAAAGACATGTGGACACGAGGAGCCAACAGAGGTCGCCCTGGGTTTGTCAGTCACGATTCTGTCACATAACGGTGGGCTCTGGTGACCTTGTTGTAGGGCGCATTAATGTCCTGCTCCATGGGGTTCGCGCCCAGTGGCTGGCTGCTGTAGTCGGGCCATTCTGTGACTGGGGGCAGTCCTTCCGACATGATGATTCTCGGACAATGTTTCGATTTGTTACACAGAACAACGATGAAAGCACTCAGGATAGATTGGCCGGAGAGCGCCAGAGTCGCGTGGAAGGCCATGCATCTATAGATGTCACTGTTATCAAGTGATCATCGCCCATCGATGCCTTGGTCATTACCCCATATTCCTTGTTGATAAGGTTAATTCCCCCGTTAGGCAATTTCAACCGTGTAGATGCAACCTTATCTCTGGGCTACATGGGCGCGCGAGCGTCGTGGCTGTGCCAAGCCCTGTCGTGCGGCTGGCACAACTGATAGGTCGCACATGGCGCTGATAAGGAGGCCCGAGGCACTCGCGGACACGAGTCAGAACAGGAGATGACGTATCGAGGCAGGTAGCAGGACAGATAGCGAGCGTCTCCAATTACGGATGCGTCGGGACAATCCTGAGTCGACGACCTCGTAGCATTGAAGTCTCTCGATTTCGTGGCCGCCACTCCCTACTCACGAGTTAACAGTCAACCATTTTAGCCAGATATCCAGCACTTGACCGCAGAACAGCTCAGTGGCGATGGAAGTACACAAATCTCAAGCACAGATATATTATTGAATGCATTATGCATACGGGGACTTACAAGTAGAGCAGTGTAAGCGTGGCCCAGTCCCGCTCCGGAACCGGAGTCGGGCAGCACCGGACACGGAGCGGCCCCGCCGACTCCACCCCCGCGACACGGAGTAGTTCCGTCCGTCTACATGCATCGACTCCTTCCATTGTGCCGGTCGCGAACATGATTCTCGTTCGGTCCGACTGCGAGTCACCTCTTCAATCGGGTATTGAACCAGGATTCCCATGCGCCAAGGGCAGCAGCGAATACCACTGCTTCGGTGAACTGCCCCCATGTCCGAGACAATCGGAGCTCGGCAGAGCAGGTCGATATACCCTTTCTTTGCGCGCCTTATGTCTCGGCACTTCTGTATGCGATCAAGCCAATGCGTGTCACAATATGGGAGATACTTTCCTTTGTATTCAACAGTGCCGCCTCCTTGTCCGACCTTGAGCGCGGCCCCAGGGCGCCGCTTATTGTGGGCTTTCTCCATCGATCAGCCCCGATAAACGGCCCTCTGCACGTCTACCCCTAGATCCTTTGTAAAAGTGGCATGGTACTGAAAGAAGCCCATGCCCGGATTGCCTCGCTAGATCCTCCGCGCCATGACACTTGAATCACCGTCAAGCCTCTGTAGTGGCCTTCCATGCGAGCTGGTCACATCAACAGACAACCACCATGGCGCGCCGGTCCGACATCAAGCAGGCCGAAAGTGCCCTTCACAAACAGTAGAATCTTCTTCTCCGCAGTCAAATGCTCACAGTCTTCGCGACACTGTCCATCGCGTTGCTCATCTATGTCATTGACCATTATGGCATCGCGACCACGCTACCGATCATTGCGAGCGACTTGAACGGAAAGAACACAATCTCAGAGGCGGGTACCTCGGCGCTGCTCGCCAACACGACATTCCAGATGCTCTATGGCAGTCTGCAGACGTCGTCGTTAGGTCTCATCTCCCTCCTCATTTCTGTTCCTCTGCGGTGGCTCTTACTTCGCGTTGGATTCACACATGGTCATTAGCATGCCGGTCAGTGGTGCCCTGTCTCCCATGCTGTTTGTGTTCATCGAGTGGAAGGTCGCCAAGCTGCCCATGATGCCGAGCAGGTGCTCTTCTCAGGCCATAACGTCCAGTATGCTGACAAAAGACAGTCGAGATCTACGCCAATCCAGTGGTCATGGTCAGGCTTCTGCTGTACGTCATCTTCGGCCGCGGTCTTCCAGTCCATGATCTTCTACATTCTAATGTCTCTGCAGAACGCCCATGAATTCTCCATGACCACGTCCGCATTGGTCTACATTCCTTTGCCTGCCTCGCAAGCCATCGTCTCGATATCCACTGGCTACCATATCACCTATACCAAGCCATACGGTGAAGTTCTTTGGGCTGGCTTCACACTAGGACGCTGTGTGGGCTTTTGTATCGATTGGCTCGATGTAACAACTGACATGTTGTCTCAGTGGACTCGGCCTCACCCTCATCTACACTCGCAGCACGCACACTGGCATCATCATTATCCCTTGCATCGTCATTGATTTTGGCGCGGGCTGTATCTTCCAGCCGACGCTCATCGTCCTTCAAGTCCACCCCCCCCCCCCAAAGCGCGTCGGGCCGTCATCATCCCCAATTTTGGTGGGAATATTCCAAAAGAGTTACTGGTCGCGGAAATGGCGACCAGTCACGCCGTTTCACGCTTCAGGTGCCGTTGGTGGGGATCTGTCTGCTGGGCATGTCATTCATCAGGGATAGAAGAGGGTTGGAGTACAAAGGCAATAGGGTTGTGGAACAGGCTTTCACAGCCGGGCCGGGGGAACGAGGCCATCGACTTCTCGGAGGCTACTGACACTTGTGGCATTGAGTCGGTAATGAAAATGCTCACAATAGGTGTGCCTAATGTCAATGACAGATTACAAGGTGCCTGCAATGAGCAAAGTCACTGTCCTCCTCTCCCTCGCAACTAGCAGCCTCGTTGGGCGCCACTCGGTAGCGCATCAGATTTTGAGCACATACTCGTATCTGCAATAGACTACCTCCTGCTCGCAGCGTGTATTATCTGTTCGGCCTTGGCTTGCAGGCTTGCAGCCTCCAATGCAGCCTCCATTGGGGCACGTGCACCTACCACAGTCAGGACTCAGGGAGTCAGGGGCACAGCTATCTAGTTACGGTACAGTGACCCCCCGACACGTTGACCGGGTAATTGCAGGTCCAATGTTACTCATAGCCAACCAGTATCACCCATGAATGCGACCAGCACGCCAGGAGGCTAGACACAGGATTGCCAAGATGGAGAAGAACGCAGCAGCTTCGGAATAGGATCCGACTGCTTGATTCGGAGCGGGCCGCTCGTGGAGATGACGATCCCAGGAGACGCGAGCGACAGGCAAAAAGCTGCCTCACGAACTGCACCAGACCGCGAGAACAAATAGATAGAGCGAGTGGTATAAGTGGACTTGCATATTGATCTTCGGGGGCCTACCGCCGTTGTCGCGTAGGGTAGGATATACCTCACTAGGAGATGCGTCTCGAAGATGGTCTGGACTGGAGTCCAGAACAATGGTGCATGTCAAAAATTAACAATAGCGCACTGGGTTAATGGATCATGATATTCTTTATCGATAGGCTCCATGACGTCGACATCAATTACATGACACTCGACTGCATTTTCGAATTCGTCAACGCCCAAGAGCAGACTGAGCATGGGAATCCGAAAGGACATGTTCACGAGCTGATTGCACCGCAAAGACAAGAAAGTGCCTCGCATTTCCATGGGTTGTCAATGAAACTCTGCCAGGAGATGCGGTGCGCGATAAGCAGACGAGGACCGGAGCATCTGGCCCCCCCACCACCTTGACGCGGTACCAGCATCATCCACTCTCTCGCCTGCCAGTGGCTCTTGTAGATGCCATTCGCGGCAAGGGCTTGCTCGTTCCTGCCTGATGGAGACTGTGCCTGGCCTGAATCGGCGTCGAGGCTGGCGATCGCGATTGTCTTTGCCATCATGCTGCGTGGTTAATAATTCTCACCTGAAAGAGCCAACGCGTCCGTCGAGTTTTGCATCTGCTCGCTTACAGCGAGGGCTGCCACAGCATGGGCTACACATTGCGCAGAAGTTGGATGAGTCAATTGTCGACATGCCACCCATCCGTGATGGCTTTTATCGCTACCCGCGTTCAGGTACTGTGCCTCACCATGCCGCTGTCATCTCAGCGCTGACCATCCATGGCCAACAAATTAATCTGTTGACATGCACGTACTTTCTGGTCAACCTTTCCGTTGCACTTTGGGGCATTGAACAAGAACGGGACAACCCAGTCATCCGACGCACCCGTGGACTTGTGCGACGGATGCTTTGGGCAGGCGGTGCGAGTAACACAGCGCATCCAATACACCACCGCTGTCAGAAGAGGAGGAGAAAGACCGTTGGGATTAGCGGTATCGTAGATCACCTATTGCATCCCGTGAACTAAACTGAGATTTCCGCCCATAATAGCGCTTTCGCTCGTGGACGGCCTCTCATCCATCGCCTTGCTTGCTTCCCTGCTGTCCTTGCTCTCATATACCTCCCGTTCCTTGGTCCTCTGACATCGTTCGTACCCTACCTACCTGCTCTGACCTATCCGTGCTTCTCGATTCCTCGTTCTGGTTGCCCGCCCTTTTAGGAGGGAGTCAGCCCATTTCTCTGACCGCTTTGTCAGTTTTATGCTCATTTTCATCTCTCCCTCTTGTGCATTCTTATACTCATCCATCGCCCAGACGACCTTGGGTCTCCCATACCGTACTATACCCATCCCACCTCTGCACGACATTGGCCAGCTAAGCATCCTTCAGACCAAACGAAGGCTTTTTCTGGAGCATCGACCGTCGGAACTGATCAGAATTGCTAGCTAGAAAAGAAAAAAGAAAAAAAAAAAAACCGCCCATATTTACGGTGGTGGATCGCGATCCGCGCTGTTGTTGCCTTGCTCGTACCCCCTGCCTGTGCCAATTCGAAACAGCAGCAGCGAGCGCGGGGCAGCTTTTCTAGCTAGCTCCAGCCCGTCGCTCGTCTCCTTCTTCCTTCAGCATGATACCGCGAACAATGACTTCCAACGAGGTATACCTGCTGCCTCTAAATGACGACGGTTCGCCCCAGGTCGCCGGCGAGTACATTTACCTGGCGCCAAGATGCGGTGATCCCATCACCATCCGCTTCGCGATCGAAGGTACGTCGAGCATATGTCGTCATGGCAGTCTCTGGGTCAACATCCCCGCAAAGGGCGAGGAATTTCGTCGCGACAAATTCACAGAGTACAAGTAAGTTTGAAAATAGCTCGATTGTTGCGTTCGCAGACTAACAAGTCCCCAAAGGTTGACCCCGGACTTCAATCGCACATTGGAGATCTCCATCCCCATCCACGATGCGGGCGCCTACGCCTTCTACACGACGTACGCCGAGCTCCCTGAGCTGAGCACAGAGTTGTCCGGTGACGCTTCGTCACAAAATACACTGAAGAAGACCCCCTTCTACTACATTGATGTCGCGCCGCGTCTCAAGCTGGATGGCCGGCCGCTGCCCCTGCCAGCGCTGTCCGTCTTCTCTGTCATCAGCAAGTTCATGGGGTCCTACCCGAAAGACTGGGAGAAACACCTCCACGGGATAAGCGACCGAGGGTACAACATGATCCATTTCACACCTCTGCAGGTGCGAGGGTCATCCAACTCGCCCTACAGTCTCTATGACCAGCTTGGTTGGGACCCTCACTGCTTCCCAGGCGGCGAGAAGGATGTCGCGCGCATGATTGAGAGCCTGGAGAAGGACTATAGCCTTCTCAGCTTGACAGATATTGTGCTCAACCACACTGCCAACAACACAAAATGGCTCGAGGAGCATCCCGAGGCTGGCTACAACCTGACGACCGCGCCTTGGCTTGAATCTGCTTTCGAACTCGATACCGCATTCCTCGAGCTGAGTGCAAACCTTGAAAAGCTGGGGCTGCCCACCGAGTTAAAGTCGACGGACGACCTCATGAAGATTATGGAGACTGCAAAGAAGGAAGTCATTGCCAAGATACGTTTGTGGGAATACTTTGTGCTCCATGTGGAGCGTGACGCCGATGCAAGTTTGGATGCTTGGGTTGCCGGCAAGACGCACTCTCCTGAGAACGTGGCCGAGTACGGCGCCCGTGTTGAAAGCCTCAAGAGCTCATCGCTGAACCAACAGGTCGAGTTCATGGAACAGTATGGTGTGCAGGGCAAGGACAGGCTTGGGGGACGCTTCTACCGCCGCGTCAACCCGGCCGTTGCTGCGAGCCTACTCTCCTACGTCTTTGGCCAGTATGACGCCAACAGCTCTGGTGCGCCCGACAAGGCAGCTGCGCGAGGCAAGATGGTGGAGATCCTGGACGCTCTCAACGTATCATTCTACCGCGAGTACGATACCGACGTGAACGAGATTCTGGACCAAGTCTTCAACCGCACAAAGTACACCCGTCTCGACGACCACGGTCCCAAACTCGGCCCCATCACCGACGAGAATCCCCTCATTGAGTCATATTTCACCCGCCTGCCCAAGAATGACACTACCGCCAAACACTCTGCCAGTGACCTCGCTGTCGTCAACAACGGTTGGGTCTGGGGTGGAAACGCCCTGGTAGACCATGCTGGACCCGATGTTCGCGTCTACCTGCGACGCGAAGTCATCGTCTGGGGCGATTGCGTGAAGCTGCGCTACGGCAAGGGCCCTGAAGACAACCCATGGCTCTGGGGGCACATGACCAAGTACGCTCGCCTGATGGCAAAGTACTTTGCCGGCCTGCGTATCGACAATTGCCACTCAACTCCCATTCACGTTGCCGAGCACATCCTCGATGAGGCTCGCCGCGTGCGCCCTGATGTGTATGTCGTCGCCGAACTCTTTACTGGGTCGGAGGAGACAGACTACGTCTTCGTCAAGCGTCTGGGCCTCAGCTCTCTCATTCGCGAAGCCATGCAGGCATGGAGCACCGCCGAGCTCAGTCGCCTTGTCCACAGGCACGGAGGACGCCCCATTGGCAGTTTTGAGGTCGATGAGGTGTCCAGGCCTGAAAGTCGGAGCCCACCCACCACCCCAGCCAGGGCAGGCAACAAGGATCCCCTTGACGAGAGTGGTGTGTATTCGCGAGAAATCATCAGGACCATCAAACCAACCCCGGTCCATGCCCTCTTCATGGATTGCACCCACGACAATGAGACGCCTGCGCAGAAGCGTGATGCCCGCGACACCCTGCCGAATGCGGCACTCGTTAACATGTGTTCTAGTGCGACGGGCAGCGTTATGGGATACGATGAGATCTACCCAAAGCTCGTTGACCTTGTGAACGAAACACGTCAATACACGTCCGAGTCTTCGGGTTCTCATTCTGTGAGCTCCGGACGTGGAAAGAATGGCATCGGCGGCGTGAAGAAGCTCCTGAATCAGATTCACACACTGATGGGCAAGGACGGGTATGATGAGACTCACGTGCACCATGAGGATCAATACATTACCGTGCATCGTGTGCATCCAGAGTCACGCAAGGGCTACTTCCTGATTGCCCACACGGCGTACCCTGGGTATGGGAACGGAAACGGAGACTTCAGCGCCGTGCACCTCGCGGGTACCAAGGCGCGTCACCTGGGCAGTTGGACGCTAGAGGTTGATGCGAGCGCCGAAGCGACCAAGGAAACCTTGGACGATAAGAAGTCCCTGAGGGGCTTGCCCAGCCGTGTGGTTGATTTGCCAGGCATCCGCATGGAGGTCAATGGCGAAGACACCACCATCACGGTTCGCGACAGATTCCCTCCAGGCAGTATCGCTTTGTTTGAGACATGGATCCCCACTGCCGAACATTCAGCCGGTCTAGACAACTATGTCACCTCGGGGGCGAAGGAGGCCATGGGTCAGCTGGACTTGGTGGATCTCAACTTCCTGCTGTATCGCTGCGAGGCTGAGGAGATGGACTCCAGCGGCGGCCAAGACGGAGTATATGATATTCCCGGCCACGGTAAGCTCATCTACGCCGGTCTTCAGGGTTGGTGGACAATTCTCGAGACCATCGTTCGGGAGAACAACCTGGCCCACCCGCTGTGCCAGAACCTCAGAGATGGACAGTGGGCTCTGGACTACACCGTTGGACGTCTGGAACGTATCAGTGTCAAGTCTGGGCACGAACGTCTCGCTGCGCCTGCCGAATGGTTCAAAGACCGCTTCAATGCCATCAGGAAAATTCCAAGCTTCCTGTTGCCCCGCTACTTTGGACTCGTTCTGCGCACCGCTTACCTGGCTGCCACGGAACGCGCTCTGGCGCTGATGGGAGAGAACATTCAACACGGCCAGTGGTTCCTGCAGAGGCTGGCCCTGGTGAGCGTGCAGATGAACGGATACGTCAAGTCTGCGTCTCTCTGGCCAAACAAGCCCGTGCCAGCCATGGCCGCTGGTTTGCCTCACTTTGCTGTCGAATGGGCCAGGTGCTGGGGACGTGATGTCTTCATTTCACTTCGTGGTCTTCTGCTCGGCACAGGCCGTTTTGACGAAGCGAAGGAGCACATATTGGCTTTTGCGAGCGTGCTGAAGCATGGCATGATCCCCAACCTACTCAGCAGTGGCGACCTGCCGCGATACAACTCGCGCGATTCAATCTGGTTCTTCCTGCAGACCATTCAAGACTACGTCAAGATTGCTCCCGAAGGTGCCGCGCTTCTCAAGACCAAGGTACAGCGGAGATTCCTCCCATATGACGACACCTGGTTCCCTACGAGCGACGAGCGCGCGTACTCGACGGAGAGCACCATCGAGGATGTGATCCAAGAAGCGCTCCAGAGACACGCAACTGGCATGAAGTACCGCGAAGCCAACGCGGGTCCCGGAATCGACATGCAGATGAAAGATGAGGGGTTCAATCAAGAAATCAAGGTGGATTGGAGCACGGGTATCGTTTTTGGCGGTAACCAGCACAACTGCGGCACGTGGATGGACAAGATGGGCGAGAGCGAGAAGGCCGGCTCCAAGGGTGTGCCAGGAACGCCCCGGGACGGCGCTGCCGTCGAGATCACCGGCCTTCTCTACAGCGCGCTGGACTGGCTGTCAGAGATGCACAAGAAGGGCCAGTACGCTTACGAAAGCGTCAAGACTTCAGAGGGCAAGTCTATCACACTTGCCGAGTGGGCGGCACTCATCAGGGACAATTTCGAGCGCTGCTACTACGTTCCAGTTTCGGCCGAGGACGACTCCAAGTACGACGTCAACACCAGCATCGTCAACCGTCGCGGCATGTACAAGGACTTGTACAAGTCCGGTAAAGAGTTCGAGGACTATCAGCTGCGCAGCAACTTCCCCATCGCCATGACTGTGGCGCCCTCGCTTTTCAACCCTGAGCACGCCTTGCACGCCCTGCGTCTAGCCGACACGGCCCTCCGAGGACCGGCCGGCATGGCAACACTGGACCCGGCCGACCTGAACTACCGTCCGTACTACCATAATAGCGAGGACAGCGAGGATTTTGCGACCAGCAAGGGTCGCAACTACCACCAGGGACCCGAGTGGCTCTGGCCGACGGGCTACTTCCTGCGTGCGCTGCTCAAGTTTGACCTCGGGAGGCGGACAAGCGAGGCTGGCAAGACGGAAGCCTTCCAGCAGGTGACGAGGCGCCTCGCAGGGTGCAAACAGTGGATGAAGGACAGCCCCTGGGCCGGTCTGACCGAGTTGACGCAGAAGAATGGCGAGAACTGCCCCGATTCGGTACGTATTTCGATTCCATTCCTGCCAAGTGTCCTAGCTGCATACGCACGTGTTTGGTGTTTTTGTTTGCTAACCTCTCTTACAGAGCCCGACGCAAGCCTGGTCCGCAGGATGCCTGATTGACCTCTACATGGATGCCGCCGAGGAGCAAGACAAGGACAAATAGGAGGGGTTGGATGATCACAAGTTTGGGATATCAGCATTGTTCGCTAGCATTAGATCAACAGCGTGAAAAGATTGGATACATAATGGATTCGGAATGAGCCCATGGAATGATGTCGCGTGCGTGGGACGAGACATGTGTCTTGGGTCTTGCCGAGACATTCACCATGTTTGTTTTGATGTGTGTGTGTGCATGGTCCGTATTTGTATTGTGATCTAAACATGCATGGTAACACGTCCATGTCCATGGAACGCAGAATAACAATATGAACGAGTGGCAGATGTGCCGAGTTTTCCCAAATACACCCCTTCCCAAGAAAAAAACGCCGTGGATGAGCGACACAAAGCAGCAATAACAATAGTTACGATGAGTTATGTCCATCCGAGCAAGCAAGCAAGCACGCGCAAGACCGGCCGTGATATTTCATATACAAGAAAACCCCCTGGGCCAGATATCACCTTTTCCAGAACTTCCAGGAGGGCGTCTCCGCAGGCTGGGCTTCCGCCTTGGGCATAAACACACCCGCTGGGTCCGAGGAGTCGCTCGGTTGTTGGCCGCCCATCGACGGCCGGGCGAGTACCTTGCCCGCCTCGGCGGCGCGCGGGTCGCCTGGGCCCCATGACGGGCGGGTTTGGGAGCCGGACTGCTTCTGGTTCCATGTCCGTTGGTGCTCCTTCTTCTTGAGGTATCGGCGGCGCCAGATGCAAGCACCGACCCAGATGCCGACAATGGCGACGACAAGGACGACGAGCATGACGATCCACTGCCAGTGGTTGGAGAGCCTGCCAGGACGGTTAGTGTGTTTGCTGACGGGGGAATATCAGGGGCAACGTACCAGTCACCACCAGCGTTCGAGTAGTCGGCCGTGCCAGTTGTCGTTGGTCGTGCATTTGCACCTCCATTTCCGCCCTGCGTGCCGCCTCCTTCGTTTCCCGTTGTCCCGGTGCCTCCGTTGCTGTCGCCTTCGCTCGTGTCGTCCCCTGTGGTTGTATCGTCCCCTGTGCTCGTGTCGTCCTCCGTGCTGCCGTTGGAATCACCCGAGTCGGCGATATTGCACGTCCTCTGGAACCACTGTTGGATCAAGCCCATCGACTGCCCTTCGGGACACACGTCGGAGCAGACGGTCAGGCTCGTCGCCAGGGAGGACACCGCGGAGTCGGCGCAGAAGCATTCTGTGTAGGTGGCCATGTCGGACGCGGGCACGGCGGGCGGGACGCAGCGGTTGTTGGCGCCGTAGAGGGCGCCGCAGTCGACGGCGCATGGTGGTAGGATACCAAAGTCGGGGATCATGACGGCCGCTGGTGGTGCATTCTTGTCAGTAACTCGTCTTGCTGTTGCGTTGTGTGCTCGTGGGGAGCATACTCATGATGACGGTCTGTTGTTGGGGTGATGCCCAACTCCGGCGACGCGCAGACGGTGTTGTAGAGTTCAATTCGGCCCCAGTGCACAATCGGTCGGAGGATCGTTCGGTGGCCTGGATTCAGCGTGCCCACACGCGGGCAGTGGTCAGGGGATGCTCGCTCGAGTCGCGTGAGTTCTGTCGGGGGCTGGGATGGGATGCACAGGCGAGAGGCAGCCGTCGCGCCGTCTCGTTGGCGGTGTTGGTTATCGTACGATCCGTGGCCCAGTCAGCCGGTTGTTCCGTTCGAGTAAAGCCAAACGCAGCGGAAGGTGATCGATGCTTGAGGTGTCGCGAAGGCCGGGGGTTGCGTGAGCAAGAAGGAGAGAGGCGAAGTACCGGTGCGAATGACGGATAGTTGACACGGGTGACGGGTGCGAGAAAGTAAGTGCCTAAAGGTACGGTAAGGTAAGGTAAGGTATATTGGTGAGATGGCACGGAATGATGGTGTGGATGACGGCGGGAAAAGAAGGTTACGGGCCTGGAATGCTCATTCTCCAGTCGCAGGACTCCAGCACAGACGTGGTGGATCCAGGGCTTGGCGGCGCCTGTCCCGGTGCAGTCGGGCTGCAGCCAATCCTCGATGAACGCGTGTTGATCCTGTTAAGGTTTCTGCGGCCAGCTTGGTGTTGGTCGTTAGCGGTAGGTACGTCGAACATCAATGCAGCATTCAGGGCTTTATTAGGCTGTCCACGGAAGGAGACAGCGACAGCGAGTGAGGGTGTGCTGCGACCGACCATGGCGGCTTGGCTCCAACGTCAGCAGGTGATTACGCTTCACAAAACAGGCGGCACAGCCTGGGACAACACGCTGCAATTTGCGGTGGTCGTTTGCGGCGGTTCTCGTATCCCATCATCACGAGGTGCCTGGATCCAGTGCTCTGTTTAATAACTTATCCATTATTAGTGAGCAGCATCATGGTGACATGGACAGACGACTGATGACGCTTTTATCATTACTAGTACCCTTTGACCTCGCTGCACGCATGCGTGCTTCCCAACCACCGGCCATAATGTCACTCAAGCATACAGCATGCTGTCGCCCAGGCCGGCGACGTCCTTGGCTCGCAACTCGTTGACGTCAGGGTAGGCTCAGGCCCAGCTGATCTAGATCAATCAAGCGGTGAACCCCGATTCATCAGCTTTGTTTAGCTTTCATGCCAGAGACACGCATGGAATTAGGTGCTATTAGGCAGGGCGCACTAGCATGAGAAACGAAGCAAAAAGAACTTCCATTGCCCCCTGCATCGGATGCTTGTTACTTTGCAGGCCGGCCGTCTGAGTGAGTTTTATTGCGCCCGGGTCGGCGGCATGCTGACGCTTGGCACCTTCCGTGCTGGGACTGTGCGGTGCCTCGTAGTGCCCGCTAAGCCACGCTGTGCCAAGGCCCAATTGCATACCAGCCACTGGCAGTCAGCCCCCTTTTTGGCACAATGTCAACAAGACCATCATGGGATGGATAAAGTGTGTACTCTGGACGTACTGAAGAGACGGTTAGAGCAGCTGAGAATAATGCGCAGCCTACCTAGGCTCGCCAGGGCTTCTTTCATGTTTGCAAGGATACACTATGAATGCCATTACTGGTCGGGAGCAAAATCAACTAGCTGTTGGCAAAACAATGCCAGCGTTGTTTAAGATTATGCTAGCAGCGAGACGATTCAAAACACCATGCCATGAATGAGCATTGTATAAGCCTCAAGTCCAAACTCAAACGCCAGCGATACGCCCAGGAGCCACAACTTCAGGGTCGTGACGCCTCTATAGGTTTCGGAATGTCAGTATGAGAAGCGACAGACGACATTACACGGGCTGCCTGCAGGGTGGGCAGAACAGCCCAGCAGCAACCAGGCGATTCCTTCGTGTATGTAGTAGCGGCTCGTTCTTTCGTCTGGACCTCAATGAAATACGAGGGTCGAATGAGGAGTATTGAAGAAAAAAAAAAAAACCGGGTCAGAGTATCAAGCTATGAGTATGAGAAAATAACACAGAAATGCTCCAAGATGGGCTGAACAAAAATCGCAAGGGTTGAAACAAACACAATCGATACTTAATCAAAAACAAGTGAAGGGTGTATAAATATCATTAAGAAATTTTAACCTCACGGCTGCCCCCGTGGCCTAATGGCTAAGGCGCTGGACTTCTACTTTGTAGATATGTCTTTATCTAGAGATTGCGGGTTCGAGTCCCGCCGGGGGTTCACCTTTTTGCATTTTCGTCCACTGGGAGTTGCGTGTCTCTCCTTGCCGTCGAAACTGTTTATTTTTGCACTCCAATGCCAGACGCACACCCGCGCACACCTTCACCTCGCAGCTCGAGTCTGTGGGCTCCTATGCAAGCTCCATTGCCCCGCCAATGCTATGCTGTCCATCAGTTGATAAGAAGTCCAATCCTCTTGAGCCAGTGTCCCTTACCGCTCGACTTGAGCTGAGCACAGCAGTTGCTTGTCACCAAACAACGACTCAGTGATGAGTTCGGTGGCTAGCAGAACGGGGGAAAGCCAAAGCCCTCCACATATTCATTGAGGACCACCTCGACAACATCGGCTGATCCATGCACAAGAGTGCCACCGTTTCTGAGCTCCATGCCCACGTAACAGGTGTCAAGTACTTCCTGCACTGCATTGGCAACGTCCTCACTGAGACGAGAAGGGTCAGCCTTGTCACTTGTCTCTGGGTTCTGGGAGATCGGGTCCTACCTGGTCACTACAGTCTCTTGGAACCTGAGGGGCTGCCCGTAGACCATGCTTTTCTCCCGAAAGCAAAAGACTGAGCCTCGGCCGAAGACGGTAATGTTTGCGTTGTGGCCCCGGATAAATTCGAGACATTCTTTCATGTCCTCTTCCTGCGCTCACCTTAGCCCCAGACACTGCACTGCGACACTCTGAAGAAACCAACAAGTCCAGGGCCTCCGATCTTAGTACAGCAGTCTGGATTGCGCTTGCCGTTTTCTTTAGCCTCTGCAATGGACGAATACCCTGGGCCAGGAGGGCCTCGGACGCAGGTTGTGTTGGCGCTTGGCACAGCTAGAACGGTGTGATTGAAGACAAGGGCAGGCAGAAGCACGCAGAAGAAACCAGATAGGTGCATGATTGTTTAGGTGAAAGTTCGAAATGATTGAGTTGAATGCTTCGGGACTTGTGTGATGCGGGCGTGAGTGCTGGGAGGAAAGCTCCCAAGGAAAGTAAAGGTCATTTTATGTCTGATTGGGCCGCGCACGCTGTAGGCGAGACCTGTGAATAACTGTGAAGAGCTGGAATGCAGTGATCAATTGCAAAACATTATCAGACGGGTTTCGCCGAGTCTTGGCAGCTCGAGGCGACTTGTAGTCTGCGCCATATGGTAGTTATGGACAGTGGAGACCCGTCTTGAGAGCTTTGTAAACATCAATCACTTGCTCGACTCGGAGTGGCTGCTGTAGCCTGAGGATTGGATTTATGTGACATGCGTGTTCCTTCGGAACTGAAAATGGTGAAACGCGCACAAGTGATGAACAGCTTGGAAGGGAGTTCCACTGCAGTGAGTTGTGATTATCGGAGCAGCAAAGAACTGGGGAACGCCCTTTCTTTCAACTGGGAAAAGTTGCTACGTCACGGCTTCTCTAGAGTAGTAGAAGCGAGCACACGATGAGTAGATACTGAGACTTGGTGATTCATCGAACATGGGACTCGGCCATTCCTCGCGGGATCTGTGCTCACGGATGGAGTGACCGGCAGAATGAAGTGTCCCTGTGGTGCGACGGTCGGGCCTTTGTATGATGACTGGCCGGTTGACCTGATTCATGTTCCCGGCGGAGAGCTACTGGGCGGAGACGCCACGGATCTGTTTGAGAGCACATATATATCATGTCACACACGTACAGGTCTCAAGGCGGCCTCGAAAGAAGGTGATGAGGACCGCGAGTGCTACCCTCCCGGAGTCCCAGCACAAAACCGGGGCACGGCTGCGCCCAGGACCTCGCCCTGGGAAGTTCAAAGTCCCTGAAAGAAGCCGAATATAGTGATGGATCATTGGCGGCAACCACGCCACCATGCAGGTGCCAACCTCACTTGCTCGAGGGACCGCCTTTGCACCACGACCCTGACCGCCTCCCCGCATATTGGGGGCCATCTCAGCGGGTGGCGTGGTTGCTGAGAATACCAGAGGTAGATCTCTGTCAGGACTTGAAAGACACACAAGAGCGACCTTCCCCCCATGATAATCAGTCGAGTCCGCACACGCCACAACTGATGGCGCCGACCAGTGGCCGACAACCGCAGCACATCGTAGGCTTGATTGCTTGGTGAATGATGTTTCGTTTCGGTTGGAATATTGAATCTTGACTTGGCAGGAACAAACAGGCTCCACGTCTCCTGGAGTAGTTCCATCTGGCCAGTCTGATTGAAACGGCAGCTGGTTTGCGTTGCACGCAAAACACTCTGGCTTGTACGACCACACGATCACGCCTTTAAGACTTTGCGAGTTCTACGCCATCCAATGAAGGTGATGTGTGGATTTGGGGCTTTTATACGTAGTACTTACTTGGCTTGGACAAATGCAGGGGTCATCGCTTCGTCCAGGATTAGTTGATGGCTATGTAGGAATCCGATGGACGGACTCTATTAACAAATTGCAACACACGCCCTGCATCTCTATCCACACGTTTCGAGCGCCCGCAGCATTCTGCGAGAACCATATCATTGGTATATGTCAGCCCATGGGCCGTTACACCATGCAAGACAAGGTCCAGCGTCCGCGGAAGCAACCGTGCCAACCCCATACTGATCGATGACCAGTGATTTCATATCGGCCATCCCGGGCTTTTACTGAGCCCAGTGCCACGTGTTGATCATCCGGCCGGCTGCCGGGAGGAGATGGACGTCATTGACTGCAGCGTATCCGGCAGAGTTGAGTATGTCTAACTGCAGCTGCGACAACGGGCGTGACATTGTGAGTCCCAACGCAAGATCGACCCATATCCGTGCTGGCTGGCTTTTTTGTATTACCCCCGCTGCCCTAACACCGGCGCTATTTTGTTGCAAATATTAATGCCGTGCTGCCGAGAACCCGCAAGAGTGGTACGAGAGACAGACTCTACAAACCAGAAGACAGGAGACGATGCGACCCAGAGTGTCGGTGTAGACAACAGCCGGTCTGGCTGCGGTTCAGGTTACACAAGGTCGCTAGTCCATCTTGAAGATTGCAAAAGGATTCTTCGTGGAACCTAGGCCGAAGTCCCGCGTCATCATTCAGCTGCCCAGTGCCCTCTCCCAGAGTCCATCCTCCCTTGCCTCTTCTGGGTCAAGAGGACGGCAGAGAGGTCCCATGAGCGCGGATACCCGCAGATCTGGCGTATGCTAGACATCTTCACCTGACAGAAGTCTTGGCCTGTGTAACTTCTTGCAAGTCCAATACTCTACTGCGGACGAGGAGTTCTCGCACGGCGTTATCAAATGACATGTCATGTCTATAGCTGGCCATTATAAACCAAATCGGCAAATGTCAACGCTGAAAACGATCCTCTGCGTCCTCAAACTGGCAGATAGTCTTGGGGGTATGTCTTTATATGTATGTCTATAAGAAGGGAGAATAGATTTAGTTCACGTAAGGACGTTTGCATGAACGCAAAAAGGGGCTCGCCGACTCTGGTTGGAAGGAGGCTGACACGGTTGCTTGGACATTTGACCAGCAGGCCATAGTTTCATGCAGTGCTGGATGCATGGAGGGCTCTGACGTGGCCATCTTGGAAATTCCTACGCAGCCGATGAAGTGTCAAACCAAAGCTGTGCAAGTCCAGCAGGTTCTTGGCTAGGAGGGGGACAGCCAGTTGAGCATCTAGAGTCCTTTCCGTTGTGCACCTTCGTCTAGACACGGCTACTACTATAAAGGGGGTGCGGTGACCGTCAGTAGAACATAAGGAGTGTACAGCTGCATCACCTTCCGAACTCACTTGAAGAGAGCAAGCATTCAAGCAGCGAATAGATAAGCTGACCCCAAACCTTTGAGACCTCATCTTCAGACACGAAGCCGGCATGTCCAACCAAGAGACTCAGGCAACTCAGAGGGAACAGTACTCCACAGAATGTAAGCCTCGAGACTCATGTTTGGCTTGTTTGATCACTCGACCGTGTCTGACACTGTCACCAGCTTCGACTGACACTACTACTCCCATGGACCGGTTCTTGGCCGAGTCCAGCACCGACGCCCCCTGGAACAACATTGCAGAGACAGAAAGGCAGTCAAGAGAGCCAACGTCAGGCAGTACCGGCAACTCCACAAACAAAGACAGTGGCGTGTCTTCGACTCGCGCCACCCAGGGCTCCAGTCCCAAGGACAATGGCAGCGGATGAGCTCTCATTGTTGCGCCTTTTGTCTTTTGGTGTGCATTGCCTGATGTCCTGGTGACGTATCAGTGGACAAGATATCACGTTTCTACTAGATAGAGAAATACGAAAATACTTTGGTTGGTTTTGTTCATGAATTTGATGTCACGAATATGATAGATAAGTCGAAATACTGCCCTACCCTATAGCACACATCCCCTAATGCTTCGCCTGATCAATTGATCCCTAATAGGAAATGGCTTGATCATTCGATTGCCAAAGAGGAAAGCACATCTGTCAGCTACATTCTGCCATCTTACGTCGTTGCTCCAGGGGCACCACCCACCACTGACGGACACGGAGCTCACGTACTGGGGTCAAGTTCAAACCTTCGTAATGTGGAGAGCAACACAGTACACTCAACATGAACCCGAAAAACATCTTTCAAGACTGCCCGAGTCCCCCGCGCACTTATTGTACTTGGTTGGTCCCTAGCTTAGTGCGTGCCACTCCACAATATGTACAAGTCCCCATCGATTAGCGGTTCGCATCCGCTAGCGGATCTATTCCGTTGGCGACTGCACTCTGCGGGGACTGGACACTGGACGCTGGGCGCGCCCTGCTCGTCATGACTTGTCCTCCTGGGCGCTGTAATTAAGACTGTCTGTCTTATTCACTTTCATTCATACACTTCGTGTCTGGTATCAAGAACTTGTTCCTGACATTGGTCAGAGAATTTTCTCACCAGCTTTCACCATCAAAGGCGCCTCATCCACTGTGAAGCCATGACACCACCGCATCCTTTCCAGCCGCTCAGTCCAGCCGAGATCCGCGAGGTACAGTAGATAGATGCCCCTGCTCTGGACAGAGTACAGCTCCGCTGATATCGCGAGAGCAGGCAGCTCGAGTCGCACGAGCCGCTTTCCCCGGCCAAAGTCCAAACTTCAGAGTCATCACGCTTCAAGAGCCACCGAAGCAATTGATGATACAATGGCTCGAAGCGGGTGAGCAAGGAAAGCCAGGCGTTGAGCAGCCACCTCGGGCGGCCCGCGTGCAAGTCATAATTCGCGATGACACTGGCCCCGGACAGCTGCACGAAGTGCTCATTGACCTGGACAGTTTGACTGTGGTGCGAAAGGAACATTTGCCGGGCAAACACCCATACATTGACACGGAGTACATGCAAGCCGTCGAGTCCGCTTGCCGTGCCGACTCGAGGGTCCAGCAGGAGATCAGTAAACTGCAGCTACCGGCCGGAGCTACCGTTGTCATTGAACCCTGGGCCTATGCGACCGATGGTGAGATTGACGTATCTGAGCGCACGTCCATGGTGAGTCTGACTGAGCCGCGTTGTGGGCGGCGATGCTGAAAGGAATAGTGCTGGTTCTACATGAGACTGCTGGAGAGTCCTGATGCCAACTACTATGCCTATCCCCTCGACCTGTGCGCTGAAGTGTCGGAACGGTTGGTGGTCACCCAGGTGTACTACCTCCCATCGTCCGAGCACGACCGCACGTCTGACGAGGGCCGACCTTACGATCATCGCAAGGTGCATCCGACAGCTGCCAGCGAGTATCATCCTGACCTAAGACCACCCCCACGCTCTACGACCAAGCCGTACCAGGTGCATCAACCAGAGGGTCCTTCATTTGCGACAGATGGCAACTTTCTCACCTGGGAGAAGTGGGAAATGCACGTTGGGTTCAACTATCGGGAGGGGCTGACGCTGCACAATCTAAAATACGACGGGCGAAGCTTATTCTACCGGTTGTCACTATCCGAAATGTTTGTCCCCTACGGCGATCCTCGACGCCCGTATCCCCGGAAAGGCGCGTTTGACCTCGGCAACGACGGGGCTGGGATCAACGCCAACAACCTACAGCTAGGGTGCGATTGCCTGGGGACCATCAAGTACTTTGATGCGTGGCACACCACCAGTACCGGCGAGCCCCTGAAGCTACCCAACGTGGTCTGCTGCCACGAGCAAGACGACGGCATCCTCTGGAAGCACACCAACTTCCGCACGCAGAACGCCGTGGTCACGCGCTCCCGCATCCTGGTGCTCCAAACCATCATCACGGTCAGCAACTACGAGTACATCTTTGCCTTCCACTTCGGCCAGGATGCGTCCATCCACTACGAGGTGCGCGCCACTGGCATTCTATCCACCGCGCCCATCAACATCGGCGAACAGGTGCCTTACGGGACAGTCGTCGCGCCTGGTGTGCTGGCGCCATACCACCAGCACATGTTCTGCCTAAGGCTGGACCCTGCCGTCGATGGACATAAGAACACTCTTCAAGTTGAAGAATCACGTCCGCTCCCGGTAGACGACGACAATGTGCACAATCCGTATTTCATGGGCTACGAAGCTGTGAAGAATGAGATTGAGGAAGAAGGCGGACTGGACCTCGACGTGTCCAAGAACAGAGTGTTCAAGATCATCAATGAGAACAAGGTCAACCCCATCACAGGCACGCCCGTGGGACTCAAGTTGATACCCCATTACAGCCAGATGCTGCTTGCGCACCCAGATTCCTTCCATGCCAGGCGATCCGAGTTTGGTAAACATGCTGTCTGGGTGACGCGCTATCAAGACGACGAGCTCTTCCCGTCAGGTCGATACACCATGCAATCGCTGGGAGGCGATGGCATCGAATCGGCGATTCAGCGTCGTCAGGCCGATCCGGAAGGCTCAAGCTCTGTGCGGGACGAGGACATTGTGGTCTGGCACACATTTGGGTCCACCCACAATCCGAGGATCGAGGACTGGCCTGTCATGCCGAGCGAGAAGATGACAGTAGGGCTCAAGCCTGTCAACTTCTTCAGTGGGAACCCAGGTATTGATGTTCAGAAGTCGACGCAGGATCGGAACAAGAGTGCCCTGGTGGATGGGGATGCTGGTCGACATAGCTGCTGTGCGCCGGAATCATAGACATAATGCTGAACTCTTCGCTGCCTTATGACTCTAGGCCCACAATCTTCTCCAACTCGACAAAGTACAGAGCGTCCGGTGTGACGGAATCTGGGATCTTGTCACGTGGAAACGGGGTCGTCTCCCCCGTCTTCACGTACCCACGGCGCATGTACCACGAGATCAGCAATGTCCGGGTCGATAATGCGTTGAGCCCAACCCTCGTGATGCCCCAGCGCTGCTGACCGTAGTCCTCCGCGTAGGCAAGGATCTTCCGTCCAAGGCCACCTTGCTGATGTTGCTGCTGGATGGCGAGATGGAAAATCATGCCGCGCCCCTGCTCCCTCTGCGCGACGGTCACAGTACCCAGGAGTGTGCCGTTGTCGTCAAAGGCCATTTGCATGGCGCTATCTGAATCATTGATGATGCCCAGAACGACGTCGAGCTCCAGGCGGAATCCAGATCCCAGGCCCAGATCGTCGACCCAGCCATCCCTCGAGTCCTCTGCGCGAAAGGCAGCCTCTATGAGCTGTCGGAGCTCCTCCGCATCGTCGACGGTTGCGGTGCGGAATTGGAGCTCACCAGCCATGGTTGAAATTCGATGCTGTGATCAAAGTGCAGGTTGAGAATAAGAGATGGTGATTGTGATGGCGATGGCTGAATGAAAGGGTTGGTAAGGGATGCTCAATGTGTGGCACAAGCACAGCTATTTAAAAGTGTCATGTTTGTCCACGGTACATGTAGCCTGAAGGGCGCGCATAAATGTACGTCCAAGGGCGCTGTTGACAGATTAATACGAGCATCACCGCAACCACAGGAGGGGGGTCGTCTTGGGGGGTGCGAATACCGCCAGGGCGGTCTAATGAAATATTTAGTTGACTATCTGAGCCTTGAAATAAGCAGCTTAAAAGCTTCAGTAGCTGGGTCGACGGTGACTCAGAAGACACCGCCAGAGCCGTCTACTACGAACGAAGCAAAAGGGCACCAACATTGGGGTGACATTGGATTTCAATAAAACATGGAATAAGTCTGAGAGAAATTTCTATCCATGTACGAAAGGCCACCTCTTGTGCACAGCAGATAGTACCCCCTTATGTCTCTATATCAAGATTGTCACTTGCTGGCGTTGGGGGACCTCCCCAAGCTCTCACGGTTCGTCGTCCCTCTCGTCTTGTATATGCAGAAGATCTTCATCGGGAAGCATGATGGCATGGTCAAGGGAGTAGGGCAGTCCGCGATGGCGTCCACGAATCATCATAGCGCAGATGACAAGTTTGCCAAAGACGCCAAACATGCCGCTTAGGGATGTCATGACGGTGGGGTAACCGAGACTCAGGCCCACGTTGCCACTGTAATAATGTCAGTGGTAGTCCATGCATGCCAAAGGCCATAATAGAGCACATGGAATGAACATACTATGCAGAGGTGACCTCGAAGAAGATGGTCCAGACAGTAAAGGCCTATGCGGGAACGCTCAGGGTCAGTTCAGGACCAGTACAAGACGAGACAAGAAGACTTACGGGCTCGTCTGGGTTGGCGATTCTCTCCGCCTCTGCGATGCACAGACAGAAAATGCCGAGAAAGATATACCACAAGTCAAAGTTGAGCTGGTTCTGCAGGTGGGTCATGACATAGGACCGTCCATTTGCTTCGTTGAGCGGGCCCTCATTCGGGTAGATGCCGAGCGACTTCTCTTCGTACGTGTTGGACGCCCTGATGCTCAGCGCGATGGGGAAGATGGCAATGTACATCATGACCATGAGGCTGAACTGCACGGCTGGGCTGACGCTGGCGAGATTGAAGGACGACGTGCCCGTGTGCCGGGAAGAGGCGGCCTGGAAGATGGCCGCGAGGATGCGCTTCCCAATGGGGAGGGCGTTGACCTCGGGGTTGTCCAGATCGAGGACAATGATCAAGAGTGTGTCGATAAAGTTCAGGGCGAAGATGATGCCAAAGAGAATCCAGGTGGGACCGCTGGGGAAGAGGAGTGTGTAGCAACGGCGTGGGTACTTCAGAAGGAAATGCAGAGGCTGTTGAATCGACGATCCCCTTGGCGCGATTTTGGACAAGGTCCAGATGACGAGGCGGAGGAACACGGGGTACAATGTGTTGCCGGCGAAGGCGAGGAAACTCATGATAAGCATGGGCCATGGGGCGTCCCGGAAAGAGATCATGGAGTCGGGGGTGAGTGTGAAACCCAAGTTGTCGACCATGGTCTGCGCCGAGTAGAAGGCCCTGCCAAAGTCAGACTGGGAAAAGGACCAGACAGGAGTAGTATTGTTTCCGTGGCACATACCACCAGTTCTTGTCCTGCCCTGCCTGTTGCAGGACATTCGTGTACTTGGGACTGGCGTATTGGACCCAGCCGACGAGGCAGATCGCACCAAAGATGTGGAGGCCAAAGAAATACGCTGCGAGAGGGTTCAGCACGTCAGTCCAGCTGTTGTAGGGATACAAATTAGACAGGGGTCTTACTAAACACAATCTTCAGGAGCAACTTGAGACTTTGATACTCTATGCCACTCAGTCGCTCGCGATCTTCCTTGGTCAGGTTTTGGAATTCTCCGTTGCGCCCAATGGTAGCATGGCGAGACAAGGACAGAGTCTTGTCGAGCTCAACGGCCTTGACTGGAGGACGCGTCATGCTTGAGGCGCGGGAGTTGCGATGCTGAGACCGCTCGGTGTCGAGGATGAGCATGGATCGAGCCACGCTGGCAATGTTTCCGGTTGACGGAGCAAAGGTACCCGAGCTCTTGGGGTTTCGTCGACGGAGATCGGCGTTGCTAGAGCTCGCGATGGTGTCTACAGGTTTTATGGCATCGTCTGCGTGGTTAGTGAGGGCTATGCCAGGTTATGTTCGTGTACGCACCATCGTAGCTCTTTCGGTCCACTTCCATCAAGGGCGAGCCTAGTACGGGGGATTTGTTAGTCGTGCTGGACACTGGGAAGGAGTCGACAAAATCAAGCCCAAAGTCAAACAAAGCACACTCACCATGTTCTCGATCGCGAGGCCCTGGGATGTACAGAGTCGAGTCCTCCCTCGGGAGATTCGCAGATGGATCAATGGTGATATGTCGGCCTATATTCGATGGGGCCTCGGCTGCTACAGTGTTGTCCGCCGTTTCAGGGTCGTCAAGAGTCTTGGGCTCCTCAGCGTCTTCGATATCCTTCTCTGGCTCTGGGGTTTGTCGACCACGTTTGCGTGTGAGAAGCTTGGGCGCTGCGTTGGATTTCAGTGTTATGAAAGCAAAGGGCTGAGGTGTCTTGTGAAAGATGTATACGCACCGACTTTCTTGAGATGTTTGCGGAACCAGAATAGGCGAACGAGGACCGTGAAAGCATTGATGAAGCCGAGGTTCGTGAACATGGGGATGAAATATATGTACAGCTGTTGGTACAAGTAGAGTTCCTTTACGTCGACGCTGTGCAAGGTCAGCAGCTAGTAAGTCCGCTGGGGGAACGGCGGTAAACGTACGTATTCAAGCCTGACTCGGTTGATCCACTGGCACCAAAGAAGTAGGCATCGATGGCTTTCAAATTACCGGCCGGGTAGAGGATGACCAAGGAAAGAAGGCCCATGAAGATGATGTAGGCATCTGTCGAGCCGTCAGCGAAAAAAGCCAACCGGCCTCCTAGCCAAGTCTCACTGACAGTGAATAGTCACAAAATTGATAGGGGGCTTGAGCTGTGACCACTCCATGACTGGGAAAGAAGTCTCGAGATGGACTTGGAAACGGCGAGTAGTGCAGGCTGTGCAAGCGATTCAAGAAGCTTTGTATTAGAGTTTAAGTACAGTTGCACTGCATGTACGAGCCAAGGCTGTTCTCGTCCTTAATATACCTGGCGGGCACGGGCTTGGCGAGACAAAGCCCTGGATGTGCTCTCAGCTAGAACAGAGGTACCGGACATGAGAGTCATTGCATCGGTTGGCCAATTTTGGTACTTGAAAATCATCCTGCGAAACTAGGCTGGGAGGCCTCTGTTTACCGTCATGGGCATGGCGGCTGCAGGACTTGTTGACCGCAGCAGCTCTCGAGGCATCACGCGCCGCGGGATACTTTGGAGGCGAGTTCCGCCAGCAAGCTGTGGCACTTTCGCTCGCTACAAAATACCTCACTCCCTCACTGACCTGCCTCTTTGTTAGTAAAAGGACTCGTAGCTTGGTTGCGCCCCCGACTCCCGCGTCTGGACAAGATCGATGCGTGGCCCCTCCCACGCACTAACACCGGCATCTTTACCGAGGAACTTGTGCGTAGCGCCCGAAGCCTCAGCGGCACGAATCACAGCGCAGAGGTTGGGCGGTCAAGACAAATACGGGTCCCAGTTGGCTCGGAATGCTTGCGATTGTGTAAGTATAGGGTAAGTTGAACCAAAAGATCACAACGCTGAATGAATCCTGCGTCACCTGGAATGAACGCGCTTTTTTTTTTTTTTGTTTGAACAGGAGAGAAAACGATGCATTCGCTTAACTTAGCAAAGGGTTCTTTTGCCGCAACTTCCGCCGCCTAGAAGTCTCACCAGTCTGCTCCACCTAAGGGCTATCGTGGCCCAGACTCACCCGGCTGGGAGAACCACGAAACGCAGATGGTCCCAGGAAACCAAAGGTCCCTAGCGGTATGCTGAGGCCGTGGACGACAATGCTACAGAGACAGAGGAACCACACGACCGTCCTGATCAAGCTACCAAGGTCCTCGACGTCGCTGCGTGGCACACCATTCTCATCCGACAGATGCATCCGGATAAAGTCAAGACTGATGAAGATGTAGTAGACGGCAGACACGCCAATGGGTCCAAAGAAGCCCATAAAGGCAGCTTGCCTCCTGTCGGCAATCTGTGGAATCCACCAGTGCATGCCGAAAATGCAGGGAAGCCGTCTCAGAAGCAGTACGGAGATCGCGAGGAAGAAAAGCGTGCCCAGGCTGGTGGTCGCATCTTCCACGAAGCGGTTCCAGGGCATGTACGCACCGTACCACAGGAAGACGGAGACGTTGAGGAGCATATCGACCGTCGGCTGCAGCGAGTCGCTCTCCGTCTCCTCGCGAAACCAATCGTCCCACGTCAGCGCGTTGCCCGCGATGAAGCAGGCGAGCACCTCGTCCGTGCCAATGAGGCCACAGGTCCCGAGCACGAAGAGAGCGAGCGCCACCGCAAAGACGAGAAAGCTTTCGCGATCGACAAAGTTGCGTTTCTCGCACCAGTACAAGAGCTCCTTGCCGATCCAGCCCACGACGGTGCCGTACAGGATGCTAAGGAAGATCACGTAGCACCATGTGAAGACAACCCAGACACCGAGTCCCTCGCCCAGACCCCCGCCCGAGGTGGCGCCCGCGCCCACAAACTTGATCAGGTACAGGGCGAAGAAGAGAAAGGGGTACCCAAGTCCGTCGTTGGTCCCCGACTCGGCGATGATCAGGTCCTGTAGGTCCTTGGGGATGTTCTGGTCAGCAAATTTGCCCTTGACGATGACGTTGGACAAGATGGGGTCTGTAGGCGTCACGCACGCGCCTGCAGCCAGTGCGTGCAGGAAACTCGGTGGCCCGGCGATTAAATACACGAGGAGGCTGGTAGACAGCCACATGCACACCATCCCGGGCCCGACGAGCAGAAGGAGCGGCCTCCATTCTCGAACCAGGTACTTGCTGGGCAGTTGGACGCCTGCAATGACCAGCTGAACGCCCAGAACTAGGCGCGAGAAATTGACGGTGATGGAGTCGAGATTCTCCTGGCATTGCGCCTCGGAGACGCCATACTCGTTGCACTGTGCGTAGCTCCGTGGGCGGATAAAGTTGGCGCCAGCAGGGCCGAGTCCAATGCCAACGAGGAGAGCGATCACTAGCGACACAGATTAGAAAAGTGAGGGGGGCTGGCGGTGGACGGTGGAGGTATCTCACAAGCTTCCGACATAAAATAGTGCTCCTTGAGTAGGTAGGAGACGAGACCAAACAACGACACAAAACCTCCGAGGACAGAGGTGATGATGTTGAAGTTGGTGAGTTCGAGGGGAACGGCCCAGATGTTGGGCGCCATGGTGTTCAATGACCTGGCCTGTCGTGGACGGTCAGGATGGAGGAATAGGATGGAGAGAGGGGTTTCCAACATTCACCGAGATAAATACTCGTAGACAAAGGACGGGTCCACTCTGAGTATGGGGTTTACAGTGGAAAATGACCCGGTATTAACGCAGTCGATATGCTTCTCGTGAGGAGGTGAACGACCACCTGACCAAGGGTCTAGGTTAGGCACGTAGCCAAGCCTCTGACGTCGTCATCATGCAGACAAAACGAATGCACGTGAACATTGGCACGATCGGGCCACTGTAGCGATCATGGTCCTTGCTGTTTGCTTGTTTGCTTGTAGAGAAACGACGATGGTCAATCAATCTGCTAGTTGGACACGTAGTCAATCAAGGAATCCACAAAGCTACGCCGCCTCTCCTCCTTGGGGACCACCAGCACCATGGCCTTGACCGCCTGCGTATCCGTCGCGCTACTGGGCGGCAGCGTCACGCTCCCAATGTCATGGAAGCCAAAGCCAGAAAAGAGGATGTAGCCCAGAGGCCCGGCGACAGCCGTCAGGACACCGCCCGTCTTTTTCGCCTCGGCCATGCCAGCCTTGACGAGGTCGGTAGCATAGCCCTGGTTCTGGTGGCGCGGGTGCGTCGCCAGAAGCTGCAGGTAGCGATGCTGAGGATAGTCCTTGAAGCAATCCGTCTTGGCCTGCTTGAGAAGCGACACGACCGCCTGTGTGCGCGAATCACTCAGATCAGTGTGCACCGTGGGGGGCTCTGTGGTGACATGTTAATGAACCGAATCGTGAAAAGAAAAAGCAATGGGGACAACAATAACTGACTTGTCTCTTTGGTATCTGCCATGCTCGAAACATCCCAGACGGCCACGGCCACAATCTCGCTGGCGTCGCCTTTGTCCTTGCTGCTCTTGCTGCTGGCGAGATCGACGACCTGCACCTCCCAGTCTTTGTTGGCGGAATCGGCGTGCTCCAGGAGCAATTTGACAATCTCCTGGACGTATGCATCGTCTTGTGTGGTCTTGGAAGGCACGAATTTGGCCCAGAGACGATCGTTGTTGATGGCCGCGAGGATGACGTCTGTCACAGCAGGTATGTCGTCCTTGGTGGCGGTGCGTGTCTTCATGATGGCGCTGTGGAGGGGTGGGGGGGGAGAGGGGAAAGAATAAAGACAAAAGTAAGAAGTGTCAAGAGGTCATGCACAATCCTGTTCCTGGCTGGCGGTTGGTTTACTTTATAGATGGTGGTGATGTGCAAGGCGCGACGTCTGGACCACGTACCGCTGCGATCATCAGCCCATTCATCGTGGTCAGGTCAGTTGGAGGGTGGGCAGCGGGCTGCCTCCGCACGTGCAGAGGGTGACATCGGGAGAGACATGGACCTATGCCGCTAATCGTGGCGTCGCAGGCGGTTCAGCAGCATGAGAGGCGAAATGGAGCGCTAGAAACGGAATGTCTAACTTGGATGTCTAGATCCATTTGGGACCAACCCTGGGTCCGGAGGAGTAGTAATCAGCCCGCAAAAGGCATGGCGAAGCTTAAATAAAGCATACAGCAAAACCTACGGGGCACGCACCTTTGGCGGACCGGTGCGATGACGGCCAAGGCTCTGGGGCCTGTAGATGCCGAGTGCCGAGTTGGCAAACACTGACAGGTCGGTTGGCAATGCAATGAACTCGAGCATACCTACCGTGCATTGCCGGCTTGTTGCTCCAAGAATGAAGCTGATGCTCACGATACTACTCGTGAGTTCTCTCCCATACCTGTCCGTTGTTTGATGGGAGTATACTTTAGTAGACTTGCTGCTTGCAGTGTCCTTTGGACCGTCTTTTGATCCTCGTTCACAGCAACAGCCTTTCCCGAAGCCAGGCTCTGTTCCTTGGTGCTGCATACCCCGTAAGTCTGGCTTGATATCAGCCTGGATTCTCCTCACCAGTGGCCAGGAGACGCGCAATGGATTCCCAATTCCAGTGTCGCGGACCGTGCAGTCGGCGGCCTATCCAAGTTCCTCGTCTTGGCAGCTTTGGGGACGTTCACTACGTACCACGATGGAAATTTTGTTTCGCAAGCTTTCACGTGTACGTCCATGCAGGTATTCCCCTCCTGTTCAGCACCTGTGATTCCTGTCACAGATCCGCTACCGGCATTTGAGGCGTCGACGTGCAACAGGGAAGCCCCCATGTACGCCAATCAAAAATGGCCGCTTAGGCGGACTGGAGCGGCCAGGGATCCGCGTACCCACATACCGATCGCAGGTCCACCATGTACATGTAGGGGCATGGGTCAAGCTCAAGCCTCCAGGACATGCGTGCGTGCGTGCGTGTAGAGGCCGGCATCATTCACTGGCGAGCTGAGCCGCACTCGGTCAAGGATGTATATGTATATGTACGTACATCACGCATGGTGTGCAGTCGACGCTCCCCCTGGAGCCTGCCTCTGGCTTTCCCTCGTACTCAACGAGAAGGGCGCAGCCTGGCGATAATAGCATCACTCTCCCCTAATATTCTTAGCCTGACTGTCTGATACCAGACATTGACCAGCAACGTGAACAGAGAATAGTACGCGTAATTCAACGTGGATTGGTGAGAATCCAGCGCAAAAGCGCAGCAAACACCCATGTCCGTCCCGCATCCCATACTCCTAGTGTCGAGGGCCCCGCGCAATTGCAACTATGCGGTTAGACGGAGTCCACGTCGCCCTCGCCTGCCAAGGGAACAGTCATCGTGCTCCTCCCGCTAATTGTCTGCCATTTGATCTCGTGGACCCTGGGAAAGCATCGATTTTTTCCTGTTGCCGACATGTGCTCGCCGAAAGCCAGCCGGTCGCATGTGTCATAATTACGCTCCAGCTTGTCGACTTGTGAGGGACGGACCAGACCTTGAGGCCTCCTGCATGAGGTGAGCTGTCTGGTGCTGGATGGATGGATGGATGGATGGATGGATGGCTGGCCGGAACAGGCCTTTTCTCCTTTGCATGCGGTGGGCCCAGACCACCACCATGTTGCGCGCGCTGTGAACTCGTCCGTACCTAACGTAGATAGATGGGTGCCAATGGTGCATCAGGCACTCGGTGCTGATCTCTATTATTACTCCTTACATAGCACATTCCCATTCAAAGACTGGTCCCGCCTTTTCCTTCTTCAAGAGCCGCCCACCGCCACCACTCCTCGTCTTCGCAGCAGAGTACACAGAGCACAGAGATACCCAACTTGTCTTCTTGTCTGGCTATCTATCGCCCAAGACCTGATCTGCACACCCCGTCCCTCCTCTTCGACGACTTGTCATCTTGGCAACCGTCCTCACTGCCGAACGCCACCTCCACAGCTACCTTGAGCCTCAAGTCACCACACACCCGAGCTCACCTGCAATTTTGCCCTCTCCCAGCTTTGGCCCGAATGCCCTCCCTGCGGATTCGCCCGAGAGGAGACGACTCCGTTCCCCCGAGCATCCGTGCTCGCAATGTGGGCGTGATCATTGGCTGCGTGATTGGCATTGCGATTCTCATCTTCCTCATGTACGTTACCATGCGTGCCCCCTCCACGCCCAACAAGACTGATCCATTTCCGCACAGACGGCGCCTGTTCGGCCACGCCAAGCGCAGCAGACGAGGGGAGAGCATGCTAGGCGCGCCACACAATGAACGCTCCAGGTACCTCGACACGGCACAGTTCATGCGGTTCTGCGCCCGACGGGCCCAGCACATGCAAAGGGCGCAGAAAAAGGAGCACCTGCTTACCACCGAGGAGCTCGACGCCGTGGCTCCCCTGACGACATTGGGACAGGCATCCGCGCCCACCGCAGAGACCATTCAAACCTCGGACCTGGGCCAGATCCGTCGTCCACCGGCCGCCGCCCTCCCGCTTGGCGCGAGACTGGACGTCAAGCCATCGATGCGGCCCAAGTTGCCGCCCGTCTTTTCACTGGCGCCGATAGACGAGAAGAAGGACACAGCAGGGCGTGTCACGGTCCAGGAGGTCCATGCTCCGTCAGAAGGACCGCGGTCGGACGCCTTTCTGTGTTCCGTGTGCCTGGGAGAGGCGCAGAACGAGGACGACATCCGCATCACGCCATGCTTCCACGGGTTTCACGATGACTGTCTCGCAGAGTGGCTCACAATGTACCAGAATCGCTGTCCGCTGTGCCAAAGGTGTCTTAAACCAGGGGGAAAGGAGTCAATTTGAGCCTTTGTGATCTTTTTCGACTTGAGCCGCTTTTCTTGGTGATTCGTGCGTGCGTGCGTCTGTGTGTTTGTGCGCACGTGGTGAATGAGCGACGAGTCTCACTCGTCTAGTGACTCATCGTCCCCCAGTCTCCGTCGTTGCCACCTAGATTCAACAGATCGTAGGGGTGAAACTCGACCGACAGGGCTTCGGCTTGCTCCAGCATCTTGTCGGCCTCATTCTCCACCTCCAATGGATTGTCGTGGAAATAGTCTTCATGCGCCGTGATCTGGTCCACAACCGTAGCCATGACCGGCCGCTGGGCCATGGGAATATCGGCGAGGGCAGGCGTGTTCTCCCTGCTCTGCTGGTTGCTCCCGTATTTTACAGGCGCAACCATGTCACTGCAGTGATTCAGTGTCGTAGCCTCGATCTGATCAAAGTCGATGTAGATCGTCTGCCTCAGAGAATGCGTCATCAACTAGATAAGCACGCGGTCAGTACCCTGGCGCGAGGGTCAGTGAATGAGACCAACCTTTAATAGTTCCAAGCACACAGAAGACATATTATCAGTACATCTATTGGCTGCGATGATCCTGATCCCCCTGCAGGCTCTCTGCCACGCGACACTAGGCAAGGTGGTGGCCGGATGCGCCGCCACCAAGAACACAAGGCACATGACCGACGAGAACACAACGTGCGTTGTGAGCCAGGAACCACCAAACGGGGAGGGAGCTGGCTGCTGCTTCGCAAGGTTCTCCGCTGCCAGGATGGTCGACGACGCCACCTTGATACATGCCAGCGCGTAGTAAGACTCGGCCACAGACACCGTCTCTCCTAGGTACATGTCACGGAAATAGTGCAGATGCGGCCGGAACATGAAGATCTGGCATAGTCTAAACATGTTGTCAAGATCGGTCTTTGCGCTGTAGGACAAGAAAAAAGCAGGATTGTCAGTCATACCCCTACACACAAAACACACGTATAGGGAGAGGCAACGTACCCACGATGCTTTGGAGTTTGCCACATTTTCGACATGAGCGAGGCGACATCCCGTTTCCAGCCATGACAGGCCTCTTGCGCCTTCTGTAGCGCTAGGAAGCGGCCGCCGACTGCCCCATCGTCTTTGGAACTCGCTTGCCCACGAAGCGAAAGCGGTATGGAGAGGAGCGTCGCTGACTTTAGCAACGCTGCCGTGTGGACGTCCTCGCTGTTCTCGGCCTCGGTGGCTAGCTCCTCAAGCCTCGCGCGCGGCAGCTGGTTGGGGTGGATAAATGTAGGTAGATCGAGGACAAGGGAGGCAAGCATGTCGACGACGAGCACACCCGCCAGCAGACGGGTCCTCACTCTGCTGTCGCCAAGCACGGTCCCATCGGGTGGTGAGCAGGATGTGGACAGGAGGCCGAGGCGAAGGGCAGCAGAGCACGCTGCGCCAATGAGAGAGTGAGCCATTGAAGTCCTGTAGGATGAGAGGAGAAAGACAATGGCGCCGAGCAGAGCCGACAAGGACGTTAAGTCCTGCGCAAAGAGACCGGGTTCAGCAAGTGCTATGCCGACCGAGAAGTGTTGTGTCGCCTTTTGGACAGAGTCATCGCAACCCTGTGCGCGATGTTGTCGAGCGTCGTTCTGGTACCCGAGCGCGAGGACGAAATGAATCAGACACAGCGTGCTGCGCTCGGCCTCGGATCGAGGCGTATTCGGTACGTGTGTGTGTTGAGCAATGTCTCGCAAACATTCTTCCTGGAGGAAACAGATCATCAAATCGCCTCCATCTAGCAGAGCATCAACCAAGCTTTGATCCTGCTGTTCATAGGTCCTGTCGACTAAGTGGCTCTGGAGTGGGCGACTCAGAAGACTCGATATGAAATCAAGCCTAGACTTGGAGCCATGGGCATCAGAGGGCTGCGTTTCCAGCAGCTCGATCGATCCCGCAATGAAGGACACGTCCGAGTATGCGCCGTGAAAGGCAGGTCGCCGCGCTTCGAGGCCCGCGAAGCGGTCAGATCCTATGAGAGGTCTATGCTGTTCCTCCTTGGGAGGCTGAGGAGGTGCCGCCTGGTCGTCGCCCTTGGGACGAGGTTGAGGCGGGTCATCATTGGCAGACGAAAAGTCAAGGGAGCGCAAGCACGCGTCCAGGTCCAGCTCTGGGATCCCGCCGGGCGTCTTGTCCTTGATGTGCTGCAGCCAACCCCGGGCCTGTTGGAGGTGATTTTGCAAGGTGCGTATCCTCGACGTGGGCCGCGGTGCTGGTCTGCGGAACGCATATGTGCAATCTGAACAAGAAGTTAGGACAGAGGTGAACACAGTGTCGAAGCCGCTGCGATGTTTGACATACCTGTGCCTGATCGCCGGCACGGCTTGCAGGGCTGCGCCGCGTCACAGGCTCGCTTGCGCAGCCGGCACTCATCGCAAGCATATGGTCCTCGCCGATGCGACCGCTTGGAGACGAGGGGACCGATGGTAGGAGGGCCACGCGGACTCAGACGTGCTGTAGGCGGTGTTGCATTGCTGCTAGTCGCTTGTTCCGGCGACATTGGATACTTTCCATCAGCTGGACTCGAAAAGATGAGAACGCGTGAGGTCCCGATAAGGAAGCCTTTGTGCAAAGTCAAACGGTGATACCGTGGAGTTGCTGATGGGTCAGATCTACCGGGTAGGTAAACTCTGCCCACCCTCGCCGATATCCGGTCAGCGTCCGCTGACTTGCTGACTCGACACAAGGCAGGCTGCCATGGCCGTGACTTGTCTTCCTATTTCAGCGGTCACTAGGGTCTTAATGTATCAAGTACTTGATTAACTTATAGAACTAATAAAAATACGGCAATCCAAATTAAATCAAATTCTATATCAGTTATCCCTAGCTTGGTCTATCTCACTAGGGCTCTATAACGCTATATTGCTTTAGCTCTCATATCGGGCTAGCCTATCTTCACGTGACTAGCCCCCGCTGCATAATTGGGGAGAGTTAGGGGCGTTTTTTATTGGCTACCTTCGCTTAGTGGCGGCGCCGACCAACATCCTCCCAGCCCCAAACAACCAACTGCTAAAACAACCAAGTCGACATTCTGTCCTGCCTCTCGGACGCGCCTACTCAGTCTCCTCGAACTCGCTGAAACTCACAATCCATCGCACGCTTCGAGTGCGTCACTGTCACCGTTGCGAGCGGGCTCATGCGGTGTGCCAACGCCCCCGGCGCGACTCTGCGCGCGAGACCTCAAAATGTCCTCCCCGCGCGACTCACGGCCCTTCACCCACCATACGCCCCCAGCCAGGCCCCCATCGACGCTGCCGATGCCTGGTGAAACGACGATTGTGATCCCGATTCCTTGTATACTGAGATATAAACGCGGCAACGGTCCTTCGCTCCGACGGATCACCCTCCAGCCCGTGCACGACTCGACCGCGTACATTGTCGAGCGAATCTTCCTCCCACCGAAAGGCACAGGGCGGGATGGGCGAGAACTACCGAAACGACCTGGATACATCATTGGGTGGACGGATTTACCAGCTGCCAGGAAGGTTGTCACAGCGCGAGATGTCCTGACATATGTGTCGCCTCGCAAACTAGAGGAGTGGGAGAGCTCATTTGAGGAGGAACTGAATGCCGAACGGAGGGAGCTCAAGGCGGCGAAAGAAAGTCGAGTACAAGGGCTGGAGAAGCCTGCCGGCAAGAGAAGAGGTCGAGCGCCAAAGCATGCGGGCATTGAGAGTGCGGCTGCTGTGGTGGACGAGGACAGCGATCAGCCAGCTGGCTCTGCCATGGCGGTAGGCGGCGCGATGCTCGCGACACCGAGGAGGAAGGCAAAAGCGCAGCCATTCGACGACCCATGGGGAGATGAACCAAGCCGGGAGGCTACGGAGCTACCCACAGAAGATACGGACACTTCGGGGCGGAACCATGGGTTGCTGGGTGAAGAAGCTGCGGACGATGGGAAAGCTGCTTCAGCTACCAATATTGAAGGACAGACCGTGAGCCAGCAAGGAGTCGAGGATGACAGCGACGAGGAGGACGAAGAGTTATCGACACGAGCGCTCGCGCGCGAGCTCTACCGGAGAGGGGTGGAAGCTATGAGCCAAGCTGTCGGGCTGAATGGTGCTCGCGACCAGCAGGTAGCTGTCGAGGACGACGAGGACGACGACAAGGCCGAATTCTACGATGCGCCTGAGACGGCCGACGACGCAGGCAATGAGATCAAGCATGAGGCGGTCGATGTGGAATCGCAAATTGGGCGTGTACCGATCAGTACTCTGCCCAGTGTCGAGACGACGCAGGCTCAGACAGCAACGCCGGCTGACACCAACGGCGCGGCCACTATGGAACGACCGCACCACCAGTCGGGTTACCCGCAATGGGTTCCTGTCGGGTCATCAAAAAAGCTATCACAAGCTCATGGACTGGCGGCACAGTCGACCTCACAATCCTCCGCCTCGCCCAGGCTGCCTCCTCGCTCTGCAGAACAAGGCTCATCGTCGGCTAAGAAGAGCAAGTCAAGAGGCAGTCTCGATATGAAGACACCAAGGCACAAAGCGCGCAAGCCGTCCAAGTCCTCCCCCGCGTCCGGGAGCAAGAAGAGAGCAAAGTCCACGCCCCGACCGAGGTCCTCCGCCGCCCAGACCCCCATCCTCGTCAACGGCGCCCAGGAGTGGGTCGTCAAAGAGATCCTAGACGACGAGACGTACCAGGTCGAAGACCGTGGGCTGGTGCGGTATTTCCAGGTGCGTTGGGAGGGGGACTGGCCACCAGATCAGAACCCGACGTGGGAGCCGGAGGACAACCTGCCCGCGCTGCTGGTGAAGCGTTACTTTAAGAAGAGCTACTCGCGGCTCCCGCCTGCGGCGCGCAAACGGAGGCGAGAAAGGGCGTTGCTGAGGGCGAGTGGGAGTGCGCACTTTGTCAGTGTCGGGGATGCCTTTGCCGGGGAGCTGGGCGAGGCGGATGCCTCTCATGACGCGGGGAGCGGAGGCACTGGGACGGCTGAGTATGGGAATGGACGTGAGTACGAGCAGGACGAGCCTATGGTCGTGGACGATGCCGGTTCGCCGCACAATGCCGGTTCGCCGCACAATGCGAAGCGACCACGATTCAGTTTCGACATGAGTGGAGGCGTGGTCGTGGGACCATGGGGAGGTCCCAACTCTTGATTCAAGCGAGCATAGCATTGCACACTTGTTGTGTCATTTCGGGCAAGGCGTTATTGTGGTTAGGGGAAAAAGGGCTGCATGAGTACCGTAGGCTTATAATAAGCAACTATCTACGAGATCTTGCCTCGCCTATCCAGACACATGTAGATCAACGCCGTCGCCCTTTGATTCCTGCCCTCCAAGTATCTCCCGACGCCAAGTCCCCAACACTACGAAAATGCAACGGCAGAGCTCAGACGTCAATGGGACAGTCAGGCAGCCTGTCCACGACCTCCGGCGGAATGCGCCGAGTGCGTCGATGCACGGCCATCTGCTGAGCAGCCGTCAGGTACTGAGTGCACACCTGGCTCCCACAGTCCCCCTTGCAGGTCATTGCGTTACTCCCCGTGACCTTACGACGATGCGCCGCCAGCGTACCGTACCAGGTATGATGGATGAGGTTATTCGTCAGACCAGCGTGGTCCGCAAAGAAACCCTCCCAGGCAGCCGCCCACTCTCGATCAAACATTGTCTTCTGGATAGCGTCGTACTCAGCTCTCCTGTCCTCTGGAACCTGCCACGTCCAGGCCTTGCGATGGAAGAAACCTGCGTTTTGTATCATGGCGCGGCGGGTGCGCGTGGTGCGTCCGGGCAGGGGACGATGAAAGGGAGCCAGCTCGCCGTATTCAACGGCGTCGGGGTTCCAGTGTCTACTCTCGGGCCAGTCGGTCATGTAGACGGTGGCCGCGAAGCGCTGGCGTAGATGGTTCATATGCACGTGTGCGACGACACCATTGTCGCGCAGTGGCAAGGGGAGACCGCGCGTCATGTCCAGGACGCTATTTAGAGACGGTCCGGGGGACTTATCATCGTCGTCCTCGTCTTCTGTCAGGGCGACATGGTGAGTCCCATCCTGTGCCGGTTTGAAATACGTGAAACGTCCGGCATATATGGCTTGGGCAGCGTGGTAAGCGTCAGCAACGGTACGAAATTCGACGCGAAGTAGCTGTCTCGTGGCGTCGTAGTGGGCTTCAATAAGAGAATCTGGACCGAGAGACGCGAGAATGAAGCCAACAGCCCCCTGAGGGAACCCCGACGCCTCCTAGGTGCGGGTGTAGCCCTCGTCGACCATGCGCTCGACAGACTGGGCGAGTGCCTCTCGTGGACAGCGGGGCAGATCCTGGACGTGTAGTTGATAGGCGACCTGGTCAGCGCCCTCGAGGAAGGCGGGGTATTGTCGGCAGTGCGCCACGTAGAGGCGCGCGTCGTCGGGATCGTAGAAGTTGATTGCCACGGTGTCGAAGTGGGCGTCGTCAGGCTGCCCTAGGAGTTGGGGGCAGCGGAAGACGTCCACGAGACCGACGTTGCTGCGGACAGCTTGCAGGACCTGGGTGGTAGGACATGTTTCGGGGACGTAGTTGAGAAGGACGCGGCGGGAGATGTTGTCGGGCAAAGTGGCCAGTGATGCTTCGAAGGGACGGTCGTGAAGGATCGATTGTTCATGCGGTCCAGCTTCGATCACGACGTGGGCCGGATGTTGGACGGGCTTGGAAGCTTCATTGTGTACTTGTTCGGGTGCTGTGACACGCATCTTGCTGGTAAAAACTTGCGATGTCTGAAAGGAGCAAGTTTGATGAATCTCGTACTCGTGAGTAAGCTGTATGGTCGTGACTCGTGAGGGCTGGGTACGTCGCCAGGTTCCTTGTGTCCGGTGGAGACATCAATGAAGAGGATGGTGATGTTCAATGAGCATTCCTAGAAGACTTTACCAGGTGCTTTATGAATTTTCGGAACTGATGTAAGTTGGGAGAAGCGCTCGCTGAGGCGAAGCAATATGCGGTGCCTCCTTGAAGAGCAAAGGGAGCTGAGCAAGTGGTTCTGTGGAGAGAAGGCATATGAGGTGAAAACACGCCAGCAAGACGATGAGATGTACAACTGGGCTGCGCATCCTTTGACCTTGCTCTGGCGCTGAGTCCAGAGAAGACTGGTCGGGGGATGTCGTATGAGTCGGGATGAGGTGTCGAGGATTTGGGAGGCAGCGGCTGGGCTTCTCGAAGGAACAGGGTGAGAATGGACTGGATGCATGAGACAGTTCATATCTTGGGAGTCAAACAGTGAATCTGACATCAAACCTGTTAATGTAAAAGATAAGTAGACGAGCTTGTTCAAATTGCCCGGCAGTGTGTTCTCCGATTCACCATCAATGCATCCTCCCGCCCATCCGCACCGTAGCAGGTTAGACAGAAAGCAAAGGGGCTCGCTCTCACGCAATAGTTCCAGAGGCTGGTTCCAAGCTCTGATGTTTTTTTAAGACGGAACACAAATACGTTTATGAACATGAACTCGCTGCTCTGAACGCCCTTGCAGAAAGCCAGTGTACAGACCAACAGTGACGCAGCTACTAACTTAAGTTGGTGCCCCAACCACCGAGGTAGACTCCTCGCGAAACGAGTCAGCATGCGTCCAAGGTGTGCGGCTTCCATGAGGGGAGACCTTGTTTTTTCCCGTATTCTAGGGCGGCTACGTACTGTCATCATCCTTATTAGCCATGGAGCTCATTGTGACTTTTGGACTTCTGGTTTGATTTCCAGGAGCGAAGGCTTCCCCTTTTTTAATTAAGCCCACGTGCTTCCTACCCTCGGACCCGTGACCTAAGTTCACATTGAACATGAACACAATTCACTAGGCAAGATTAAACTTTGTACTTGGTAGCCATAGCGCAATTGATGCGACCACATTATCAGGGATCCAGGGGCGATCCGTGCCTTCGGAGACAAATCAGGCTCCGCCCAGCCACCCGGTGAGGGACGAAGAAGAGGGGGTCACCACGACCACCACGATTGACCCGACCGCGACGTCACCGTGCAAAAGCCATTGTCGGATTTCCAAGGCCATTTTCCCATCGAGGTCGTGCGACAGGGGTGATCATGCACCAGCAACTGGACAATCCAATGTCGATCCGCCATAGTCAGATCGTGATGTGATGTGGCCATGACGTGCATGCGTCGCGTAAAGTGGGATCTTTGCTCCGGCCCTCAGGAAACTGCGTCCAGCATAAAGACAAGGCGGTGCCCAGCCGCCCTGGCGCGCGGCTTCGCAGTGATTCTTGCAGCGAGGCGATCTTCATCACACATCACAGCCTGAGCCCATCTTCAATTCAAGCATACCCCAGCATGCCGCCCTTTGCGCCCTCCCCGACAGCGCCTGATGCGCCCACTCTCGTGCAGCGCCAGACCGAGGCCACCGTCACCGTCTTCGCAGACGGCCCCTCGGGCAACGGGCACTACCTCACCGGCGGCGCCATAGCGGGCATCGTCCTCGGCACCATTGCCGGCACGCTCATCCTCCTCTGGCTCATCAAGTCGTGCATCAACTTCAACAAACCCCTGGGGGAGCCCGTCGAAAAGGTCCGCTACGAGCCGCCCAGCCACCACCACCACCACGGTCACCACCGTCGCAGCAGAAGCTCGAGGCGGAGGAGCAGCAGGAGGCCAAGCAGGGCGTCGGTGGAGGATGATGTGATTGATGGTCCGCCCGCGATCTACTATACGGAGGCGGAGCGAGGGCAGAGGGCGCCCAAGATTGTGTATGATTCGAGGGGGAGGCGGTATAACTAAGTGGTTTTGATGGGCGTTCATTAGGTCTTGGCAGTCAAGCAGTTCAATTCCAGACAACTATACTATTGTTATCGTGTCTGCAGGTCTTAGTTGGGGCCGTGAGTGACGGACGGACGGACGGACGGACGGACGACCGGCCGGGAGGAGCCGGAGCCGAAGGCGCTGCAGAAAAGCGGGTCTTTCCGGAGGAGGCCCGGCGTCTTGGGCGCTGGCGGGATTTGTGACCTCTTTGGGTAAGGCATGTTTGCTCCATACACCAACACTGACTCACATAGGAGCTCAAGTGTCCATCTGCTGTCCACAGCATCAGCACTAGCAACAATGGCAAACGCGTCTCGCCCAGCGTGGCGGCAAAATCCGTCGACGATGATTCTTCACCAGCTATTCCCTTGCTATGGAAGCCTTTGGCAGTAAACGGTCCATTGCCGAACGCCGAGTCTCATCCGCCCCAGTTCCCATTACGCGATGCGAACCCTCAGAAACCTCCCGACTGGCTCGTCGACATGGACACCAAACCCCATTCAGCCCGGCTACAATTTCCGTGGCCCAGCATGACGTGCGGATCTTCCCCAGTGCGACGTCTCGTCTTTGCTTTCAAATACCAACATGCGCGCATCTCCGCGGGTCCTCGAGGAGACCTGCTATCCTCCTCGTTTGCGCCCGCTGTCCTGCGACTGCACCTCGATAGCGACGCCACGAGCCAATCCCACCAGGCGAGGATGATCTGCAAAGCCTAGATAGAGGCTAGCCATCACCCACTGACAGAACACCATGGTATCGAATCCCCGGACATGGTCCTTCACCATCGACCGCTACATCAACCCCTTTGTCCCTCCACCGCCATGGCACCTCATCCCATCTCCCATCGCCCGCTTCCTGGGCCACCGACCGCCAGGCTATACACCGGCCGAGGTGGGCAACCTCCAGCCCATCTTCTGGGCCTTTATCGGCATCTTCTGCAGCGTCGCTCTCATCGAAGGCGTGAACATGCACATACCGTCCTTCCAAGCCAGAGACGCCCCCCTCATCGTCGGCTCCTTTGGCGCCGCCGCCGTGCTCGAGTTCTACGCCATCGACTCGCCCCTCGCCCAGCCGCGCAACGCCATCCTCGGCCAGCTCATCTCGGCCTTTACCGGAGTTGCCGTCTGCAAGCTGTTCCTGCTCGGCGACTTTGACCACCTTCGCTGGCTGGGCGGTGCCATTGCCTGCGCGGCGGCCACGGCTCTCATGGCTCTGACAAAGACTGTTCACCCACCTGCGGGCGCGACGGCCCTGCTCGCGGTCACGGATCCCGCGATTGTGAATCTGGGCTGGTTCTACCTGCTCGTCATCCTGCTGGGGTGCATGCTCATGCTTATCGTCGCCATGCTCGTCAACAATATTGGTCGGCGGTTCCCGCTGTACTGGTGGACGCCCGAGGATGTTGGGCGCAAGAAGCCCGGGCAGCGCCCCATGTTCGAGCGACGGGCCAGCTCGATCAAAAATCAGCACCGCTCACCGCACGACAGCGAGAGTGAGAAGGGGGATGTGGAGGCGGACGCTGGCTTGCCAGGGGGTGAAGAGTCGCCAGACCTTGAACAGTCCGAGGTGATCATCCGCCGGGGCCAGGTGTCCGTGCCAGAGCACATGTATCTGACGCAGGAAGAGAAGACGCTGCTGGAGATCATGAGCCAGCGCTTATAGGCGTGCCTAATGGAGCTTGCATACAATGGAGTTGGGGGTTAGGTCACTTACTTTACTCTCATTACAAGGGACTCTGTATATATATGTAAGCATAGACCAACAGAAGAGAAAAACGCATAAAATGTCCTCCAGTCGGTCTACGAGCCATTAACCCGCTCATGTGTATCCTGCATGTAGCGATCGGCATCGTTCTTGGTCGTTGGTCGGGGTCCCCCCGCATCATACCATTCATTCACCGTCGAGTCATCCGCCGACGCTTCACTTGGCATCGTCCGCAGCGCCAATGAACCAAACAGCTTGACTCACCCGGTCAGCCCTACGACCGATGAAGTATCCACTCCAGGCCATATATAAGTGCAGCGACAGCGTAGATTGAAGAAGGGTCAATCGCTTTCCTTCAGAGGACCTCCTCTCCTAAACGCGCAGTCAAATGGCGTCGACACACCAGCCCCAGGGCGCGACCCCTTGGTTCCTTCAGTCCAACGCACCCGTCCTGCTTCCTACCTTGGACGCGCTGACCTATTCACGCGATGACTTTGAGGCCTACATCCGCAAGGACCTCGCCTCGCGCCATGACGGCGACCATGTCACAATGGATGACGACCACATGCAGCAGCAGCCTACAGAGGCGACATCAGAGTCGTTCACCTTGCTCACCCCGTCCACGACAACGGCAGCCGACCTGGCCAGGGACGTGGACAGGATGAAAGTCGACGCGACGCGCACAGAGGAACAAGCCAAGACGACGACGGGTCACCCCTTCATGGACGCCCTGCTCGACAACACGGATAAAGACGAGGAGCAGCACACCCTCAGCCTGGAGAACAAGATGTTCACCGACAATGGCGATATCACCAACGCATCCACCACGAACCCGCTCGTCGACCTCTTCGCCGAGCTAGAGGACGTCGTCACCGGCCCGCGCCTTAACGACCTCCTCCACGCAGCATGGGCGCACGACCCCCTCACCACGCTCAAGGTCATCTTCAACGCACGCTCCATTCATCTCGGCAAGTCAAGCCGAAAGACTTTCTACCTCTGCGCCGGATGGCTGGCCACGCACCATCCCCACACCCTCGTCGCCAATCTCCCATGGCTGAGTCGGCCCGTCATCCAGAAGAAGGAGAAGAAGGACGATGACGACGCTGACCTGGTCATCGTCGAGGCCGAAAAGGACGAGAACGACCCGGCCAGGTACGACGTCCGCCATGGCGTCTCCCACGGGTACTGGAAGGACCTGCTCAATATGCTCGCCCTCGCCGCCAACGATGAGCTCCACGTGCTCTCCAACCCTTCCGACGTCCTCAACATCCGGCAGAAGAAGGAGACCAAGACGCACAAGAACCGCACCTGGTCCGCTCGCGCCCAAAAGACATCCGGCCGCAGGGCACCCACCCTCACCGCCTCCAAGTCCGAACCATCGTCCAAGCAGATGCCCGAGACCCAACGCCGCGCCAAGGACAAGGCCGCCTCGAAGCTCGCCAAGGACGAGCGCATCACGACCCGACAGGCACGTCAGGCTCGCGTGGCCAGCAAGCTCCAGAACGACCCCGTCTACCGAGCCCTCCACCTCGCCATCGCCCGCCTCTTTGCGCAGCAGCTCCAGATCGACACCGAGCGCCTCAAGAGCAACGACAGGACACTCCAAAGGGACATCTCGCTCTGCGCCAAGTGGGCGCCGAGCCACGACCGCTTTCACGACCGTCACACCCTCATTGCCACCTCCATTGCCGAGATCCTCTTCCCCGCGTCTGCCATCCATACTACTACTGCCACGACCCGCGAGGTCTACCTGCGTCACGCCCGCGAGGCCTACCGCAAAGCCACCTCGGCCCTCCGCGCCCACCTCGACATTGTCGAGCGCAACATCACCGCCCAGACCTACGACGCCATCCGCTACGAGCGCCTCCCCAGCCAAGCCCTACGGCAGTACACGCCCCAGTTTGTCGCGCACGACTACGACCGCTTCGAAGCCTACCTCGACAGAGTTGCCAGCGGACAGACCGTCATCTCCGGTGCCACGCTCCTCCCCAGCGCCATGGTCCACAGCGTCGGCGCCTACGACGACACGACGCCTCGCCTGGCCAGCGACCTCGCCAAGCTCACGCCCAAACAGCTCCTCGAGTACAGGAAGGCCCGTCTGGCCGCGCAAGTCGCCGACGGCCAATGGAAGACCCTCGTCCAACGCATCCGCGACGCCGGCACGCTACGCTCCAGCATCGCCGTCTGCGACGTGTCCGGCTCCATGGGCTCCCCCGTCTTCCCAGACGGCACGGTCCCCATGGACTCCTCCGTTGGGCTGTCCCTGCTCGTGGCGTCCGTCACTGAACCGCCCTTTGGCGGCGCCTTTATCACGTTTCACGACAAACCGACCGTGCAGAAGATTGATCTCGAGGCCCCCTTTTCCGCGCAGGTCCGTACGATCCGCCAGGCGCATTGGGGTTACACGACGGACTTTGAGGCCGTCTTTACGCAGTGCATCCTCCCGCTGGCGCGTGCGCACAAGGTTCGACGGGAGGACATGGTCAAGCGGGTTTTTGTCTTTAGCGACATGCAGTTTAACCAGGCGCGGGTCCGGAACGAGGAAAACAAGTGGACGAGCAGCCTGGAGCGCATTCGGGAGGAGTATGCCCGGTTCGGGTATGACGTGCCGGAGCTGGTGTTTTGGAACCTGGCCGGTGGGAGGGGCGGCGTCAGTCCCAAGCCTGTGACGACGGTGGACCAGGGGACGGCCATGGTGAGTGGATATTCGCAGGGTCTGCTCAAGGTCTTCTTGGATTCGGGGGGCTTTGAAGAGGAAGGGGACGAGGACGAGGCCGAGGTGATCGACCCAGTGGAGGGGGAGGATGGCATGGAGATGACGACGACTGTGAAGAAGAAACCCATGGATCCATTGAACACAGTGAAGAAGGCGATTGGGCATCCTGCGTATGCCATGCTCCGCGTCGTCGATTAATAGCATGGTAATACAAAGCAAAGCACTCGGGGTATCTTGTACGTGTCCTCAAACCCCCTTCACCAGCGCCCCAACCATCTTGAGGAACCTCTCTCTATACTCCTCCGGATCCGCCGTGATGCTCATGGGCCCCTTGTCCGCCACGGTGTTGAACGCCCGCACAAGACCCTCCATGGCCTTGGCCTGGCCCGCACTCTTTGTCCAGAAAAAGTCCAGCACGACAGCACGGTACGTCCACCCATCCTCCCCCCTCACGCCCTCGCGCCAACTCCCCACGCTGTCGTCGTCGTTGTCAGTATCCCCCCTCGTCCGTGTCCGGGCCAGGAACAGTGAGTAGTCCACCGCCTGGTTCGCCTGGAGAATGTCCGTGTCCTTCTCCAGCTGCGCTAGCAACGCCGCCCGCGCACGCGCCGGCACACGCGCCTTGTCGGGGAGATCGTCCACCAGGCCTTCAATGACCTCGTCGCGCACAAGGGCGCCATTGGCGATATCTCTCTCGGGAAAGAAATAATCCTTGGGTTTCAGGTCGAATGTCTCCCACTCCTCCTCGCCTTGCAGCAGATTCTCCATGACAATGTGACACGGGGGTGCCGCGCCGAGGATCCCGCCCACGGAGTGGTACTTGGCATAGGGCATGTCGGTGATGCGCACGAGGAGTGCGTCGGGGTGTGCTTCCATGTGTTCCAGGTACGGCACAAAAAGGTCTTCCGAGAAGAATTTGTACTCAAACCTGCGCGGCAGGCTCTTGATGAGGAACCTGCCATCGCGCGTCGTGAAAAAGGTCGAGCCCGAGTAGCCCAGATTGCCTACGGGTACTAGCTCGCCCTCTTGGAAACTGCTGACGTAGTCATCCTCGTCAATGTTCCATACGTTGCTGCGAAGGGATGTAAAGTCCGCCGGGCGGAAGAGCGTGAGATGCAGCTTGAGGAGCCGAGTGAAGGCGAGGATGCGCATGTATAGCGCGAACCATAGTGATGAAGGCGAGGAGAGGGTCGGGAAGGTGATGGCCTTGGCGATGGAGGCAGATATGTGCGGCGCACGAATTTGCATGGCGGCCAATCGACTCAATTGATGGGACAACAGCTATAGTATAGGCCAAGTGATGGTGGTGATGAGGAGAAGTGCTTGCTTGAGGAACAACAAACGACCGACGTCTGCCTCTGATGAGTAGGTGTTGTGGCTCTGACGTCATGTGCGTTGTTGGTGATCAAGGATTTTACCAAGTCCAACGTCGACGAGATGATGAGTGGGCACTGGGAGCACAGGAAACAGGAAACAGGACAAGCAATCTCAAAGGAAAGAAGCGTCGCTCGCTCACGCTCACGTTCCAGATTATCTATAGTAGTAGCTGACCCACCAAAGCAGGAGAACGATAAACAACACCTTTGTTTTCTTGCCGCCTGATAATGACCAACCCAAGCAATGCAGACCTGTAACAATGCAACCCAGACCCAAACGCCGATCAAATAGCAACAAGTCGTCAAGAGTCCCGCGAGACTCGCTGTCGTAGCCAGCCCATGCTGTTCTGTACGTCTGTCCCCCTCTCAGAAGCTAAACAATCCACTCCTCCTCTTGCCCAATGGATACACAATCAGCGCGCTCATGAACAGGCCCACGCTGATGCCAATCGCCACCTGAATCACCTTTAACAAAACGTTGAACGCCGTGCCCTCGAGCCCGACACTGTGTTGTCCGCCCTTGGACGTCAAAGAGTCGGCTGATTGCACACCCGCCAGCAGTGACCCTCCCACCGCCAGACCGCTGGGCACCTGCACAAAGATGGCTGGTAACATGGCTGCCGCCGCGAGGCTGTATCCAACGGAACGCTTCTTGCGTTCGGGCTTCTTCTCTTCCATGGGGGACCCAGGACGCGACTCCGGGTCGGATCGTCTGTCCCAGCTCATGCTTGCAGCCTTCTTGCGACCAGTGAGGCGCGCCAGACGAGGCATAATGGTGCTGCTGCAGAAGTCGACACTGTCATACCACGCGTTCTGGATGTGGCGGCCCACTCTTGAGTACAGGTTTGCAAGGATGCCAACGGTCAAGGCGCCAAGCATGTTCGAGATCTCCGTGTTCCCCTTGAACACCTGACTGCAGTAACTGTTGACCGCCCAGCCGGCGAGCGACATGAGCAGCATGACGGGCGTCTGCCTCCACTTGGCCTGGTTGACCAGGCACAAGCACAGGGTGAAACCGGGGACAAACAAAAAGTGCCAGTTGCGGTTCAGCGGCTCCCGACAATCCTTCTCGCTCGACGCGTTGGGATCAATCATGCCGTACAGCGAGGCGCCAATGGTAATACCATAGCCCAGGAAGAGAGTGTAGATCAGGGCGTGTACCATGCGAACACTGCCGGCGACAATGTTGTGGCTTTGCAACTCGAGCGAGCTGCATAGAACCATGTAGCCAGGGAGGATCAGGGCGATGCTGCTCTGCGCCAGGGCGCCAAAGCAGAAGGTATCGCCGCCGTTGATCGAACCGAATGCGCGTGCCAGAAAGGATGTCAGGACAGCGGCAGAGACCTCGAAGACGTTGGCGTAGAGCTCGTTCTGAGGCGCGAGCACCAGCTGCAGGAATCCGACCAAAGAGCCCAGTAGGAACGCACACGGCATGTCGATGAAGCGGCCCTGGAAAGCAAACGGCGCCACACACGACGAGGCCACGCCGTAGAGCATAACGCGCCACGCGACGTGGTACTTGACCTTTCTGTTCATGACATCGTCGAGTCGCTGCGTCGCTTCTTCCACCCCAAGCTTGTCGTGGACGACCTCCTTGTAGATGTTGTGGACATCGCGCAGCTTCCCCAAGTCGATACCTTGCATAACCCGAACAATCTTCACCTCCGTAGTGTGAGTTGTGCTGTCGTCAAAGCTGATAAGCATGCAGCTAGGCATATACATGAACTGGGCCTCGATCTCGAGCGCACGCGCCGACATGCTCAGATACTCTTCCAAGCGATGCGTTGGTGCACCGTACAGCATGAGGGCCCTGCATAGCTTGATGAGGAACCGGTGCCTGGCGAGGATGCCCGCAATGTGTACAGTGATGCGGTACTTGTCCTTCTTGGGCTTCTTGGGGGTTGCAGACTCCTTGACCTTCTCTGCCATACGATCCGAGGAAACGCTCGAGCCGGGCGCGGCAAACATGGACGAGGACTTCATGAGTTCAGTAAGAGCGAGTGACGACGTAGAGCCATGGGCACGGTGGAGGCTGAACAAACCGCTGCTAGGACGGCCGGATCGGGCAGGCCGAGTTCGTGAAGTAGATCGTGATGCGGATGGCGAGGACTGGGCGGAAATAGACGGTGTTGCATAAGCTGGAGTCGTGCGGCCAGAACTGCCCGCGCTTCCTCCTCCTCCTCCTCCCCCAGCTCCTGATCCGGCACCGCCAGCGTTGTGGCGTTGCTCATCGTTGTAGAGCTTAAGGAGTGACGAGAGGACGCCTCCATGGTATTTCTTGGGTCGTGGGACATAGTCGAGATCAGGGTCGTCAATGATGGGAGTTGATGTGCCTGACTGGCGGCCGCGAAGCATATCCGAGTGAAAAAGATCACGCTTGCGTGTATGTGATCGAACGATATTGGCCGCCACGTCGTGGTTGTCATATGAGTCCTCCGTGTCCAGACGCTGTGGCCCATCGGCAGCTGCTGGTCCCCGATGCCGGACCGCGTTGCCTCCTCCATGTTCGCTGTCCATGGCGCCATCTAGGCCGGTGGTGAGACCCGTTGCCCTTGCGCCGTGCCTCTCAAAGGGCAGGGACTCGCCCGCATCATAGTCGTCCACTACTACTGCGGGACGGAAAGCCGATCGTCCGCGCGAACTGCCGTCTGAGACGCCTACCAGATGCTGGAATGAGGCGCCAATGTCATCCGAGTTTCTCCTAGAACCCGGGGCCGAGTGTCTCCCCAATGAGATTGACTTGGCCAGCTGATCAGCACGGAGTCGTGCATCGGTAATGGACCGAAGCACTCTCTCGTTGGCCTCTGACTCTGCCTTGTCGGCCTCCTCACGCTCATGAGGCGCATCATAACTAGTGTTGCGCCTGAGGGCGGGTCTCGGGCGGCTGGGCAAGGGACTCATGATGCCTCCTCCCGTCGGGGGAGAGTCTTGTGGTGACTTGAGAGCGGCATCCTTTCCTGTTGTCTTGTTTGGAGAAGGCTCCTGGGAGAGGATGCGGGTAAGGGCCTCGGAGAGCTCTTGGGCGTCTGGGGCACCGTGGGGGTAGGCAGCTGGCTGGAACTTGGGCGAGCCTCCAGGCGAGAGCGTGGAGAAGTCTTCAACGGCTGTCTTGTTGACACCTAGGTCGGGGTTGAGGTCGGGGTTCAGGTCGGGGTTACGCCATCCGACTCTCTTCTTTTCCTTGCGGGCCGGTGTCGTGGTGTCGCTTACACGGCCGCTGTCAGGCTGCTCGCCCGACGACATGGCGTTTACAGAGCCAACGCCGACGCGGCTTGTTGAAGAATGTTAACCGTAATGATGATATCCGAGACGTGTCTCGCGGCTCGAAGATGTGTAGCAGAGAATGCTTGTCGTCAGGGTTGGAAAGAATGATGTGGCATACCACAGGTGCCGGGTACGTCGTACGGGTGTTGTTGGGGTGGGTCAAGACCCCTAGGGAGTGCACCGTCGAGGTGTCTTAGAAGCGACTGTGAGCGGGAGCGAGGTTATGATGATGGTGGTGGTGATGGAGGACGTTTGTTGTCTGATGGACAATCGGAAAAGAGGAGCAGAGGTACAGACAGAATGGCTGATGGAGCCAGCTCGATACCTTTATTGAAAGGGTCCTTGGGCGGTAAACAGTTCTTGCAGTATCAAAACTGGAGTCGCTGGGTCCTTCCCGATCACGCTATACCACCGATCCGCTGCTAGGAGGAAGTCGCAAGGACTGGGCTAGACACTGTCACTTCTCGGAATTGAAGGCGCAGGGATTATTGTCACAGCAGAGCGTTGGGCCTTTTCTTGCCAGAAAGTTCAGGCGGTCCATCGTTTGACTAGCAGGCGCTGACCCGGCCATTGGTGCCGCCGATAAAAATCGAAGAAACCTGAAGTATTTGTGGTGCCCGCCGAGAGAGCACCGAGACAGATTGGGTTTCTGCGTGCCAGTGCTCTGCTCCGCTGTTTTGCCCTTTTTTTTGGCACGTACTGGTAGGGAAGAAGCATGCAGTCCATGGATGACAAAACCTTGATGGGAGGGGGGGGGGCTATCCTGGCTCAGCGGCGACGCGTATCAAAGCTATCAAAATCGTGAGTGAGGGCCCATAATTGCAGATCCCTCGCACGGGTTGGCGGTTGACAGGCCCTTCCTTCCAATCCCTGATGGCTGCTGCAGCGCTTTCCCGATGACGTCGGTTTCCCATAATGCCTGTGTTGCGCGTCCTGCTGGCGCACAAGTTGTCAAAATGCTATCAGCGCAGCACAGCACAGAGCCACTAATCACCAACAGCAGTGGTACTCGGCTCACTTTCACATGAAGATTGCATCACCTCTGTCCAATAGTCACTCGGGCGGTGCATCGCACAAGCGCACATGCACACACACACACCCGCCGCCGCCGCCGCCGGCATGAAGCCGTATCGGGTTCCAGTGACGGGCGCCGCCTCCCACTAGGGCCGCACCTTCCAGGGCACCCGGCCCACTGACAGCCGTGCCTGGAAAATCCTAGGTGACCCCCACGAGCAGTTGTTTGCCACAGGCCACCCGCCCACGCAAAGCTTGTCGTCACCACGAAATCTGAGTGGAGGAAAAGGCTGTCAAGTGAAGGCTCTGTACGTCGACCAGTCGTGTTCGAGAAGGCGCTGGATAGCCTTGGATGACTGGGCAGCGCAAAATCCGGCTTGACAAGTCGTCTCCAGTCGCTGTCCCTGTTGGTTTCTAATCCTGGCTCAGACGCTGGCGCTCGGACGCGCGTGCCCAAACGTTGCCGCTTGATGGGTCAATGAAAATGGCGGTTCCATCTTTGTTTGGTATCGTGGATTCGTGATGGAGACAGCGAAGAGCTAGCGGTGACTTGTCGAGATCTAGGCTGGCCCGGGACCCGTGGGTATCGTGGCCGGGAATACGACGTACGGCAGAGCAGCGCTACCCAGCTTATGGTTCGGTTTGCCTATTTTGTCGAGCCCGGAGCTGCGCCTGAGGTCAAGATGCTGGTGCTCATGCCATCGTGGCGGGAGCTTTTTGGTGTTGCGGGGCTCTTGTGGCTGCTTGGCAACCAGTAATTAATCACGCAATCTTGGTGACCAACAAAGCTCAACTTCCCCCATCGAGCAATATAACAGAGGTCGTGGACATTGACCTTCTTTCTTCTTATGCAGTGGTCTCCACGGATTGCCCGGAGTTCATCTTTCCTCAAGATTGCGAATCTGCAAGATGCCTGCCCGTCTCTCTGCCAATAGGATCACGGGCCTGGCAGCGTCCGTCCTGCTCCCCTTCGCAACGGACTGCGACGACGCGCGATCATCATCTCCACCTCCAATGATGCTTTCGTTCTGATCCAACGCACCGACCCTCGTCGCTGCCCAACGAAAGTTGCAAAACAACAAGGTCCACGCAGAGTCGCAAACATGGCCGACCCCAGCGCGCTCTCGGATCGCGCCGTGCCCATGCGCGTTATCGTCTGCGGCGTCCACCGAACCGGCACATTGAGTACCGCTCCCCGGGCCAGATCATTTGCCCAACGTCACAAGCTAACAAGGACACCAGGCATGCGTCATGCGCTCTATCGACTGGGCATTCACGACTGCTACCACATGCTCACGGTCCGCGATAACCCCGAACGGGACGGCCACCAGTGGATCCGGGCCATTGACGCCAAATACAGCGACAATGGCACCGCCCCGCTCACCCGCCGCGACTGGGACGGTCTGCTGGGCGAATGCCAGGGCGTATGCGACGTCCCGGCTGCGCTGTTTGGGCCTGAGCTGGCCGAGGCGTACCCGGAGGCCAAGGTCGTCATCCTCAACCGCGACCCAGAGAAGTGGTACATCAGCGTGCTGAACAGCATACACGGCAAGAGGTCGCTGGCATCCAAGCTGGAGATGCTCTTCTGCATGCTCTTTGACTCGACGACGAGGGCGTGGATCAAGTTCGCCATGGCGTTCGGAGGCCACTTTGGCTACGATCACCGGGCGGAGAAGGACAAGGCGCTGGCGTGGTATGCGAACACGTACAAGGAGTTCCGCGACAAGATTCCCGAGGACAGAAGGATCGAGTTCACAGTGGCCGATGGCTGGGGCCCCTTGTGTAAGTTCTTGGACGTCCCGGTGCCCGTGGACCGCGACGAGGACGGCAAAGAGGTCGAGGCGCCCTTTCCGCGTAGGAACGACACGGCGGCGTTCTTGGGGTCGATGGTTGAGTGGCGTCACGAGGCGAGCAAGCGGTCACTAGACAATGTGTTCCGTCTGGTGGGGAAGACGGTCGTGGCAGGATCCACGGCGTATGTCGGGTACCTGGCCTTCAAGACACGGCTAGGTGGGCGTTTCTAGTCACTGGACTCTGTACTACCTCGGTCGGAGGCTCAAATACGTAGAGAATGACTGAATAGTGTCTCTGGCATCCCCAATTTTTCTGTGGATTAGAACAGTGACATGGGGAAAGTTGACATCTTGCGTTGGTTTAAAGATGCATTGCCAGTGTGAAGCCTCTTGACGAAACTGTCCACCACGACTGGCTGGTCGAGGTCAAGCACATTGAGATTCATTCTCCGAAGCACCTAAAAGGCATTCACAGGCACAAGCGTCTTCAAGACCTTGCAGCATTGCAACAAGTCACACATTGATTCGCTGCTGACATGTGCCATAGGGTAGGCGTGTTCCACATGTACCAAGCATACCGGAAGCCCCCGAGCCCGTACCCTACCGTCTCCGATGTGTCTTTCATACTTCTTTCTACATTCTTATCGTTTACGACGGCACTTTTCGAGGTCACTTGGAAGTAACAAAAGTACCACAAAAGTACCAAACGTCCTCTGATGCTGGGCATGCCGTATCTCCGCGACCCACTGTAGATCGGCCGAGGTCGGCCATGATCAGCTACATATTCCCTATCGTAGCACGACATCCTCCTCCATCGTTGGGAATCACGACATCACCAACAATTCCTTCACCAGGACCGCCATCATGTCTCTCAAAGCAGCGCTCGTCCTCGCCGCCGGCGCCACAGCGTGGGTGACGCCCTCGCGATTCGCAGAGGATCAGTTCCAGCTTACCAAGCCGTCCCCCTTCAAATGTGACCTGCCCCCAGCTCTCGAACCCTCTGGCGACGATCTGGAGCATGCCAGCAGTCTACTCACCGGCAGGGATGCGCTCGATAGACTGGTCGCGCGGCATCAGGGGATTGTGCGTGTGCCGAGCGTCTCGTACGACGACAATGGCGAGCCTGGGGAGGACCCTCGATGGGAGCCGTTCTATACGCTGCATGATGCCCTGAGGGAGCTGTATCCCAAGATGTGAGCTCTCCCTCCTGTGTGGCCATGTCTCGTTTAGGACTGACAATGCATACAAAGCCACCATCACGCCAAGCTGGACAAGATCAACACCTTTGGTCTGGTGTACACGCTCGCAGGCTCCGACGCATCCCTCAAGCCGACGCTCCTCACAGCCCATCAAGACGTGGTGCCCGTGCCGGACCCGTCCACCTGGACACACCCACCGTTCGATGCGCACTTTGACGGCGAGTGGCTCTGGGGCCGTGGCGCAGCCGACGACAAGAGCTCCCTCACCGCGCTCATGTCCGCCGTCGAGACACTCCTGGAGCAAGGCTGGGTGCCCAAGAGGACGCTGGTGCTCGCCTTTGGCTACGACGAGGAGTGCTCCGGCTACCGCGGTGCCACCAAGATTGGCGAGTTCCTCACCGAGAAGTACGGCGACGACGGTGTCGCCGTCATCCTGGACGAGGGTGGCCTGGGCTTCGAGGGGCCCGAGGAGAATGTGCTATATGCCCTGCCGTCGGTGATGGAAAAGGGCCACATGGACATCTGGCTCACGCTCAGCTTCCCCGGTGGCCACTCCTCTGTGCCCTTGGCGCATACGGCCATTGGCGTCGCCGCGGAGATTGTGAGCACGCTCGAGGCGAACCCGTTTGAGCCGGAGCTCCTCGAGGACGGACCGACGCATCGCCATCTGATCTGCAATGCCCGCTACTCGCCCGATGCGAACCCGACGGTCACTCGACTCGTCAAGAAGGGGGATTTGAAAGGTCTGGCGGACGAGGTGATCAAGGTGTTTGGGCGCGGGGGCCGATACATGCTCCAGACGTCGCAGGCCGTGGACGTGATCCAGGGCGGGACCAAGATCAATGCCATGCCAGAGACGGTGGCCGTGGGCGTTAACTACCGCATCTCCCCGCAAGACAGCATCGACAGCATCCAGGACACCGTGCTGGCCAACATCAAGCCCGTAGTCGACAAGTACGGGCTGGACGTCAAGGCTTTCCAGGCTGAGGGGGAGGCCTCGGCTGCGGTCGCCAGCGCAAATGGAACACTGTATCTCGAGGCGAACCAGGTGTTCCAGCCCACGCCTATCGCGCCGACAGAGGGCAAGGTCTGGGATGTCTTCTCGGGGACCATCCAGCACACCTTTGGAGCGGGCGACGCCAGCAGGACCGTCGTCCCTGTGGGGGAGATTATGCTTGGCAACACGGATACCAGGCACTACCTAAGTGAGTAAACGAACGCTCCTGACTAGCCAGCCACACACATCGTACTGACGGCCGGGACTACAGACCTCTCGCCCAACATCTACCGCTGGAACCCCATCTCGCGGGATGCCGCCATCAACATCCACACGGTGGACGAGAGGCTCCGGATGGAGGACCAGCTGCTGATGGTGCAGTTCTACTACGACTTTGTGCGGAACTTTGACCAGGCGGATCTGTAGAAAAGCAGCGGCGCTGTTAGGTGTCGTCGTCTTCTAGATACTGCGCAAACGTCGTCGAGCTCTGCTCCTCTTTCATGCTTGGCTGTTTCGGTCCACTGACCTCCAGCACCTTGTAAACATGCCTACACGTCGCCAGCAGGCCACATGAAGCAGTGTCGCCCACAAGACTGATATCGAAGAGCCGACGATGCTGGCCCTGTACGCCCGTCCGCCCGCTGTGAAAGTCAACACCACCTTACTCGTACAGACCTTGGCTGCTGCTTCGCAACGGCACCAGAGAGACGACGGCCTTCAGGTCCAAGACGGGCGTGGGTAAGCCCATCTGAGGAACCTCTGCGCGCCGTCACTACAAGCAATTCCGCCCGGTGGAGGCCTTGCTGAGACATGGCGTGCATAGAGTGGCAGAATACGCCGAGATATTCGCCTAGTCTCCTCGCTCGTGGACGCTACTAACTACTACTAGAGGTACGTATTGGCGATGCAGCGCGGGGGGCCCTTTTGCAGTACGCCGCCCACCGCCCACTGCTCGGGGGACGATAAGCTCTCCCCGGCCTCATGTCATATTCACGAGTCCCACCTGGAGATGGAGCAGCTGTAGGTAGATAGATAGGTAGAGTACCGAAATACGCCGAGTCCCGCGATTTGAGACCTGTCGCCTCGTGCGTCGCTGCGGCCAGCCGCATCTTTATCCGACTCGATAGACGACGCCTCGTCAGGCAGGACTAGGGGTACCGGATATATTTGCACGTGGAAGACACTCTCCGAGGCGTCATGTCATGCTGCTGCTCCTCGACAAGGGGTGTTATCCCGGGTTGTGAGTCGAGACGGCTGGTGCGCGTGGCGCTGGTGGGGCGCCGTCTGTTGAAAGGGTTGTTTGTGGCCCTGTGGGAGAGTGGGCTGCATCTTGATGAGTCGGTAGTCATGGCATGCTCTTTTTAGGCTTCTCCAAGGATGCGGAAGTTGATCAATCATTTTCTGGGGGGACTGCTGTTGATGCTCTTTGATCGGATCTCTTGTTGACCCGGAACCCCGACAGATGATGCATCATACGTACGTATCGCTGTCACTCATGACTGTGTCTTTATCCAGGGGGTCCCCAGCCGCGCCGGACACTGGGACGAACGACGTTTCTTTTGCGATACGTATAGGTGAGGTGCGGCCGCCCAGAGAAATGCGAGTCAGATGGCTGCAGGTCAGGCCATCATCAATCATCTATTCGGAACAGCAGAGCGACGGGGATGGGAGCCGGATAGGAATGCCACTGTAGTGGTCCAAATAAATGGAGATGCTGTGTGGCTCGCTGGCTCTCACGGACATTCGTATAATCGTAATTAATGAACCCTGGACCAGGGGCGAGGCCAAGACAGCTAGGTTGATATGACTAGTGTCCTCGTTACTATAGCTCATGTGCGCAAGGCCACAGTGGACGCAAACACCCACACGCTTCCCCAGCCCATCGTCCTCCACAGACGTTCGTCTCGCGCCATCTCCAGCCTGAGAGGGGTCTCCTTTCATTTAGTGAGGAGAAGGGCGATGAAAAATGAGGGATTATACCCCGAGGACGTCGTCGATCAATGGGGGAAAAACGGGGGCCGCCGTCCCAGTGGCTCAATCCACCATCTTCGCCAGCCGTGCCGTTGTCATTGGCCTCTAGCCCGTTGATTCGAGTTATCATGACCTATCGTAATTAACGATACTGTGCGTCATTGGGCCGTTGGCAGCCCATCGTCGTGCCTCGATGGATGGGGCACGGACGACGCCATGCGTGCGGCTGAAGTTGCTGAACCAGGTCCCGGAGGGCTCGTGTCAAAGTCGTTGGCCCAATCCGTCGGCGCACATGTCTTGTCTGCCAGGGGTTGTGCCCCTGCGATTCGCTTTCAGCTTTTTCCAGTGCCGTTTCTTCTGCGACATGCCCTCACACGTGGAAGGGCAGCCGAGGCGCACCCTGCAGGCACTAATCATGCCGTGGGATTCTACAGATGGTTCTAGTCCAGATGGACAGGGTCATCCATGAACTGCCAGGCTCCAGCAGCCCAGCTGAGCGACTTGAACTTGCCGGCCGCCCAGCGGCTTGGGACGCTGGGGGGTCCCTGGCTCGGATTGTCGGGGATGGCTTCTGGAATTGGGGGCGGCGGCGTGTCATGTCCTGGGCCTGGCGTCTTGGCTCGCCAATGAAAGATTGGTCGATTCCATACTGTACTGGATTAGGCCCAGGTCGGCTAGCGAGTTTGGTGAAGAGTCAATTGAGGGTGGTGTGGACAGTGGACATGACAGTGGACACTCATGTCCTCGGCTGGCTGGGCTAGAATGATAATAATATGGAGTCGATAACAGCAAGCCGCCAACAGCGGCCTCAATCAGAGTTCTTTTAACTACGTACACACATCGCATCACGTAGGCGGTTCGGTTGGAGGCTCCAGTCGCTGCCATCTTCACTTATTAACTACCTTGAACCGCCCACGCCCGTCGCTGGTGCCGCTTTCCAACTCTGCCGTACCTCGACCAACTGCTCATAATACCTACGTACTAATTACCAACACCGTCACCGTCGTTTGGCTTCCTTTTCTTGCTGTTTCTGTTGTGCCTACTTGCGAGGAGCGTTTTGCAACAGGGGAAAAGGGGATCAAATATCATTGACCCTGGGATGCCGTACTGAGGCCAGACCGGACTCGACGACCCCTTCGCACAAAACAAATGTCCGCGTCGATGCTCACCCTCACGGCCGAAAGTTGGACCTGGTATGCGGTAACATGGGTGGTGGTGATGATCCGCATGTGAGTGCATCCCGCGGACAATGACAACCCGTCCCTTTCCCTGGGTTCTTCCCACTCCTTGGGATCCTCCTTGTTGACACACGCCATCCAGGGCCTCGCGCCGCCTCCTGCTGGGCTCCTGGCGCAAGCTGCAGGTCGAGGACGCCCTCATGCTGCTCGCCATGTCCACCGACACCGTCCTCATGGTCAGCATGAACATTATATCGACGACGTCGAGCAACCTCATTGACCCCAACGACCCGACGCCCCTGGACGAGGCCAACATCCAGGAGCGCGTCTTCGGCTCCAAGATGGTCCTCGTCGTCGAGCAGATGCAGTGCATCACCATCTGGCTCGTCAAGGCGTGCCTGCTCATCATGTACCACCGCCTCACCATGTCCCTGCGCCAGAACCTGGCCGTCAAGATCGTCGCCGCCTACGCCGTGATCACCTTTGTCGTCATGGAGGTCCTCTACCTGGGCGTCTGGTGCCGGCCCTTTACCGAGTACTGGGCGGTGCCCCCCAAGAGCAGTGCGTAGCTTCCGACAGTCCCCATCTTGTATGCGTCCTACTGACACCTTGCAGCCCAGTGCTCCGCCGCCACGAACCACCTCATCACTAATGCTGTCTTCAACATCTCGTCAGACATTATGATCATCGCCATCCCGCTGCCTATCTTCCTCAAGTCGACACTGTCGCCCAAGCGCAAGGCCGTACTCTGCGGCGTCTTCGCCGTTGGCACCTTTACCATTGTCTCGGCCGTGCTCAACAAGTACTACTCCTTCAACCAGCCATTTGGCAGCGACTGGACCTTCTGGTACATTCGCGAGTCGTCGACGGCCCTCATCGCCGCCAACCTGCCCCTGACGTGGACCCTGATGCAGCGCGTCTTCAACCTCAAGAGCTTTGCCGAAAAGTACTACTCGAACCAGCGCTCGCGCACAGGCGGCGTCCAGACCAACTCGCAGTTCCGCTCGACAAACTACATTGACCGCCAGCGCCACCGACGACGCGCCGACAGCCTCGGGTCCCTGGGCGAGACGGACCGCTCCGCCAGCGAGGAGCACATTAACCCCATCCCACTCAAAATATATCAGAAGCACGAGGTGGAGATTAGCACCCTGCCCGCGCAGGACGACGATGGCCGAAGGATGCGCATGGCGTCCTCAGACTCGCTGCCCGATGGACTCAAGACCGTCACCAACGTCCGGGGCGGCCAGTCTATGGGGAGTCGGCGGACCGAGGAGGACGGGTCCGTCAAGAGCGTGGGAGGGGCGGTTGTATGATGCTTGATGACACTAGATACCTGGGCAACCATGCATGTGCTATTGACAGCACTTGAATACATTGTAAATATGAGTATCCATGTGGCGTAGTGAGTGTAGGGTAGGCTGTCTTTGCTGTCCAAGGGACGATGCTGGTCAACCACTGGATGTTAGCCAGAGTTCAGTATTGTATCCAACGTATGGGCCAAGGCCCTTGTAAAACATCCATGTCTTGTACGAACATGGGATCGGCGCCCGCAGTCTCAGCTTACAATACACCCCTCCTCCTGCCTATTCCCTAGAGGCGTGGACGCCACGTCCCTGGCTCCGACAGCCGAAATCGAATCCTCCGGGGCGGGCCGCCTGTCGCTTCTAGCTAAAGTAGCCAGAAACGTGATGATCCTAGGAGATTTCAGGGCCAATCGACACGTACATGTGAGTGGCATCCTGATGAATGGCACTAGCCGCAATCTTTCATTTTATGCTGTCATCGACCTCTGCTCGAGGACTGCCTTTCAAGTGACCAATGACCCGAGGGCTCTGGGTTACCCGGGAGCAGACACCCATAGGTCGACGTTTTGTGAAAGACTGCGATCTGATCGCTTTCAACACGACTGATTGCGTTGACGGATAGCCTACTGGGAAATTCGAGGTAGTATTGGGAATTCATTGGTGAATCCTCATTCCCTTCATCAGACCCACGGTGGGACGCGTTGACTACTGCTTCATGGCTTAAAGCCAGCCCTACGTGCTACAGTGTGTGCTGATCAACTGTAACCACGCGTTTCCGTGTCAATTTTCATGCCATGCATGCGCTTGGTTGGACCCCATCATATCGTAGTTGTCTGCAAGGGGCAGATGACCCCGAAAGTGAAATGTCCGCTCGGAAACCGGGTGAGTCCATGACCAACTTCATTCAACCCAATTGCGCTGCCGCGCACACCATCATCCATCCCACAGCGCTGAGTACATGTGAGAAGAGGTGACCAGAAATGGGCAACTTCACTCGCGATGCCGTCGTAGCCGCTCGTCAGCAGGAAGGGCTGCTGATGGATTGATGAATTATGGGGGCCGGCCACGATGAACGATGCCTGCGTGCGAGATCCGCCGTTTGACGTCAACCACTTCCCTCCTCAGCACCATCCCGGCACCATCACTGCCGACAACCACACAGTCACCAGGCTCCCCGCCGCTCGCTCGTGTTGAACGATGACTGCTACAACTGCAAACTGCGAGCTGGCGTGGACAGTAGTCCGGTCCCATTCCCCGTTATCCTCGGAGCGCGAGGTCCGTTCTTGTGAGTGTGTCCGTCCGTCCGTCCACCCATCTCTCGCTTCCCGCTATAAGTGCAGTGTGCGCTGCTCGTTCACGAGTCTTTGATCGATTAAGACCTCCCCTCTCAGTCAACATGGACCGCCTTCACAGGGTCCTGTCCCGGGCCAACAACAAGCCCTTTCGCACCAAGCACCTCGAGACACCAGCCCCCTACCTCAACAACAGCGGCCATGTCGCTTTTGCGCCCAACGACGTTGAGAACCCGCAGAACTGGAGCACCGCGCGTCGTTGGCAGATCACCGTCGCCGCCGTCTGGCTCGTCATGAACGCAACATTCGCCTCCTCCTCCCCGAGCGGCTGCCTAGGCTCCATCGCCCAGAGCTTTGGCGTCTCCCGCGTCGCCGCCGGCCTCACCATCACCCTCTTCCTCCTCGGCTACGTCGCCGGCCCCCTGGTCTTTGCGCCCCTAAGCGAGTTCTACGGACGCCGCTGGATCTTCTACCTCTCCTTCAGCCTCTACCTCGCCTTTAATTTTCTGTGCGCCTTTGCCCCCAACTTTGGCAGCCTCCTCGTCGGACGCTTCCTCACGGGCACCTTTGTCTCCGCGCCCCTGAGCAATGCGCCCGGCGTCGTCGCTGACCTCTGGAACCCCCTCGAGCGCGGCAACGCCATGGCCGCCTTTAGCGCTCTTGTCTACGTCGGTCCTGCCCTGGGCCCCGTCATCTCTGGCTTCCTCGAGCTCAAGGAGGACTGGCGCTGGTCCTTTTACGTCCTGCTCTGGCTCGGTGGCGCCTCACTCGTCCTCATGTTCACCATCCCCGAGACGCACGGGCCAACCATCCTGCTGCACAAGGCCAGGCGGATACGCGCTGCCAAGATCCCAGGGTTCGAGGACGTCAAGGCTCCCGTCGAGGACAGCGACCGTTCGCTCCTCGCCGTGTACAAGGTCGCCCTCATCAGACCCTGGGTCATCCTCTTCGACACCATTTCCTTCCTCTGCGCCGTCTACATGTCCGTCGTCTACACGCTTCTCTACATGCTCTTCAGCATCTACCCCATTGTCTTCCAGGAGAAGCGCGGCTGGAACGCGGGCGTCGGCGAGCTGCCCTTGTTGGGCACCGTCACGGGCGCCGTCCTGGGCGGTCTCATCGTCATGCTCGACACGCGTCGCCGCAAGCGCAAGATTGAGCAGGGGGAAGCCAAGATGGAGGATCTCGAGCCCGAGGACCGTCTGCCCCTGGCCATTCTGGGCGGCATCGGGTTCCCCATCACCATGTTCTGGTTCGCCTGGTCGGCGCAGTACAACTCTGTCCACTGGATCGTGCCCACCATTGCGGGGGCATTGCTCTCGACGTCGTTGCTGCTCATCTTTGTGGGCTATCTCAACTACCTCGTTGACACGTGAGTCTATCCCGCCGCTCACTGTTTGCTTTACTAAACATAGGATCAGCTACCTCATGTACGCCGCCTCCGCCATTGCCGCCAACACCATCTCCCGCTCTCTGTGTGCCGCCTCGGCACCACTCTGGGTGAACCAGATGTTCAGCGCCATGGGCGTCGGCGGCGGCGGCTCCCTCATAGGCGGCCTCGCTGCTGTCCTCGCCGTGATCCCTTTTGTGTTCTATAAGTATGGCAAGCCTATCCGGGTGCGGAGCAAGTTCGCGCCCACAGAGGAGACCATGGCGCGCCAGGGGAAGGATGAGGAGCAGGCAATGCCGGAACAGGCGCCTACGCACGGGCGGAGGAGCAGTGATGAAGCGGTCAGCACTGGACCGAGTGCTTGGACATAAGACGAGGGTACAAAGCTAGATGGTTTTTTACGACATAGAACATAACACAGTCCATTAACCAAGATCATATTTAGAGTAAACCAAGCACATGAGTTCACTTCTCATCACTGAGCAGGGAACAACTCACTAGTGACGTACAATGTGAGAAGTTATCTCGTCTGTTTGGTCTGCTGCTTCTTTGGTCTGCTGAAGTGTTCATGAGATTTATAAACCATGCGTGTACATGCTATGCAACTAAGACCTAGTATTTGCTCCCTTCGCTAAACTTGTATACTCATACACTCCTCATCGCTTAGGCATGCTCTGTTCTCGTAGTGCCAGGCATAAAGTCCTCGCTATTCTCATCACTCTTCTTTTCGCCAGCCATATGCCCGTTGCCATTTTGCCCGCTGACAGACATGTTTCGGAAGGCGCTGGTATCGCGCTCCATGCGGGTGACGTAGCCGGGAGGCACCCACTTGTGGCTGGTCCAGGGCTTCAGACCCTTCTGGCCATACATGAGATCGACGTTCTCGAGCGATAGAGTGCGGGACTCGTAGAGGAAGAACCAGACTAGGAGACCGGCGGCAAAGTTAGTGCCCGCAAAGACGTATCCGTAGGCAAACCCGATGCCGGGGCTGCCGCCGACGCCATCAGTGGCAAGAGGTGTAAGGAAACCGATCATGACTGCGCTATGTTAGCTAGAATTTAGTGGCAAAAGACGTGAGCCAACTTACAGTTACCGAGCCAGTTACCAGCAGTCGCGAGCGAAGCCTGCTTGGCACGTGTGCGCAGAGGGAAGGTCTCGCCAATGACGACCCACGCAATGGGACCCCAGGTACCGGCGAAACTGGCAATGAACATGCATGCCGACACAATCATGACGATGCCTGCGGTAGAGTTGTTGTTCACATCAATGGCGGTACCCATGGAGGCGAAGACGACCAGCCAGGCGGACTGCCAGAAAGCACCAATGACCAGGGGCCAGCGGCGTCCGAAGCGCTCAACAACCCAGAGACCGTAAAGCGTCATGACCACATTGACGGCACCCAGAATGAGCTGGACGAGGATGGGATCGTCGACACCCGAGGACTGGAAAACGGTGGCGCCATAGTAGAAGAAATAGTTGACGCCAGTCCACTGCTGCAAGAAGTGGATGCCAACGCCGAGCAGAGTGCGGTAGACCAGCTTGGGAACACCGGTGTTGGGGTTGAAGCATTCGAGCCATGTACCGGAGCCGACCTGCTGCTCCTTCTCGAGGATGGTCCTCATCTCATTAATGTCGTCCTCGACAAGCGGGTTGCCGGGGTCGTCCTTCATGCCACGGAGACGGGCAAAGGACGTGCGGGCATCTTCCCAGCGTCCACGCTGCGCCAACCAACGAGGCGACTCTGGAACGGCGAGAATACCACCGCCAAGGGGCAGACTAAAGAAGATGCCGAGGCCGATGACAATGCGCCAAGAGGCATCCTGCTCCTGGATCTCGCGGACACCGTAGTTGATCAGGTTGGAGACAAGGATACCAATGGTGATCATGAGCTGGTACGAGGCGACGACGGCGCCACGGATCTCCCTGGGCGACGACTCGGACTGGAACATGGGCACGCCGACGGAGAGGTTACCGACACCCAAACCAGCGACGAAGCGGCCCATCATCATGTGCACCCACGAGCGCATGGCGGTGACCTGGATGACATTGCCGATGATGAAGATGATGACGCCAAACGTCAGAGACTTGCGGCGGCCCCACCAGTCAGCCGTGTAGGCACCCGTCAGAGCGCCGATCAGCGAACCGATACTCATGAGGGAGACGACGAGGGACTGGATGATGGGCTGCCAGGCCTTGTCGCCCTCGGGTCCCTGTGCGAAGCGGTTGACGAAGTCGGTGAAGGTTAGCAGTGCTGAGATTTGACCGGTGTCGTAACCGAAAAGGAAGCCACCGATGGACGTGATGACGCCCAGGAAGATGGCCTCGGCGCCACAGTCGGCACCGTTGATCTTGACGGACCTGTGTTGTCAGATTCTCTGTTGTGGTGATGGGAGTGCCAGGTGTATACGCACATGCGTCCCAACATATTGGGCAACTGTCTGTCGAGTGTCTTATGCCTTTGTGATGATGTCTCGTTTCGTCACGACCCGCGTGTCTGAGATGATATGGATGTCTCGAAGAGTCGTGGGTCGGGTAAAGGTGAAGGTGGACAGAGGGGAGAGGGTGCGACGCAGTTTAAGTAGTACTGGTTTTACCCCGGATTCCACGACAAGAAAGGCTTGGCTGACGAAGGGGAGGGGTGTTCTGGGAGACCTGGGCATCGGCGGCGAGGATTGAGAAAAGTTAAATATTGCTGCTTTCATCGTTGGGCGCGCGCGCAAGCCAGTCGGGGTGCGGAGCAGGAGCAGGATCAGGATCAGGATCAGGTACGTCGCGTGCGTGCCCATGGGCCAAGGATGCCCCGTGGCGCCGACTGGGGGCCCGTCATGGAGTGTCGTTCAACTCCGGGGTGGATTGAGATCTCCACCGGCCGTTTCGGCGCCATCAAATTGGGGACGGTGGGCAGACTGGCGCTCGCACAGTAAACTCAGCGCGTGTGATCGTTAGCGTGCGATGAGTGAGTGATGTCGCGGGCGGCGCACTGGTGATCGACGATGGACATACATACTGGAGCCGGCAGTGCAGGTGCGGCTGCAGCAACGCGCACGGCACCTGCCAGCCTAGCGGGCCCTGTTTTCACCATCTGGTAGGAGTACCTACTTCGTGCTACCTTACTGTATCTCACCGAACGTGTATTCCACGGAAGTCGTTTGAACATTTGAGTAACCACTGCCTTGCAACCAATGCACAATCAACTTATTACGCTGATTCGCGAGTGCTTTCTCACTGCAGTCCATCTCCCAGACGTTGGCCTTTCCGTTTGGCAAGGTCAAGCCACCTTCCCCAATCCGGCTGCACGCACCCAAGTCGGACCAATCAGAGCAAGGACGCAGGACCCTTGGCCTCGTCATGCAGTGTGAAGTCACTCTAGTTACAGTGTTCACATCAGCGCACGCACAGGATAGAAATTCCGTCACTTGACTACGCAAGTAGAAGGCCCGATGTCAGCGGCGCTTCTTTGGCGTCAACCCATGTGGACGCTTGTTGGAGAAATCTCCACCGCATAACGAGGAGTAGGTCCGACAAGCGGAGTCGCGAATTTCGCTGCTGGAGAGTCTTGTTGGCGAGGAGCGTCTTTCATTTCTGGGTCTGTCAAAACTTTCTGATCATGCGTTTGGAATGTCGATGCGCAAATTGGAGACCTCGGCCTTATTTCTACGTACATTACATAGTACTGAGCGCACATTCCGTGCGGAGGAGGATGGACGGTGCTTGGCACTACGTACCGTCTTGGATGATGTCACCATTAAGCTTAACGGGATCTTCCTGAGGAGGTTGCGTCCTTAGCCCAGAGTTAAGAGGGCAGACAACGTCCTTTCGATTGACGTCTTGATGATCGCAATCCTCCTTGGCGCGTCATTCTTGTCAGCCATACATAGACTGCGGAATCAATTTCAATATTCGGGATGGTGGCCACGCTGGATAGGGCGACCCGTCCGTTTCACTAGTCGCGAGTCAAGCTTTCTCTGCACGTTGAGTGTCCCACTGTCCAATTAGTATGGACCCGAGACGGAGCGGGCGGCCGATCGTCACCATTTGTCACTGTCAGCATTGGCCAACAGCCATCTCCGAGCGTCGTCGCAGCATGTTTAACAAGAACGAGCAAAAGAATGGCATCTCGTCTCTCAATAACCCCGCGCCCACGCTGTACCCCATTCCCATGGGTACTGAATTCGACTGCGAGGCCAAGTTGACAAGTGACAACCACCGCACGACGCTGTTCAACACGGACTTACACAAGACGGCCTTCTCGAAGTCTTCGGCAGATCCACATGGCGGCATGTCCGTTGAGGGTCCCGGGCCACTTTCTTCGGTCCGTTACTCGGCTCAACTGCCGGACAGTCGACTGACTGCTTTATCAGCAATTCACCTTTTCACCATCTTGTTTGACTTTCCCCCGTGCGAGCCAAGAAAAAACAACAAAAATATCTCGCGCGCGCCTCACTTTTGCAGTGACCAATGACGTGTGCTGCGACATCAAGGTCACATACGGATTATGCTGCATAGATCTGTCCAACCAGTGCTATCTACTACGTATGGCATCATGGCCATGTCCCGGTCCGAGACTCATGTCGGTGCGACTATGGGACTCTGCAGTCCACATCTGGCGCTTTCCTCGGTCGCTTTGTGACCCCCTTTTCCTCTCTCTTCTGGAGTCGCGGATCCCAGGCGTGGCAGTGGCCGTGCGGAAGAATGGAACCGCAGAATTTTGGCTACCCTGGAGATATCCAGCTCTCCTACGCGCGCCTGGGCGTCTTATCAACATGAAGGCTGTGTCTGTTCTAATGATCATGCTCAGAACGGCTTTGTTATTGTACCGAGGAATCCGACGCTAGATGTGATTTGCCAGTGGGTGGAATCTGCTGGTTGAACTCGAGGAGCTGAGATCAAAAGTCTTGAACGTTTTGTAAACACGCCCACCAATTTGAAGCACTCCAGGGAGTACGCGGTGGCAAACGGTCCTTCTCTTGCTTGCATGTCCACCTTTGTTTCTAGACTGGGATGTGTCAAGTTTGGAACCTTGGAGTTGACCAAATTTAAGTTAGTGGTAAGTTGGAGATCACATAACGCCTCAGCACCTCATGAAACCCCCATTCGATGCGGACGTGATCACGCCCTGATCAGTGCGGAGAGAATGTAGCCTGCAAAGATTCTATTCGTGTCTTCGTAATTCCAAAAGTCTATCTGCATAAAGTCCCTCTCCAAGCCCTTTCTTGTCTATCGTTCGTTGGGTATCATGAGTAATGTCCACCAAGCACCACATCAATCTTGCCAAGTCACCAATCACCACGTGCCTAACATCGCCCCTATCTGCTCAAATCGACAACGTCGAAAAGGTGAGTAAAGGAGGAGTCTCCTAGTGTCTGCCGCCACGTCCGCCACGTCCGCCGTTCCTGCTCTGTCGAGGCGGATCGGGGACGACCCTCAGCCCCTTGACACCCTTCAAGCCCATCTTGCCCACCGTCGACTTGGCCATGGCCGGGACCTCGGGCGCGCCAAGACCGTTGCGCGCATACACGTTGCCCTGTCGGACGAGCTCCTCCTTGTCCCACTTGAGAGATTTCATGTGGTTGTTGTAGTAGCCCAGCCAAGCTTGGTAAACCTTGCCCTTCTCCTGGTCCTCCATCCTCGTCGCGATCGCCATCACCCTCTCTGCGGACGACATGTTGGCTTGCCTTGGCTTGAACTCAATTTCCTTGAGCGTATACTTGGGAAACCAGGCTTCCGCAGCAGCGACGATGAAGACACCGTGTCCATCTGCCTCGGCACGCGCTGTGCGACCCAGGCGGTGGATGTAGCTCTGCTTGTCGGAGGGAATACCAACCTGCAACACGGTGGTGACGCCGGGGAAGTCCATACCGCGAGCAACGACATCGGTGGCCACGAGGATCGCAGACGGCGAGGCGCGATACAGATCCGTGGTCTTGGTGCGGCGGTTCTGTGAAATGCGGCTGTGCAGGATATGGATAGGGGGCACACCAGGCAGCGATGAGAGAATGTTGCCGTAGAAGTCGGCAAGAGCCGCAGTAGGGGCGAAGAGAATGGCCTTGAATGGTCCACCTAGATCCATCCGCGCTGCCTCTTCTTGAATGCAGCCCACCATGGCAGGGGTAACTGACCCAAAGTCAGGCACCTCGATGAGGTACTGGGGAACACGTTGGTGGGTGTTCACATCGCCCGCGGGGATCGTCGAGATGAACTTGTAGCCCTGGTCCAGGACCAGGCTCGCAACCTGTTGTACGTGAGGAGCTATGGTCGCCGAGAAGAGCATGCCCTGGCGATTAGTCTTTTGCTTGTCCGGCAGGTGACGCACAATCTCCTGCAGATCCCTCTTGAAACCCATGTCCAGGAGGCGATCCGCCTCATCAAGGACAAGCGTGTCCACGTTCCTCACCGCCCACACGATATCCGGGTTCGAAAGATGATCCAGGAGACGTCCTGGGGTAGCAATGAGAATCTCGCAGCCACCCAGAATTTGCTTCTCCTCTGCGTTCTTGTTGGTGCCGCCCATGACGACGCGCACGCGGTACTGCCGCAGCCTCTGTAGTAGATTGGTCGCCTCAGTGGCGATCTGCATGGAGAGCTCGCGCGTTGGTGAGATGACGAGCAGCGAGATGCCAGCGTCAGCCGGCCGCTTCTGTGTGATCATGGTCTGCAGAGCGGGGATGAGGAAGGCGAGCGTCTTGCCTGTGCCAGTCTTGGCCTGCACAAGACAGTCATGGCGGTTAGGCGGCAACAGCTCGTCGACAGTCGCGGCCTGGACGGGCGTCATGTTCTCAAACTTGAGATCCTCCGTGATGGCCTTGACGATGAGGGGATGAACGCCCTGTAGGTCAGCAAATCGGCGGTCGCTTGTCGTAGGCGCACCCGTCGCCTGGGGGGCGGACGCCTCCTTCTTGACTGGCGCCGACTGCTCATGGTCATGCTCAACTTGATAGTCATCGTAAGATGGCGCATGGCGGTCTTGGCCTTGTCCGTTGCTTCGCGAACCTCTGCCTCGTCCGCCTCCGCCGCGTCCTCCACGTCCGCCTCTTCCTCCTTTGCCTGGGCGGCGATACGGCCCTGGTCGCTTAGTGTCGTCCATCGAATCTGATGGTGCTGTGACGTGCGGATGGAATTGTTTGTGGAGGTGAGATTGCTGCCAGGGTCTTTGAGTTTTCACGTTGCGAGTACGACGCTAGACCTAATTTGGATATTGTGAGAATGACTAAGGTCGGGGGAGAAGGTACTACGCACGAAAGCACGTGATACGTGATACACTACAAGGCTTCGGACGACCGTACGTGCCCCGTCTCTGTGCATGCTTGCTTCACATACTTCTCACTTTCTGATCAATTGAGCTTGAGTGGTGGATTCAGGATGCATCAGGCATTGTTGAAACTGCCAGGGTGTCACTCAGTGATCATGGCGTGAACAGTACGAAATGCTTTTATCCCGTCTTACTATCGACAGGAAGCGGTGGACCATCGGAACACAGCCTGTCAAGTCAAGTGTAGGTGCGTACTGCCAGCTTCAAGTCATGGGCAGAACCGCGGCGGGCCAAAGGAAGATTGCCTGAGTACTAGCATATAGACGCTGGAAATGGCTTTTGTACTGAGCCTTCCAGGAGGCAGCAGTCAATGAATGGTCGCTGTCGGCCACGACGCTGCAATTCTGCTGCACCTGATCAGTACACCTTACGGCACGTTTCACATGCAGATGAGTTAAAAAGACCGGGACACGCTCCTAAGCCCCTATAGGCTGTCTTGAATCTTCAACGAACCATCCTATACTGTGCGACCTTTGTATCCCCAAAGCCACCATCTCTGCTCAACGCCTCATCGTGACCAGAGGGCGTCTTGCTTGTCCAGCGAGAAGTGCATCGACTCGTTCAATCAATTTGCGATGAGCCTGCTTTCTACTTCACTCCCCAGCATAGCCACTGAACCGACAGTAAGTCTGGTCCATCTTGAACGCGCATCACGAGGCGTGAGAAGGAGAGACGCCACATCCACAGCCATTGATCACCGTCATCGCGCTCCTAGCAAGTGAGCCACGAGTAGTCGCGCCAACACTTTCGTCATCTTGTCAGCCAACCGTTCTTCCACCATGTTTGGATGCGGCAAGTGTGATCGAACCTTTCCCGCTGGCGAATATGCACGGGACCAGCATTGTAACGACACAGGCCACTGCAAGCCCGACCTTGAGTGTGTAGAATGCGGCTTGGAAGATGATCATGAAGGCTGGTGCGAGGCCCTCGCCACGGAAGATGACGGGTACACCTGCCGCCTTCTCAGATGCAGCAAACGACATGCCATCACGAGGCACCGAAACGACCACGAGGCGTTCAAGCACTGCCTCTGTGGCTCGTGCGGCAGGACTATGGACAATGTGAACAACGTGAAGAGCGTAAGCCCCCGCGCATGGCATCTTCATCGTTGGCAACTAGCGCTGACTCGAGACAGCACCTGAACTCCCAGCAACACAAAGGCGACCGCAATTATTCCCTCGTCCGGCGCAACAAAGGTCCAGCAACCGTCAGTGCGGTTGCGAATCCGACTCCACCGCCAACACCACCGCATCAAGTTCATGTGGCTGCTTCACTTCCCGGACAGCCTGTCCAGTGTCCCTTTTGCCCAGTCGGCCACGACCGCATCAGCGCAGTGCTCATGCATCTCGAGCGAGGCAGCTGTCCAGACACCTACCTCAAACGCAGCGACATATTCAACGCCGTATGTCTGTGCGACGATACGGGCACCATTACGAACTTGAAGCTCCATCAGCCCACGCGCGAGAGCTCCTGGAACCCAGAGACGAAGGTTTTCAGCTGTACACTTTGCGAACGTGGTTTCCAGACCGTCGGCGCCCTCACAGATCACATGAATAGCGAGTTTCACGAGTTTGAGTGGTATCACTGTCCGAATGCCGATGACTGTGTCAGCCAATTCGGCTTGCTGTCTGCGTTGATGGCACATCTGGAGGAGGAAGCGTGTGGCTGGAAGTCTTTCGAAGAGCTGCAGGAACACGGCCGTGTGGTCCTGGATCCTATGCGGCTGATGTGGTTGGAGGGAAAGAGCAGGCGCTGGAGTATGACTGGTGAGCCGGGGTGACTTTTTGTAGGCCACGTATGAGCTACGCCCGTGTACTTTATGCTAGATGAATGGACCGCTGGTGTACTGGATAGCCTTCTTTCTGCGTGTCTGCAACGGCGCAACGAGGGATTTGCACATGTCAAGGGGACAGACATGTCACATACCGCCGCGATGTGCACGAGTCACGACCAGGTCGATCAGATTCAGCCCCATCCCCAACCTGGGGAAATCCCCCACTCGCCGCCTCCATGTCGAACCAAAATCGTATGATCTCCAGTCGCTTCCCCCACCCAAAGCCCACCGTGACCCAATGGGCCGAATCCCAGGTAAATGGAACGCCGGTCTCCACTGATGACAACGCACAACCGCTGTGAAGCACGGAGTATGAAGCTGGGCACAAGGAACTGACTCGACTTCATATATGGGGGTATATTTGCTTGTCTGCTGCTCTTTACAACATATATATGGCCAAAATCTATCCAAGATGATAGGAAACCGGTGTGTCCACGGTCGGGCGGGCCAATACCTCACTCAAATGTACTCATATGTGACTTCTGTGGTCACCGTCACCATAATCTGTAGCTGATCCTTGTCCACATTGGCCAGGCTGAGCCAGTGGCCCCTCTCACCTTCCAACACCTCCGAGTTGACGCGGCCACAGCACATAATATACAGAGTTGGCTTCTCGTTCTTCTTGTACACCAAGTCCATCGCCGTAGGCGACACCAGGTCGTCGCGGAGAAAGTGAACGGTGCTGCTGCCGGAGCCGGCTTCCCCATCTGTGTCGATTCGCCAAAGATGACCTGCGGTGTAGCTGCATACGTATGCTGAGCTGCCATCGGGCGTGATCACGAGACCATCTGCGTTCTCGAGATCCGCTGCCAATTCCACCACGTCGCCTACAGGCTTGATATCCTTGCCATCGTCTGTGCGTTCGATGGGGAAGCGATAGAGCTTGCCGGTGCCGGTGTTGGTGAACCAGCCGAATCGCTCGCTGAACCGTAATTTGTTTATGCCAAAGATGCTGGCCTCGCTAGGCGCGGCCAGTGACGGGTCTTCAAAGAGCACGGAGCATTCGGACCTCGCCAAGTCGACGCGCCATATGCGTCCTTGGATCGAGTCGGCAATGGCGACAATGCTATCTGACACGGGCACGATGCCCATGAGAAACCCAGCGTCGGGGATATCCATGATCTTTGTGTATTCTGCCTTGTCGTCGCCCTCATCTGGCGGCAAGGCCATGCGCCAAAGCGCCCAGGAGTGGAACTGGCCCCGCGCGAGGTCAGCAAATCCTGTGACCACAGCGTACTCCTCGCGCTTGGTGCCCTCGAGAGCGCAGAGGTTGAAACACCCGTTGGCGTCGGGAAAGCGCTTTAATAAGCGCGGTCTTACAGTGCCATCGTCATTTTCGAAGTGCGCGGCCGTAGCTATGTCGATGGAGAACATATCGGGTTCTTCAAGGCGCGTGGTGAGGACGTCGCCGTTGGGGCGCACCACCATTCCCTCCGTCCACATGTCCGAGGGGAGCTGGTCGAGTAGAACCGTGTCGCGGAGGTTGGGGTCATGCGCCTGGTCATGGCTGCCCGTGCCTTTGACGACGGCCATGGTAACGGGCAGAGGGGCGTGCGTGTCGTGGTGAGTGCGGTTGGCGATGCTGTCCCACGTCGGTGATGCGGGGGGAGGTTGACAGGCAGTTCGTGTGGCTTATCTGCGCCTACAGAGAGCTTGCGCGATCGCGGTTTCGGTAGTTGAACTGATGGCCGACGTAATGCGGGCGTCGTGCTTGTGGTACAGCACTATGGCTGCCCCCACAGTGGAGAAGAGGTTTGCGTGGGCGCGGGTCTCTGGGCGGAGAGAAATTCGCAAACGTAGATGTCGTCGAGGTCGGGAGGATTTTTACAGAACAGAGTGAAAAGAAAGAAGAACCAGATCTGAGGAGGAGAAGTGAAGAGGAGGCAGCGATTGGAATGGAATGGACAGTGGGTGGTTGTTGGAAGGGAAAAAGCAAGGGGATTGATTGACTGAAGTGGGCTCGAAGGCTGAAGACGGGACATGGACATGGGCCTAATCGTTAGCAGGTGCGACCGGGGACTGGGGAGTCGGGGCAGGCCCGACTGGAGCGATATGGAGGAAGGGAAAGAGGAGGTTGAGGGGCAGCGTAACTTGGATGGATGCAGCGTCTCCTCACCCGGTCCCATCCCTCATCGATGGGCAGGCAGTCTTGTTGGTGAACAGAACTCTCCAGTCGCGCATGGGAGCGATGCCCATCTTTGCAGCTTCGAGTCGCTGAGCCGAGTCCATGCAAGGCTGTCCTCTGATAATACTACCTCAGAGGCTCAATCACCAACAAGCAACACTGACCATTGATTGATAAATAAATACCTTGCCTTACGGAGTGCTTTGTTGGTCGGTCTAGTGTCTCAGACTTTGCATCGGCCCCCGCCAGCGAGCTGCATGCATTCCTGTGCCTCTTTCCTGCTACGTAAGTATGTACAGTACGGATACGTTAAGTGCTTTCGCCTTCACTACCGCACCCTCGCGCAGCATCGCCAAACTCGAAGAACACGGAACATTCGCATCCTCTCGAGCCTCCAGTCAGGTGCTATTAATTACGTGTACATTGCTCGGCAGTGTATCAGCCGCAGTCTCTCTCGCACCGACAATTCTATTGGGAGCCTCAAACATACAGCGGGCACTGTGTATTAATTAATTAGTACGTACTTGTTTGTAGCCCATCATGCAGGGCCATCGACCGTCGAATCTTAGACGCCCCAATCCTCACGAACCCCAGCAGCCCCTCCTACTTCTCAAAGATCAAACATGAGGTACTTTGTTGAAAAAAAAAAATAAAAAAAATAAAATAAAATTTATATATATATATATATTCTGTACTGGGTTCATGTTTGCAAGTTGATCGCTTTCCTTGCGCGACACGCCACATTTTCACTGCTTCTCACAACGCTGCCATGTCGTTCGTGTCTGCCCGCATCAAAGCTGGGCGATCAAATGAGTGGCGGATACGGCTCACGCAAGCCAAGCTCGCGACAAGAGCCGCTCAACGAGATGAGTCGAGCGGCCGCCAACCGCATGCCTTGATCAGCCAGTGGCTTGCATCTGGGAGCCCTTCGCCTTGGCAGCATGAACGAAGTTAACTGGCAGACCGCGGCACGGTCAGCTGGAGGAAGCCGTGATTCTGTCCCCAATCTGGTTCGTTCCCTTGTTCCTGGCCTTGGCATCGAATAGGATCGCAGCCCGCCCGGATGCACCAAGCCCACCAATTGGATCGTGTCAGCTCGTGCCGTCAGAACAAGCCAAACCAAACCAACAGGCCAGGCGAGGGAAGTGCAGTGAACACTGAACAGGGCAGTTTCGCCGCCGCCGATTCGACGAAGATCTTCACCGTAAGCCGAAGACTGGCGGTGCGGCTGGTGCCGAAAGTGCACGGACGGCGGGGATCAACGAGGCTCACATCCGACGCATAAGTTATAATCATCGACGCTCCGTGGCAATTTCCCGATGCTTGACGTGTGGCGGAATTGAAGCTATCGTGGCGTGTTGTTCGGCAGGTGCTCATACAGGGAGTGAGTGGCGACTACATCGCAGTCTTCTCGAAAGAACAGGTGGCCGGAAAACGCGAGGCTCATTCGGGGATCAGAGTTTGATCCTGCATGATAAGATCGCCAGGCAGGCGGACTGATCTCTGGGCTACATCTTGCGATATCCGTGCGATTCGGTCGAGGGGAATCTATCAATTTCTAAGTTGCTGGCACATCGATCAGCATTTGCCGATAGAAATTGTCGTTGACTGTCCCATGCTAATTCATCATAGCCTTCGTCAGGACATTGACAAAGCACGTCTCAGCTCCTTGTTCGTCATCCACTTCGATAGTTTGACGCTGACAAAATCAGTCTTGTCCTGTGCTCCTCATGCAGCTGAACCGCGTGGATCATCATGGCAAAGTAAAATGAACAAGACCATCCTCTGTCCTGCGCGATGAATGTTCTGAGCCATGATCGTTCGTCTTCTTGATCTTTTTTTGAAACTGCATAACTCGAGGGCGACCTACGCAGGACACAGAGCGCAACGTGCGTGCCTCACGACTACACACGATGATTACACCTACGCCATCAAAGCCTGTTCACGACGTCAAGTACGACGTGGAATCCAACGTATCACAAGACTAGTTCACGAGGGCGAGGAACAGCACAAGAAAATAGCATACCAACCATTGGTGGTGTATGCAACTAACATGTATTTGGAGTTGAACTGGTGCTGTATACCAAGAAGAAAAAGAAGATCTACATTGCTGAAGCCAAGGCGCGCCTGTCAAGCAGGACACCTATAAATCAGCGCATGGGCGCAGCTCAAAATCTGTCTTCGGCCACTGATCATGAGCTTGCCAACGTCGAGATTGGCAAGGCCAGATTAGCAACGGTGGTGGTGGTGGTGGTGGCGGCGTCCGTGTCTGAACGCGCGGCTGTGCTTCTTCATATGATGACGGCGGATGCAAAAGTCGGGCTTGTCGACTACGGCTCCGTCGTCCGTGTTGTCCTTGCCATTTCCATTGCCCTGCTCGGGGGCGTCGCCTTGCTCGTTGTCGGGCTCTGCGGCAGGCTCTGCGGTGGGCTCTTTGGCTGGCGCCTCGACAGTGGTCGTAGGGAGGGTTTCCGAAGGCTCGCTGGCGTCAGAGTCGGAGTCAGAACCGCTGTCGCTCTCGGTCCAGGACTCCAGTCCATCGGAATTTTAATTCAAGGGCCTTGTAGGTCATGTGGGGGACACGGTACGAACTATGGATACGTACGACATACGAATTAACCTCCGACGCGGGATGCATTAACCAGGGGTATAAGCTGAACTGCGGCTCGAGAAGACGCATATGGAAACTTAAAGAGCCACTCATCCATTTGATCATTTCATTGTCAGTATTACGAATTGTTGAGTAAGCTCTATCAAAGGCCTGTTCGTCTTGTCGCCTTGCGAAGTCATCAATTCTTTTCAACAGACAGGCACTGATCATGAGAAGTCGCCAAACCACCAATTCAGTAGTAGGATTCCGGGCAGAAACAATGCATTTCTGTACCAGCCAGCTAAAGTCATTTGTTATCACAGATGCAGATAGCACACACGGAGCACCGCAAGAAGCTCAAAAAGGTGGTGTTTTCACAGTTCGTCACACTGGTCATAACTGAACGAGCTGGGCACAACCCTGCAGCACCAACATTTGTACAAAACATGAAGCGAAATGCGGAAAGCTTTGCATCGAGCATGTTTCTCCATCACGAAAAGCGCATTTAAAGAATATTCAGAATGGCATCGTAAGCAGGCTTGGCGTTGAAGCTGCCGTCGAACAAGAGAGGGTTATCTCCCTGACGCCAGGAGTCCTCGGGGGTGTTAGCAAGATTCACAATCCACGTCAAAGACCAGAGACTCACAGCATCACTCACGCCCCAGACGGTAATGGACCTGCACTTTTCAATGTTCAGGCAAGCCTGGACCACAGCCGTGTAATCTTCCGAGGGTGCCTGGGCAATGTCGAGCTCCATGATGGCCACCTCGTCCACGGGCGCCGACGCCAGCTGCTCGAGAGCACCCTGGACAGCCGAGCCCATACCGGGCGAGATGTGCGTCTAGGAGTCGATGCCGTCAATAGGCACACCAGCGTTGACGAGCTGTTCCACCATGGACAACATGCCGTTGACTTTGCCTGCGTAACGGCCGGCCACGGTGGCGATGTGATCGCGCATGACCTGGCGCAGCGTGTCGGCGTCCCGAATGCCCTCGACCCAGACGATCTTCCCACCCTGATCGACAATCCGACTCTCCAACCCAAGCCTCCGGCAGAATGAAGTTCAGCGTCTTGAACGCCCTGGCGCTCCTTGCGCCGGTGACCTCGGTTGTGGCCCAGTGCTCTCTGCCCTCGTCCTTCCGCTGGACATTGTCTGGTCCCTTGGCCCAGCCCCAGAACGGCTGGGCGCCCTACAATGGCCAGCAGCTCGTGTACGGAACGACCGCCAACTGGAATGGCCAGTGGGGCTCCATGAACTTCAGCCCCGTCAGCGATGTCTCCCAGCTAGGCTCGGTGTCCCAGAACGCCATGTCCCAGGGCACCGTCAAGCCCACTCTCTTCTTCTTCCGCCCCAAGAACATCTGGGTCCTGGCGTACCAGTGGGGACCGACCGTTTTCTCCTACAAGACGTCGAAAAACCCCACGAACCCCAACGGGTGGTCCTCTCTTCACCGGCAGGATGTCGGGCTCGGGCACCGGCAGCATCGACCTGACCCTGATCGGTGACGCCAACAACATGTATCTCTTCTTCGCCGGCGACAATGGCTCTACAGGACCAGCATGCCCATTGGCAACTTTCCCGGCAACTTTGGCAGCTCCTCGACCGTCATCATGAGCGACACGACCAACAACCTGTTTGAGGCCGTGCAGGTCTACTCCCTCCAGGGCCAGGGCGGCTGCCTCATGATCGTCGAGGCCATCGGCTCGCAAGGCCGCTACTTCCGCTCCTTCACCGCCAGCAGCCTGTCGGGCCAGTGTACGCCCCTCGCCGCCACCGAGCAGGACCCCTTCGCCGGCAAGGCCAACACGGGCGTCACCTGGACCAACGACATCAGCCACGGCGAGCTGATCAGCACCTCGGCCGACGAGACGTTCCCCGTGGACCCCTGCAGGCTGCAGTTCCTGTACCAGGGTCACGCCCCCAACTCGGGCGGCGACTATGTCCTTCTGCCTTACCGCCCTGGTCTCCTGACCCAGGCTTAGATGAGAGGAACAGTGTGGCTGGTGCGCCCAGGTCTATTGGTAGTGGGCGGTGATTAGCTAGCGATCGAATAATCTATGAGATTGACGCGAATTGGATGAGCAACATGAAATATGTCTGAATCTCAATGTGACTAAGGAGTATGTCGTCCTTCACATTGACCGATCACATGCCCTAAAACAGTGTCTGAATGAGGTAGTGCATTGCGAGCACGTGACTGCGCGACACGCGACACATCCGGCGAGCACGTTGATCCGGCCGCGACACCTTTTTCAGGGGCGTTGGCTGGATCCCCGTCATTCATTGAACCTTTCCATCAAACACGTCTCGGTGGACGTGAACAATGAGTAACCTCGTAGGGATGCGTCGCGTGTCCCGCACATTCATTATTTTCATAGTGGTCACCCTCTCGCTCTTCATCTACATCTCTCTGCCCCGGGCCCAGCTTGATGTGGCGATCCCCACAGCTCAGGGTCCCCAGTCACATGCGCAGGCTCCCGAGCAGGATGGCGAGCAGCCCAACGTCGTGAAGCCACAGGTCGAGAAGACAGGCCCCGAGCTGCGCGTTCCGGAAGCCGAGGATGCGTCTGATGATGCGACCGCGGCGGAGGACTCTGTGACCGAGGAGAAGGAGGCCAAGGTCGGCGCCGAATTGACGCAGGAGCAATATGTCAAGGCGCATGACCCGGAGCATTTCAAGGAGATTGATCATATCGAGGAGCACCTGGAGGATGGCGATGCCGGGGATGGGCTTCACGAGGACCTCGCTGAGAACTCGGGCCAGACCACCACCCAGGGCCAGTCGGAGCCGGGCACCAAGGCCGACTATGTCGCGGAGCACGATGAGGAGGAAGGGGAGCACTCTGATGCCTCTGTCGCCGCACCGATTGAGGGTGCCGCCGAGGAGCATGATCCTGCTCTGGTCGAGGACTATCTGAAGCAGCACGACGGCGAGGAACGGGTGGATGAGGACTTGGAGGTTCTCGCACAGGACGCCACGGAGTCGAGGGCTGACGAGTCGTCTGAGGAGACTGTGGAGGGATCTACCGTCGACAAGCGAGTGAGTGGAGGAGTGCGTGTTAGCCCAGCTGGTACTCATGCTGACACCTGGCAGGCATCCAATTAAGGGACATTCTTGGCGAGCATCGTGAAGATGTACTGCTCGAGGGTGCCTGGTGCTAGCGTTTGCGTCTAGTGAGACTCGGGCTTTCGCTGCCACAAGACGTTTACAACGCACTTGCAGCAATCCGAGCCCGACCAGACTGTCATGTCCGGACGGACGGCAGGTCCCCCCAAAGCCTTCCAGTCGAGAGTGAGGCGCCAAGATGCCCACATCAACCCGTTTGAGAATATACCAAATTGCCTGTGAAGGGGCAAGATCGAAGAGAGAAATCTTGTACATCTACCGGATGAGCCCTTTGAGGCAACATCCTTGACTTGTATGTGATGGCGAGCGCGCAATGATTTGCTTGGATCTTATGCATGAGTCTATCTACACATTGACGGCAAGGGGATATATGGATATACACACAGCGACAGATTGGGGGAAAGAGAAGAAAATATTAGTGCATTGGTCTTTACAGTATTACGCTCGCTGATCCAGAAACCACTCTACAAACTTGGGGATCCCTTGACTGATGTTCGTCGTGGGCTTATACCCCAACAGCCGACTCGCCTTGGATACGTCGGCAAATGTCACAGCCATATCGCCAGCTTGTGCGCCGCGACGATCAATTTTAGCTGTGCGCCCTATGCTCTGCTCGAGCAAGGCGATCAACTGACCCAGCTCAATCGTCTGCGACTCGCCGAGGTTGAATACCTCGTAGTACGAGCCTCGATAGTCCATCGCCGCCCGAACGCCCTGGATGATGTCGTCGATATAGGTATAGTCCCTCCGCGTGCTGCCATCCCCAAAGACGGGGATGGGGTTCCCCTCGGCAATCAACTTTGCGAATTTGTGAATCGCCAGGTCTGGACGCTGTCGAGGGCCGTACACGGTGAAGAAGCGGAGACACACGCAGCGGATCGCGTACAGGTGCGCGTACGTGTGGCAGAGCAGCTCGGCGGCCGCCTTGGACGCAGCGTAGGGGGAAATTGGCTGCGAGGTCTTGCACGCCTCGGAGAAGGGGACCTTGGCGTTGAGGCCGTACACGCTGGAGGACGACCCGAAGACGAAGGTGCCCACGCCAAATTCCCTTGCGCATTCCAGGAGGTTCAGCGTTCCCGTGGTGTTTGTGTCGAGGTAGTCGCCTGGGCGCTCCAGCGAGGGCCGCACGCCGGCTTTGGAGGCGAGGTGGACAATGGTGTCGAACTTGTTCTCCTCAAAGACCGACCGCAGGTCCTCCTTGTGCCGTATGTCGACCTCGTACAATGTGAAGCTTGGGTTGCCATGGTGCGCCGCGAGGTTGGCTCGTTTGATGGCTGGCGAGTAGAAGTCCTCAAAGTTGTCGAGGACTGTGACGTGCCAGCAGCCTTCGCTCAACAGGGCGTCGACTAGATTGGATCCAATGAAGCCCGCGCCGCCGGTGACCAGTATCTCGCCTCCTGCGCGGTGGCCCGCGATCGGGTTGGTCCTGGTTATGACAGTCATGTCGAGTTGGTGCTCGCTCGGGCGCGGAAAGATGGCAGACTGTCACAGAGGGATACCTGCAACTTATAGCCAGCAATTTCCATACCACCACGTCCGTGCGATGGGTCTGAGAAGAACGAGACAATGAGGGCATGATGCTCACCGGCCCAGAAGTCGCCCATCGATCGCCAGACCGCCACGCGCGACATTCGGAAATGCTCTGAGAATCCGAGACCAACTATCGCCTGGGTCGTCCCTTTTCGTAGTGGCCTGGCCGCATTCGAAAGGAAGATTAGGATCCAATTGGACAATTATCAGTCCATCGCCATCAAAATCAATGGTGCGCCCTTAGCGCGAGTGACCACATGCAGGTACGAAGGTCGAGGCTTGGGAAGTTGGGGCGGAAGTCGGAAAAGAAATAAAATCTTGCGCCAAGTGGATCAGTCGGCTCAACGGAAACCCGGTGATAGTAGAGCTGGACTAGTGAGTCTAGTGAGGCGGTCAAAAAGGAGGGATTCTGCAATCACTGTAACTGGAGAGGATGGTGCACAGGATCGCAATGGGATGGATGCGTGGCATTGGCACGTCAGAACCAGCAGATTCAACGTATTTGTATTTTCAAGTCGCACGGACTCTTGTTCAAGACAAAATATACGCAACATGACATCAAAAACTTTGACCAGCCCTCTCTCCAATCACGAAGTCCACGAGAACTCGACCAGAATAGGGTTGTGGTCCGACAAGATATTACCATCTGGCTGAACAAAGACGCTCGACTGGTAGCTCCATTCCGTCGCCTCAAGCGTGACTAAATCGCCAGCGCGGTAACTGAAAGATCCGTCAGCAGCTTTCTCCAATGCACGTTCTTATCGAGTCAGGATTCGGAACTTACAAGACCTTGTCAACAACCTCACAGCTGTTGGAAGCTGCCGGCACCGCACAGGCATCCGCAGGCGAGCCAGCCGTCGGATAGCTCCCACCCTTGATGAGCTCAACCCAGGGATCTGCGAACCCTGCGTCCGTCAAGAGGTCGATGCTGCGCGCGGCATTCGTCCATCGGTCGTTGGTGTCTCCGCCGATGATTACGGGACGTCCGCCCGCGTTGGCGTCAATGTGGCTCAGGATCTGCTCGATACCAGCGCGACGGGCATTAGAATCACCCGTGTCGCTTCTGAAGACAAGTTAGTACGACATTTCGAAGGGCGAGCAACACCACGAACCCAGCATCGGCATGGAGGTTGTACAGATCGACCTCGACGCCAGGAGCAATCTTCATACGCATGTACGAGAAGCCCTTTGGAGTGAGGCAGTCACCCGAGTTGAAGTTGCACCTGTTCCACTTGACCTGGCGGAAATTGTCCCAGTCAAAGTTGGCCACCGTGTTCAGGCCGCTGCCAAAGGGGACACCTCCCGTGGTGGGCGTGCGGAAGGGGTGGTTGTCCGTGGCGTAAATGTACGCGTGGTAGTTGAAGTCCTCCTGCATGTGCACAATGCCATAGGCGCCCCTGGCGAGCTGGGCGCCGATGAGGTTGGAGTTGGTGCCCTTGTCGCCCGGCACGCCGTTGTCGTTGAAGATGGGGGGTAGTCCAGCGACATTGTAGGTCAAGAAGTTGAATGTGCCGGAGGACTGGGCGAACGAGGCCTGGACGAAGAGAGGGAGCAGGACGGCTGCCGTGGACAGAGATGCGAAGAGGGCGACCATGGTTTCTTGGCTCAGGCAATCTGTCTGGGGACTCTGGTCTCCCTCACGATACAAGGACTGACGACAGCGACGACTACCATCTTTTATATGCGATTGAGATGAGGTTGTCATCTGCGTACGCCATGGCGACTCGCCGTATCCCGAAGATACAATTGAGCATGCGTGGTGGGTTAAACGCAGCAATCCATGCGGCAGTGCTGCACATGACCATCAACGTGCGCAACTACTTGGACAACTGCCGAATACGGACATGAAGGCCGTGATATTGCAGTTGAGTATTATACGGAGGGGACTGCCTGCGAGGGCAACGCATGTATGTCGCGGGGCATCTGTGAGGGGTATCGACAGATCAGCAGTTCTTTTATCCAGGGTCAAGGCGCGATCGCTGGTTTGTTGTGCCGAAGTTCCTGACATGTGGCACACAATACCCCTGGCTCCCGCCGCTGGGGTAGCATCCTCATGCCGGCTTTTGCGGTGTTCTTGGCCACCCAACCAACTTGAGCACATGAACCCGTGGGATCTGCCGCCATCGTCCTTTGTAAATGGAGGCTCCGGGACATATAACGTATGCAGGTTCAATCTCCGATGCTATGCCATGCAATGACGCATTATTAACCACTTGTAAGCCGCCTCCAGAAAACGTGCACCATTTGGCGGAAAACACCACGAGCTCGCCTCCCTTTGCACGTTAGATTTCCTGTGTGGATGTTAGATCGTGCTGCAACTCAGAGCCAGTTGCGCCTTTTGCACTTTTGCAAGAGATGATCTCTTATCGCCGGCCAAAAAGAAGAGGCGGTATTGATGGTTCACAACCATGGAAACCTGGTCACCCAAAGGGCAGAGTACAGCAGGAACAGTCTCTGTAGAGGCGTTTGGATATGGCATCCACCCACGTGGCTCGGACTGCATTGTAATCACTATGTAAGTATGTATGTCCATGGAGCATACCCATGCCACGAGTGATATCTCATGAGGCCAAGGGTGATGATATGGCGAATGCAGACCCGACCAGGGTCAAAGGTGCCAGCATATAACAAAGACGTTGGCCGTCAGTTGCATGTTTCTGGCACAGGCACGCGAAAAAAACAGGATACACTCACCATCATGAAGTCCATCACTGCTTTCACAACACTCGTGGGCGTTGCTGCGGCCGAGTTCAACCCTCTGCACCACCTTGGTGCCAACAGTCCTTGGTTTGCCGGTAAGTGACCGCCAGATCAGCCTTCAGAGACGATCCAAAACTGAGAAGAAAAGGTCCCAACGTCTTTGGTATCTCCAGCGAGGCCCCAGAGGGCTGCAAGGTTGACCAGGCTGTGTACATCACGCGCCATGGGAGCCGTTACCCCGATCCTGGTGCCTACAATGGCTGGGTTGAACTGCACAAGAAGGTAAGCGTTCCGATGATCATCATGTGCACACAGCACTGAACAAAGTAGTTTCAAGCGCACGAGTTCACAGCTTCGGGGTCGTTGGAATTCCTGCCGAACTGGGAGCCAGTCCTGGAGGACCCGGCGCAACAGATAGCGCAGGTGTCGCCGGGAGGCTATGACGAGTTGTGAGTCGTATGGAACATGCATTCCTCTGGCCTGCATGCTAACAGAGTAGATACCACTTTGGCGTCGAGCTGAGAACACGCTACCCAGGCTGGTACAAGTACGGCTCGCCCTTCCATGTCTGGGCCAATGACTACCAGAGGACCGTCGACTCGGCCAGACTCTTTGCTCGTGGCTATGGAGGGCCCAACGCAACCGCACTGGGCACTGTCAAGCCCATCGCGGCCAAGGACCCGTCCGCTGTGGGCAACTCACTGGCGACCTCTGACTCCTGTCCCACGTACAACGACCGCTCTGGTGCCGGGTACACAAACGTCTGGGACCAGATCTACCTGCCCCCCATCGCGGAGCGCCTCAACAAGCTGGTTGAAGGCGACCTGACTCTCACTGCGAACGATGTGAGCAACTTCCCCTACCTCTGCGGATTCGAGTCGCAGATCATGCGCCAGACCAGCCCCTTTTGTGGTGTATTCACCGAGCAGGAGATTATGCAGTACGAATACCGCCAGGATCTCCGCTACTACTATGGCACCGGTCCTGGAAGCTACCAAAACTCATCCGTGATGCTGCCGGTGCTCCAGGGTGTCATTGACATTCTCCAATCTGGTCCCGAGACACCTCTCCAAGGCGCCGACAATGGCGAGGACGTCGTGGGCAGGCTGACGGTCGCCTTCACCCACGACAACCAGATCAATCAACTGGCGTCTAGCCTCGGCGTCTTTGACCACCAGGCTCCTCTCTCTGCGGATGCGATGGACGAGGACCGCATCTACGTGTCCAGCCGCAACAACCCCATGCGCGGCACCGTTGCGTTTGAGCGCCTCAACTGCGACGGCACGCTGTACCTGCGTCTGCTGCTCAACGATGCCGTGTACCCGGTCGCTGGCTGTGCGTGTGGCCCTGGTCGCTCATGCCCATTGGACAAGTACAACGATAAGGTGCTGGCGGCCAAGTGGGAGGAGGCGGGTGCGTTTGAGGACTTCTGCAACCTGCCAGACGGGGCGGCGACAACGTCCAAGACGGGTGGTGTGACGTTCTTCACCGACATGACTCTAGGTGCCATTCGTGATGTTGAGCCTTGATCGGAGGAGGGCGAAAAGAGTAAGTGGATTGGTGGGTTTGGGAAGAAAAGAATGCATCGTCGACGCACGCGAATCAAACGGTCCATTCAAGACACGGGTCTTCCCTGTGACCGGATGCAGTTAGCCATCACTTGAAAAGTCCTCCATCAGGATTTACCCTGTTTCTTTTGGCCTTTCCTATTCTCTCAACGTTTGATTGGTAAGATTGACGCCAGGGAGCGGATCCCTCGATGGCTTCGTCTCTAATTCAGGGTCCCGCCTCTAATCAGTAGAACGGGGTCTGATTCAGGGACCAGATCTCAAGCCTCAGGGCCTGGAACACCTCGATCACTGTGCCTGTTTTCGTTGTTCCCTGACCGCCGCTTGTAATCTGTAGTTGCCGCGGCATTTCCTTTACCTTTTCTTTTCCTCATTTCCTGTCCTCTACACAATCATCACCTCGCGCTAATATGAAGACCCAACAGGTTGCGGTGCCTCCTAGGCTCACAAAGGGTCTCAGACCTGTACTACCATCAGCCAACCGACAAGACTCGGACTTTTTCGTCCATCCGACCTTAATCCCAGACAACGATGCGCACAAGGGCAGACTGCTGCGCGCTTCAGCATCGATAGAGGCGGGCACGATCCTTCTCAGAGACACACCATACGCCACTGTACCGATACCCGTATCAGACAACAGCAGACAGTCGTTACTATGCAGTAATTTATCGTGCTCACAACGCTCAATTCTCAACTCATCGACAGTGAAATGCGCCCACAACTGCGACAGTGATGTGATCTGGTGCTCATCAAAATGCCACACTGGCGACTTGAAGCGACACAACTATGAATGCCGATGGCTCAAGCACCAAGGCCAGAAATGCCGTCGAGACGAGTCCAACTACAACTTTATCACTCTATGGCACGTCGTTCGACTGCTGGCGGGCTGGAACCTCGAGCTCCAGCCGGGCGTGGCAGCTAGTCGCCGCCCTCGAAACGACCGATTTGCCTGGGGCTGGGAAGCCGTCCTGCAATGCTGCCACTATCTCGAGTCTTGGCCCGAGGAGCAGCTGATGCATTGGAAACGACTGGCGGAGACCTACTTGATGGATAAAGAGTGCTTGCCGAGTGCCCTCAATCTCAGCGAAATGGTTGCGCTGATCTGCAAAGAAGAGACGAATACCTTTGGGCTGTATCCAACTGCGACAGGACCGCTGAGCGCATCCGGGCAGCGTTTGTCAAGAGGCGAATCCTACGGGCTCAGTCTCTATCCGAGGGCTGCCATGTTCAACCACTCGTGTGAGCCAAGTGTAGGTACTACCGCTGTCGGGAGCAGGCATGGCGTCGTGGGCTAACCGAGAACACAGGTGGCGCATGCTCCGGACACGCATGGGTGCATGGTATATACAGCGGCGCGAGACATTGGCAAGGGCGAGGAGCTCACCATCACGTACTTTGACCTCGCCGCGCGTAACACTGTGGCGAGTAGACAGGAGCATGTGCGAGAGCAGTTTCGCTTCAAGTGCACGTGTGACAGGTGTGTCGAGGAAGAGGCCGCTGATAATCTAGCGGAGCTTGATGCGCTGCCCCTCGGTGGGATCGCGTGGTCATAGCACGTCAATGAGATTCTGCCGCTGGCGGTCTCGGCCTGGTGATCCTCGCGGTCGAGGGAGAATGGTGTGAGAAAGGAAAGGCGGTGCAGGAGTAGCTGCTGACACAGGAGACAAAAACTTCAGACTCCGCTGAACCAAATGCTAGACTCCGCCCGATCAAGGGGGAAATGATTGAATCGGAGCGGACTTTGGTGTGCCTCAGGGATATCTCTTCCACAAGCATTGACTAAGCCGTCGGAGTTTTCTGGATGATTATAAAAGAAAATGGGCAGTCTCGTCAATAAATTTCGCTGCTTCGCCAGACCAGTAGGCCGTGATCAAGGCTGTCGACGAACATGACTGAAGAAAAGGATCCAAGGGCGCCGTCCCCGACGGTCATTCGGCCGCTTGGGCACTTGTATGTGTTCACTATTGCAGTACCCTCATGAAAAATGGTCCCATGTACTAACCTCGTGGAAGCGAGCGGTACCTGGAAGCTGACTACTACTGGGGCTATCTTCGTGGCAGCAGCTACTCGTGTCGCTACAAACTGCCCTCGGAACTAGAAGGCCATACTAGATATGCCGATATCCAAGAGCGCTTCCTCCGGGCCGTTGCTCTCACAGTACTGGACCACCCAATGCTGCAGGCTGTCGTGTTACATGGCGATACAAAATCGCCCAGCTTCGCGAGGCGGGACTCGCTTAACCTCGACGAATTGGTCACATGGCACAGAATCCCCGAATGCAGTAACTACGCCATGGCCACGGACAAGATTGTCAACGAGCGAGTGGACTTGATCTTTGACAGGCCGGACGCCTTGCCCGGATGGAGGCTGGTGGTGACGAGCGCTGAGCAGTCACCCTTTCTAGACGCGCACCTTGCCGTCCGGCATACTAGTTTCGACGGTGAGAGCCGCAAGGTCTTCCACAGGACATTGCTAGATCATCTCAACCATTCTCTCAAGGACGACCAGCTCTCGCCCCTTTTCTCCAATGGACACACGCTGGTCTACCCTACCGATGGCCCTGCATTCCCGCCGCCCATGGAAGAATTTGGAGATTTTAAGATCGACCTGGGGTATGTCCTCTCGACAGCATGGAAAGAATTGAAACCAGCGTGTATGCAAAAGCCGACAGCGACACAGACGTCATGGGGGCCGTTCAAACCGAACGACTACGGCACGGAACGCAAGATCGTCCGCGTAGACGCAGTCAACAGTCGGAAGATTGTCGACGTGTGCCGATCTCACAAGACCACCATCACGGGACTCCTCCACGGCATCATATTTGCGTCGCTGCTGTGGGAGTGCAAGTCTGTCGTAGAGTCGCCGTCGTTTGTTGCCTCCAGTGCTGTGAATCTCCGAAGGTTCATGCCAAACAAACCACGGACAATGCCGGACGTGGAGATGGATCCACGCAAGACCATTGTCAACATGCTCTCCACGGTGGACCACGAATGGGATGAAGTGGCTGTGATGAAGCTGTTGCAGCTGTCGAGACCCCTGGACGAGATCGCGGAGGATTGCCGACATTATGAGGATATCGTATGGGCGGTGGCCAAGAGCGCACGCGGTGATATTGAGAAAAAACTCGACGCAGGCCTCGAAAACGATGTCATGAAGCTCATGTGGCTCGCGCCCGACTGGCGGTCGGAGAAGAAGCGGTCCTGCAAGAAGGCAAGAGTCGAGTCCTGGTGCGTGACCAATCTGGGTGTGTTTGACGGAAAGAGGGCGGCCACGGAATCCAGCGGCAAGGCGAATGACAGCTGGGAGATTGATCACGCCGTCTTCACGGCCGTCGTCGACGCGGCGAGGTCTCTGTTCATGGTCAGCGCCGCGAGCGTCAAGGACGGGGATTTGTGCATTGGGGTCGCTTGGCAGAGTGGTTTGGGTGAATACATTGACAAGGTGGGAGACCGCCTGACCAGGGATATGCACTCTTGGACAAATCATCTCGCAACGGGTGCTTGGGAGGATAACTGGGAACAGCGAGCATTTGCTTGAAAGCGAGAAAGGCACGACTCTGAGGCGGACTGAAGTCGACTATATACTTGATGTAATCAGGGTGGACGGTGATCCCAAAAGGGGCATGCGCACAGCGATGGGCATGGATGTGATTCTCATCTCAGTACAGATCAAAGTTGTGCCTGATGATATGGGTTTCGAAGACTGCTAGACTGCTATTGTTCGGCAGAGTCATTTCCCTATCGGCCCTCGTTCCACCTCGGATGAGATTGCATTTCCACAGCTTCTTCTTCGTCGTCCAGCGATACCCGCGTCGGTGTGTCTTTAGCCGTCTCGTGGGCGTGCAGCTCGACATTGACGAATATTGCGTACAGTCCGAGATCATACATGATCCGTAACATACCGCCGACCACGAAAGCGATCCAGAACTTGTTGCTTCCGGCTAGCATGCCGGTCAAAGAGGGCCCAACCGCCATCGCCAGAGTCCGCAACGTACTTGTGATTCCCATGACGGCTGTCCGCTCCTCTGGCTTGACGGCGGCAGCAATGAAGGCTGACCGTGGCGCTTGGTCCACTGGATTCAAACCCATGCGGACAATCAGAAGGATGACTGTGATGGCCAGACTCGACGGGGCAGGGAACAGCGCGACCGCAATGGAGGATGGCAGATGTGTGAAAACCATGGTGTTCAGCAGACCCAGATGGTGCGCCAATGGACCTGCAAACAGGGTTCCAACTGTTCCAAGAATCATACCTGCCGAGACAATGTTGCCAAGGGTCGTCTTGGGGATCTCAAACTTGCGATCCAGGTAGTAGTTGGTCAGGGTCTGGTTGCACATGCCGTCCGCCAGGGTGTCAATGCAGAGCAGAAACCACAGTTTGTACATAGTGTTGCGCGTAGGTACCGAAATCTGAGCAAACTTGGACGTCCAGTTCGACGACGACGGTGGTTGTTGCGCGACAGGTGTCCGGCGCGTGTTCATTGTTGTGTCTAGACCAACCCTTTCGTCGTCCGAGTCCGAGTCCTCGAGCAAGCCCTGTGCTAGCTCATCCACATGTTCGGGTACCAGGTCTTGCCTCTCCGTCTCACACTTGCTGCTCATGAGAAACGCCAGCACCATGTTCATGAACCCAGTGATGACGTAGATGCCAAAGGTGGCATGGTAGATCTGCACCATACCTTTGCTCTTCAAGGCTTCGACAAATTGCCCCGCTGTCTGCGTACCGGCTGCAGAACCGAGCGCTGAGCCCGTAATGTACCACGACAGAACGTACGGCCTCGTCTGGGGCGTGGTAATATGCGACAGCATCGACTCCTCGATCGCACGAAAGGGGCCAAAGTCACTACCGCTAGCGCTGACGACGCCGACAACAGCCGCGATGAGGAGGACCCAGAAGTTCTCAAAGTACATAAAGACAAGACCCGAAACGGCCATGAGGATGCCGCCCGCGAGGAGCACCCGCCGACGGCCTATGCTGTCCGCCATGAGCGCAATAAGCGTCCCGAGGACAACATCGCCCAGAAGCGTCAGCGTCAGAAAGAGGCCGATGCGGAAATCAGAGAATCCGAGTTCGCTGAAGAAGAGGGCTATTGTAAGCGACACGGCGCCAAAGGCGAACATGCGGATCGTCCGCGACAGGATGAGGAGCCAGGCATCGCGACCGGTGGTGTAGACAGCGGCAATACCCGACTCTTGGTAGATCCAGGCAAGTGACTTGGGGACGGCCATGGTTAGAGCATAGTGATGATAAAGCAGAAAGAGAAGAAATAAGGACAGGGAACTCCCTATATCAGCGCTTCGGCTGATAGCGAACGCTCCGAAAGGCGGAGGTGCCGCGCGTGGGCGAGATGCAGAGTGCCAAGTGGCCCGTGTCCGGGGTAGGTGGTCGGATATATCGGTGCGAGCTCGGCGCTGCGAGACCCGGGCTGGGCCGCAGACCGAGTTGAGGGATTCGCATATGGTGATTCGATGTCAGGTGAGTTTCGATGAATATCGAGTTCTTGCAAGCCCTTGACAGATTTATGTGGTAGTGCTATAGGGTAGTTCATTAGACGATACTTAGTTAACTAGTTAAGTTGTCCGGCACTCGCCACTTATCGAAATGCGGCACTAGATATCTTTCGATGAATGGATTGGAATAAAAAGACAAGACTATGAAACAGGAGAATATATGTATAGTTCTCGAATCTCGCTAGTCATTCTATCGTCGGGGAAATCAAGGATCCAGCAATTTGAACCATTTCGAAACGTCAATATTTGCGTGGCCGAGAGTGTGGTGGTGGACTCGTGGAAAATTTGATAAGAAAGCGTGTAGGGACTCCGCTGGTTGAACTAGGTCAACAACTCCGAAGAAAAACTATCAAGATCCTTTGGAAAATTGAATTTGCTATACATTCGTGATACATATGTGTCGACAGTGCGGTCGTTGATGCGCTGACATACTCATGCCCGCCCTGACCAGCCTAGGCCCTTTCTTAGACGCCACATGACGGAAACTTGTCCCCTGCTTCAAGTGCAGTATCCCAAGTTCTTCAAGTAGCCAATAAGCTGGCGCATCTCCTTGACCACGGGAACCGGCCGTGAGCTGCCGAACAAGAAAATGATCTCGGGCTCTGGCGCGCGGCGATCGTACCAGACAATCTGCATGTTCGCCGCGAAACCACCGTTCATGTCGGCCACGACATCGTTCCCGATCATGACGCATTTCAACGGATTGACGACCCCCATTCTCTTCAGCGCACATTTGAATATCTCCTCATTGGGCTTCGAATGCCCCGCCGCCTCTGAAGAGACGAGCTCCTCGAACAAGTGAGAGACGCCAATCGCCTTCGCCTTTTCGGCTTGCGTCTCCTGCACTCCGTTTGTGATCAGAGCAAGCCGAAAGCCCTTGTTCTTCAGCTGTTCGAGCGTCTGAATCGTGGTGTATGTGGCTTGTCGGCTGGCCTTGTACGCTGCGTCGTAGATTTCCAGCAGCGTCTTCAGCTCTTCGTTGCTCGGAGCTGGGACCTCAAGTTTGGTGAACACTTGACGTAGACGCTCCGACCAGGCGTCACTGCGTTTGGCTCCTCTCCCAAGATGAGGCTTGAACCCCATGTCCACGTTCTTTCGGTAGACGTACTCGAGCCTTTCGATCCCAAACTCGGCCAGGCTAGGCTGGGTGGCCTTGACGGCCTCCAGACCGGCCCGTATCGAGCGGGACCGATCGAAGAGAGTGTCGTCCAGGTCGAAGAAGAGTACCGTAGATGATGGATTCATATTGTCGACGAGTGCCAAAGTGTGTCGTTGTAATAGATTTTTGGACTATGAAATATCGGGAAATGAAAGATTTGGAATGGATTGTGGAATTGGGCTGCGTCTACTGGCCTTAACAAACATTGAGCACTGAACTCTAATGATTTTGGACTTTACTGAAGGTTTGTGCGTGACGCTGTTGTTTTGACTTTGATCACTTTGACATTTCGTCCTGAGGCTAGTCGGGACGCGAGGGCTTAATTAACCTTAGCCAATGCCAAGTATAACTCTAGATCAGACGCCATAGTAATAAGAGTTCCGCATCGGTTTAAAATATATCCTCTGGCCCGGGAGAGCCGCTGCTTATTCCAAACGCCCCAATAGTTAAGAGCACATCCATGTGCTCACCTGCCCTTGCTCTCGACGAACCCGCCTCTTGGTTAGCGTCTACTACCAAATCCAACAAGACACATGTCCGGTCACGGCTGACTACCTTGCCGTTTATCTTGCCTATTCGTTGCATTTGATTACAGCTCAATAGGGTCATTAATTCTAATCACTGTCAATCTGTGTATGTATTCACACTACGCTAACTGCAAGTCAAACTCCTTCACCAAGACACTACCGCCCAGCTGCTGTTTCGCAAAGTTGAACACGCCATAACGGAAGGCCATGAAGAACTGCCAGCGATTGTGCACCGGGAACACGGGACCCAGCTGGGTGAAACTCTGACCATCCGTGCTCCACTCGAAAATGGCGCTGTTGGTAGAGCTGCGTCCGAACGTGGGCGTAACATCAGCAGTGACGCGAAGCCAGATGTCACTATCGCCCGACGCGATATCCCGTAAGCCCTGGGTCTCGGTGGCGACAATGTTGCCCTCCGCTGTCGTCTGCCAGCTACCGTTTTGCTCCTCAAGGATCAAGTTGTTGACAAAGACGAGGGACACTGAGCCGCAGCTGCCCTTGGACACACCAATGTAAGCAGACTCATCCCTGATGAGGACCGCGCCTGCAACATCTCCAGAGACCATGTCACCAACGTTGAGTCGCCAGGTGGCCGAGCTCTTGGGACCAATGGTCCGGTGGGTGAGAGTGTTGCGTGCCTGGTAGAAGTTATTCGTGACGGAAGCCGTGTTGAGCGTGAGACCATCCGATCCAGTGGACCAGGCCGAGTTGTCAGGGTTGTGATTCCATTCAAACTCAACATTCATTCCGTTTTGGAAGTCTTCGGTAAATGGTCCTGCTGGGTTTACGGATTTGTCGGTCTGAATATCGGGCATTGGGTATTCACGCCCCCAACCACCATTGCTGTCCGTGACGAGGTATGGCCAGCCGTCCTCCCATCTTATGGGTGCAAGGACGGGCACACGTCCAGCTGGGTAGGCATCCAGGAAGCCCATGTAGTACCAATCACCATTGGGTGTGTCGACAATGCCGCCCTGGTGGGGTACACCGGAGTACGGAATCGGCGCGGCGATGCTCTGGAGGATCGTGTGCTGCGTGTATGGGCCCCAAGGGTTGTCGGCGCGCAGAACGTGCTGCTCGTCGGCCGGATGAGTGAGCCATATGTAGTACCGGCCATCGATGTGGTAGAAGCGCGCGCCTTCGAGGTAAAAGGATAAATCCTCCCAGACTGTTTGGTCTCTGACGACACTCAGGCCGTCGTCGGACAGCTGGGCAACGCCAATGGTGTAAGCACCGTAGGCGAGATACATGGTGTCATTGTCATCAACTAGGACACCCAAGTCGTAGTAGCATTTGTCCAGAGAGCCTGCCAGAGTCCACTCGCCAGCTGGGTCGGTGGCGGTGTACACGTAGGTCTTGCTGGTGCCGCTCATACAGCCATACCAGTAAAAGAGGCCATTGCTCTTCCTATACTGCAGGCCACTGGCCCAGATACCCCTCACGTAAGCAGACTGATCGCCAGGGAGGTTGTATGCTTCGCCAAAGTCAAGACGAGGGACGGAGTGGCCAATGAACTCCCAGTCGACGAGGTTGTACGACTTGAGAACAGGTGCGCCAGGTGAGTAGTGCATGGTCGACGCGGAGTAGTAGAAGGTGTCTTCCACGCGGATAACGTCAAGGTCCGCTAGATCTTGGTAGATGACCGGGTTCGTGAACTGGCCAACGGCCACAGCCGCCAGGCTGAGGATGTTGAGCAGCTTCATGATGGAATGGATGAGATTGGTGAGGTAGGATGTCTCAGAACATGTCCATTTCTTCGTGTGATCGTGTCTTTACTTATACTCTTGTTATGAATGAATCCATACTCTTGCCAGCAGTCGGGAATTGATCTTCATGCATATGCACAGCACTGCCGAGCGAATGAGCGACTCCCCCATGGGGTACATGGCGGGGTTGTCATATTCCCGCGCCAATGTCAGAAGGGGGCCTTCCACAGCTTAGGCAACGGAAGATATTCCCCCTTTTCTTCCAAGCGGCACTTGCTGTCATCGCCGGGTAATTTGGGTGACTGAACAGCCTAGTTCGTCACGGCTGTCTGTGCTTGGATCAGAAACGTGGACGAAGGTCAAGTCCGGCACTCAAGAATTTTGTCAAATCCAGGTGACTAACATGGATTCACGGGAGCACCCACACTGCATGGCAGCGTAGTAGCAGGAAGCCAGATGGAGGGGCAGCCTATTGATGATCCGTGAAGGCAGCTAGGCGATGATGTAGCCCGCGGTCCAGAACGTACTGAGATAATTGAGCTACTTGCCCGGCATGTATGAATCCTCTTCCAAGTCTAAGACGTAGGCATTGTTCACATTTGTCTGGTCGTGATATTTGACAAGGTAGACGATAAAGCAGTAGGCCAAGATCCAACAATGCATCCCGGCCACGAACCTGCGATCCTCTGGAATCTTCTCTGGAGAATCCGATGGAAGTGAGGATGCGCACGCTCAGCGGGTTTCTGCAGCGGAAGGAAGCGGTGGTTGCGACCTCTTTCGCGAGAGCAAGCATGAAGGCATGATGCCATGACGAATAGCGCCTTGAGCAACGTCAACAATATCCTTTTGGCGGAGACCCGTAAGGTGGAGAAGAAACGCGGCTAACCCCACACGCCTGGGAGACATATGATATAAATACCCGAGTTGCGGGACATGTTGTCCGTGCTCGGGCTCCATCATGAACAAAGTGGCTGTCGGAGTTTCGGAGCACGTCAGGCATATATGAACTGAGCATTGTGGGCGTTTGTGTGTTTTGATGTGCTCAGTCTCATGACGGTGCGAATCCATGGCTGAGCAACATATGTTGACGTCCTTTGACTACATTTCATAGACTTTTTGGTGAAGAACATGCTCTGTTGAGTATCGCCTTCCAAACCTCCACTTGCATGCACACGCGACTCATGCCCTGATCTCCGCGGAGCAAATCGCGAGTCATTCGCATCTCCAGCGTGGAACAAGCTGTCCATAAATTCGGGAACCCATTGCGAAGCAACATCTCTTCGATTTGGAACTTTGTCATATCTCATTGATCTCAAGATGACATCAACACGCCGTGCATGGGTCGTTGACACCCAAACTGAGGACCTCTCCGGCCTTGTCTTGAAGGATCTCCCGCTGCCTGAGAGCATTGGCCAAAACGAGGTGCTTGTCGAGATCAAGGCTGCGTCAATCAACTACCGCGATGTGGTTATGGTCAAGGTAAGTCAGAACTGTGCTTCTCTTCTTTCAAAGACTAATATGCCCAAGGGATCCTTGAACATACCAACTGCGCCCAGTGTAATTCCCGGCTCTGATGGAGCAGGTGTCGTCTTGCAGCTTGGCTCGTCCGTCAACGGACTGACCCAAGGCGACACTGTAGTGACGCATCTCGTCCCTGAAAATTTCCCATCTGAGGAGCTGTACGCCTTGGACGACGATACTCTGCCGCTCATGGCACACATCACGGCTGGACTGGGCGGCGCGCTGAACGGAACCTTGACAACCCACGCTATCCTTCCTGCGTCGTGCCTCGTCAAGTTTGACAACCGCGCTCTGTCATTCAAGGAGGCGGCCACATTGTCATGTTCGGGCATCACGGCTTGGAACGCTCTGATGGGCCTGCCAGGACGTCAGGTGAAGAAGGATGATTGGGTCCTCGTCCAGGGGAGCGGAGGTGTCAGCGTGGCAGCTCTGCAATTCGCGGTCGCAGTGGGTGCCAATGTCGTCGCGACTACAGGAGGCACCGGAGAGAAGGAGGAGAGACTGCGACAGCTGGGCGCGAAACATGTCATCAACTACCGAGCGACCCCTGAATGGGGCGCGGAGGCGCGAAAGCTGACGCCCGGTGGTCGAGGTTTCGATGTTATTGTCGATGTCGGCGGCCATTCGACTCTGTCGCAGACGATGAAGGCGAACAAAGTTGATGGGCTGGTTGTGTTGGCGGGCATGCTCGGCCAGAGTGATGACCCGGTGCCTTTGATGAGCATCCTGCTGAACCCGTGTACCACAAGAGGTATCATCTTGGGAACACGCAACATGATGAGGGACATGGTTGAATTTGTGGGCGAGAAGCAGATCAAGATGGCCACTGACGCTCAATCACTCACGTTGAACGGTCTAAAGGACGCATTGGCGAGGATGGAAGCGCACAAACACTTTGCCAAGATTATTGTACAAGTCGGTTGAAACACCGAGGACAGTTGATTAGCGTATATACACCACCGCGCATAGTCAAACCAATGATAACGCCTGGCATGCTCGCTCGCTATGTACCGTCCCTATCATGCACCGACACTGAAACCGAAAGCACCATCGAAGACGTCCAGTGCGTGGACATCTCGCTCGCCGCCCCTCAGTGCCTTCAGAACATCGGTTGAGGGGACCTTGTTCGCTGGGTAGAATAAGAGCAAATTCTCCATGTCCTCCTCTGTCAAATCGCACATCTCCTCCCACTTGTACGCATCGCTGACCTTTGACATCCAGCCCATCCGCTTGGGGCTGTCTTCCGCATCCGGTGCAATCTTTCGGAGTTTCATCCTCAGCTGGCCAATCTGCTCAATCGCATTCCCCGCATTCCGGGGCAGCTGCTTCGCGATGAACTTTCGAATGGCGGCGGCGACCCTTGGGCCCTTCCCGTTCGTGCTGACCATGATCTGCAAGGGTCCGTCGCGGTGGACGCTGCCAAAGTAAAAGTCGCATTCGGGTGGCACGTCGGCGATGTTGGCTGGAATCTTTCTCTCCTTGCACAGCTTCCAGATGACCGTCGAGGCAGCCGGGTCGTCCACCGCTACGAGGACCATCTCGGCGCCATCGAGATCGGAGGGTTCGAAGAGGCGATCGACATGCGTGACTTGGTTCTGGGCGACGCGATGGGCCACCTCATCGTTGAGGCCGCTTGCAGGGCACACGACGTGTACAACGGCATCGGCGTCGAGGCAGTTGAGGATGCGCCCGGCAGCGACCTATGCATTTAACATCAGTGGTCTGCTCCAGCAAGACGGATGGCGAGAAGCTGGACTGGACGTACCTCACCGCCACCAACGACAAGAACCTTCTTGCCCTTGATCTGCCATGCGAGGATCAAGCTTCCTCCTGGCTGCACCTGTGGAAAGTTCTTGGCCATGTTTGTTGTGGTCCAAAGGTAAAGAGGATGGCACGATTGAGCGACAATCTTTTTGGGCTTCAGGGTCCATGAGCCTGACACTGTTGCGATAAGCGATAAGACGAAAACGTCACCGATTGAGCGAAGGGCGGTACTTGGTCGACCGCCCACACTGCTCGGCACACCAAGTACCCCTCGTCTGCACTGCCGCCTGCCGCCTGCCTCCAGCGTCCAGAACCAACATCGGATTCCTGGACTCCTCACCTTGTCCATATCCACAGGCTGTCCCACTGCCAGCCACACCGTCCTTTCCTCAGGCTAGGACGACTGAGGCTCCCCCTCAACACCTCAGATGCAACCCTCGTAGGGAAGACGACGCAATGTCCGGTCGCACGCTCGGCGGTGGGCGCATCCTGGGCAGCGGCAAGGGCCTCGCACCACCCACCCCTCCCGCCAGCAATGGGATCCCTCATCCTCAGCGCTCCGTCAGTCCCTTTGCTCCGAGGTCCGAAAGCACCGTCTCGATCGGCTCGGTGTCCATGTCCCCGCCTGCGACAGGGAGCTCGCCCGATGCTTTCTTTTCGCAGCAGGACCTCGGATCCAGCATCAGCGTTGGCGCTACATCCAAAGGAGCAGCAGCCGACAGCTCGGCGCTGGTGTGCCCGATATGCAACGAAGAGATGATGACACTGCTACAATTAAACCGACACATCGACGACAACCATCAGGAGCTACCAGAGGAGGAACAAGACGAAGTAAAGACTTGGTTCGACAAACAGGTCTCGAAAGCGAAGCGATTCCAGCCTTTGTCCTTGATCAACCAGAAGCTGCGCGGCCTCGAGGTCTTTGAGTCAAACGAGATCTCACCAGCACCTGTACCGCATCATGGGCCGGTCGCAGCTGGGAAGCTACCTCTCGAAGGAGCGGTTGACCCAGACGAACTCATCACGCGGAAACATTGGCAGCGCACAACGATGGACGATCACTGTACGGACCCGGCATGCGGACGAAATCTTGGTCCCATCACCGGCAGTATCAATTGTCGGCATTGTGGACTGCTCTTCTGCGAGGAACATACCATGTATCAGATGAAGCTCAGTCGGAGCGCGAAGCATGAGCCTGTTCGAGGATACTGGGCGCGGGTTTGCGAGACGTGTTACAAATCAAGAGAAGGATATAATGACCATAATGGCCTGGTGGTGGACCACACGAGCGCTTTCGCCGCCATTCGAAGGGAACGGGTGGAGCGGCACACATTGGAAGTTTCCAGGCTGGAAAAGAGACTGACCAAGCTGACACAAATACTGGCCAACCCACCAGAGCGCCTGGCATCCAATGGATCGATACTCTCGCCAGTCACCAATCTGGCTGGCCAGAAAAATACAAGGAAACTGCTCGAGCAGTCGGTTGTCACCTGGGAAGACGACAGCACGGTCCCGAAATGCCCGTGGTGTCAGCAAGAATTCGGCTCGTGGACTTTTAGAAGGCACCATTGTCGGATTTGCGGTCGTGTGGTGTGCGCGGATCCGCAGACGGCATGTTCATCAGAGGTTGGACTGAGCGTGGCAGCTGGTGGGAAGAACGGCTCGACGGAGAAGTCGGAATCGACGGTCGGTATAGACGTGAGAATGTGTCGCGATTGCAAGCACACAATCTTCTCGTCGCGCGAGTTTGCGGTGTCGTTAGCACATAAACCCCCCGACCAACGTGCGTACGAGACGCTTCGCCAATTCGAACGGGGCATCCGATCACTACTGCCCACCTTTCACCGCACTCTGCTGGCATTACAGCCTCAAACCACGAGCTCGGGTGAAGTGGACCTCTCGAAGCCGCCGCCGACTCATGCCCAGATCCAAGAAGCTGCCAAAATACGGAAACGCTTGGTCGATAGCTTTAGTAAATACGGCTTGGCGGCGAAACGGATGCGTGATCTCGAGGGCGGACCGCAGCAGAAGAAGCTGCAAATGGGCGTGTATACATACGCGAGCTCCTTTCTGCACGTCAACATGTTACCTCTGAAGTCGCTGCCTTCACTCCTCCGCTCGTCGTCCAGGACATCGCAGCCAGCAAGGCTCATGTCCCCGAGCGGCAATGGCCCATCCGGTCTGCGGCATTCACAGGTCGCCACACCGTCCGACCTGCAGTCCGACGTGTCAGAAGACCAAGCCAGCACCATCGTGTCCACTCTGGAGTCGGAGGAGAAGACGCTCAGGGAGCGGCTCGTCGTGCTGGAGGAGCAAAAATTCATGGTCGAGGAGATGCTGCGCGGTGCAACGAAGGGTCGGCGATTCGAGGAGATCAGCGCATTGACGCGGAACCAAGAGGAGCTGGACGCTGAGATTAGCGACGTCCGAGGCAAAGTGGGCGAGTTGGAAGACCGCTTTGCAGGTGTCTACACGGATGCCGGCTGAATTTCGAGTGACGAGGGGGAGTTCCCACGCATTGGCCCGGCGTTCTGGTGGGGTTTGTCTAGCGGGCATACTGGCAGTCTATTAGCAATGAGAATTTGAAACCGGTCAATATATCTGATTACTCCAGAGTGACCTATCCATTTCGTGCGAAAGCAGAGATGCCTATGCAACAGAATGCCTATCCATACCAGGGCCGTGATAACGCCGTATGCAACTCAAAAGGTATATATCCCCCGAAACCATAAAAGAGAAAAGAAAAGAAAGAAAAGAAGAGCAAAGGGCAACATCACTAGTGCACCACTCCCTCCACACCTCCCAGGAACCGTCTCACGCGTCCCATGTCCAGGCCGTCTCGCTCACTCTCGACAGCCTTGATCAGCCCGTCAATGACGGCGTCCACTTCCTCCTCCTTGACACCCGTGCACAACGCGACGACCTTGCGATATTTGACTTCCACATCGCGAGACCGCGACTTGAGCCCGTTGACCATGGCCCTCGTCCCATTCGTCGTGTTCTGCAGAGCCTGGATGCGCGCCTTGAGGACATGCGCCGAAGGCAAAAAGTCCGCAGAGTTTGACTCGAGTATGGTGCTGAGCTCCGTCTCCCACGATCCAAGGTTGGTGTCTCTGGCGTCCTGCATGGTGCGTAGTTGATCTTCCTGCCGCGACTGGGCGAGGTTGGAGATGATCTGTCGTGCTACCTGCTGCTTCTTGAGGGTGGCTGTGAGGTTCTCGTGCTGCCGTCTGGCTTCGCCTAGCTGTGACGACGTGGACCGCAGCTGGGAGTGGAGTGCATCGACAGATTGCTGCTTAGCTTTGAGTTCCTGGTGGAACGAGGTGCTCGTCTCTGTGACCAAATGTGTGATTGCTATTTGTTTTTGTCAGCCCAGACGTTCATGATCTGAAAATTGGATGGCCGGATACTCACACGCAATGATCTCATCGCTGCTTTCCCTGGTCTTGGAAGAGGCGGCCACCCCGTTACTTAGCTCCCCATTCTGCTGAGTGGCCATCTTCTCCTCTTCGCTCTGACCCCCGACACCAAAGTCGAGAGGCTTCAGATCCGCCCGGTTGGCAATCATGGGATCGGCGCCCACCTCGAGTAACTGGGATACTATGCTCCTGTTGCCTATCCTTGCCGCAATGTTGAGAGCTGTGTCGCCGGAGGAATCCTGGTCGTTAACGATTTCGCTCATGAAACGCGCGATGCCCATCTTGGGTATCACCGAGGTGGACGGGTTGCTACCCTGCCGGACGACCCATTCCAGTAGAGACTCGAGGTAGTACCGACTTGCGGCGCTCCGCCCCTTGACAGCGCTGGTGAAGGCAATGTGGTGGAGCACGGTGCGGCCCTTGTGATCGCGCGCGTCGATCGTCGCACCGAGATATTCGAGAAGGTCTGGGAAAGAGCCGTGGTCCATAGAGTTGGTGACTAAGCAGGCGCGCATAAGAGCCGTCTCGCCAGAGTTGTTGACGCGATGTGGGCTTGCGCCGGCTGCGATGAGGGCACGTAGCAAGGGCATGCGAGACAGTGTGGCGGCCCAATGGAGGGCTGTGTGGGACTGTGCATCGATAGGCATGTCGAGCTCGGCTGGTGCAAAGGCGCGAAGCATCTCGTGCTTGGCAGTATCGTTGCCGGCGTCTTCCATAAAGAGACCCATGAGCAGCCCACGCTTGTGCTCCATGTCTGGTGACATCTCGTAAGCGAGGGGTGGTAAAGCGCCACCCGTTTGCTCGTCGTCGGGAGTTTGGTCATGAGGAGGTTGTTGCTGCGTGTATACAAATGACTCGTTTGGTTCTGTGGGTGATCCGGGGAAGGCCGTGGCGTAAATGTCCATGTTCTGGCCGTATCCTGCGCTTCCATTGAAGCTCTCCACCGGCGTCATGGTCGTGCGCTGCCGTTTCCTGGGGGGTTCTGTCTCCTGCGACCCAACCATCTGCTGTGTCTGCGTCGAGTACGCCGATTCCGGCTGTTGCTGCTGGTCCGAAACGTAGCTTTGCTGCGAGTTGCCGGGGAATTCGTCGGGGTTCTGCATGGAGGTTTGACGCTGGAAGCTAGGTGCCCGTGTCGGCCCGTTGCGCGAGCGTGGACCGGGCGAGTCGAAGCGCGCTTTACTAATGGCCGCCACGGCATGCGAGGCAGTACTCGAAATGTTCTTGAAGAAAGTCCCCGAAAGTCCACTGGTTCGAGTGTCGGCGCCGGAGTTGTAGAGTCGCTTCCTTTGCGCAGCCATAGCCTGCTCTTTCGTGGGTGTGTTGAGGTTGCCGCCCCCCGCGACGCCGCCATCTTGTCCCATATCGTATTCGAGCAAAGGGCGAAGAACCTCCTCCACGCCATATTGCCGACAGACCTGGACCCCTCGTTCGAACTTGATCCATGTACCCTGGTATTTCCCGTAGCCACCCTGTACTTTTTCGTGCTCGCCTGTTTGTATCTCCTTTTCGAGAATCTTGGTTCGTTTGCCCTTCTCGACGCCAGCGACCTTGAGGATCTGTGTGGCGTTGAGCCAAGAGTCGTGACGGCGGCGCATGACGGCGATGCCGTTGACTTCCATTTCGTACACATCAATGGTCGAATAGGATGCGGTGAAGATCTGAGGGTCCGCAGTCGTAGACATATTGTTAGCGAAACTGCGATTGTTGAAGGAGGCGGTGCCCATGGCGCCTGGTTGCGACTGTTGGCTCATGCTGAACGACTGATGTGACGATTGGGAGGCCATTCTGGGGGACCAACCGCGCCGAGACGCAGAGAGCAGTTTGTGTTCAATCGATCCTCGAATTCGTGGCTTTCGTTGCTCTCACAAGCGGAGTGTCCGACCCCGTGGCATGGAAAGGATTGAGAATGAAGTGTTGGTAAGTGTATGGCGATGCAGAAATGACGGGCGTGGACCTTGACGCAGCGGAGCGGGACGCTCGTTGGCACCAGCTTGGCTGGACTCAGGACTGGCCGGCCCTTGCCAATGGACAGACTGGATGCGGTCACCGGGGCTTGCGGCGGCGGTACACTGTGCGTGCAGCCAAAGTGCGTGCAGCAAATGCAAATGCAAATGCACGCAATAATTAATTTGTGCCGCTAGCACGAACTGTAAATCCGACGGATAACCGCTAAATCGCCAGTCGAACACTTCGTAAACCGATGGAGTTTATGAGATGGCGAGCGTATGGTGAGAACAACGGGCGATATCAGCAACAGATGGAATGAGGAGCTCGTATAAAACTACCGATGCCAGTGAACCATCAGTGAGAAGTCGTCGGTCATGCCAAGAATGCGAATCGTGGGCCACGGGTCGCGATGTAAAGTCGCGTCGACGTCCCCAGTTCAATTAAACTCTTTGGCGTCGAGACGCCAAAGACGTGTCGTTTTCGTGATACCGTGTCAACCACGCGTAACCTGGCTGAGTCAGCGGAGCACTGCTCGTCAGTTGAACGGTAAAGTATCTAGATGTCGGAAGAATTAAAACTGGCCCAGTCAAACGCATGGTCTCCTAAAGCTAGGAAATTGCTGGCTTCATTTTTTCCTCAATCTGACCAAGTGCTTGTGGGCAATTGCAAGCGCGTACTGATCAAATGCTAGGTACCTATTCACAGCAACCATGGATGATGCCAGCCACGCGCAGCCGCTCATAAAATTCCACTTACCCTGAACATCGTGCCGACCCGAAAAGTCCAGCTCTTGACGCTTCCAAGACATCATCTTGCCATCAAAACCACACAATGTTCCAGCCAGCGCCCTCGCATCCGCTCCATCTCTACCGTCATCTCCTTCGACAAACATCATATCTTCCACCCGTTCTGTCTCCGACCTTTCGGGCGCGGTTACGCCGGACATTTCGACAAAACCGATACCAGAAAACCCATGTTCCACGACGAATTGCTCGCGCAAAAGCAAGCCTTCGGACGCTGTCCGCGGCCAACAATGGCGACTCTAAATGCATGCGCCATCTCATAGATGAGGGCTTTGGCAGGTCTGGCAAGAGACGGGCGACCCTGCTGCGGCAGTTCTTGGTCCCAGAGGGCCCCCAGGATTCGGATGCGCTCGAAGCCCTCACCAGCGGCAACCAGCAGTCAGTGCAGCGAAGTACGGCGGCAACAGAAGGAGAACAGAATCCCGAAGCGACACACCTCAAGTCGAAGAAGCAAAAATACGGGTTTCTGCAAGCATGGGACCGACCCAAACTCCTCAGATTTCTCAAATCACAGAAAGATCAAATGGGGGCTGCCAGCGCCGATCGCGGCGTATTGTGGAACGTTGGTGATATCAAATCAGTCAAGGAGGACAACGAAGTCCCCGAACTGAACAAGTGGGGGAAACCCCCGGGTGAGACCCTCGTGAGGGCCAAGCAAGCGAAATTCTGGAAGCGCAACGTCGAGAAGATTCTACCACCGCTGGGTCGGGGAGAGTGGGAGATGCTTGAGAAGTTGAGCATCGGATTACAAGCGGAGGGGGACAAGGAGTACAGGATCCCTGACAAACGAACGCCGGCAAAGACTGCGGACGCGGCCTGGGACTGGAAGGAATATGCCGTCAAGCCCACCTCCCATATCGAACGCGCAGCTCAGGTCAAGCAGCGACAAAGGCACGGGGACCTGTCCGGGAACCCGTACCTGGGCCGGGCCAAGAGGGATAGCGTGAGCGATCGCTGGTACAGACGCACATATGGCCAAGCATGGCGCAAGTCGGCGTATGTCGAAGTGGACCCAAACAAACTCAAGAAGAAGTTCGCTTGGGGTGGCGCACCACCGTTGGCACCCGGTCCGGCCCCAGAGCAGATGGACGTCTTCCAAGGCGTGAGAGCACGAGGAGAGGTCAGCAGCAAAGGACGCTCTTGACTTGTCTATCGACTACCTAATCTAACAACTTGGCCAATTTCTGGAGTCCTTCGTTGTCCACCCGCATGCCCACCCACTCGCTCATGGCCTTTGCACCAATGCTCTCGTAAAACTTGATACTAGGCTCGTTCCACTTCAGCACGACCCAGTCCAACCGGCCACCACCCATGCCCACGGTCTCCTTGGCGAGCTCGACAAGCAATCTCTTGCCGTACCCACGACCGCGCATCGTCTCACGCACGAAGAGATCCTCGAGGTAGATGCCAGGCTTGGCGCGCCACGTGGAGTAGTTGTAAAAGTATAACGCCATACCCGCGGACTCGCCCTCTGGTGTGAAGAGGAGGAGGCATCGCGCGGGCTTGGTCGAACTGGTGGGCTCCGTGTTGGGGGTGGTGGAGGTCTTGGGTCCAGTGGCATCCGAGGGCGCAAAGGCAATGGTGGCTTCGAGCGTGGGCACCGTAGCCTGGTTGGCGGCCGATTCCTTTTCGTAGTCGGCCAGCTCTTGGATCAGCTGCAGGATGAGAGGGCAGTCTGGTGTGGTGAGCTTCCCGTCTCATATTGATGAGAGGCGCTACGTACCCTCCTTGCGTGCGTGACGCACGATTGCTTGGTTGGCCATTTTGATGGTGTGTGAGATGTAAGGACAAAGTGACGGTTCTAAATGACAGCAAACAGGAAGTCTTCCCGTTTGCCATCTAATGCACAGGGCGCAAAGGACAACCGTGGGGCGCGTGGGGCAGCAGATCGTGACTCGTGCATGTACGTTAGTGGTGAACTTGCAGTGCGGCGACAACCTAACGCCCCCGCGTCGTTTACTATATAAGTGACAGGTACATATAAGGACATTCGAGTGCATTGTCCATGACACTGGATTGTCTCTATTGATGCTACATCATATGGCATACAGAAGCTCGATATGCAATTGGTTCTTAGCCACTCATCATACGGGGTAGTCGGCATTGATGCTGCAGCATGGACGTTGTCAGGTCGGATGAAACGGCAGGCATACAGTAGCCGCCGATAGCTCCTCTGGTCGTTGACGCGGAAGAATTATAAATACGTGGCTAATGCAGCACAAGCCATCGTTGGTTGATTCTATACGAGCTTCATGCTAGCCTATAAGCTGGACATAGCCACGCGCTGCTTGCCCACAGGTAGGTGGCAACAAACTTCACATACCATTTTGCCTTTGTGAGGTATTCATGTGACGACCTGTTCAACAGATAGTAGCTCACCACAATATCATCAAGGATAATTCTGAACAGCACAGCTACATCCACAGCTCCCCGTTGTTACCATCATGGGCTTGATCTTCAACAGCAACATTCCGTTGACGGTGAGCCATGCAAGCTTAACCTTGTCCATATGGTCTAGATGCAACAACCACGCCCAGCCAAATTCCGTCACACGTCCCCATTGCCGAAGGCTCGGTATTCTCTATTGGATCTGTCCAGGCGTGGAGTTGAACAACTGGTGTTGCTGGGCGAGCTACTTCCTCCCCAAAGCGATCTAGATAAGGCCAAGTCGTGTTCAGGTGCATGTACCCTCACGTTACATCACGGCGATCCTCAACCCCACGTCCTGAGCATCGTTACATTGAACGGACGGCGTTTCCAGTCTCCGCACCAGTGGTATCACAATGTGGGGGAAAGGTCAAATGTCGGACTGACACAGAAAGTGATTAAAGTCATGCCGTCTCGCAATGTGATACACAATCCTCTTCCAGCATTGCCCGTTGTCGCCGAAATGCGTCTACTGCACGCGTTCTTGCCCGCAGTGGTATTGAGCCTCGAGCTCCTACCTGCTCCTGGCATCAAGCAGGAAGCCATCTCATTCTCGCACTCAAACCCATCGTGGCGACTTGCGGACTCGTCGCGCAAGATCTTTATTACAACCAGCTTGGCGGAGCTGAGGGACGACGACGGCCTCACCCTTATCCCACCATCTGGTCTCGACTTTGCCGAGGTTCTGCAAGAAGACTTGCACTCCATCACCGGGGACGACTGGAGTATCGAACAAGTTGACTCACTGCCCAAGGGAGGAGATGGTGGTTTCCTGTTGGGGGAGTACGACGGCGACGACGAACTGACTTATGAGAATGGCAACCCCACCACGGAAGGCTATGCTCTCAGCATTGCCCCGTCTGGCATATCCATCCTGGGTACTGGATCAAGGGGTGTGTTCTGGGGCACAAGGACCGTTCTGCAAATGCTGCTTCTCAACGAGACGATCCCTGCTGGCTCGGCTGTGGACGCTCCAGCCGTTGCGACGCGAGGCTACATGTTCGACGCGGGACGCAAGTGGTACACCAAGGACTTCCTCAAGGAGATGTGCTCGTACGCGTCCTTCTTCAAAATGAGCGAGTTTCACTACCATCTGAGCGACAACTACCCCTTGAACCGTGGCAAGAACGACACCTGGCAGGACGTCTACTCCCACTTTAGTCTTCTGCCCGAGGATGAATCGCTGCTGGGCATCATACACGGCAGGGAGAACGAGACACTCTCCAAGGAGGACTACATGGACATGCAGTCACACTGTGCTAGACGTGGCATCGCTGTGATCCCCGAGATCGAGGCCCCTGGCCATTGTCTGTACGTGACAAAGTGGAAGCCTGAGCTGTCGCTGGAGAAGCGCGACCTACTCAACCTATCCCACCCGGAGACGATCCCCACCATCAAGAGCATCTGGGAAGAGTTCCTCCCCTGGTTCGAAGTCAATGAAGTCCACGTCGGTGCGGACGAGTATGACGCCACCCTTGCAGACGACTACATCAACTTTGTCAACGAAATGAATACCTTTATCAATGAGACATCGGGCAAGAGGACCCGCATCTGGGGCACGCCCATGGACGAGCCGACTGAGGACATTGAGATTGACACCGACATCATCGTCCAGCACTGGCAGCTTGGACAGTCCGACCCACTTGACCTCATACAGAAGGGTCACGACGTGATCAACTCGAACGACTGGTGGGCGTACATGGGTATCAAAAACGACCACTCCCCCATCTTCCCGGCCACGTACCCGCAATTCTTCAACGACTCGAGGATCCTCGAGTTCGCAGGCGAGGAGGGCTGGCAATGGACACCATGGGATTTCAACCAAGTGAACACGACGCAGCAGGTGGAGGCGGGCGAGGAGAGGCTCAAGGGTGCCATCTTGGCGGCTTGGAATGACAACGGTCCGGACGCGTCGACAAAGCTAGAGATGTATTACGCCATGCGAGTGGGCATTGCTCTCGTCGGCGCCCGGTCATGGAGTGGCAAAAGGGGGCCAGAGGTGAACCCTGAGACTCTGAATCCAACCGTCGACTATTTCTCAGCCAGAGCCCCTGACCAAAATCTGGACCGTGTCATCAAAAGCGATGGCGACGGTCCGCTTGTCAGCTGGGAGCGTTTCGAAGGCGATGCAGAGGATCAGGTCAAGCTTGGATACGGCAGTAAGGGTATGAACTACACCATGACCCTCAACGCCGATGGACCATTCGTCCTCAAGAGCAATGATAATCGGCTCTCACTCGACGAAAATGGTAACTTGATCTGGAACGAGGACGGGTACATCTACCCTCTTCGCTCAGTCACCGCCGAAGAGGCTTTGATGCTCGACCCTGGTCATCCTGGCCGCATCTGGGTGAACAAGACATCTACCCACGAGCTCGTCACCGTTAAGACGCCCGCTGAGATTGTCATCCGTACCAATGTCGAGCATGGTGCGGTGGCGTGGGTCAATGGGACACTGGCTGGTCGGTTCGAGGTCTTTGTGTACGGCGGGAAGAACACACAGTTCAGCTGGAGCCAGATGGCGTTTGTCGCCCCTCTTGAAGAGATTGAGGGCAGTGGACTGGCAAGTGTTGTCGCGGAAGATGGGGCTACAATGCCAGTTCCTAGGGAAGGGGAGGGCGGCGAGGAGACACCTCAGCTGCCACCTGGTAGCGCGGTGGGTGTGAGTGTTTCCGTCGGCCTCCTTGGTGTAATGGCTCTCTTTGCTGTGTAGCGTCTTCTTTGATTACGGAATAAATCACATGACAAAGGGATTGTTTCTTGAACGCCTTGAGAGGTATCATGGCGTCAGATTGCCCTACAGCGCTAGGCGAGCATGCCTCGCTCACCAGTACAATTTTCCCGCTGCCCCTTAGAAGACGATACCACCTCCGTCAATCACGATATCCGCCCCATTAATGTACTTACCCGCCCTACTGACCAGCATCACCACTGAACCCGCCACTTCCTCCGGCAACCCCATCCTCCCCATAGGATTGCGCCCACACCAGCTGTCCCTTGCCTCCTTCAGTCCCTCGCCTTCATTGAGCACCGTGTCCATGTATCCTGGACTGATGCTGTTCACCATGATGCCGTACGTCGCCCACTCAGCCGCCAGCGAGCTCTTGAGGTTGATGAGCGCTGCCTTGGACGCGTTGTACGCGGCCTGTGGTTGCGGGTAATTCACCCGATGCGCAGAGATGCTCGCTGTGAATATGATGCGCCCGCCGCTGCCCTGCGCGACCATTTTCCTGGCCGCGGCCTGTGCGCATATAAAGGACCCCGTGGTGTTGACGTCGACAACCTTGCGCCACTGCGCGATAGGCATGTCCAGAGCGTGGACACAGCCGACGATGCCGGCGAAACAGACCAGAGCGTTCAGCTCGCCAAACAGCTCGATTGTGCGGTCGACAGCCCTGGTCACGTCCTCCTCGTCGGACACATTGACGGGAAGAACTTCAATCTTGGACTGGGGGAATTCCTGGCGGAGTTGGTCGACTTTGTCGGCGGAGGGGGCGAGGTCGAAGAGCATGAGATTATGGAGACCATGCTGCAGCAGCGCGCGTGACGAGGCGAAACCAATCTCCCCGGTTCCTCCTGTGAGAATGGCCGTGCCTGTGACGGCGAAGCGACCGGCGCTCGAGTCAAAGGGGGCTGCGTAGGCGGAGGACGGGAGGACGGGGTGGGTGGTCGGGTTGGAGAGGGTCATGTGCGGGATGGCCCGCTTGGAGAGGTTGTCGCGGTCGCTCATGGCTGGTTTGGGTAACAATGAGAATGTAATGCAACGGGTTCTAAATGGTATATAGACTGAGTGTGTCCTCAATCGTGTCATTGACCGTTGCGACCGATGTGGAGGGGGCACTTTCACCCCTCATAAAGGGGGCGTCCCGCATCAAATGAGATCATCCCGCACACTCGGGGATCTGTGACCCGGAGGTGGGGACGGGTGACTGTCGCCCGTAAGCCTGTGATTGAACCGACGTGCTTCAATTGAGGAGGGGTGGTTCAGTGGAAGTTGGATAATTAACAGGCCAGAGGACGCAGATCCTCCACACGAGCACGCCATGACCAGCGTCTTTCAAGAGCCTAAAGACCATTGCTATCAAGTACAGACGTATACTCCCACTCCTTCATCACAGCTTCGATTCCGACTTGGCTGTCTTGACCTTGTCCTGAAACAACTTGACCAGTTGTCGAATCGCAAGGTCAAGAAGGACATCCTCGCTACCGCCCGGAATCCTGGCCCCTGGGACGTCGCGATAAATCTCTATGTGGAAGTCAGCATGTCATCCCGCCTTGAAAGGATACACGGAGGAAGACTCACTCTCGACTAATTCACCTTGACCGGTCCTTGTGTATCCATTACCACCAAACAGCAGCACAGCCGTCCTCGCACACTCATCAAGCACAATGCCCGCATTCGCCTTGCACAGGGCCGTCAGTCCGCCGAGCTCCCTGTCGCTCTGGGCCTTGGGCATCTGCGAGAGCTGGTAGGCAAACGACTCGACCCAGGCCTGCTGGGCCTCGAGAACGGCAGCAGCCTTGGCCAGACGGTGGCGCACGACGGGCTGGTCCATGAGCGTCTTGCCAAAGGCCTCTCTCTTCATGGTGTACTCGAACGCGGCCGCCAGCGCGACGCGAGCCTGTCTCGTGACACCGACGGAGATGAACAGCCGCTCGTGGTTGAAGTTTGTCATAATGTACTTCATACCCTCGCCTTCCTTGCCGATCAAGTTCGCCTTGGGCACGTATACATCGTCGAGCTCGATGAAGGAAGTACCGGCGGAAATCTGGCCTGCTACCTTGAGTCGTCGACGTGAGACGCCCTTTTGATCCTTGAGATGCACATGGAGAAGGGAGATGCCGCGGGGTCCCGAGCCCTCGGGGCCCGTGCGCACGGCCATGGTCGCATAGTCGGCCATGACGCCGTTGGTGATCCATTTCTTGACGCCATTCACGACATAGTACTTCCCGCACTTGCTGGTCTCGGCGGTCGTTGTAATGTTGGCCACGTCGGAGCCGGCTCTGCTTCCGTCAGTCCCTGCTCTACTCAAAGGTGTCTTGTGTGTGTCCCCTTACTCTGGCTCGGTGATGGCAATACACGTCCTCTTTTTCCCGGTGAGAAGGTCGGGTAGGTATGTCTCCTGCAGCTCGCGCGAGCCGTAGTGGATCAGCGGGGGCACGCCAAACGCCATGCCTGTCGTGATGGCAGCGCCCGGTCCGGCCAGACCCGCGCGACTCATCTCGTCCCCGTAGATCATGCTGTGGATGTACGTCCACTGCTCGACGGGGACGTCACCCGGCATCTTGGTGATGCCGATGCGCTTGAGCCATTCGACGGGGAGGGGCGCGGGCAGCGCGGGAATAAGGTAGTTGTTCTCGGCGAAGACGCCAAAGACGTGAGGTGGCACCTCTTCGGCGGTCTCCCACTCGAGCGCGTGGCGGCTGAGGTTGTCGCCGATGAATTGGCGACAGGCGGCTTGCAGGCGACGATGGGAGTCGTCGTAGTATGGCGAGGGGGCGCCCGAGAGCCAGGGGGGCTCTGATAGGGGCGTGATGACCTCGGGTGCGGACATGTTGATGGCTGAGAGGAGGGGGAAGGTGAAAGTGAGGCGGATGGTGAGTGTGTGAGATGGTCACCTTGGCTATTATATGAAACCCCGACAGCAACAAAGTGTCTCATTGATGGAATGACGGAGTTTTGTGGCTGTTAGCTCGCCCCTCGCGAGTCCAGTGACTCCAGTCGCTTCCTCGGCATCTCCAGCTAGCGCAGCGGGCCTCCACTGTCCAGCCTCCAGCCTCGAGGCGTCCCCGCACCCTGTCCCCGCGTTGTGGAGGAGACGCGTTCAAGTGTCAGCAGGACTTGGGGAAATCGGGTATGGACGTCGCAACAAGCCGAGGCCTCGAGATGAGGCTATGGATGTGAAGACTCGCTATGACTGCCATTGGACATTGCATATGAGTGATGGCGAGTTCTGTCTGCTTCCGAGCATGAGCATTGCATTGGATTTTCGCACACTGGGCAAACGAACACTTTTAGGCTGGGACAATTTATGCACACAAAGACGCAGGAATGGGAAGCATTGATCCCCTTTTTTTTTTCACGTCGGCATGCTCAAGTAATATGATTCCAGAAGATTATTAAAGAATTTGGATCCCCCTCAGGGGGCATGGAAGAGTTGATGTGTTGATCTATTTAGGGTAAGTCAAACTGGTCCCTGGACCAACGGAATGGAGACGCGAACTTGTTGTTGCTGATCATCATCCACAAACAACACCACGCCGCACGATCGAACCTCATGTCCGTCAATTACTGGAATACCGAAATCCACACCAGACAGATTCCCCCTGAGGTTCCTGTTTGGCGAGATGTCGCGGAAAGCATACCCTCTAGACCTCTCTGGACCTGGTGCATTCACACGGTGACCCTCATCCACTGATCGCAGCATGCTCTCAGGACAGACATCAAATCCGAAGAATTATGAATTAGCATGCAACGCCAAGGTCGTCGTCGTATTCATGTGCTCGACCGTTTGCCCCTCCGACTGCATGCACGCGCATGGAAGCCCTCTTCGACTTCTTTTCTCCAGTCCCGCCGCCAGCCGCATCCACCCAGCGAGCGATGGATCAAGAGAGGCTTGGCTGCAGCCATCCACAAAGAAAGAACATTATTCCTCAACGCCTGCGGCCTAAGCATCACCACCCGCAAGGTCAGCGATTCAAGCACGCCTTGATTGGTCGCGGGGCAAGCAAGCTTACTTGGCCTTGATAAGGTTGTTTGGTGGCGCCGAGGCGTCTAGACCGCAAACGGATGTGGAAGATGGGGTAGAAAGGATCTTTTGCTTATCTCGGTGGGCACTCCCGGTGGACGGGAATCAATGCCTTGTTGTCGGCTGGGGACTTGGACGTTCACAGTGGACGAACTCCGTTCCTTCATCCAGATGAAGACAACACCAGCTGGATCCATCAGCAGGCCAGTTCTTGCGCCCTCCGTCAGCGAATCACTCACCTCAACGAACACGACGCAAAACCCTGTGCGACCTGCCATCCTTCACCCCTCAGCGACACCCAGGGACCACTGCAGCTTCTTGACCTTCCAAGATGTTCTCGTCTCCTTCCCCAATCGGCGTAGAGGCAATACTCGACCCCGGCAGATACGCAGCTACGCGGGGCGCAAACCACCTTGTTTTCCTCCGAGTCCCGTACCTGGACCTTGTTGTCCCAGAGGTCTGCCATGCACGCCAAGGGCCGACTATGTTGCAGCTTCCTCTCCAGGACGACGATGCCTGTCGTACGCAAAGGGTCCTTCATGTTCCCAATACTACAGCACACATCGTGCCAAGTGACTGGGCCTTGCGGGAAGGGTTAAATAGCGAAGCTCGCCCGTCATCCAGAGGCTCTGCACTCGTCATCCCTCTCTGCTTGTTCTTACGCATCACCTGTACAACACAACCGCCAACATGCGCTTCTCAACTCTCGCTGGCGCCGTCGCCATGGCCGCGCCCGCCCTGGGCAGGGAGATGCCCAAGGACGAGGCCCGTGGCCGTGACCTGTACGACTCTGGCATCATCCACGAGGAACTAATGGGCAAGAAGATGGTGAGTGCCCTTTGTCCCCTTTCCTAGCTGACCATGCTCACACGACCCTCGCAGGCCCACTGGAAGGAAGAGGAGGAGGCTGGTCTCATGGACTCGTCCCAGCACCCGCGCCTCAACTACACAAAGTGCATCAACGGCGTGGCCGAGGCGATCCCCGGAAACCCCCTCTACACCTTCAAGTGCAAGAACATTGACCTCTACGACTTTTTGTCGCACGATGCCCTTGGCGCACCCAGCGCCGACTACCGCGGCAAGAGTGGCAGCTCCTCGTGGGGCTGGGTCGACGAGGAGTCGGGCCGCGAGTTCATCGCCACTGGCATGTACGACGGCGTCGGCTTCATCGAGGTCCTCCCCGAGGGTCGCATGCTGTCCCTCGGCTTCCTCCCCAAGTTCGCCCCCCTCAGCGACCGTGCCTACTGGACCGAGATCCGCTCCTACAAGCACTACATGGTCATTGGTTCCGAGCTGGAGGGCAACGGTGTGCAGATCTTTGACATGAAGAAGCTGCTCGACATTGCGCCCGAGGACGCCCCCAAGAGGTTCAGCAACGACGCTGACCTGACCTCGCACTTCAACACCTCCCTGCCCCTCGGCCGTGCCCACAACGTCCACGTCAACGAGGAGGCCCAGTACGGTGTCGCCGTCGGCGCTGCCCCCCGTACCGTCGGGTGCATGGGCGGCCTCGTCTTCTTCAACCTCGAGGACCCCTCCAACCCCGAGTACCTGGGCTGCGACGGCTCAGATGGCTACGTCCACGATGTCCAGTGCCTCATCTACCGCGGACCTGACTCGCGCTACGACGGCAAGGACATTTGCTACGGCTACAACGAGGACACCCTCACCATCTACGACGTGACGGACAAGAAGAACTCCAAGCTCGTCTCGCGCACCTCGTACGAGGGCGCCTCCTACACCCACCAGGGCACCGTCAACGACATCAACTGGCAGGAGTACATCTTCATGGACGACGAGTACGACGAGTACGACGTCGTCGGCCCCGCCCTCGACGGATACCCCGTCACCTACGTCTGGGACATCTCCGACCTCGAGGCCCCCAAGCAGACCGGTCTCTTCAAGCACAACGTCGTGGGCGTGGATCACAACCAGTACATGAGCATCGACGGCCAGAAGCTCATCCAGTCCTGCTACGGCGCGGGCATGCGCATCTTTGACGTCTCGTCCGTCGTCTCGGGCGAGGACACGAGCGGCGACTCGGTCTGCGAGACGGCCTTTTTCGACATTTACCCCGAGGACGACGACCTGCCCGGCGGCGGCGGCATCGCCTTCTCCGGTTCCTGGTCCTCCTACGGCCAGCTGCCGTCCGGCTACATGTTCATCAACACCATTGAGCGCGGCGGCTACCTCGTCAAGGTGACCAAGGAGGAGTCGTGCCCCAAGAAGCACGCCTGCAACGCGGACAACTGCCTCCGCGCCATGCGCGCCAACAGCATCGAGGGCCGTCTCGAGGAGAGCCAGGAGTTCTGCGGTGATTTCCTGGACGGCTGGAATGCGGATGTCGCCGCTGTGCCCACGTATCTGAAGAAGGCGTGCCCGACCAACGTCATCTCCAGGGTGAGCTCGGCGTGCTCGTGCTTGCCTACGGCTGAGCCTACTGCGTAGATATGCATGAGTCCATGTAGATAATGATATATGTTATATGAGTGTTCAAGTGTACTGTTGTGTTCAAAATGGTGATGAGTGGCTCGGGTGGTGGTAGCAACATGCTTTTCAAGGGCTTGCTGACGCGATGCAGAAAGGTGACCCCGACGCGGAGGGACAGCCGTGGGAACATGTATACAACATGGCTGGAAACGTGGCAAGAAGCAGTATAGAGTTATGGACTAGCTCGAACAGGCCAAACTCAGCCACCTGTTCCTTGCAGAACTCGAATGAAGCAGTGTAAACACCGACATAGTTTGATCGCGAACAACCGAACAGACTGTAGTCAACAGAGAATGGTGTCGACCCTGTCACCTTGCCCCTCGTGGCTCGAAAACATGGCAAGGGAGAATTATAAAAAGACGGACCATGATCTGTATTCCACGTTCTATTCCACATTCGAACAAATTTCCAACCCAAGAAATAACACAGCATCAGCACATCATACCCCTTCAGTAAGTCTCCCAGTCGTTTATCTACTTACAGCCACCCAGACCATGTCTCGCCCCAATAACTCTGCAGCTCCCATGGAGGGAGGCGTCTGGTGGCAAGACATCAACCTCGCTGAAGACGCTGTCGCCCCTGGTGATATTGAATTGGCGAACCTTGCCCGCGTTCCCGCTGCCCCTGCTCCCACCGTTGTCCAGCTCCGCGCAGAGTCAGATGATGACTCATCTGAACCAGATGGACGACTCGTGACGGCGCTCCGAAACCATGTCGCAATTATAAGAGAGTTTAGGCAGAGTCGCAAATTCTGGCCAGTGTTTGGGTTGCTCGCGTTTACGTGTGTGGGCTTGATCATTGTTGGTACCGTGTCAATGATTCTCGACTAAAGATAGGGGGTTGTCGAGGATGCACGCATCTCAATGAGGTGAGACTGGTTTTTTTTGCTAGGTAGGTAAGTTTGGGGTTATTCGCTGATTACGAGTAGCTCGGGAAGAGATATTCATGATTGTGTGCTTTCTTTCATCACAGTTCATCCCAGGCGGATCGTGCAACAAGGTCCCAGCTGGCTGGACGTCCCATGCATCGCGTATCGAGGCAACACGGCAAGGGGGTGCTACTCAGCCTTCTGTCATCTCTTGGTCAATCAGTTTCGCATTTTTGAGCACTCACCAATAACGGAAGTACGGTTATTGATAGAATCGTAGCTGGACGACTCGGAGATTGCTTTTGTCTCCGCGAGAATCAGATGCTGTCATACTTTCATTGTTTGGTACTTTCGTAATAACCAAAAAAAAAATTTAATTTAAAAATTAAAAATTGGGCACGTTCAATAGACTGGATTCACTTCGTCGTCTTCCTTGCGATGCTTCCTGAGCCGCCCCTCATGGAATACTAATGAAGCCTCACACAAAAGTCAATTGCGTTTGATCGAAATCTGGAGTCTGGAATGTACTGGAAGCGGGTACGCCCGTGGACGGCATGGAAGCCGATTCGATCTCGGTATCACCGGCACCTGCAAACGACTGAATGTCGATAATTATGACGTTTCTTGCCATGACGGACTCTCGGAATTGAATGATGACGGTTCATACATATATAGACTCCGTGTTGCCATGCTTGATCGCCAATCTGTGTCCGTGTAAATAATTCAAAGTCCAAAGTGATACGTCACCATGCCTTCCAACAACGCCGCTTATATCGCAGAGCCCAAGAAGATCCCCTTGGAGGTCAAGTCCGCGCCATGGACGGAGCCCAAGGACAACCAGATCCTGGTGCGCAACCGCGCCGTGGCGATTAACCCCGTGGACATTGCCATCCAGCAATTCGCCGCCTTTGAGGTGGAATACCCAGCCATCATTGGCACCGACGTCGCTGGCGTCGTGGAGAGCGTCGGATCCGGTGTCTCCCACTTCAAGCCTGGCGACAGAGTCCTTGGCTACGCGACTAGTCTGGGAACAAAGGACAATGCCGAGGGCGCGTTCCAGAACTACACCATCATTCGCTCAGACTGTGCATCGCACATCCCAGATGATCTGCCCTATGAGCAGGCTACCGTTCTGCCCTTGGCGGTGGCGACGGCTTCGTATGCATTCTTTGGAGATGATACCCTCCAGCTGCGTCTGCCTTCCCTGAACCCTGAGAAAATCGATGAGGTGGTGCTCGTGTGGGGTGGCTCCTCGAGTGTGGGCGGAACGGCTATCCAGCTGGCCAAGGCTGCCGGCTACCAGGTCATCACCACCGCGTCCGCCAAGAACCACGAATACGTCAAGAGGCTCGGGGCCGACCACACACTGGACTACAAGTCCTCTAGCGTTGTCGACGATATCGCGAAGCTCCTCCAGGGCAAGAAGCTCGCCGGTGTGCTTGACGCCATTGGCGCCCCTGATGCCATTTCGACAGCAGCAAGGGCGGTGGAGCATGCAGATGGGAAACGACACATTGTCTGCGTCAGGGCGCCCCCGGAGAATCTTCCCGAGAGCGTCAAGGCGCAGCCCATTCTGTCCCTGAGTATCTACAAGAACTCGCTCGCGAGCCAGATATTTAATGGCTTTGTGCCAAAGGCCCTGGCCCAAGGCAAGCTGAAGGCTGAGCCAAAGGCGGAGATTGTAGGCGAGGGACTGGAAAAGGTACAGGCCGGGCTGGATAAGCTGCGAGATGGAGTATCGGCCACAAAGGTTGTTGTCAGACTGAAGTAAAGGCTGGAGTGCATCATGTGTGGTCGAGTACTCCTCAGGGTGAAATTGATTGAGCGATGAGAATAAGTCTAGTTTATCATTACGATTTTACTTCAATTGGCCTGTGATCTGGCCTTATCATTGTTAATTATCTAATTGTGCGATCCTCCCATTACATCCTCCTCATTATTCGTCGAAACTCTTTTGTTTTAAAGTCCTGTGACCGTCTATCTTACACCTCCGATGACGATCCCATTTTACCCTGGGGGCTGAACAGTGGCCTGCCGGCTCGTCGATGCTTGTGAATCCCCCGTGCAAACATACAATACGTTGCAAGGTGCAATACACTGATTCGGTCAGTAATTGTCAACAGGGAGGGGTCCAAGATACTCACAATGCAAAAACACTCAATGCTATGACGGCGATTACAATCTTCTCGTTCAGTCGTCCGTTGTATTTATCATAGGCATAGTACGCAGCCACCGAGCTGAATGAGACAGCCCAGAATATCAGTGTCAGGCTCTCGGTGACGACGAGGGCAGCCCAGTTGTAGATGAATGGTAGTCCGTGCACTGCGATGTTGTAATAGCCCAGAATCGTCAGGTCCCAGGCAGCCTGTGCCAAAAAGTTAGCAATGAGCGTGAAGTTTGGCCCGTGAGGACAGGTTGTTGGTTACTTACGGCGAAGAGGGACAGACGGTCTGGCCAGGTGTTGACAAACACGACCAGCCACGCCGAGAGGATGACCAAGGCAAGTGCAAGTATCGTCTGCACGATGCGTGTCATGTAATCCCAGAAAGCCACTTCGACAACGTGAGCATAATTGCGACGGGCCATGGTTGCAGTGGATATGTGTAGATATCAAATATGTCTGAATGTCTGGCGATGGAGCGAGACCACAAGGGCGTTGCACCTGTTGGACAACAAAAGGACATCTTATAGTGTCTGCTAGAACACGTAGTGACTCAACTATAGGCTGCCATGCCGAGGTCAAGGATCGATGCCCTGTCAGCTCGCATGGTGTCATTGCCCACTAGTGAGGTGCCGGCTTCTTCGTGGTGGTGTCCTTCCTCGCGGTGACGCCAAGGCGTCCTCAGCCACTAGTGATGATGGCCAACCTCCAGCGCTAGGGCGTGTCATATGCTAGTGAAAATCTCTTGTACTAACGAATGTGCTTGTGCGGTCAAAACCATGTGGCTCGATTGTCAACTTCCCGAGGGCCGGGATTGTATTTCCTATTCGAGACGATCCTTCAGGGCTGCAACAGAACAACCATGAGTCGTGAGTGACGGTGATTGCTCATGACCTACGAATTGCGCAACAATCCCTTCTCTCTGACCGTACGGGACGTGGATCGAGTCTGTCGCAAGAGCAAAGTCATCGACAATAATAAGCGTTCTCAAATCGAGGTCACTGGTGGCTGGTCAAATGCCGACCGACTAAGCGACGCCCATACTTGTACGAAAAGCCGATGGTCTGTCTCAAGAGGGTTTAGCATGCGAGCTGCCGTTCCGCGTAGTCCGTCCCGTTCCGTCGACGGGGATGAATCGCGGTGTCACATGCGGTGAGCACTCGTTCGACTGTCACTGACGCAATGTATCATGCAAGGCTCTCACTTCCTGTTCTCCCCATTCTCGTTCTTTCAAGGCCAAGCCTTTGTCACTTTGAGTGGGCAAGCGATCATATGCAAGCTGTGGAGGTTCCGAGCGCATCCATTTTGGCGTTTCGGGGCCTAAGCCGGTACTGTCTCGTACGATAAGTACAGATACTAAGGATCAAGCATGTCCTCCTCAGACTCTAATTAGGTCAAACCCTTTTTTTGGGAGGGGGAGCGGCTTCTTGAAGTCCGGCCGTCGTCGGTTTGCGACCGTCGGCCGGCGATGAGATAGTCTGCCTACCCTGTGGCGAGCGGCACCACACCTACAACATTCCCGACAAGACCAAGGACTTGGACGGGTGGGCTGTCGGCCATCACACGGTTGAGTCGGTCGATGAAGTTTAGAAACAGCTGGAGCTTTACGAGTATACAGCACGGGTGTGAGGCTGGTTTGCTGGTGAGAATAGTCCGTGTCGCGTTTTATGCGACTTTGGAGGACGTTCTGCCAGCTTGCGGTGCAGTGATTCAGCAGTTGTTGAGAAAAACCAGTGTGAATGCTGACACTGAGAATGTGTATGCATCCCCTTTATATATTGCGTCGATTGTCATCACCGTGACCCCACTGGCAGTCCTCATTGTTGCTGGATGCTGAGGATCACAATGGAAGTCCAATTTAGCCATAATGCCCATCACAGACTCACACACACGACGAATTTGGGCCGAGCTCAAGAGTCAAGTGACGTATGCAGAGCTACATGTAGACCCCGTAGACCCCCTGTGCCCCAAGACTTGGATGAATTGAACCAATAAATGGCCGTAGATGTCCGTCGCCATTCCGCTTTAGGTCGGTCTGCGCATCTCCATATCTGACCCCCCGATGCCGAGTGCCGTGAGTCCGTGTCCATGGCCCGTCGCACCTTCTTTCCTACACTACGACAGGCTGCAGCAACTATCTCCTGCGATTCGACTCATCGCAAGTACCCATGTTCATGCCAGCTGCTCATACTGGCCGCTATTCGCCTGTGTAGATAGTTGAATTTGTCAGAGACTCCAGCATAGCCCCATGGACTGCAGGCTGTAGCTCCCTCTTCACCCGATCGCGGTCCTTGCCAAGGCTGTCATGAGCGGGGAGAGGGCGCACATTTCTCTGCACAGAAGGGCAGGAAATGACGAATGAAGTCTCTGAATAATTTCAAATGGCAGAGTCTAAGAAGTCGGCCTTCAATAGCGCGACCTCCGAATTCTCACCAGCGATATCCCAGTCGAGCAACAATGCGGGGATTGCAAGACGCTGATCCTGCACTGTATAGATTGGCTCGATCCCAGCAGGACCATCACGGAAACGTTGTACCCCGCGTCAGCCTACGAACTATTGCGCGACCATGGGGTCGCCTGAACGGCTCAACTCTTTACTCGGCTTGGTGGAGTGCTACAGGCCCAGAGATGGAGTCTGGACCTGGGAGTTGGTAAGATCTTCTCGGGTTATCATCAAGGCCAGGAACCGAGTACACTGCGTCCATATATAGTCAAGGCCTGTATGATAACTTTCGGGTCTCTGCATGTACGGTCATTTCACGCACAAAGCGTCCAGTCATGCTCACTTCATTGCCCAATCGGGGCGTATGGGTGCTGGGCTCGTTTCTCCCACACGTTCTGGGCGAGTGCTGGCGAAATGGTCCCTGTGATGGACCAAGGTCAGTATCTTTCCCAGGTCCGTGGGACAAGTACAACTTTGCCCCCCCAACGCGCTTTGTCACACCAGTCAACGTAGTATCCTTCCCCGACGGAGAGTTTGTGTCCGCATACGACGAGAATGCGAAATGGACGCTGAATAGCGAGACTCCCGAGATCGTTCTCGACTTTGGCTGTGAAGTGGGCGGCATTATCTCTCTCGACTATGACCAGCTTGGGGAGGGCCCCTCAGCCTTGGCTCTCGCTTTCACGGAAGCCAAGAACTACATCAGTCACGAGTCGGACAGCTCAAACGGCAGCCCAGAGTACCCAGATCTGCACCTGAAGCACAAGATCAACTCGACTGGTCCTGGGACGTACACGATGCCAGATGCCAGTCTCCGGGGTGGCTTCAGATACCTGACACTGTACCAAGAAGAAGACGGTGCGGCGCCATTGCATATTCGCAACGTTCGACTTGAGATCAGCTTCCAGCCTACTTGGCCGGACATGCGCGCGTACCAGGGTTATTTCTATTCGGAAGACGAGCTTCTCAACAGGATCTGGTACAGCGGTGCCTACACCCTGCAGACAAATTCCGTGCCCAGCAACACCGGGCGAGTGGACGTCGGCACCATCGAAGAAGGATGGAAGAACGACGCATTCGTCGGCCCCGGCGGCACGGTGCTTCTGGACGGCGCCAAACGTGATCGATGGGTTTGGATTGGCGATATGGGAACCGCCGTCCCCAGCGCGTTTGTCAGCACGGGCGACATGGCGAGCACGCGGAACGCCCTGCAGGTCATGTTTGACAATTTGAGAGACGACGACGTTCTGCCCAAGGCAGGTCCTCCCTACCTGGCTTACAATAGTGACAGTGAGCTCCCTGCTGTGGGCCAGAATCTTTGCAAGTGCTGACGGCGGTGACAGCCTACCACATGTGGACTATGATTGGAGTCTACAACTACGTGCTATACACAGATGACATTGACTGGCTGAAGCCAATCTGGCCCAAGTATATCAGAGCCCTCAACTATGCACGCGGGCTCGTGAATGACAAGGGCATCGTCAGCGTCAAGGGTACAGCTGACTGGGCTCGGTGGCTGTACTCAAGCGAGCGCTCGTCTGCCAGCGTGCTGTAAGTTTTGCCTTGACATACCTGCTCAACCATGCTGATGGTTAAAAGCCTATATCGAGCTCTCCAGACGGGTGCCGAGATTGGCACATGGTATCCAGACCTTCCTGATGCCTCCTCGCTAGCTGAACAGTGGACAAAAGAAGCAGAAACTCTCAGAGAAGCTATCATGGCCGAGCTTTGGGACGAGACGACGGGAGCCTTCCGGGAGAGCCCTGACGACGTCTCTCTATTCCCACAGGACGCCAACAGCATGTCCCTTGCCTTTGATGTGCTCGAGAGAGGGAGCGAGGAAGCCGAGCGCGTTTCCTCGTATCTCGAGTCGAACTGGACACCTATCGGCCCCGAAGTTCCCGAACTACTGGGAAACATCTCCCCGTTTATCACGAGCATCGAGATATTTGGACACTTCCGAGCTGGTCACCCTGAGCGTGCCGTGCAGCTCATGCGCGACGCATGGGGTTGGTACATTAACCACCCAAACGGCACGGGCTCTACTGTCGCAGAAGGCTACCGCGTCAATGGGACATGGGGCTACCGGATTGATCGAGGATACAAGGACGAGACGTACATGTCCCACGCGCACTGCTGGAGCAGCGGGCCCACGTCTTCTTTGACGGAGCGCCTTGTTGGTCTTCAGGTGACGGCGCCCGCCGGAGAGGAGTGGCAATTTATCCCTGAGACCGGGGTCCACGGACTGGGTGAGGCTGAGGCAGGTTTCACTACAAAATTGGGCAAGTTCTCAGCGAGCTTCAAGGTGGATGGGAATCGTGTGCATATCAAGTGGGATACTCCCGAGGAAACTCGAGGCTGGTTGTCGCTGCCAGGGAAGAGTGGTCGGTGGATTGATGGAGGGAAGGGGTCCAAGACAATTTGCTTGTGAGAAATAAAGTACGCATTGATATTTCGCTTCGACTCTTGCATAGCAGTGACTCTAGTGCATGTTTTAAACAGGAATCGCAGGCCATTGTAAGCTTGCGGTTTATGACCAAACCTTCTCCCACGTCCGCCTCATGAGAGGCAGCTCGGCCAGCCTGGCCTTCTCATTCTCTTCAATGCCACCCTCCTCCCAGTGTCGGCATTCGGCGTCCACCTCAGCCTTTCCACTCCACAGGTCAGCCTCCTTGGGACCGATCCACAGCTTGCGGCCCTCCCTCCAGTACTTGAGACAGCCGACAGCCGTGACCAGAGCGGTGAAGGCGACCGCAAAGTAGCGGGTGATGAAGCCGCGGACGGTGAAGGGCGAAAACACATCAAAGCCAACAAAGATGATCATGAGGGTGACCAGCAACAGGGCCCAGTAGGCAGTCCAGGGGGTGTAGGGCGCAATGTAGGGCAGCATGTCGTTGGTGAGGCCCTGTGCCTTGCGGGAGCGGAACCAGCAAATGTAGGTGATGAGCATGAGGAAGAAAGTCATGATCAGAGCCGTGGTGGTCAAGTCGACGAACCAGAAGAAGACTTCGACAGAGGAGTTGGAGCTGACCATGAAGGTGACGCAAGTGATGAGAGACACGGCCGCCACGCAGTAGATGGGGATACCGCTCTTTGTGCACTTGAGGAGGAACTTGGGGGCTTGGCCCTCTCGGGCGAGGCCGTAGAGGGTACGCGAGGCGGAGTAGAGGTAGGCGTTACCGCACGACCAGCCAGACAGCAGGATGAAGCCGTTGATGACGTGGGAGTAGCCGGTGATGCCCAAGTTCTCGATGCCAATGACCCAGGGGGAAGCGGCGGTGCCGGACTCGCCAGTCAGGCGCTCCTCCTTGGACGAGCAGATGATGCCGACGGCCAAGACACCGATGACATAGAAGCCGACGATGCGCCAGAAGACGAGGTTGGCAACGCGGGGGATGGTGCGACGAGGGTTCTGGATCTCACCGGCCGCGAGAGCGATCATGTCGGGTCCGGCAATGGTGAAGGCAGCGTAGATGGCGACGGACCAGAAACCCAGGAAGCGCCCAGTCGACCCCTCGGCGTAGTACGAGTTCATGGCACCAGAGTCCCAGTTGCGGAAGCCATAGGCGTCGCCCTTGGGGTTGCCGCCCGCCATGGTAATGATGGTGGTCAGGACAAGCATGACGAGCAGGATGATCTTGGTGGAGGCCATGACGAACTCGGCCTCGCCGAACCACTTGACGGCCACGACATTGAGAAAGATGCAGACGCCCATGGCCATGCCGATCCACGCGGCCGGATTGGTGTCCTGGTCCCAGTATTGCATGACGGTCGACACAGCGCTGTACTCGACGCAGATGAGCATCGTCCCGGCGAAGAAGTACGTCCAACCCATGGCAAGACCAATGGCAGGGCCACAGACGCGCGAGGCGATTTCGAAGATGGATCCACGGATGGGCAGGTAGGCACACATTTCAGCGACGCAGAGGAACAGAGGCCAGACGAAGAAGAGGCCCCAGAAGCCGTAGCCCAGGATGAGCGAGAGGGGACCGACTTTGGCGAGGACGGTGCCGACGCCAACCTGTCGCAGTCAGTATGAGAGCGTCTACGTCTGCTCGGGGGAGTGCTGCGTACCCAGAGGCCGACACCGATGGAGCCACCGATGACCATGAGCTGGACATGTCGAGGCTTCAGACCGCGGTGCGTAGAGCCGTACTGCTCCTCGATGGCATTTTGGGGCTGCTTGAGGTCGCCGTCCACCTGCGACGTCGGGCGCGCACTCTCGACGCGAGCGATGTCGTTGGGGCCCTGGGGCACCTTGGCTTCTGTTGTCGTCATGGTCGACAGAGGGACGATGACGAGGCGTGGGAGGGAGGACTTAAAGTTTGAGACTGCCGTTGGAGGGCGAAATCGGTTCCTGAAGAGGCGTCGTTCCCCTGGCTCTTATACAGATATGTCAAGCAGCACCATGTTCCCAAGTGTCCCTCAGCTGAGTCGCGGCCATGGCGTCTTATCAGCGGGTCGACGCCAGGATTCAGGAACCCACAACCTAATGTGAATGAGAACTCCAAGCCATCCATGTCCGTTAGCGGAGCCCTGCTGCACTGGGGAAGCGCCAGATAACGCATGGAAGTGTTCCATGGCAGATCTGTGGGGTATTGGGGTGTTACGTACAAGCAACGCCAGGGAGGAGACAGCCTGCAATATTCGACTCAGCGCCCCGAAGGGTATCCGAGGGTTCTACTCATTGGCTGCCACGCTGATAAACTATCTCGTTTAAGCGTATTCCATGCCCGGTGGCGTAGGGGAGCAGTCGCCCAAGAGCCGGCCGTGGACCGGTAGTGGGAGGTGTATGTGGAGTCGCTGACCGGCAGAGGTGGCCGGTTTTGTGTGGTGGATGTTGGCGATACCGGCCCTGACGTCCTGACCGGCTCCTCGTCGTGCTCGGACAGGATGCTCCCTTACCAAAGCCACGGCAGAATAGCGATAAGCTCGGTGACGGACCGAGAACAGAGCACAGCGCGCACGAGTCGTGCTCCCCCCCCCGGTTGCGGGCCTCGCCAGACCGACCGGCTCTACCGGCAGCCTCAGGTAGGCGTCGATAACCGTGGAGGCTCTGTCGACTGCACCCTTCCTATGTAGCCAGGAATCAACCGGGAATTCGAGACCTGATGGATGGATCTGGCCGGAGTCGGATGAAGGGACGCGCGACTCAATCCCCGGTTACTCCACGCAAATACAGTGGAGATTGTTATGTTCAATTGTTCAATTGAGCGTTGAATTGACACAAACCCTATCCATGACTCTTTATCAAAGTTAGGCCTATATTGACGTTCAAGCTAGGACCGGTTTGCAGTCCACGTTATCTTTCTTGGGCCTGCCTGTCAACGCAGCCTCTGGAAGTCCCTATCGCAAATCCTCTCAGTGGCCTCTTCTCCCGGCCCCTACCCCAACAAGCCCTTGGCCGTCCGTGATCATGTACTTGCTCAGTATTCCAACCCTGCTGGCATCAGCATGCCTACTCCCATCGTTGGCATATGCCCACGGCCATGCGCACGCTCACGCAGACACCCTGGACGCGGACAAGATTGCCTATCTCGAGCAGCTTCACGCCAAATGGGGCACAGATGTACGTCGACTCCCCGGCGAGGCCGAAAAGTTCCACGTTTCCCCAGCTTTCAGTCTTGAGTCTCTTGACTCGTGAATCGCGCCGTTGCTAACGCAGTGACATGTGCTTTGCAGTGGTCCTTCTCCGGCATCTCGACTTTTGCCCATCTACCACACTTCAAGTGTCTCACACAGCCGGACGAGGACTTTGACATTGGCATCATCGGTGCGCCCTTTGATACCGCCGTCAGCTACCGACCTGGCGCGCGCTTCGGTCCCAGATCCATCCGTGCCAACTCGGCTCGCCAAATTTCCTTTCGCAGCTTCAATGCGCGGGCTGGCATCAACCCTTACACTTCGTGGGCGCGCATCGTGGACTGTGGGGACATTCCCGCCTCGCCCTTTGACAATGCCCTCGCTCTCCACCAGATGAGCGAGGCGTACATTGAGCTCGGCAAGAGGAACGCTCCCAACCCATCAGACGGGTACAGGGGCAAGTCGCGTCTCTTGAGTCTGGGAGGCGACCACAGCATTGCCTTGCCTGCGCTCAGGGCGCTTAAAGAACGCTATGGCCAGCCCATCTCGGTACTGCACTTTGACGCCCATCTCGACACCTGGCACCCAGCCAAGTACCCTTCTGCCTGGATCGACGACGACGTCGAGTTTGCGCAGAGCTACTTCAACCACGGCAGCGTCTTTTGGCTGGCTGGCGCAGAGGGCCTCATCGCCAACGGTTCGTCTGTCCATGCTGGCCTGCGCACCCGTCTGTCGGGTGGTGACTGGGCTGACTACGAGGAGGACACCCAGCAGGGCTGGTATCGCATTCCAGCCGACGACATTGACGACATTGGCGTCCAGACTGTCATTGACCGCATCATGGGCAAGCTCGGTACGGAGAGACCCGTGTACTTGTCCATTGACATTGATGTCATTGACCCGGGCATGGCGCCTGCCACTGGCACCCCGGAGCCTGGAGGCTGGACGACGCGCGAGATGATCCGCATCATCCGTGGGCTGGAGGGTCTGAACCTTGTCGGTGCGGATATTGTGGAAGTCAGCCCTCCATACGATGACCGCGTCGAAGGTACGGCGCTGGCGGCTGCCCAGCTTGGCTACGAGCTGATCACCAGCATGGTCAAGAGGGGCTTGGAAGAGAAGAAGGACAAGACAGATGCGAAGGATGAGCTATAGACTGTACAGTACTGGAAGCGGTCGTGGCGAAACGTGGGAATGAAAAGACGATGTTATGAGCACGCAATCGCTGGGCTGAATTGAGTATCGACGAACGAATCAAGTAACTAAACCCTCAGAACATCCCCGTCCACCCGTCCGGCCCACGCCCATCTCCCTCCACAGGCGCGTGCCCCAGGTCAATGTCGAATCCATACCCTTGGCCGAGCATATCAGACAATCCCCCCAGCGTCGCCACACCGCTCGATCCCCAGTCCGCCGGCGTCCCGAAAGCACCAGCATTGTTCACAGACGGCATCGCCAGGGGCGTCGTCGCCTTGGGACCAGCAACACCACCCCAGCCGCCCGAGGCAGCGTTCCCCGTGAGCGACGGGATCCCCAGCGACGGATCAAACGCCTTGTCGTCCCCCACGCTGCCGCCGTTGACGTGCTTCGACGTCACGCCCGAGCCTTGCCACTCCATCTGCCACTTTTTGAACATTTCGTAGTCGGATTCGCGAGAAGCGGGCTCCTGCGGGTTGTCTGGGACGTCCATACGGGCAATGGCGTGCTCAAACGCCTCGATGAGGGAGGCGTCGAAGCGCGCAGAAGCACCCCACGCAGCCATGTTCTTCAGCATGGCGATCCCCTCATATAGCGGTTGGCGCAGTCGCTCGGTGGCGTCCTGCTGCTGCTTCTCGATGAACTGGGAGAGTATGACGAGCAGCGCGACGCGGAGACCGCTGAACTCAGTGTAGGACGCCCGCGCGAGACCAACTGTGTTCTGCAGGAGACGGCAGAGGTCAACGATGGACAGGGCGGCGTCCACGCAGTCGGTGATCATGATGGAGCGCCGTCGCGCGTTTAGTGACACGGAGCGTGGGCTGGGCTCGCCAACCTCGCTGCTGGCAGGCTCCACGGAAGGCCGTCCCTTGGAAGAGGACCGGGGTCCCATGGAGTTGTTGTTGAGGGGCGTGATGAAGATGCGGCCGGCGTACATGCGCAAAACGCAAAACTCGAGACGCACGTGGACTGCTGCGCGGGACACGGCGCCGTCCATGGCAGGGTTCTGCGAACATACCTCGCTGGGTAGGGTTTGCCACCACCTGTGCAGCTCGTCCTTGATGTCGACCAGCCGTGCGAGCGCGCAGAATGTGGTTTGCCGATCGGCAGCCTTGAATAGGGAGATCTCATGCCTGACCCTGCCGATGAAACCGCAGAGATGAATTGAGGCGTGGAACTGTGCTGTGTTTTGAGGGGGCGAGCCTGGCCAGATGTCTTGCCTGTGGACTGGGTACGACGCGTCAATCTCGCCGTCCAGCACCGACACGGGTCTCCCGTGAAATGTGCCGACCCTTCTCTCCAGGGCGTACAGCGTCCACCAGACGCGGTTCCTCGTCTCGCGAATGACCAGCTCCAGACCTTCGCCCGGGTAATTGCGATGCATGCCGTTTTGGATGGCAAGTTTCATTGCGAGGTTGATATAGGTCCACGCCAGGCCCGACGGATCGAGAGGAAGCGTGTACAGCCCGATAAGGAGACATGCCTGGGTGCTCTCGAGCGAGGCGATGGCGATCACGTCGGGTAGTAGCTTGCAGGCTTGCTGGTAGAACTTGATGCCAATCGCGTCTTCCGAGAATGACGCGTTGTTGTTGGTCTTGCCGCCTAGAGAGTCCAGGTAGACGTACTGCGTGCCCACCGCGAGGACCATGTAGATGATTGCCAGCGTTGGCACGTCACGGCGTGACAGTGATGCCGGATTCTCGTAGACAACGTCCATCTTGCGATTGAGCCAGGTCCTGTCGACGAAGAAGTAGTCGCCCTCGGCGTGGCAGAAGAAGGCTCGGGTGAGAACGTCGGCGATTTGGCGAGGAGGTAACGAGGACGACAGGCCTGATGCATCGGGGGGCGCTTGAAGCTCATCGAAGCGGTAGAATTCTTTGATCTTGGGGGCGTCGGGGGCGTCCTGTGTATTGCGGTCAGAGTAAATCCAGTGAGGAGAGTGCACTGCTTCCTACGGTTCTGTGAGGGCCAGTGGCTTCTATCCACTGCTTGATCCTGCCTCTGTCAGCGCTTGGGGCCAAGTCCACTGAAGGCAATTTCTCACCTCATACTGAAATTCCAATGAGAAAATTCTCCAGAGTAGTCTATACACGTCTCAGTCAGCTGGATCGTACCCGGTCTGGGATGAGCATCTCTCACGTGTGGCATTGTTCTCCAACGGTTGTACCGTAATCTCATCGAGCTTGACGTCCCCTGAGCTGTTGGACTTGACCTCTGCATCCTCCTCGGGCGGCATCTGATCGAGCCTCTTCTTCTCGACCGAGTCGGCCAGATGCTGGAGCGTGTCCCCATCGAGCTTCACGTTGCCCACAAAGTGCGTCAGCAGGCGCTCCATGTTGGCCATGCGCTTCGTCATCTCCGCGACATCCTCGTCCGCGCCTTGCCGTGCGCTCGTGCCCCCATTCTCCGACGCGCCCGCCCTGGCCCGCGCCGTCGACTTGGTAAAGGCACATCGTCGCTGGAGGTGCACGCACCTTCGGCAGGGCAGGCCGCCTTCGCACTTTTCCTTGACCTTGCGGCACCCGTCGCACCTGTCACAGCCCACTGTCAGCTCGAGGACAAATGCCAGGGAAGCATTGACGAGACTCACGCGCGCGCTGCCCGCTGACGGGTCAGGTTCGGTCCACTGCGCGGGGCCGACGGCTGCTGCTGAGAGTTGGCCTCGGATATGTCGCCGCTGTAGTTGGGGGGTAGCTCCTGAGGGTCCATGGCAGGGAATGATCTGGCGTAAGTGAGGTTCGAGCTGGGGCTTGACAGTCGGTCAATTACGCACGATGCGCTGCTGGTTCATCCGAGAAAGAACGTCAACTGAATGGAGAGTCGAGGCCCAAGCCGCAATCGGCGACACACATGTTGAAGATCCACTGATATCAAAATGCGGGTGGGAATTGGAGACAAGGGGCCCACCACCTAGTGCACCCATCCCTCCTCATCATCGCCTGCCAAAGAGAGATAGACACCAATGGCATTGGCTCCTGCGGTTTTAGTTCTTCTCACATCAATTGCTGCGAGTCAAGTAAGTTCGACAGGACTGGCCCGCTTTGCTAGTTCGGTGTGCAGCAGTGGATGTAGGCGGCCCCCGGTACGCACTCCCCCATAGTTATGTTCCAAGACATCCATGTTATTTCAGTACCTTATACACTCATCAGGACTCCAGGAGGAAGACATCTAGGGAGCAGGTAGAACGGACAATCCTTCTATATGAATATGAAGAAGGTCGTGGCCTTTGATGGCTCTGCAAACGATTCTAATTTAGGCTGCACTATGCGTCAAGGACTGAGCACAGAAAGAGGCCACTCCCCATCAAGTCACACCCAAAACTCGCGAGTATCTGGCCCAACATGTTTGGTTGGCTCCTCGTCATGTCTCTGCGATTGATCCTTCTGCCGGGTCTCATGCTGTCCTAACGCTTCTAGACGGCCATCACGTTCTTCTTGACTACCGGGTAGAGCCAGCGCGAACAGCGCGTCTGGAAGGCATGCAGTAGGGGGGAGCTGTGGCTGGCACATTGTCGTCAGGGCCGTGGAAGATGATGGCCGTCCCTGCGAGGACGGGCTCTGCACTTGCGACGTGATAAGCTTCCGGTCCGCGTTTCTGTGCAGGAAACGACGCTCCAACCTCATAGGATGTCTGCACTCATGACGTTGTCGTCGAATTCGTTGTCCCGAAATGCCACGAGAGGCGACGTTTTGCGTAGCCTATGCCAAAGGCCGCTATGGTGATGGTGCTCAAAGGCAATGGCAACATGTGTCGGGACAGTCATCTTGGCTCTGTCGTGGAACGTCCTTGTGGCATTTCAAGGCAGAATGCTCATGGAAGAGCAACGGACGCTTTCGGATCTCTAGTCCTGTGCGGTAGTATCATGACCGAGTAATCAGAGCACCGAGTGCAGCTTGTATTGGAAGTTGACGGTGCCAGTCTGCACGCCCACGCTGTTGACCATCTTCAGCTCATGGAACGCCTTGAGAGCCTCCCTCTCGCCCGACGAGCCTATGCGGAGCTGCTCCAGCAGGTGAGCCAGGACAGCGTAGAGGATGCTGTAGTTGCCATCGCCAACCTTGACGGCCAACCCCAATGCGCCCCTGGCACCGAGGCGTCTCGTTTCCTCTGATTCCTTGACGCCGATGGCATAACATGCATCAGCGCCCAGTTTCCCGATGAGCCGCCCCTCAAAAGCCTCCATTAGCATCGTGCAGAATCGACCATCGCCGCCCACCTGTTCAGGATGTCGAGCCATAGCGTCGTATATCCGCCCCATCCATCTCTCACGCTCCGTGGTCGCTGCATCCCTCCCCAGGTCGCTTGATGCTTTCGCGAATAACGCATAGCTGTGGCTCAAAGAGATGAGCGGGTAGGCTGGTGCTGGCATGTTGCAACCGTCGATGCCCCATATGATCTCGCTGGGCGGCAACCTGGCGACCTCTTCGACGGCTCTCTTGACGCGCTGCTGGATGGGATGGTCGTGTAGATGGTAGTCTGTCAGTGGCGCGCCCAGGGCTTTCGCTCCCGCCAGCATGCCAGCATGTTTCCCTGAGCAGCAGTTGTAGACCGCCGTGGGCGTGACCCCGTCCCTCCACCAGCCCTCCGTCACTTGGGGCGTGATGGACGGCTGGCCACCGCAGCGCAAGTCGTCTTCCGTGGCGCCGACCTTGACAAGCATCTGGCGAGCCCGCTGGACGTGGCGCTCCTCGCTGCTATGCGACGCGCACATGAGAGCGAGGTCCACACTGTCAAAACTAGACTGGTCAGCGCCACCCGTCTCGACCACAGCCAGGGCCTGCATCGGTTTGGCCGCCGATCTGATCAGCGTGATGCGGTGGGGATTGCCGACGTAGAAGAGTAGACGGCCGTCCGCGTCTGTCACGGCTGCGTGGATCTCGTGCGTGTTCTCGACGACGCCGCCGCGGTCTGTGACGACCAGGTTGTCGCCATATGTAGTTCTCGTCATGGTGGCGGGTTCAAATCTCAGCCCAGGCGTGCAATCGTGGCTCGGGACTCCGTTAGGGGTTCCAGAAAGACAGAAGAAACTCTGGCGACCGTTGTACCACGTGAAGGATACGGTCGCAACATGCACGGAAGTGTCGCATCTTCTCACGGGCATCGTAAAAATCAAGAGGGCGCCCCAACGGGAAGGTGGATCGGGACCTTTGTCGAGGTAAAGGGCGCTATTGACGCCCACGCGGTACGCATACTGAAGGACGCTGCCATTGTAATGATGGAAAGCAATTTGATATGCCTAAATAATGTTGATATGAAAGTTGCGAGCACCATGCCAGAGCCGTGTCAGGTAGGGTGAGGCAAAGTGGGATGGTTGGAGTGTGGCACCACCAAATTGATGAAACTCCAAAAACGCGTCGCCCACGCGCCTGCACCACTGCCACCAGCACCACCACATCTACAAGCCACACACTCCAATGCATCGGCTCTTCTAGCCTCCTGTGAACCAGCAGCCAGCCGGTCTGCTTGCTCCCCGACTGCCGTCATGTCTCGACGTCGCACGCCCCGCGATTCGAACGCCTCGACCGTTTTCACCGACATCGAGACCGAAGATCCGATCCCCAGCTTCTTCAACCACAGCTTCTCGACCTACCGCGTGTCACCTCTCCATGTCGGCGACGAGCCCTTGACAGAAGCACGACTCGGCGCACTGTCGCGACGCTTGCGGGACGTCCTCGTCGGCGACGTTGTGCGTGGTGTCCACATTGGACTCGAATCGAGCGCGACGGCAGCAGGAGCTCAGGTTGGCGTGCTCAAGGCCGTCCGAGTGCGTCTGTTCCGCGCCGAAGATGTCTTTGGCACGGGCGTCCAGGACAGCGAGGACGTAGGCAGTGCATGGGCTGCCCTGTCGGACGAGCAGAAGCGAGGTTTGTGGATCAGCGTCCAGTACGAGAATACAAGCTATCATGCACTCCTGCTCCCAACCATCCAACAACAGGACAAGGCTACACCCCAGGCATGGCAGATGCAGCCCGGCAACAGCAGATTGAGAGGAAAACAGAGCGCGTCCAGAGACGACATCTTCCTTCACCTCCCACTCATGCTCTTCCGAATGCCTCTCGCACTGAGGAACATTATCAGCGACTGGCTGTCTACAACCTTTGACTGCCGCGTGAGCAAGCTGGCGCTTGGGACGCGAACCCTGGTGACCGTCTGGGAAGAATGGATCGACGCGATTGGGATTGCGGCCCGAGGCTCGGACTTTGTCATAACGCTTGCCTTCAACGCGCCCTTGGCAGATCCGTCGAGAGCAGCAGACAACGACGACGAGGAAGACGAGGGTCCGCAGTCGTACAAGTCAGGTCTGCGGTCCATCGACATTACAATGCAGCCACAAGATCTGCGTCGCTTCGTGCGCGCGGGCAAGGCCATCGCAGAGCCACGAGCGAAGACAGGTGCTTCCTGGGAGACCGATCATCGCGAACGTCGCAGACTGGCGGGCAACGACTCTGACAATGGTTGGGCATGGCTCTTGTCGGGTCAAGCGACCGAGCAGCAGCCATTCACTAATGCTCTTGCACGGTATCTGGATCACCACCTTGCGCTGAACCTGTTCCATCCCAGCGTGCGTGTTGTGCAGATTGCCGCCAACGGCTATGTCTTGGCGTCGAGTCGCTTGAAGATTGTCAGCAAGGACGCGCCGAACAGCAGCCTGTCCAAGGCGACGTGGATGTTTATCACGACCATTGGACAGCGCATCAGCGGCGAGGCGCTTCCGGCGATATTTACGTGAGCAGCGAACCAACCTCCCAAGCACTACCAGGCTATCGCGTATCTCACGTCTTTTCCCCGCATATACTATTTGCGCTGCGATTGAGGCTTGAGCTGTAGCCACACACACCCCTGCTCTGGAGCATCCAACTTCCTACTCCACAGCCGCCAACTTTACGGGGCTTATTGCATCATAGGGGACCCTGGGCGTGGGAGCCAAGGGTCCTGTGCATCTCGATCGGCAGCATTCTGGCGCGGCAGATATCATACAGGTTTAGCAGCTCAGGGATGACGCAAGGCTGATGACCGTTCAGTATAAGAAGTGGACGAGAAGCAAGACGATCGCGCTCATCAACCACCTTCAGAACAACAACAAATCACCAGCAATTTATTCGTCTATCCATCTCCGTCAACACATTACAATGTCTTCATCTGCAGGCGCCCGTTCCGTCATGTCCAACGACATGCAGGAGCTCGGACAGGGCAAGGAAGACGTCTCCAACGCCATCCGGGGCCACAAGGCGAACCTGTCCAACCCCAGTATGCACTTTACCATGAGTCTGTTCGATGAGGTGTGATACTGACTGGCAGCGCAGACACCAGCGACGAGAGCAAGAAGCACAGTGAGGAGGAGATTGCGCGCCTCGGAGGAGAGGCCGGCCACCTTGGCGGGGAAGACCAGCCCAAGAGCAAGAGTGCGGCCAACAACCTGGAGGGCAGCCGTGTGGCTTAAGAGTCGTGATCGGATACCCAATGATGACATGATTTTCGGACTGCATTTTTCGGTCGCTGTACACTATGATGTATGTTCGTCGTGCAGGTTCCTGAGCATTGCCAATGTGAACGTTTATATCTCTTTTGTCTATTCCATGTCTATGTCTAATCCCACTGAACACCAACAGTCTATACCACGCTCGCTAAACTATGCAATAAAAGACACGCCCTTACTGGGGCAGCAGCACGGCCCTGAAGCGGACCTTGCCCTCGTTCAGCGCATCGGTCGCCTGCTTGATTCCCTCGACGGTCATGGGGAACGTCTCGGTCCAGGGCGCAATGCCGTGCAGACCGGCGAAGCGCAGCATCTCTCTGTGCACGGTGCGCGTAGCCACAAGCGAGCCTTGAACGGCGACGCCACTAAGCAGCAGGGGCATGGCCGGGATCTTGAGAGCGTCCTGCGACACGGTCAAGGGGTAGATGGTGCCCTTGGGCGCCATCCAGGGCATGATGACGTCCCAGTCGGGGAGCGCCGAGGTGGTGACGAGCAGGCGGTCAATGGGGGTGGGCTTGGTGTTCTCGTCGCGCTTGTTCATGGCGATGAACTCGGTGGCGCCCAGGCGGTGCGCGTCGTCCTTCTTGCTCTCCGAGCCCGACAGGACGACGACGCGGCAGCCCATCTTGGCCGCGAACTGAATGGCCAGGTGGCCGAGGCCGCCGACGCCAATGACGCCCACGGTCTCGTCGGCGCGGACGTCGTGGAGGGGTGTGAAGACGGTGGCGCCCGCGCACTGCAGCGGCGCGGCGACCTCATCGGTCATGGAGTCTGGGATGGGGTGCAGGTGGCTCTCGGGCCAGACGGCGCCGTGCGAGAAGCTGCCCTGCTCCGTGTCGTGGAAACCGTACAGGCGCCTCTGGGTGCAGAAGACGTCCTCGCCCTTGATGCACTGCTCGCAGGCGCCGCAGGCACCGTGGACGTAGCCCCAGCCGACGCGGTCGCCCTTTTTCAAATTCTGGACGTCAGGGCCGACGTCCTGGACGACGCCGACGCCCTCGTGCCCGAGGACCACGTCGGCTGCCAGGTAGTGCAGGTCCGTGCCGCAGAGACCGGAGGCGGTGACCTTGACGAAGACTTGGGTGCCGGTGAGCTGGTCGGGTTTGGTGGTCTGGTCCTGCTTGGGGGTGCCCTCCTTGGAGCCTCTGAACACGGTGAAAGATGGCATGGCTGTGGGTTTCGAGGTCGTCTAGGAGAGAGGTGGTTGTTGCTCAGGAGGGAGTAGAGGCGTTCGAGTAGATGAAGTCTAGGAAGCTGTGGAAGCTGATGACAAGTCTTCTTTGACAAAAGCCATGTTGCTCTATATATACGCTTCGAGAATCGTCCTCGTCATGTCCCCATAATAGTCGAGGTTTTCGCAAGATGTCTATGCGACTCCATAATTGCGCAAAGATCTTGTGTCGGAGTCACGGAGCCGGAATACTCGCCCGTCCTTGAAATTCTGCGAGGTTGGGTTTATCATGAAGCCTTATCGCCGTTAAATTGAGCATTGATCATTCTCGTTCGGTATTTGTAATCTTCCTCTCCAGAGAGACGCTACTGCAGGATTGAATGGTGGACAACTGGGAAGCAGAAGATCGCTTGGCTTTCGTTGATGCCAAGTTCGGTAGCCAGCGCCATCCATCGGGCCGGCACCTGTCAAAGATATCGTGGCAATGAATTGACCAATCAATAACTCCTGATACGCTTTTATCGCAGCCTCCCGCTTGACTCGAAATCGAGCCGAAGTCATCATTGTACGTAGTACGTGTCGACGTCGACGCAGTGTCCTGCAACAGATACGACAGCGCACCTGGTCCTCGTTGGCATCAAATTGAAAAGCACATCCAGCCCTGTCAGAACCATCCAGTACACAGTGCCTTGTGCCTCTCAGGGTCAATGTTCTCTCTTGCACCCCAAATAGCGGGAGTGCACTGCGCACGTGGAAAGCTGCATAATGAGGCTTGAACCTACCCACTAGTATCTGACGCGCGGGCGGCAGTTGGAAAAATCAACCCCAATTCTTACTTCCATGATGTCACTTCCCGCGATAAAGATCTCTTATTTGTACTCTCTTGCTCGTGGCCGGAGTCGCGGAGCCACAGCCTCCCGTTATGTCGGAGTCTTGCATGCGATTCGGAACAACTCCAAAAACTGCATGGAAGCCGCTGTTCACAAATTAATTTTGGAAACCAGTGGCTTGATCTGAGGCTCATGGATTATTAACTACGCAAGAACGCATGAGATGGCACGCGGCGGAAATTAGCGCAAGTCCTTCTCCGCCCAGGACTTGAGACACGGTGATGAAGAAAATGCGAGTAATTACACGTAGAGGCAATGTCTCGAAGTTGCCAAGTGAAGAAAGCATGGACCGAGAGGACTACTATTTTGAAAGAGCACGCAGACGCCCATAATCAACTTGTGCTGTCTATCTCCTGGGGCATTACAATATCAGCTAGAGCGGTCGTGTCTGGGTGAACAGGGGTACAGGGTAGTCAAAATTCAAGTAAAGGTACAGCGGTAACGAGTCGGTGCCGGCTAAGTAGACACCGTACTTACGGCGAAAGGCCTCCTGCGGGAAAAGGAGTTGATGAGGACAATTTCGTAGCCTTCCATGATAATGGCGCCCGACACGAGGATGGCGCGCATGGCCGCCTGGGGATAGCGTCGCAGTGCATCGATCAGGCCCAGGGCGTCCTCCTTGTCAGCCGCCTCCTGGGCCATGCTCCTCTCCTTGGTCCCATCCGAGCCTTGGGGAGCATTCTCGATCGCCATCGCGTGCTCCACGGGTCGCTTTCTCTGCATCGCCGAAAGTCATGGTGCTGCAGTGTGATTTGAGTCGTCTGTCTGTCTTCTGGCCTCGTGGCCTGGCTGGTGGCACGCCTTGCCATTATATAAAAGCAGCCAACCCCTAGGTCTTGGCAATTCCAGACGTGCAGCTCAGCCGAATAGTCAGTAGCCTCAAACGATCCGGGGTACAGGTGATGGTGGATGGCTTACGTCCCCACGGGGGCCAAGGTTCGGGGAAAAGGGGAACTCCATCCCCATCGGAGAACCAGACAACCAATACACCCACCTTGAAACAGCAACGCAACGTCCTGTGACCTCGCCGCGCCGTTCAATTATCCGTCGGCCGGATCAATCGCTGGAATCGCTCAGCATGGACATCCCCAATCCCCCAGATTCGATCCGGTTGCGTTGCTGTGGAGTTGGACCGGCCCCCGCCGCGCTCTCTTGGGCTCGTGCGTGGTCACGGCCCAGTTCTAGACGCTGCTGTAGTCCATGTCCATCCGGCAGCATGCGAGCGCCAATTCGTAGGAACTTGCTGGCCGCGCCTGTAGAGCGAATGCTACCCACGCCAGTGAGATGACCCGCCATCTGGGAGCCTCTCTTGACAAAGGTCTAGACCAGCTCGTCATCCAGCGGTCGATCTAGATGTAGAAAGGTAGGATCACGGTCGGAGTTGTCTCTCGAGTCACGGCGTGGCGGGGTCTTCAAGCTCGAGCCACCATTGTCCTATGCCTCTCTGGCGATGGGCAGCTGGAGGCTGGAGCTGTACGCCCACAGAACTAGCGTGGCCATGTACAGCCCAAAAGGCTCAAGCACCATTCCGGCAGCGTCTCATGCACCACCGAGAGCTTGTGGTCACCGCGCCCTCTGACAATGACCTCTGAGGTCTATGCCACCCGTGACGATGGCAAGCCCAAGGTCCTAGCTTCCGTCCGCCCAAATGCGGCCACGGGCAGGTATGATCTCACGCTGACCGGGCTCGACGCTCTCGGTGTCCAGGGTGACAGCGTCCAGGTTAAGACCCTGCGCTTCAAAGGCCCAGATGTGTAAACGATTGTTTCGAAGCCCACGGATATGGGAGTGCATGAGCACCTCGTTCAGGATAACTTGGTCACATTCTGATTCGAGCCACAGGTCAACACGGCTGCGTATGCTTTTGAGCTCTGAGCTGGCTATATATGGGGCGGGTGAAGTGGTTTTCAAATCTATGAAGGAGATTAGTAAAGCCTCAGAAGTAAAGTGAGACAAAGACAGTGATGACTTCTTGAGTGTGTGATGTAGAGATGGTGTGGATGTTGGCATTCTGTCGCCTGTGTGACTTGCATGAGCCGTTGACTGACAGGCTACGTCATCGCTCTATTCGACTGCCGATAGTTCACAACCCTATAAGGAGTGACTCCGCACCTTACTTTGACATGTGATCAACTATTACCAACTACCATACTTGATACCAGCTGCACTTACTAGACCCGATATTACGCGATATACAATACCAAGATGCCTCTCATCAACCCAGTGCAGAGCAATCCCAAGGATTTGACGGAGGAGTGGATGAACAAGCTCATGGGAAAGACGATCTCAGACTCCGAGTCGAGCGCCACCGTGAGTTTCTGGAGAAGAAATTTCTGTAGGGAAGATATACTTACAATGGCTAGGCCTTCTCCAAGAAGGATCTTCCAGAGGGGCATCGCGTCGTTGGCCCCAACACAAGGACGACGAGAGACATCAATCCAGACCGGCTGACAGTCCACACTGACGAGCAGGGCATTGTCACTAACGTTGGCTTCAACTGAGTACGGCAGGCTCGTGAGTGGAGGAGAAATTATAATAAAAGAATACTCATTACCTGCTGCGCAGCTAATCCCAACGGACTCTCTGGAATATCCCACTTTCTGCTGTCCATTTGACGAGTTCATCGCCCAGACTCTCGCGATCATCGCAACTCGCTTATGCTTCAAATCATCATCCAAGGCCATCGACTTCTACTTGCCGCATTCGGCCCACGAAGAGCATGCGTGCATTGCAGATCCCAGCGAGAGGCTTTGTTTAGTCGTGTGTTCTGGTGCACTTTTGCGAAATCCATCAAGGGACAGACAGCTGCATGACAAACACCATTGCAAACATCGACCGACCAGCTCGATAACGGTTCCCCATGAGCCCCGAAGGACCTCACGCGAGAAATCCTGCAGAGTGCCCCCACGCACAGATCCTCTGCTTGCTTACCGCAGTCACTGTCGTATTGCAGCTCCTAGTTGCCTTCGGCACCTGGCGATATCGGGAAGGTTGATGATGGGATCAGCAGTCGATGTGACCTGCATAAGAAAAGCTTGTGATCGCCCGGCTGCACGTGCACCCCCGCTTGTCACAAAGCTTCGAATGGGAGATGCGACGGTTGGAAATGATCTACAATGTTTGCAAAGCTTGTGCTTGAGAGGACAGGCCCTTGAGCAATGGTCGATGCTGCGGCAGACGAAACGCAACAACCGGAACAGATGCCTCCCTTCGAGAAATTGGGGAGCCCAGCGTGAGATTCATCAATACCCATTGACAGCTGCAACTAACAAGTACAATTGCGCCATTGACTCACAACTGCCGCTACTAAACACCGTATGATGTGGGCTAAGAGAAGCTCATTCTGTAGCTTCAACAAAAGCTCTAGTCAAAGTTTTCATCGATTTTGACGAGATTGGTTGTCGAATTCACATATGCATGCCTATCATATGGTTACAGTTTCTGGTCCACGACGCGGATGGACGGGCACTTTTGTGATGTATTGCGCTGCGGCGACGAAGATGGAAGCTGCACCGCTGAAATTCCTAGTCTTGTCCACACGAGGGAGTTGAGAGCAAAGCTTCATGCGCGGCAGCGTCCATGTAACTCCATTGCTGGGTCAAACCAAGGTCATCACGAGGGGGACTTGATGCGGGCAATGTTGGCTGAGTGCCGATGACTTTTGGATATAAGAACAGGAGGACGTCGCTAATCAACAATCTGTTCTACTCGACTATCCATCCATCAGACCATTGGAGAGATTTGAGGAGCTCAAATCTCTCCTAATCTCATCCTGCTGACCTCCAGCACAATGGTTTCCAAGCTCGCTCTCGCTGCCGCTGCGCTGTCCACCTTCACTGGTGTCTGGGCGGTCCCCGTGCCCCAGATTCTCCAGGAGATCGTGGGCGGCGAGCCTGCGGCCCAAGGCGAGTTCCCCTACATCGTCTCTCTTCAGCGCTCTGGGAGACACTCCTGCGGCGGTGCTCTCCTCAACGCCGACACTGTCCTCACTGCCGCTCGCTGCTCCGTCAACGTCAATGTCGGCATCCTGTCTGTTACCGCCGGTACCAATGTAAGTTTCTCCGAGTGGCACACTTGCCCAATGCTAGTGACGCTGACATCCTTTGTAGACCTGGTCTTCCGGTGGCACTGAGGTTGGTGTCTCCAGGATCGCCGTTCACCCCCAGTACGACGACTATTCGCTCGAGAACGACATCGCTATCTGGAAGCTGTCCCGACCCATCGCGGCAGGCAGCGGCATCGGCTACGCGAGCCTGCCCTCTTCCGGCTCCGACCCCGCCGCCGGATCCTCCACCACCATTGCGGGCTGGGGCATCACCCGCGAGGGCGGTGCAAGCAGCTCGCGACTGCTCAAGGTCTCCGTGCCCGTCGTCGACCGCGGCGAATGCAACGCGTCGTACGGTGGCGACATTACCGACGCCATGTTCTGCGCTGGGCTGCCCGAGGGCGGCAAGGATGCCTGCCAGGGCGATTCTGGCGGTCCCATTGTCGATAACTCGGGTGACCTGCTCGGTGTTGTCTCCTGGGGCCAGGGCTGCGCTCGTCTTGGCTACCCTGGTGTTTACACGCGCATTGCCAAGTTCATCTCGTTCATCAACAGCAATGCGTAAAGGGCTGCAATGGGGCTTGGGACGAGGTCCTTCACTGTCTATATTCTTGTAGATGTTGGCATGAGGTTTCCATTTAGACTCGGCAACGGACCACGTTAGATGTAGCCAACAGTTTCAAATATCCAATTTGTTGTGCGGAATCGGGTAGGGACAGTTCCATGCGTGTTCCTGGAGTCTGTGAACTCTCGCGTCCATGTCACAGGCATAACACTCGATCCTTACAGTGTCTATAGATAGCAACTTTGAGGCTGTGGATCTCTTCACTCTCCGGTACACTAAGTACCATCGTGCAGAATCTTTAAAAATCCCCTTGCTAATTATAAAACACTCTCGGTACATGTACCGTGATGCCAAACGTACCTCATTTAACAACTCCCTAATTAAGGTTAGCGCCTACCCTATACCAGAGCCAATGGCGACATCCGTATCACCAATGGAGTTGAATCAACACGATCCTTTGTAAACATACTCTCAAGAGTGTGAGACATGAGATCACATCCCAGCACGCGTGGTTGAGAATGTGTAGACCTTTTTGTCAAGCGCGATGATGACAACCATGTACAGAGACTGACATTCCAGATGCCTATGATCAATTCCAAGCCACCTCTAATATACTCTCCCAAAGTATGGTAAGTCTAGTCATATTCGTGGGCGAGTCTGCCACAGAACCTCCAAGTTAGTATTCTCCGTCCATATCGAGAAGTGAGATTTGGCATTCCATTACGGCCAGAGCGCTCTTCACGCCGCCGTACTTCGTATATCCTGGACCTGGATCCACCCCGCCAGTCCGCTCGCTCATCCGCTTATGCTAGTCATGCCTGTCACCGACTAGCCTACCGGGTGGGGCTAGATCTAAGACATGTCAATAAATCAATCAATCAATACGCACGGCCGAAACTATTGATGTGCCACGCGAGGAGCTGCTGGCGCTGATTGGCACCTCTCTTTGAGTCAGCGGCGTGAACGAATACTACGTAGCATATGTACGTACGTACCAGAGGCGAGGTCTACGCTAACAAACATTGAATCCATGATGATGACAGGACCCTGAGCCCAGACTGCATGTACCTTAGCAAGATTAATCTCATCCTACAATTGTAATTCCGTTAATCTCCAGCAGGCAAAATCGGAATCTCCCATCAGTCCGCCCCTCAATTCAATCCCCGACTCGCATGACAGAATCACCGCGGAGCATGGGTCAAGAAGCCCCCTTAGACAGGGGGGCCGCCCAGCGTTCACACGTGCATTGGCCTCGGCCACGCGAGGCGAGGCGATTTCCACACCATATTAGCAGTGAGCACGACCAGTGTGCATAACCAACACGCAGTTTGCAGTCTCGGCGCGTGGCTCCCCATTTGGGGGCTGAAAAACACGCAGTCTCCAATCTTCCAGTCCCTTTCCTTCTTCATGATTCATTCCGTCGACACCTTATCAGCTTGAAAATACCCAGTATACCAGTCACGGTTGCGGAGTAGTGGCGGACGCACTGCGTGCTATCATTCCCCGCCAGCATCATGAAGGTCATCATCGCTGGCGCCACAGGCACCGCCGGCCGAGGCATTACGCAAGTCTGCCTGGCCGATCCCCGCGTGACCAAAATCCTCATCCTCACACGACGCCAACCAAGCAAAGAGGTGGCCTCCCACAAGAAGGTCGAGGTCATTATCCACGAAGACTTCTCCACATGGCCCGCGTCGGTTCTTGAGAAGCTCGAGGGCGCGGAAGCGTGTCTCTGGTGCGTCCTTCTCCCGCGCGACAATCGTGACAGATGACTAACGAAAGAATCAGGGCTGTTGGCGGGCGCGTGGACCAGTTTGGCGATGATGCGGCCCTCGCGCGCAAAGTAGGCGTAGACTACACCCTGGCAGCTGCAAAGGCGATGCGCAACCATCTCGTCGCGCATTTGCCCACAGACCTGCCCCTCAAACAGCCATTTCGCTTCGTCTTTTGCAGCGGCATGCTGGCCGAGTGGGACCAGGAGCGCAAGCTATGGTTCCTCAACGACACGCGCAAGATCAAGGGCGCTGTCGAAAAGGGCCTCTGTGAATTGGCCGACGAGGAGGGGCACCAAGAGTTCGAAGTGTTCATCGCGCGACCCAGTCATCTGCTAGCGCCCGAGGCGTCGCTCTTGATGAAGATGGCGAGTCCGTTTGTGTTTGGTATCAAAACCGAGCAGGTCGGGAGGGCGATGCTGAAGATGGCGGCGGATGGCTGGGAAGACAGGATTGTCCTTACCTACAAGCTGCAGAAGATGTGATTTCACCAATACGATACCTATCTGTTCCAATTTTGTCTTCAGCGACGTCTACTTCGCTACCAGCGGGTCAGACAGGCGAGGTGCTGGCGCTTTCATACTGTCATCCCTTATGAATCCTGAAGCCAGGCGGTTGAACTCACCTCGCTCGCGACCATCGAGCAAGGAAGCTTCTGAGTCCCCGCCAGATCAATGTGGCCCATCGGTACGGACATGGCACAATGTTCCACTCAAGGCAATTCCTCCAAACCCCAGATGTCCCGGGCAACGCTGCTGCCTCAACGACCAAGCCCTCACGGTTGACCTCAGTTCGCGGGGCATCGTGCACAGCGTGGGACTCTTGGACCTTAGCTAGGTCCATCATGGTCTCCGCTTCGCACCTGTAGAGCTTGTGCTCAAAGCCCACCTGGAAAGGACGAAATTGGACATCGGGCCCTGACTCTGAGACCAATCCGGCATCCTCATGAGGCTCGCGTTGGCTGCGACCTTCATCCGCGCATGTCATGGGAGGTGAGTGACAGCCAACAAGAGACTCGTGAAGGGGCGGTTTCTTTAATCTTTCATATGTGGAGCGATGCGTACCCCTTTCCAACGGCACCTCTTTGCCAATTTGTGACGCCCCAGGCTGCTTTGCCGTTTCGTTGGGGAGCAAATCTTCGTCATCGTACACTGTCCCGCTTTCCCAGCTGCCACGCCATACTCTTACACCCACAGAGGAAAGCGGAAGCGGATCAGGGGAATCGTGATTGTTGGTCGGGGCAACACGGGAAAACCCTTTAGCTCGTGTTGGAGACCGTGAGTGTTTTCTGTTTGCGGCGGATGCTGCCATATCGACCACGGTAGGTATTGGAGCTTCCTGTGAAGCGCAGTCCGCACTGCTGGTAGGATCCGGAATTGTTTCATCTTCCTTACTCTCGCCTTTATTCTGAAAGATTATACGGGTTTCCTTTAGTCGAGCCTCCCGTGTCTGAACGCCTTCGCAGGTTGCAGCCTGGCCGCACTCTCGCATCCTCGTCGCCATAGCAGCTGTTGACTTGGGCCTATGAATGTAGAAATTCAAGACAAAAAGTAAAGATGTCCCAGAGACTGTGCAAATTGAACCCGAACTTGATCCTCAAATTCTTCCCTACTAAAGAAGCCCTGCCTGTCCGAAACCTTAGAAGTAGTATAACCCTGATGGCATCGCATTATACCGTGCCTAGAGTGGAAAATGATGCACATCGATTCCTGGCATGTTATTAGTCGCCAATCTAGAGTATCACTGCGTATATATTGGAAATCCAAGAAGGACGTCTCCTCCGATGATGCACCGCCCCCATTGATTCTCAACAGAAAGCCGCTTTGTGCACGTCAGCGTACAACTATTCGCAAAGGTTAAACGAAATTATCATATCTGCAAGATTTACGTTCGGCTGGCATCGTATCAAGCTTCCCCCTAAGTCACGAGATACAGGGCATCGTGGGCCTCAGAAGCCCTGCCCATCTAAGCTTTTCGCCTCTTTAAGTTCAGGGCAAGTCGACAAGTGTCCAACGGAGAAATAAATACCCCTTGATCGACTATTTGAGGCTACGTCTCTGCAAAACATTTATGTCCAAGAAATTCTATATCAGCAGGAGGCAATCCACTTACGAGCAATACCCATCATCACGTTCTTCCCAAAATCAGTCCCGAAAAACCAAGACAACGCAACAATACCCCATTTCGGATCCAAAGAAGCCATTATTCGTTAATATGGCACAAAATCGACGCGCAATGCTTCCCTCTTCCACGAAAAATATGCCGACCGAAAAGAGGGCCACGGCACCCAACTCCAACGTCGAGCAGGACACCCCCAAGATGGTGGTGCAGCAGCAGTTCAACCAACCCAATCAGGGTCGCCGCCTCAGAGTTACAAAGCAAGCGCTCGGCCAGCAGCGCGTCTCGAAGCACACCAAGAGCCGGTTCGCGCTGCAGTCCGCCAAGACGGGACCACCGTCGATGCCTCAATCAGAGCTCCATCACTTCAAGCCCGCTACGTCTCACCTAAACGTTCACAACGAAGTCGAGGTATGCGATGTCTTCGCTGCGGTTCTGATCGTCATGGCGATTGTCTTTATCGGAATCATGCTGAAAGGCTGGTGGAACAAGTGGATTGGCCGACGCGGCGGGGACGTGGAGCAGGCTATTCCTATGAGGACCAGGAACAAGTCGAGAAGCAGGGAGCCGGAGGCTCCGGATAACGAGTACTATGGTACCTACAACGACTTGTCTGATTATTAAATCATTGAGGGCGCCAAAGAGGGAATGCGGACATGGCACTCTGTAAGTTTGTTAGTGACGGCGCTCGTCAGTGATCACGAGTGTATGGGCGTTGATTGGGAGCCCACTCGGTCGCGAAGACCCTTCATTGATCGAAATTGAACCCAGCTCGCACGAAAAACAAAAAGAAAAACGTCCTATCTCGTTCTTGTCGCGAAATATCATAGGGTCAGCGGACAAACGTCACCACTAACATGGCCGGGCGGTTCGTCCGTGTCCTCGGCCGACTCGGCGGCCGAATGTGGGGCACCTCTTCCCAATCGAGCAACATATAGATGACGCCCAGGCGGCCCGATGCGAGAACACTCACAAACCAGCGTTGTGCTCTAGCTATTTAATCATATACTGAAATTTGAATTGACATGTGGCTACCGACTGAAACAAGTGAGTGGATAGGCTGAAAGCGGCTACACATATATAGTCCGCAACATGTCGCCGTTGCAACAACAGTGACTGCCATCTTCCTTCAGCACAGAACGATTAACATATCTTCCACCGAAAATCATCTGCCCATCCGACCAATGTCTTCCAAACTCCAATCCCAGGCAAAATGGGAGACCTCTTTCCCAGGCTTCCTCCACAGGCAACTCATCGCTCGTCTCCCCGCTACTCCCCCATCAACAAACTTCGCCAACAAGACAGCAGTCATCTCAGGATCCAACACTGGTCTTGGCTACGAACTTGCCCGTCAGATGCTATTTCTCCAACTGCCGCATCTGATCCTCGCCGTGCGCTCACAGTCAAAAGGCGAGAGCGCTGCGCGAATCTTGCGCACGGAGTTCCCCAACGCTACTGTGGAGGTCATGATACTGGACATGACCGATCCCTCATCCGTCGTGCAGTTCGCCAAGGACTGCGAGAAGTTACGGCACCTGGACATTGCCATTCTCAACGCGGGCGTGCAGCTCGTCGCATACGCCCAGGCAGAAAAGACCAAGCACGAATTGTCGTTGCAGGTCAATTACTTGTCCACCGTCCTGCTCACATCTCTGCTGGTGCCCATTCTCACCACGAAAAGACGAGGCCCTGCACCAGCACGCCTAACAGTGGTGGGGAGCGACACCATGTACTGGGCGAAACTACCAGCGTCCCTGTGGGACCTCGATTCCCCCACGTCAGATGCCAGCGAGCAATACATGAAGACCAAGCTTCTCCTTCAGCAAGGTATAACAAGACTCGCCGAGAGCGTTGACCCGGATTATGTCATTCTCAACGTAGCCAATCCTGGTTTCTGCAAGGGCACCAACATGGGGACAAGCGCTGCTGAGGGCATTGGCGCGTTGCTGTTTGGATTGTTCAAGAAGGCCGTAGGGCGCAGTATCCAGGATGGTGCAAGGGCTAATCTGCTCGCTGCGTTGGCTGGGGAAGAGTCGCATGGCAGCTTTGTGAGCGAGGGCGTGATCAAGCCGTGGCCTAATTGCATGTACACAATGACAGGACGGGCGGCGGGTGAGAGGATCTGGGACCAGACTGTGGAAGAGCTGGGGTTGACATTGGGGTCCAAGAACTGATGACAAGCGTGCGAGGTTTAAAGATTTAACACAGAGTGAGGAACAAGGAGTGAGGATACCATTTTCACGATCATTCGCACAATAAATCCCACCTTGGAAAAGCACCTGTTCAGGGATCTCAGGGTCCAGCGACTCCAGTCCTCCCGAGCCCCGCGTCTGGTGGAGCGCTCTCCAGGGGCTGCAGCGAGTCACAGCGTCTGTATCGTTAATGGTCAGCTGCAAGTTTCCGCTGCCCCTCCACCGTAGAACCCCCTCCAAGTCCACACCCCCTCCAGCTTCCAGCTTCCATTCCAGTCCGTGGGCTGATTCCACCATTACGTCGCAAGACTGTCCCAAACATAACTTCATCTTTCCTCTCCACTTTCGTCGAGACGCTTTCCCATAGAGCTATATTAAAAAAAAACTTCGACATGCCCTCCAAGCAGAAGATACCGCCCAATTCCTCCAAGACACATGCCTCACCGCATGAGGCAGCGCCCGACCTGCGCATTTTGCACTACAACGATGTCTACCACGTCGATCCGTCCAGCGCCGAGCCCGTGGGCGGCTTTGCGCGCTTCATGAGCCTCATCAAGGACTACCAGTCGGGGGAGCAGTTCAAGAATCAGCCCGAGCTTCTGACCTTCTTCTCTGGTGACGTCTTTAATCCCAGCCTGGAAAGTACGGTCACCAAGGGTCGGCACATGGTACCGGTGCTCAACACGATTGGGACAGACTGTGCCTGTGTTGGAGTTCGTATTACTGCACCCATGTCCCCTCTATGTAATGGACTAGAGCTGACTAAATCCAGAATCATGACTTTGACTTTGGCGTCCGCCAGTTCGAAAACCTCGCCTCCAAGACGAACTTTCCCTGGCTTCTCGCCAACGTCCTCGACCCAGCACTCGGCAACGACGTCCCATTGGGCAACGCGAAACGTACACACATGCTCACCTCCTCGAATGGCTTCAAGATTGGTCTCATCGGCCTTGGCGAGCGCGAGTGGCTGGCGACAATCAACAGTCTCCCACCAAACCTGATCTACAAATCCGCAAGCGAAACGGCCAAGGAGCTGGTACCTGGGCTGAGGGAGCAAGGGGCCGACATTGTCATCTGCCTCAGCCACCAACGCGAGCCCAACGACAACAAGCTTGCAGACAAGACGGACGGGCTGATGGACATTATACTCGGAGGACACGACCATCACTATTCACATTCCCTGATCAAGGGTAGCCACGTTCTTCGATCAGGCTCGGACTTTCAGCAGATGAGCTACATTGAAGCATGGAGGAACGACGCCGGGCGATGGGACTTTGACATTACCAGGAGAGACGTGACGTCGGAGATCCCCGAAGAGCCTGCCGCCGTCAAACTAGTCGGTCAGCTGACGTCGAAGCTAAAACAATCATTGTCAAAGCCATTGGGTTGGACAGCGACGCCTCTCGACGCTCGCTTCAGTACGGTGCGGATGAAGGAGTCCAACATGGGCAATTTCGTCTGTGATGTGATGCGCCAGCATCATGGCGCCGACTGCACAATCATGGCGTCCGGGACCATTCGAGGAGGACAGATCTATCCGCCCGGCGCGATCCGGATCAAGGATATCACGACATGTTTCCCCTTTGAAGATCCTGTTGTGCTGTTGAGGGTGACGGGACAAATGATCTGGGATGCGCTTGAGAATGGCGTGTGTCTATATCCTGCGCTGGAAGGACGGTTTCCTCAGGTCTCGGGGATCGAATTCGAGTTTGATCCCAAAAGGGAAAGCGGCTCAAGGATCTTATCGCTGAAGATCAATGGCGAGGAGTGGGAGAAGGATAGGAAATACAGGCTCGCGACGAGAGGCTACATGGGCAGAGGAAAGGGTGAGTGGTTCTTGCGTAGCATTGCGAGAAAATGCTAACGACGCCCAGATGGCTACATGCCTCTCCTCGTCCAATCCGAGGGTGGCCAAGCGGAAGAGATCATCGACGAGGAGAGTGGTATTCTCATCTCCACCATGCTTCGCCAGTACTTTACAGGCCTTCGCACCGTCGGGCAATGGAAGAACCTTCCCGACCACTGGCGCGACGTAGCCACGAGCGAATGCACGCCGCTCAGTCCCGTCATCACCAACACATCCGCCAGCGACGAGTGGGAGAAAACACGCCCACCGGTGCGGAATCCAGCAGAGCAGGCCGCAGCCTCTGAATCGGGAGACGAGTGGACGAGATTTCTCCAGTCAAGAATTGGACTCAGCAAGGCGCCGGTGAACGACGACGCTGACTCGGACAGCGAGGATGACGACCCGGAGGCTGTAGACGACGACAAGATGGACTTTGATATGCTGCTCATGCGAAAGTTCTTCAATCGATGGGCTAGGAAGACGGGCCTCAAGGAGAGCGCGTGTGACCCAAGTGTGGACCTTGCCATGAGTGTGGACTGGACACGCACGATTGCGCCGGTGTTGGAGGGGAGGATCAAAATGGTGCAATGATGGATGATTTATATGACGGAACATGTATGATTTGCATAGCATTTGGCCTGTGAGCGAGGCGCTGGGACCATTGAATACATTCATCCCATTCACCGGTACCTATCATGACCTGCCATCTACTTGGTCATTGTCACTGTGTCCGTCCCGCATGCATGTCACGCACGGACGTGTCGCTACTGCGTGCGCATCGACGGGTTTTCTACGGCTCTGGATGACCAGGGAGCAAGGAGAGGAGCACGAGGCTCCTCGATTGTTACCAGATTTTTCTGCCTAAGGCAGTATGTCCTAATATGATTCCACGTTAGCCAAATTTCCAAAGTGACCCCAGCCACTACCCCTCGACTCTGTCACCGCCTCCTTCGTGTCTGTTATGTACGAGTGTTTGATGAGTGTGTAGTTTTCTTTGTTACAAGGCGGCCGTGCCACGCGATTCATATGGCATCGCCAGCACCAAAAGGCCTGCGGCAATAAAGAGCGCTCCGGATGTATAGACAGGTGCCGACGTCTCCAGATTAGCAAACATGGCGATGATGGGCTGGAACCGCGTTAGTGGAATTTCAGAGTCTCACTTGTTGAAGGAACATACCGCCATGACACCAAAGATGCGGTTGCACGTCGCTGTCAATGCGTTGCCTGTGCCTCTCTGCGGCGTCGGGAACAGCTCGGGCGTGTACCCATACAGGACTGCGTACATCATGCTGCTTGTAAAGTTGAACGCGCAGTTCCATCCCAGCAGGTCTGTCGAGGACTGAGCAATGGTGGAGCAGTAGAGAAAGACCCCTGTCAGAGCTGTCGAGCCAAACAGTGCGCCCTTGCGACCGACATGGGGCAACTCGACGAGAACGCCGCCAAGCAAGGCTCCAGGCACGCCAAGGGTGGCAATGATAAGGTTGTTGCGGTAGGTGATGTACGTGCTCCCGTCACCAAACTCGACGCCCCGGGTGGCTTGGATGTACGGCAAAAACGCATTGTACAAGGGATATCCGAGGCCGATGAGCGCCCAGACGGCCATGATCAGTCCCGTGCTGAGAGCCAACTTCCGCGTGGAGAAGAGCGCCCTGATCTGGTTCGAATTGACCTTGTCCAGGTGGCGCTTGAGCGTCGTGCGCACGTCTGTGTTACGGACGTAGCCCGGTGGTTCGCAGACCTTGAGATCCTCCACGGACAGCTCAGACGTTGTGCCGTTGCGACGCGCCACCTCGTGGACCACGCGGACGGCATCCTCGTCACGACCTTTGCTCATGAGGTACTTGGGCGACTCAAAGATGGTGAAGAGCACGAAGCGAATGAAGAACATGAGCAGCGTCAGGCCCCCCATGGCGATGATAAAGTAGCGCCAGCCCATGTTCTGGCCCCTGGTGCACGTTTCCGCGTCCTGCTGGCAGGTAAAGTTGCCCAGCAACGGCCACGCGATCAGGTTCGTGACCACCTGCGCGAGCGCCCAATCCACCGACAGCACCGTCAGGAGGTACTGATGCGAGCCGGGCAGAAACTCGAGGAAGATGGCCGAGTCGACGGGCAGGTTGCCGCCGACGCCAAAGGACCAGAGGGCGGCAAAGGCACAGGCCGCCCCAAAGGTGGGCGCGCCAGCCGCCACGAGACCCCAGACGGCCGTCAGACCCAGCGTCAGGTTGAAGCCCCATTTGCGCCCAAAGATGTCGCAGCCGAATCCCCAAAAGGCCGCGCCGATGAGCAGGCCAATGTTCTGCGAGAGGGTGAAGACCTCGGGGCGCGCAGGCTGGAACTCGTTGGCTATAGGTGTGAGGGCGAGGGAGGTGACAATTGGCCAGAGGTTGTCCGCGGCCCAGCCGAACCCGACGACGATGAAGAGCTGCCACTGGTACCAGCCCATGCCGATGTCTTGGATCTGGGACTCGTCAGTTTGGTTTGTCTCTGTGAGACAGCGGAGGTGGATGAGACGTACTGCACGATTTAACACACGTGCTTTGGCGTCGTACACGGGATCCAGCACGCCCGCTGGTATGATCGCAGAATCCTCGACACTAGGGTCCGGCGCAACAGAGCCATGCTCGCCCTTAGGGTCGTACGTGGGCGGTGTCCCCTTGGTATTGTCGTCAGTGCCCATTGTGTCGTCGCCCGTGAGTCGGCGCGGGGTATTGTCAAAGGTCGAATAGCGCAGAGACATTGTTGGATCGCAGCGAGCTTGTCGCTGGACGATGAGCTTCTTCAAGTACTTGGATGAGGAGCGATGGAAGCGGGAGATCGGCACCTAGTTATTGGCTCGTTCCACAGTTCTGATGATCCTTCGCCCCCCTGTTCCGCAAGAGGCAAAGAAGAATGCGAGAAGATGATTGCATGCGAGATGCTTACTGGTACTGCTGGAGCTGCGACATGTCGGGGTTCGATGACGCGATCTCCGCGGCTCGCATGGAATCGAGATTTGCGCGCACGCCGCCTGAGCTTTAGATCGTGTCGGTTCTTGGTGAATGCCCCGAAAGGATTGCATTCCCATCGCATCTTGGTTCTGGATGAATCCAAAATACTGCATGTGCAAGCTGTTTGTCTGACTGTGTATCATATTAAGCTTTGACGCCGTTGGAGACGGCCAGTGTTAAATCCCCCGTTCGTACTCGGCTTTGACCTACCCTATCATGCTCTCCTGTCGTTTTATTTCCGCACTTCCGACGGATGTGATGTTCTCTTGCTTTGTTGAACGACAACTAGCTGGAGGGACCAATCGTCACGCCGAGATTAGATTGCACAGTTTACCGAGGTACACTAGTAAGTATTGCTTGTAGATTAGATAATTGGCATGATATGAACCTGGTTGGTTGACTGTTGTTTATCGTTAAACAAACACTCGCTCCTGGGGTCCTTGGTTTCGAATAAACATTCTGATCATGAAGGAATGAAGTAGAACTGATGCGATTCTTCATGATAACACAGAACTAATGCTTATGATGATAAGAAGACTAAAGATGGCGAACACTGGCTGCTGCCAAGTCAAGTTGAGCGGGTGTAATTAGTCATTAAATACTCCGAGTTCCAATCTTCCATGCCTGGCTGTTAATTCATGGCAAAGGGATGTTCGCAAGGCTATATGCAGGTCATCAAGGTCTCGGATTTTTCTATCTGCCCGCTGATACGAACATCTATATCTACATCTACCCAAGGGTTGGAAACACAAACATCCCCACGGTCCATCTCACTCACTGCCAATGTGGGCGGAAATGTCACGCACCACATACACCTGCCCATACAAGTCGACTTCCTCGCAGAACATGGACCAAATAGCCATGCGTCTCGCCCCCAGCCTCGCTCCCTCATTATCCTTCACATCACCTTCGGCGCAGTAATCGGACCCAATCTTGCCCAGCCTCGTCAGCGTGTCCATATAGGCCTGTCTCTCGTAGTCGGCCAGCGTCAACAGTGCCCTCTGCATACTCTTCACGTCCTTGTGAGACGCAAACTCGGGGAAGTCAATCGAGTTGAGATTCCCCTCGTCACGGTCGCGCTCGGTAGAGCCTAGGTCGTTATACATGCGGCACATTGTCGAGAGGTGCCTGCACAGGGCGTTGCCCATGTACTTCTCGCCCGCCGAGGGGAAGCAATCAGAGCCTCCACCTTGTGGGGTGAGCGTGGACCCCATGAAGCAGCAGATGAAGGCGAAGGAGTAAGGGCAAGAGATATGGTCCGCCGAGGTCGTGCGGACCCAGTTGAAGAACGTGGTTGTCCTGGTTGACACGGGCTGAGATCGTCCAGTGACAGGGTCTCGAGGTCCAAGATTGTCCTCTGCCTGCTGGGTGTGGCCCAAGACGTACGTCTTGAGCTCACGTCGGAGGAGCTTCTGATCCCACTCGCTGGCCGTCTTGACCCACCTGTGCTCCAAGATGAAGTTGAGAAACTTGGACAGGTGGGAGAAAACGCGGATGTATGCAGGGTTTCTGCCTGTTAAGTCGATTGCGTTGACTGGGAGGTTGCACTTGGTTCCATTGACGCTGCTGGTCCCATTCATTCCATTGGTGCCGTTGGCAAGTTTTACCTTGGTATCATGAGTACCGTTGGTGGAATGGGTGCCGTTGGTGCCATGTGTGCCGTCGGCTTCATGAGTGCCATTGGTATCATCGATACTATTGATACCCTCGGTGCCGTTAGTACTTTTGGTGTCCTCAACGCACTTTGGGGTCTCGTATGGCACAATGGGAACAGGCTGGTCCTCAGCGAGCATTTCACAGATAAGCTTACGGAGACGATCAAATTGACCGACGAAACCTGGACCAGCAGTCGCCTCCATAAACTCATCAACCTGAAAGTTCAGCAACGCAATGATGGACATTTCGTAGATAAACTCGGTGCACACATAGCAGCGCGCCCGGTTGTTGGAGCTGGTTCAGAAAAAAGGTATCACGTCAAAGTACTTGTCCTCGCCCACGTCGGCGCGGTCAAACACGGCCGTCCTGTGGTTGCGCACCATGTTGGTGAAGAGGGACGACTCTACCATGGAGCCGGCGAGCTCCCAACGAGGATGCGCGGCAAAGAGGGGTGCTTGGGAAAAGAGCTCGACGTGCTTGCGCAGGCCTGATGCGTGAGACCTGTCCCACACGCCTGAGCCGATAGAAGGGGCTTTGCGCTGCGACAAGGTGTCGCTGGCGACGCGTAGGGCGGCGAGGACGTATGACTGCGCAACAACGGGCGAGGGATAGCTCACTTTCTCTATCCAGATGTACCGAGCGGGCTGGTCCTGGTTGGCTCGCATGTATGCGGCAGCGCGCTCGATAGCCGTGTGTAGAGGCTCGAGGAGGTCGTCAAACATATGCAACTTGCGAGCCTCGCCGAGGATGAGGACGCCATAGGCCGTCTCCTCGACCGAGTTGTTCCATGAGCCGCCAGGCTTCTGGTCTAAAAGTGGGCGGAAGCAGGCTTGAAAAAGAGTGATGGCGAGTCTTCTCAAAGTCTCCTCGTCGAGGACGTCTGGTAACTTGCCCTGCTCTACTACCGTCAGGACATCAACCAGTGCCTCCACAAGCAGGACTGATGGATACAGGTAACTCGTATTCTACGACACCACGGTTAGTCACGACTGCCACGAGTCTTGATATTGCGAATGGCGAAAGATACGCACCCATTTGTCCTTGATCTTTCCGTCGCTCTTCCACCAGTAATCACTGAGAAACCTTGTAATCTTGAGGATCTGGCTAGAAGAACCAAGTGGATCCGATTGCAGCAGGGCAATAAGTGAGTTGCAATTGGCAGTCAGGCTTGGGTCCCGCTCTCCAGCATATGTGCGGAAATGAGTTGGCGCCTCAAAGACGTCGATAAGCTTTCGTGAGCTGGAAGGTTGTCCCAATTGCGTGAGACATGTGATTGTCTTTGCGCTGTCGTCGACATCCGGCTCAAAGAACGGAGCTGTGAGGGGCACCATCAGCTCTTCATCCTAGACTTGCGAGAGTTAAACCGTCTTGGGGGTAACAAAAGAAAAACTTACCAAAGCCCAGCACGCCACCCTCATGCTCAAAAGCCTCGCGTAGTATCTCAGTCATCTGCGTAAGCTCGGCTGACTCCAGTTCAGCAGGTGTATACCCAGCCCTCAACACTGTCGACAGCAACGATGACGTCTCAAAGTACGTAGAAGGGAACGCACTTGGGATGGCGCCTGTGTTCTGGCCTGCAGAAAGCCTGACAACTGTCCTGAGGTAGGCTTCTGACTCGTCATCCCAGGTTGATGAATGCATCAAATATGCCGCAGTTGATGAAGGCGACCCCAGCATAGAGCCTCCCGTCTTGTGATGCGACACTCTGTCAAAATCGATTTTGCCAATGAAGGACTCAAAGGAGTGAAGGGCTGTCATGCAGTGTGACCCGTACAGGTACTCTGGTCGAAACCTAGACACCTTGGCTTGGTTGATCTTCATAAGAGGCGCTCTGCCGTCGAAATCGAAGACCGAGGAATCAGAAGCATCATCTTGCTCGAGGAATTCGAGCATCGCAGGCACGATGATCTCAAAGCCAACGTGGTCCGTGGTCGAGACATCCCAGTTGGCTAGATGCGACCTGAGAGTCTCTGTTGCTCTTGATATGCGCTCTGCCAGGATTTGAGGATCGTGATGAAGCTGAAGCGGGTTGGCAGCGTGACGTTTCAAAGCCAAGAGGGGGCCAGCCGTATTGAGGATAGAGTCAATGCTCGCGTCGCCCGCGTTCTTTGTCCACGACCATCCTCCCGCGCTGGACTGTGTGGCCAAAAGATATTCGAAGCACTCGGGAAAAAGCCATTGCTTTCTCCCGTCCACCTCCTTCGCCACGAGAGCCACCCGGGCTGTGTCGTAGGGCGCAGCACTCATTGTGCCGAAGCCTGTCTCGCGACCATAGTACTGCAAGGCTCGCTGCATCAGCGACTTGACGCCGTCAACGAGAGAATTGATTTCTCCCATTGCTATTGAACTGTCTTCTGATTCTTTTCACGGTTGTATTGGATCAATAACTGAAGACTACGATGCGGCCCAGTGTGTGGTATAATCTAATTCCAGGCTAGCGGAGGCCGGACCAGGCAAGCTACACGTTGCATGCCACAGTCAGACGACCTTTTGGCCTCTATACATGGCAGGTCTCATCCATTTCTCATTCAGTCCTCACGTTTTACTCCGATGGTTGTCCCGTCTATCTCTTGACGAGCTTCCCTCGGCAGCAACGTCCGGCTTACACGGACGGCATTCGGCGCTCCGAAAAGAGAATTTCCTATTTAGGCAATGCAGGGTTCGGCATCCGCCCCTCCCCTCGGCCTGCACGTTCTAGGAGTCAAAAACGGATCTCATGTCGGGATCTATGTTTGAAAGCCACTCTCGGCTGACGAGCTCTTCTAGGGGAGAAATGTTTCTTACTGTAGGATTTGGGGTGCACTGAGGCGGGCGGTTTGTCCTTGTTGGGCGCCGTCCACGCCACAACGTGCGGCAGTATACGAGCCAGCCAGAGAGTCACCAGCCCACCGCCAAGTTCTTTCATCCTTGCCATCAAGATTCGTCCATTTCGTGAAGATGCCCCAGGTATCTTAGTACATCGATTGCTTACGTAGATACACTGACTTATTCCCAACTAAACGTCTTTTGACGAGGTCTCAACGTGATTCAAACGATGGAGGCATTGGCAGCCATCATCCGTAGCCTGATGGAGCGGGAACAGGCTCAGGGCTTCGCTGTTGCCGGCGCTACTTTGGCACTATTATTCTGGAGCTATTTCTATTTGCTACCCGCGCTCACGTTGCGGAAGATCCCCAGAGCTGGTAAGCATCCGGGTTTCCTCGGGAGTCTGTTTGGCCTTGGCCTTGCCGATGCGAAACGTGACTTCAAGAAGAATGGCCTGAAAATTCTCAATGAAGCGTATTTAAAGGTGAGTAGCAATTTTCTGATCCACATATCTTTGCAGTGGAAGCGAAGGAGGCATGCTGACGGAGCGAATAGCACAAGGGATCGATGTTCAGGGTGCAGACTCTCAACGAGGAGCGAGTGGTCCTGAGCCCGTCGTACATTGAGGAAATCAACAAAAGTGTCCCCGAAGGAACACTCAATGTGACAGACGGACTTTCTGAGAGGCTCATGGGGCCTTACACCAAGCTCGATGTTGTCTTCAACAGCGACATGCACATCGAGGTGTGCAAGAGTCCGCTGACCCAGAATCTGCCCAAGCTCGTAGCGCCCCTTCACGAGGAAGCCGAGTACTGGCTCAAGCAGCGCATTCCCGGTGACGGCCAGTCCGAATTGAATGTCCACGACATCATCGTTCGTGTCATCTCAGGTACAGCCACCCGCATGCTCAGCGGACCTGTTGCCAGTCGCGATCCAGAATGGCTCGAGAGCGCTGCGCTGTACTCTTACGACGTTGTCGTGGTCGCCCAGACTCTGCGACACTTCCACCCTCTTCTTCGTCCGTTTGTGTCACCCTTTCTAGACAGCAAGAAGAAACTAGGCAAACACTTAGGAGTCGCCCAGAAGACATTCCGTGGTCAGTTCACGGAACGAAAGAAGCAGCAGGAGAGCGACCAGAAATCCGGCAACTCTGATAAGCCTGTCGACATGGTTCAATGGATGGTCGACGCCGCGAAAGGCAACGACAGAAACCTGGACGTCTTGGCCATGAACATGCTCTTCATGACGCTAGCTGGTGTCCACACCAGCGCCAATACAACCATGCACGCCCTTTTTGACCTTTGTGCAAACCCGCAGTTCTTACAGCCCTTGAGGGACGAGATCCAGCAGGTTACGGATGAGGATGGATGGACCATGGCGGCCATGAGCCGACTCAAGAAGGTCGACTCATTCATCAAGGAATCTCAACGACTAAACCAGACTGTACTGAGTAAGTAATAAGACCAACCAGCAGAGTGTCCTTTCATCGACTGAAGCTAACAATTATTTTCTCACCCGCAGTGACGTTCAATCGCAAGCTCGCAAAATCTCTCAAGTTTGCAGACGGAACGGTCCTCCCGCGAGGCACCTGCATCACAATGCCCAGCGTGGCCGTCTCTCGCGATCCGGAGTACTTTGAGAACCCGGACGAGTTCGATGGCTTCCGTTTCTACGAGAAGAGGTCCACCACCATCGACAAGTCGGAGGCAAACCGCCAGTCATTTGCCGCCATTGGCCCAGACAATCTCGCCTTTGGGTTCGGAAAGACCGCTTGTCCGGGTCGATTCTTCGCCGGCACGCAAATCAAGACTGTTCTAGCCAGCATCATCTTGAACTACGACATTTCCTTTCCAAAGGGTCAAAGCCAACGACCTGATAATATTTACAGAGGAGGACTCATCCAGCCTGATCCTCGTCAAAAGATGGTGTTTAGGAAACGGTTCTAGTAGAGGTAATCTACGGTGAGATTGGGCATCAGATTCAAAAAAAGGTTATATAGAACCAAGTGCTAGCAATGCAAAGCTTATTGTTATGGAGTGTGGAGATCAATGCAATCTATTTCTCGCCTCACGTTGATCTGACGGGACGATCGAAGTATGGAACGCCCGACTCCACAAAAGATGTACCCAATCGTTCTGACTGGAACTGTCAAATATGAGAATAGACTTATTCCCTGGCCAACCTCCTCAGATCCGTGCCATCTTGTCCACCAGGGCAAGGGTCACGTTGCTGTCTATGCCACACTTGAGATCAAGCTCGACAGCTAATGCCTTGGTCTTGACTGAGAGAGCCTCCACAAATCGCCTCGTGTATTCAAGACTTCCCGTGCTCTGCATATACTCCACGGCGTACCTCTTGATCTCCAACTCGGTGGGCTTTTGAGAGAGAATATTGAGCAAGACCTGATTGCCCGGAGAACTGTGGATGCTGTGAATGACAGGGAAGGAGAACTTGCCCTCCGTCAGGTCCTCGCAGTAACCCTTACTCTGTGTGTAATTGTCATCCGCCAGATTCTTATAGTCATCTGCGATCTGGAAGATGAGCCCCATCACGTTGATCAAGGGCATACAATCAACGCCCATGTCGGACTCGCTCTGCATTAGTCTGACCGCCAGCCGAAATAGACCACCAGTCTTGTTGGAGACCATCTCGAGATAGTCAGCCTCGGTAGGACAAGTCAGACTATCGCGCCAAAAGAGGTCCATTCCCTGACCCCTATGAAGAGCGAGCATCTCCTGTGTGAAGATTTCCACGGCCTCTTTCGGGTTCCTGAGTTTTTGCAATTCCTCGAGAGCAAGAAAATAGACAAAGTTGGCCGAATTTATGGTCTGAGCAACTCCATAAATGCTGTGGGCTACAGGGCGCCCCCTCCTCAGCGTAAAGTTGTCTTGTATGTCGTCGATGAGGAGTGAGGCGTTGTGCAGCATCCGCACCACACTGGTAATGGTCTCTAGGCTCTCGACAGGGACGCGATGCCAAAGTTTTAGGCCACAGATGAGTTGTGTTCGAAACTTTTTGCCGGGCGCAGAGCTGATGTAGTCGTAAGGTCCTCGAATGGTCTCCTCCTTGTGTGTCGTCCATCTGCCTTCAATACGCGGATCAATGTCGTTAAGCAAGGATTTGAGAGCCTCCGGTGCATTGAGTATTCTGTGTGGCGGTATTTCAGTCTGATTGTCGGCTACTGGAGGCTCCTTTTCCGCAGCCTCAGACCCTGGTCCGCTGTGGTATGTATCAGGAACGCCCGGTTTGTGCTGTGCTTCCTTAGTCACATCGGCCATGAAGGTATCTGGCTTTGACGCATCTGACTCGTTTTTGGAAGCAGGCCAGCTGCTGTCAAGTGGCTGGCTCTCTTGGGGCAGGGAGATAAAAGAGTGGGAACAAGGGCGAATGTGTCCAAAGCCAGAAGCCACTTGTTCCTCAATGATCGTTGTCATGATTGTGATGTTTACGGTGTACAATGGAATAATAATCGAAACACGGTGCAAAGATTGGTGATCAAGCTAGAGTCGTCTTTTCTTGCCAATCCTAAATTGACTGCACCAAGTACTGACATGACTCTACGATCACCTCTGTCGACCTCGAAGGACTTATCGGCCTTTCCGCAACAGTGTCAAATATCAGCGTCAGACTAGTTGTACACCCCGAGCGTGAGCCCCATCCGCCAACGGACTTCTATCTTACTGGGATTGTGGACGAGCCTTTGGGTGGAGATATATCACGCGTGATATCAAGCATTATGGTTTTACTACCCTAACACAAGTCCAAGTTCTTGCCTAGCGGATGGTGCTCTCTACCATGGTGCCTGCAGTTTGACTAGGAATGAACTCAAGTCCCACCTGCCATAGAATGCTGAGCCACGCCAAAAGTCTTGGTCTCGGTAAATTGGATTAGGTAGCTGCAATGTCGGTATAGCACTTTCATGGCGAAGGATGCTCGCCCGAAGGGGCATTGCCCACCTAGGAAATAGATTTGGAACCCCTCGGAGGGTGCCCTTTTCGTGGAAGCCGATGACAAGTGCATTGAAATACATATAGAATACATACATAACCTTGAAATCCCTTTCTGGGCTCGATTCAGCCGAGATCCCCACGCCCTGTTGAAGGAAGCGGGTCATTAGTTGCCCGGTGCGTCGTGGAGAGCGCAGCGAGGCTTATCGCGCATCCTCCATGCATAAGTATTAATCGAGGATCAAGAGCACGTGGATGAACATGTAGAATCTTTCCTCGGTTGGGGCTTTTTTTTTTTTTTTTTTTTTCCTGTCAATCTACACCCTGTGCCTTCCAACAGCGCCATGAGCAACGTCTCGTCATCGAGCAGCCTTGATGGCCCCCAACAGCTAGTCTCTGCGCCAAAGGGTTTGCTGCAGAGTCTCCTTCAGCAGATTGGGATCCATGGAATACTTGCGCTGATTGCAGTTCCCATGCTATTATGGTCATACATTTCCGAGCGCAGCAAGCCGCACCTTTTAAACCCGAAGCGGATGACTGAGCTCACAATGCGTGGCCGTCTCGTCGATTTTAGTCGCCGAAGTAAGGAGATCTTCCTCGAGGGGAGAGCCAGGTTTCTCAAGAGTCCATTCAGGGTCTTTTGTGAGTGGGGAGACGTCGTGGTCCTGCATGAAGACTATATCTGCGAGATCAGGAACAATCCTCACATGAACTTTGCGATACCCACGTCGGACGACTTGCACTCGTACATCCCGGGCTTTGACCCTTTCATTGCCACAGATGGATTCGCCAGGGTAGTGAGGTTGTATTTGACCAAAGCATTGAGTATTCCCTGCCAGAGTATCTCTTTTCAATAACCACGAATCATAATGCTGACAATGGACATGCAGCAAGAGTAGCCGGACCCTTGTCGATAGAGGCTGGTCGTGCCCTTAGAGACTTGTTTGGTGATTCAACCGGTATGGCAGTCCCCTGTGGCATCGAATATCCAAAGAGACCCATAATAACCAATTTTACTAGAATGGCACGAGATCTCACCCAAGAACGATTTACACACCTTTGTCGCGCGAATGTCTTCGCTCGTCTTCATGGGAGAAGAGCTGTGTCGCGACCAGGAGTGGATTGAAGCATCGAGCGATTGGATCAAGCTGGGATTCCACCTACGCGACGTGATGGGACAATACCCACGCTGGATGAGACCTTACATCCACTGGCTCATGCCCTCGTGCTGGAAGTTGCGCAAAATGCTGAAGCGCATTCGCGCGGCCCTAGAGCCGCACCTGCAGCGTCGTGAAGATGCCAAAGCCGCCGCTCTGAAGCAGGGCAAGATCCTCAAGTACAACGACTGCATTGAGTGGTTCGGCCAAGAATACGAAGAGGGCTACGACGTCGCTGTTTCGCAGATGACGCTGTCCCTGGTCGCCAACCACACCACTAGTGATCTGACGCTGCAGACGATGCTCGACCTGGCTATCCGCCCAGAGCTTCTGGCCCCTCTGCGTGAGGAGATAATCCGCGTGCTCGGCGAGCACGGTCTTCGCAAGACATCTCTTTACAAGCTGAAGCTCATGGACAGCGTCCTGAAGGAGTCGCAGCGATTAAAGCCCGTCATGATCGCCACCTTCCGCAGACTGGCCACCCAAGATGTCCGGCTCTCCGATGGCTTTCTGATCAAAAAAGACACCCGCATCGTTTTTGAAAACACGCACATGTGGGACGAAAAGTACTACGAGAATCCACTTGACTATGATGCCTGGCGCTGGGTGAAGATGCGCGAGGACCCGTCGTCGGAGCACCTAGGGCACTTGGTGAGCACGAGCGCCAATCACATGGGCTTCAGTCATGGTCAGCATTCGTGCCCGGGGAGGTTCTTTGCGGCCAACGAGATCAAGATTGCCCTCTGTCACCTGCTTCTCAAGTACGAGTGGAAGCTCCTCGATGACTCGCCCGAGTTGAAACCACTAATTGTCGGCATGGGCATCCTCCCAGACCCCAGAGCACGCCTCCTCGTGAGGAGGAGGACACCGGAGATTGACCTAGAGTCGTTAGAAGCTGAAGGCTTCGATAGGGAAATCATTGTCACTGAGCTTATTGATACGTAATGAAGAGGAGATCGTGCTTCTTTACAGATACATTCTTGTATAAGCTATCAGAATATTTCGGTACATACTGCGGAGGCTACATAAATACAACACAGTTTGAAGTCTACAACTCTATCGGTCTTCCCAGTGCGATGAGGCCGTCTCTCGTAGCCCAGCTCGGAACTGCGCAGAACAGAGACTTGGCTATTATTCTTTACTAGCTTCTCTATCCATATTCACCTGAAGCACCTTGACTAGACTGGAGCCGCAGACTTCAGAATCATGTTTTAGCATATCACAGTGGTGGCAGCAACCAGAGCTGCACTGATCAAGTTAAAATCACTCTAGGGATACAGGCAGGCTTTCAGTGCCAACTTGATGACGACGGGGGGCGCTTATCGGCACACGTTGCGAACGCCGCTTTTCGCGGGAATCCAATGAGCGGCCTAGGGTTAGGATCCGATTCCATCAGCCTGCGGCCGAGGAGGATTCAGTTGCATGGCGCCGCTTACCGATTTCATGGGTACAAACAGGGCTCAATGCTATGAATTCTATTCTTGACTAATGTCACTCCAGGCTTTCGTTTACCCCTTATCGACAGTGAGATACGTGCATACGTGCATCACAGACGTATTGCGTCTTTCGCGCCTAATCACGGCGGAGTCCTGTTGTGCTTGTGCAAAGGTGACACTGGCTGTCTTTCCGAAGCTAAACAAACGATTTCGAATTAGTGCTGACATTTTGCCACCTTTGATACATATGCGGAACCGAATACGTCCACTCAGGTGCTAAGGCTGGGTTTTGTTTCCAAGTCCGTGCTTACTACTTGTGACGACGGGGAGGAGAGCCCACGCCATATAATTTTCATTCATTCATGCCTTCTAGTTAGCAGATGGTTTCAGCGGGTGGTACATCGGATCACGTCGTGTGGCGTTTGCTTCGCATGTGGGACCTGTGGACCGCATGCATATACTATGCGCTACCCGAGGATATCCGCGCGGGAATGGATTATAATGGTTGCAACCAATTGTAGATCCACGTCGCCTTTTATCACTGTGCAGTAGGGAAGGATCCCTAATTACCGACATTGCCATAGTTGCTGGGCTATACACCGTTGTGATCTAGACATTCGACATCAGGGGCGGTGGTGCTCATGCACACCCAGGAATACTCGCGCTGCGATCTTTTAGGCGCGTAGAACATCAGTAGGTGCTTACGGTGTAAGTAAACTCTTACGCGGAACATGCTTGATGGAACCCTGATGGGTTTCACGAAATTCTTCGCTATGAGATTCGTTCAGGTTCGCACTGCCCGAGACTATAGGTTATTCAGCACCACCATTGGGCCACGGGAAACTTGGGTCTGCCGGACTGACATTCACCTACAGACAAATGTTTAGTGCAAAAACCGTTAGGTACCACATGGAGCCGACAGGGTGCTCAATTCAACTCCAGTCACTCCGGCGGAAAGAAGTAGTTGAGTTTAGGTTTTTTTTTTTTTTTTTCCACACGGACAGGGGCTCGTGGGACATGTGCCCGCCAATTTGTTGGTGTTCTTCCTGCAGGATGTATTGCATGGAACAATCTGCAGTGCACCGTAAACATAGCAGACCTAAACCCCGGCCAATTGACGCATAATACGCTCGTGCAGATTTAGGTTGATAACAGCTCCGAGTACATGCACGTGTGGTGTTCCCAGGGCAGCGCGCGTAATCCGCCTCGGCACTTTGGAATTGCTTGTGCGTAGGTTATCTGTACCGTAGTCATGTTTCAGGTCCCGCTTGGCTTGACTTCAATCCCAACACCATAGTTGCTCTGAGCTCGATGAGTATGTCTCTCTAATTTTTGGTCCTTTCGCCGGTATTAATTGTGTATCATCACTGAATATTGGGTAGTAGAGCTTTGGGGGTCCAGTAGGCATAGTAAGCTCGGTGGGGCGCATATGCCGGAGCGCATCCTTTGGGCAATTCGCTAACCCAACGTGGCACTCCGAATGCTGTTTCGATCCGAGTTCTCGAAAGTCTAAACACGAGGTATCCAAAGAGGGAACACGATCCCATGCCTTCTGGCGCTGTGGCTCTAAGACCTGCAAGGCAGGTTGTTCGAGAGTACGCCTTGCATTCTGTACATGCCAGTAAAAGGCCTCGCGGGGAATGGGAAATCCCGTACTCTCGTGGTATGTATGTGCAGTGGCTCCTCCAATGCTTATGATCGCCGGGCCGCAACGGGTTCGGTGCTGGCCGTAAGAAGCAGTGATCTGGCTGACCATCTGGCTCTGTTTCCAAACCACCCAAGCCATCACTTGCTCGGAACCCAGCTCTGGCGCGCGTATCGTTCACTATGGGCGTGCACGCGTAAGGTTTAAGTGTGTAACGCGAATGGCGATTTTCGACTTGATCAGTGAGTGATCTCACCCGAAATGCATCACTTTCCCGTTGCAAGCCGTGGCATTCGTGGGTTCGCAACGCGTAGCAAACAATCTCAACCTAGAAACGCGCGTCTGCGTACTCGCGACACTCGTGCTCGACAAACTCATCACGTCGCATCCAAGCAATGGTCGTCGGTGACAATCGGACCCTGTTCACCGTGGTTCAAGATTGCATTTCGCATTCATTTAGCTGCAATCATCAGAACAGATTACGTAAATTTGAAGCGTAAAAACTACACAGAGGAAGCACCCGTCTGTCGTTTTTGCAAAACCATCGGCCATAAGTCGTGATCTTTCTCTTAGGCCGATAAAATCGGATCAATGGAAACGACCCGGGTCTTGAAGGGGTAAAATCGCATATTTTCAATGTTCAGAGACGTGAAATCTATATTGATGCAGCCGTAGGGTAAGTAGATACTTGGCCTAAACCGGCATCACGTGGTCGTCACGTCTACTCGGATCTATCTTGGCACAGAGTACGTAATTTGATCCTAATAACGCGCGTCGAGAAGAGAACCTCACCTTTGTCCAACCGACTCTCAAAAGTATCCATCCGACCGCGACCACGAGATTGATAACATGTCGCGACGGACCGGAACTATCAGGAAATGACTCAGCAAGTGCGCGAGGCTACCTGAGAGCGCCCATGCACATCTGCGGCAGTTCTGTAACACCCCCTTGTTACGTACATCCATCCAGTCCGTCATTTGAGGTAATCGTCACCTTCGTACACCGGATGAACAGGATTCTCTGGGGCATCTCCATTTGCTGAGCTCCAAATACTCTCCAATCTAATCATGTAGGTCTGTCGGGACTTTGAGTATGATTCAACAGGCATACTGGTGCAGCCTTTGGCGAGACGTCGAGAAGTCAAAAAGTGACTCGCAATGAAGAGTGTCAGAGGCGGGCGGCTCTTGCAACTGCGCCTACAGTCACTGTCGCAGGAGTCTGTATCCTGACGCTCATTCATCGCGTGTTTCCTCACCTCAAACTGCCCAGGCCTTTGTTTCCCACATCAGGAGAGGGCTCCAGTCCGACATGTGTCTTGCACTTTTTCTGGCCTGGTCAATTCCTCGCGTCCCTCTCTTCACGATGTCTTCTCTCAAATCATCATCATCGCTCTTTTGACAGGTCTCGGCGCAGCGCGCTCCTTCTTTACTTCTTGTACCGCTAGTTCGGTCCCTTGTGTGATATCTCTTTATCGGCTCTGGTAGCTGAGATTCTTCTTTTGTAATCATGCAGCTTCTCGCGTCTGCTCTTCTCGCCTTTGCCGCATCTACCGTAGCTACATTCGTCACGGCTGACGATGTACTCCTCAAACCTTATGCCTCTCTGTTGGCTTCGCCACTCGACGCTCGCCAGGAGGATGGATCCAGTAGCAACAATGATACGACAGATGGCGACGTACCCGACAATCTGCTCAAACCTGACGGAACGATCAATATGACCTCTTTCTTAGAGCTCACATCAACTACATGCCTGTCCAGGCTCTCCAACCTCCGACGAACAACATCCCCCTCGGGCATGAGTATCTGCTTCAACCTACCATCCCTCAACACCACCAGTGGTGTCTTCGAGGCCGATCTAAGACTCTACAAAGTCACAGAGCCACGCGACGCATGGGAAGGCATTGAGCCAGGTGACGTGGACGTCAATGTGGGCTTCGCCAATGCTAGAGTCCGCAATGTCACCGAGCAAGAAATCATGGGCATTGGCATGGTCGGCGAGCTGCAGGCTCGACAAGCGGACGACCGAGTGCAAGAGCTCCAGCGGTACATGCTCGTCGGACAGGTCCAGGGGGATAAACTGGATGCCAATATGACCATGTACGTATTCTTCTATGGAGGCATAGTGCCCCTAGGCAAAGGCCCACTGCTAAATCTCACAGGTCTGCGATTGAGGCTCTTCTCATGCCCACACTTTCACTCACCGCGCTCTCTCCTCAATCTTCAGACAACCTCACGACTCTCCTCTCCCCCAATGAGGCGTCCTTCATCACTGGCGTTTTCTCCGATTTGACGCCTCAGTCATCCTTCTCGCTCGCGCAAGCAGCTGTCTCGTCATCACTGGCATTGCTTGACGAGGGCGAGGTTGCATTCATCCTCCCCGGCACACAGATCCTGATTTTCCCCATTGGGCTGATCATCACGGGGACTTGGGCTCTACTGGGGGTCGGCGTCTACGCGTTCGGCACAGTGGAGAGGTGGAGGTTCAGGGAAAGCTACCGGGAAAGAGTCAAGGGAGGAGTAGGGGGAGCAGGCATTTGAAATTGGCACTATACATCACGCGGTAGCGAAGGCAAATTGAAAAGGATCAAAACGGGATTCATCAGGCATTCTATTACACGGTCATAGGTATCATTTCCATATTCCATCCAAGAATATCAAGGAGCTGTCCACAGCTTCCACCATCTACAAGCCAGCCGTACGCCAAATGCATCACTCGCCCAGCAAAGACAACGAACCTAGCCTTCATGCTAAACGGCCTTCTTCTCGCTGCTCCTCATGCGACCCTTGGCCCACAGAAGGCACTCCGTGAAGAGCACGTACAGACCGGTCATGGCCCACGCTGAGAGGATGACACCCAGACCCCCGATCAAGCGGGCATCGATAATCGCTCGCGTGATCTGCTGGCGGACAGCTTCGTTCATCATGAGCCATCCATAGATCGGCACCAGCTGGGACGCCGCGAGGCTTGCGTTCGGCACTTTCGTGATCGGTTGCGGCTTGCCCCGTTCGAGCTCATGCTCAGCGATTGTGTCGCTCATCCTCCACGCAACCTTGTTGTTGATCTTGTCCCATGTCGCCTCGCAAGCCGCCCGCCTGGATGCACCCGCCATGCGTGCTCGCAAAATGTGATCCTGGCCAAGTTGCATTGCCTTGGTGACGAAACCGTCAAGATCATTCGGCGGCACGAGGTAGCCCGTCTCGCCATCGTGGACAATGTCCGAGGGACCACCCTCGTCGCGCGCAACGACGGGCACACCAGACGACATACTCTCGAGCACGACGAGTCCGAATGTCTCTGTCACAGAGCAGTGCAGGAAGACGTCGCCGCAGGCATATGCCTCGGCCAAGTCCTCGCCGACCTTGAACCCGGCAAAGATGACCTTGCCTTGCTCCTTGAGCGGCTCGAACATTGTGTGAACCTCCTTTTCCACGTCGGGGTTGCGGTTCCCCCCGACAATGAGCATCTTGTAGGGCAGCCCACGCTTGTCGAGCTCCTTGGCCGCATGCGCGAGGAAGTTGAACCCTTTCTCGCCGGCGATGCGCGACACAGTGACAAATATGATCTCGCCGTTGGGGGCAATCTGCTTGCGTAGTTGATCATTCCGTTTCCGGGGGTTGAACATGTCCGTGTTCACACCGCGCGTCAGAAGTTCCATCTTGTCTTCCTGCACATTTTGGCTGGCGAGATAGCGACGCACAAACTGCGAGGGGTAGAAGATGGTCTTGACGGAGGCGTGGCGGAATAGGTAGCTCTGCACGGCCGCAAAGGCAAAGACGGCAAAGTGGCTGAGGGGCGCTGGGAACAGAATCTGGCAGTACCCGGCCAAGTCGGTCTGGAAGTTGCAGATAATCGGGATCTGGTTCTCCTTGGGTTGCTGTCGAAGCTGCAGCATTACCTGGAAGCCAAGGCTGGCTGGTGATGCGAGGTAGATCAAGTCGGGTGGCGCATCCAGCCCAAAGGTTCTGGAGTACAGTGTCGAATTGCGCACAGGATACACGATGCTCAACTCGGGGTTGAAAGGCAACGGGTAGCCCGTCACACGCACCTCCGGCTGCGGCTTGTCGACTGGCGACAACGATGGGGACGGAGGCGGCGTGAAAGTATTGTGTTGGGTATGGTTGTGAGGCGCCACGACGGCGACCTGCGCACCGTTTGCGCGCAAGTGGTTGACGAGCATGAGGGTTGTTCTGCTCACGCCGTTGACGGGGCCGAAGGATTCGGTGCACAGCAAGATGCGCTTGCCCTTGAGGCTGGTCGGAAATTCCGAGAGATCATGCTCGGGGTACCGCGAAGACGTCGACATGAGTGCTCGTGAAGCCATGAAGCTGGTGAGCATGGTCTCGAATGCGTTAAGGTTGTAGGTCCGTCCATAGTCAGTGTAAGAGGGCATTCCAGCATATCTATCCAGTGCTATCAGCGGCAGAGAGGTCATTCGGAGCGTGGGGAGCGACACGTGCTTGAATCTGCGGCCCACGATGCGCCGGGATGGAGGGATCTAGCCTCGCGTGGCAAAGTCACAATAGCAGAGGAAGCAGTGGCACGAGCATCGGCAGTTTGCTCCAGTTCGTTGTAACGACGGGATGGTGGGGGAGGGGCAATCTAGCGCACGAAAACCGCCCTGCACAGTGGCATGTATGTAGGTCCGGTGATCAGGTAGGGTTTGTGAGCTTGACGTTTATGGTAGGCATAGGAAGTTCTGGTGAACATCGTATCCCTTCCCCAAGGACGGTTGTTCGACAGTAGATCGCTTGATCTCACAGCCTCAAGAACAATCTTCTTCGTCTCTGCAGATAAATAGCAAGACGAAAAGCTTGCCCATCCGAGCCTTTCGTCGCTTTGGCAACCATGAACATAGACACTATCTGTACAGCCCGAAGACTGGCGATGCGCCCACAGGAGTTCGACGTGTCGTTGACGCGGCCAATCAGAGCGTCGGACGCGGCCACATTGCTTGTAGAAACCAACCGATAAGTCGGACACCACGAACGGCTGGGATGGCTGTGTGAAGGCGCGTGCCATAGCTGGTTGGCTTGGGGAGTCCTGAGGGATGTTCCAGCGATGGCCACACTTTGCTCATGTGGTCTGTCTGGTTGACGATGTTTCTCATGGTCGAAGCTGGACGACGAGTCACTTGAACCAGCCTGACAAGAAGTACCATAGGTTCGATGCTTGCGGGAATCACCGAGCAAACTCATGTGGTCTGGTTGGCAATAATGATTGTGAGGTCCTGCGCCATGCGTTCGGCAAACGGAGGCATGAGATTCATGATTGTTAACGGAAGAGCGATGGATTCTCAAAGTCTCAGACATAGACGCAGTGGAGCTGAAGTCGGGAGGACGCACGGGCCTCAGATTGCGATCGCGCTGGAATCTGATTAGCCACATGGATAAGGCAGGCGCGTCAGATGGACGGACGCCTTGACCTTTGTGGCTTTGCATTTACAACATTGCCGCGCCCTGGTGGCAAAACATGAACGAAATTCAGGGTGTTTGTCAATTGTTGATGAGGGCAAATTTTGCATCCTGGTCAACGGCACAGCAAGTCATTTCCGGTCTGTCGGTTGCAGCCGGCTGAATGAATGGAGGCTGCCGCGCAGCCCATCTTGCTCACATCAGCTCCAGCCTCCAGCCTCCAGGCTAGGCGAGCTATTTTAATTATCCGCCCCTGCCAAGCACCAAGATCCTCGATACGAACTTACGGAGTGATGGTCACTGCAATCACCTCAGAGCAACGCCTAATCACGAATTCGATCAAACGAACGCAGACTTTAATTAGACACTGTTCGCAACATTGCCGTCACATTCCAGTCCATCGATTCCACAGGCCGCGTTTCCCTCGCCAGCGCCAAGCCAGGTTGTCCGTGTTCGGGAGAGATGATGGCGAGGCAGCGATAAGGCTGTCGATAATGTTCCTGATACGACACGAGACGACATGGAGCACTTTGGCGCCACAGTCCGCCTCTGGGTATCACCTGTGACGCCCATTGGACCGTCTGAAGAGTCGTACCTATGAGCGAATGCTCAGAAAATAGTTGAATACCTATCCATAGTCAGCAACAGCTATCTACGCTCGCTCTAAGACAGGTTCGACAGGTTCTTCGTTGACATGAAGGTAGACCTGGGGTCAGTTCGACGGACGCGGATGAGCTTACTGGTGGGTGAGTCGACATTGAAATGCGCGTTAGAGCACGCTAGAGGGCGTCCAACCAATCAAATACCAGAAATGCCAGGGGCAGCTCTCCCAAAGCGGGCATGCGGGGACCCTTTGGGTGGCAGAACAGGCCTGACCGCCCTCGAAATGCCATGCATGCTTGCAGCATCTGCCTGCGGCGGTGTGCCCCTTTTCCGGGCTGCGTTGATAGATAGTGCTCACGTCCAATCCAACCATCCATCCAACTCCCCTTGGCTCTTGGCTCGCCGAAATTTTCCCTCCGCCTTTCTCGAGACGGATTGTTTCCTATTCATTCTCATCTTCACATTCGGTTTGCTGGAGATTTGCGTGTATTCTTCCTCGTCTTTGCACAACCTGATAACGTTCGATCCGTTCCTTCCAGAGGATACCCTGTGCCGTCGCTCCGACACGCGACAAACCACCCCGCCAAACTCCAAGTCGCGCTACCGCTCGCTCTGCTCCTCGCCATGTCGTCCATCCCCGAAGCCGTGGTCAGCTCTGTCAAGAGCCTTGGCCTGAATGGTTCCTCCGCCCATACCAATGGCACGCTCGGCGACGTTGTCGTCAAGAACATCTGCTGCGTAGGTGCCGGATATGTCGGTGCGTCTCCCCCCTCTTACACGTGGGATCCGCGAGATCTCTAACACGACACAGGTGGTCCCACCGCTGCCGTTGTCGCCTTCCAGAACCCTCACATCCGAGTTACCGTCGTCGACCGTGACGAGACTCGCATTCGTCGCTGGAACTCGAAACACCCTCCCATCTACGAGCCTGGCCTGCGCGACATTGTCCGCATCGCCCGTGACGGCGGCCGCAAGGCCTCGTTCGCCAGCAAGCCCACGGCCGAGGGCCAGGACGCCACCGTCCAGGACCGTCCCGCCAACCTCTTCTTCACTACTGATGTCGGCAAGAGTATTTCCGAGGCGGACATTGTCCTGGTGGCCGTCAACACCCCCACCAAATACCGTGGTGTCGGTGCTGGCAGCGCGACAGACATGACTGCCTTCGAGGCTGTCACTGGTGTTGTTGCTCAGTACGCCCGCGAGGGCGCCATCATCGTCGAGAAGTCGACGGTTCCCTGCAGGACAGCTCAGCTGGTTGCGGATACCGTGAGTTTTATATACTAGCTCCTTCCAGCTACCTGCTAACAAACACATTAGCTCTCCATGCACCGTCCCGGTGTTCACTTTGAGATTCTCTCCAACCCCGAGTTCTTGGCTGCCGGCACCGCCGTCGGCGATCTGCTCTACCCCGATCGTATCCTGATCGGTTCTGCCCCCACCGAGTCCGGCAAGAAGGCGGCCGAGGCTCTCGTTAAGGTGTACGCCTCGTGGGTGCCTCGCGAGCGCATCCTGACCACCAACGTCTGGTCCTCTGAGCTGGCCAAGCTGGTCGCCAACTCCATGCTCGCCCAGCGCATCTCGTCCATCAACTCCATCTCCGCTGTCTGCGAGCAGACTGGTGCCGATGTGGATGAGGTCGCCAAGGCCGTCGGTGTCGACCCCCGTATCGGCAACAAGTTCCTCGTCGCTGGTATTGGTTTCGGTGGCAGCTGCTTTAAGAAGGATGTCCTGAACTTGGTCTACCTCGCGGACACCATGGGGCTCCCTGAGGTCGGCGAGTACTGGCGCCAGGTCGTCAAGATGAACGAGTACGCGCGTGACCGCTTCACCAACCGCATCATCAAGTGCCTCAACAACACCCTTGTCGGCAAGAAGGTCACCATCCTGGGCTTCGCCTTCAAGAAGAACACGTCCGACACCCGCGAGGCTCCCGCTCTAGAGATGATCAAGACCCTCCTCGAGGAGCGTCCCCGCGAGATCGCCGTGTTCGACCCCTGCTGCAACCCCCTGGTTGTCAAGGAGGAGATCCAGCTCCTTCTCGGCCCCGTCGCCGAGCAGGGCAACATCCACGTCTACGGCAACGCCATTGACGCCTGCAACAACAGTACCGCCGTCGTCATCGCCACCGAGTTTGACGAGTTCCGCAACCAGCCCGCACCCACACCCAAGCCTGTCGCTGCCGACGCGCCTGTGCCTAAGATGCTCGGCCGCAAGCCTAACCCCAAGGCCGACCCCCGCCCCTTTGTTACCCCCAGCGTGCCCACCGAGAACGACTTCCTCGCCCTCCACAAGCACCTGGTCCAGCTCGAAGGCCAGGACAACGACGACCCTCTCGACCGGTACAACGTTGAACCCGACTGCCCCGAGGACTGCCCCGACTGCAAGCAGTACCGCGAGAGCAAGGACACTGGTTTCGCGACCGGCATGGGCAGCGCAGAGGAGTACAAGCCCCGCGAGAGGATCGACTGGGTGCACATTGCCGACAACATGGCCAAGCCCCGGTGGGTCTTTGACGGCCGTGGTGTCATTGACTCGCGCGAGATGGAGAAGCTGGGTGTGCGCGTCGAGTCCGTCGGTCGCCAGCACCGCTTCTAAGGGGCAGGCTCGGTTGTCTGTGAAGTAGTGGATGGGGAGCGAAAACAACAAATTAGACCTATTCGAGCCTTCATTGGGGGAAGGGGTGAGGGGGCGGACTTTTTCTACATTTTTAATCACTTGTTCTGAAGGGTTATACGAGAGCTATGCGAGGACGGCCGCTTGGGTAGACTTGGGATCTTGAGGGCCGTTTGATATTCCTGCAGCGATGCATGGGCTGGACAGACCAGAGTCTAGGGTGGCATTGGGATGGCGGTGGAATTGAATCTATACATTTGAAAGGATCTTAGAATGCCGTATGATATAACACGGGCAATTGTGGATTCGGTAGCCATTGCAGGAGTGAGTAGCCTTAGCAATACGGCCGGCAACGGCTGCTCACGGTCTTCGACCCTTAATGCCCACTCCATAATCGACTGGAAGCATCGCGCAGGAGGGCACATAAACAAGACAAGAATGGTCAAACGTAATGCATACGCGTCTCGAGCTCTATGTATTTTTCAATAAAGTACTGTTATGATGCAAATTGCCTCTTTGTATTGTATATACCGTCAGAATATGCGATACCGTCAGAATAAGATCGGCAAGAACTAGTGCAGGGTAAGCATAAGAACAAGAGGCCTGACTGACAATCTTAGACGCGTACAAGCTTTATTAGCAGTCCCAACTCCTGTCGTCCAGTGGTTCTCTCTTATTGATTGAATTATATATAACTTTCTTTCACCATCTTCGTAGGGATGATAGCGGAGATCATAGTGCACGCCGACGGACCTTGTCGGATATACGTGCTGTTAACTCCAGCCTGCACTCAGGGTTGCCCATGACGGCTGACGCCAGCCTCCCGTCGACCACATGTATATAGGGACAACTTCTCACATCGCACATGTGGGTAGAGTCCAGTGAATCTCACAAAACCCAAGATCCGAACACGTCTAGTTCCAATCAAACTTAAACAGACCATGCATCTCATCCTCACCGGGGCCACAGGCCTTGTAGGTTCTGCTGCTCTGGACGCGATGCTTCACACACCCACCATCTCCAAAATCACAATCCTATCGCGACGACCCATCCCTTTCGCACAAGAGGCCTCGGATCCTCGCGTCAACGTCATCCTCCATCAGAACTTCAACCAGTACGACCCGTCCCTACTGGAGCAGCTACAAGGGGCCAATGGCTGCGTGTGGGCACTGGGGATATCGCAAAACCTCGTTAGCGCAGAAGACTATGTGGAAATCACCAAAGACTACGCGCTCAGCGCCGCGAGAGTGTTCGAGGACATCAAGGCCAGTGAAGGGAAATTCCGCATGGTGTACGTGTCCGGCGAGGGCACAACACACAACCCTGGGCGATTCACGCCCATCTTTGGCCGCGTGAAGGGGGAGACAGAGAAGGAGCTCGCAGTCATATCTGCGCGCGGTCACATCCAAATCGACTCGGTGCGGCCATCCTTTGTTGACAAGCAGGGTCACGAGGCCATCCTACCCTACGTGCCCGCGGTGCCATTCTCCATGAAGGCTATGGTGGCCGTGGCGGGACCGTTGATAAGGGGCTTCATGCCGAGCCAGCACTCGCCGACGCCGATGCTGGGCAGGGGTTTGGTCGACATGGCCATGGGAAAGATGGAGGGCAAGTTTGAGGGTAAGGGCGTGGAGAGGGTCGGTGGATCGTGGATCGTGTCCAACGTCGGGTTCAGGCGGATGGTGGGTGCTTGAATGGGGACTTCGATACCACGGAAATATCAACAGTATGATCGCAATGTCTTGAATGCGTCGTGGGTCGATACGCGACGCGTCTGTCGAGTGGCCACCAAGAGCGGAGCGGAAGCAGGCAAATGGCATATAATATCGTGGGCAATTCCAGTGCGAGTGTTGACGACAGGGACCAGACACTTGGCAAGGGAGTGCAATCCGCCGGCACAACAGACATTGAATGGATGCCAACGAACTCGAGAAATAGTGCACCTGACCAAAATGCTGAGATCACGTGCCCACGCGCTTCACCAACGTCCCTCGCACTCCGCGCGCTTCCCGCTCCATGGCCACAACTCGTAACTCCATCCAGCAATTCGTTCAACGCACTCTGAGAGACCCTGAACTTGTGCGTATAGACACTCTCAAGTCTGCAACTTGAGAGCAAGCAAGTGGTCTTCGGCATTCGATTCGGTATCTTCGCCTTGGCAATCGAACTCCTCGAGCGCGACGCGAGAACCCCCTTGAAGAGTCGAGACCTGGCTCCATACCCGATCTCGGATGGGCCCGAGATGGCGCAAGGGGATGGATCGTATGGCCGCTCCGCGTATCTTGTCGCTCACCGGCTAGAACTTGGGCCGGTCGAGCACTGCCACTAGAGACCGATGGGCAATCTCCAAGAGATCTTTAAGGCTTGACAGTTCTTTCAACCCCACCATCATCGAGCCGGTGGAATCCACGTATTGCCAGAAACCGAAAAGCCTCATTTCAGATGTCTTGGAAAGGTCTCTGTGGAGTGCCGCGGGACTCGAACCCGCCTGGCACTCTGTGATGTATCGGCATCACTTGTTTCTGAGTCTCGATAACAAATCCAATGGGCTCTGGCGAGCATTCCAACCCTGGTGATCTGCCGTCCCCGCTGGTATGGCTCATATTCTCATAGTATCAACATGAACCTACGCGATGGAGCGCGGCCCGCATATATTGCGTCCCATCGTGTTGAGGTTGGGCTCGGATGGTGGTTGTCGTACACAGTCCTTCGCTTACTTAGTTTTCGCCTCGGTAAAGCAACAGTTGTTGCTGTACGCACTGACATGGCGAGAATGACAAGCGACAAGGCCCTAGCGGGCGCGATCTTGGTCGTATCGTCACTGGCAGTGGTCCAGGCACAACATACTGTCACAGTCGAGATCACATCTTACCACGACGTCAATGCTTGCATGAACGTGTGCGCTGCACAACCCACGTTCGGATCCATGGGGCCGCCTCCACTGCATCCTAAGCCCCATCATGGTCACGGCCATCCAGGAAACCAGGGCCGCCCTCCTGTTCTTGATCAGCACCATCCCCAACACACTCCACAAGTCACTCTCACACTTCCTATCTGTGAAAAGGAGGGCAAGATCGAAACTAAGCCTGCTGCATGCGACGACTGCCTGGAGACAGTCTTCTACTACGAGCCCACGGACCTCACATACGTGACAAAAACCACAACGTTTGGCCACGGCCCGTACCCGACGATTTCTACGATTCTGCCCGAGGAAGACTGCCATGTTTGCGAGGGCACAGTTGTCATCTGCGAGCCTGCTTACATCACATCTTTCCCGGACCACCCTGAGACCCCCTGGGGATTCGAATATGAAGGCGCCGTCACCACTATACTGCCCGGTGCTAGTCCCGATGGGCCTCGCATCGCGATTCCTGGTGCTCATCCCAGTGACCCCTTGACTGTGGTCATTGGCCCGCCTGGATTCACAGACAGACTTCCCACGATCACTGCCCCTGGCGCCAGTGCCAGTGCTGGTGCCCCCACGAGGACGCTGCTGCCAACCGGTAACAATGGCGAGCCTCTTCCAGGCGCGTCGCCTGTCGTTGTCATCGGCGAGGCTGTTGCTACTGGTGGGCTAGGGGCAGGCTCAGGCTTGCCTGTCGTATCACTGCCAGGTGCCGAGGACGGCGATTCAGCTGTCACTTTTCCTGGAAGCGGCCTTGGAGGTACCCCCTTCATCTTGGCGGGTAGCCCAAGCGAGCTGGGCGTCAGCAACGACAGAGACTCGAATCTAATAAACAACAACAACAACAACAACGAAGGCGGCAACCCAGCTGCTGGCACTGAGCCCAATGGCAATGGAGACTCGGGCAGTGACATCCCGGGAGCTGTCACCACGCTGCTCTCTGGCGCGGATGAGAACGGACCTCGCATCACCCTCGGTCCTATCAACGTCGGAGATCCAGCCACCGTTGTCATTGGTACGCCTGGATTCCAAGATGCCATCCCCACTGTCACGCTACCTGGTGTCTCGCCTGGTGCCACTGGCCCCAAGGTCACTCTACTTCCCTCTGGCAACGCTCAAGGCCCTGTCGCTATTATCGGAGACCTTGCGTCGATCGACAGTGATAGAGTATTCATTCCCGGCGCTGACGCCAATGACGGCGATTTCACCCTCCCTGCGGTCCCATTCCGTGGCTCACCTCTGGTTGTTGCCGGTGACCCAAGTTGGCTGAACGATTTCCCCGATGGTCCCAACGTCGGACTTCTGATTGATACTGGCTCTGGCTCTGGCGCCGGAGGCGACCCTGGTGATAACAGCCTGACCAGCACCGGCGGCGGTGGTGGTACGGGCACTGGCGACGAAGGTAACCTGGCGGGCAGCAGCGAAGATACAGGAATCAACACCAATGACCCTTTGCCAGACACGGATGGCGATGGTGAACCTGACATTGGCACTCCCAATGGCCTTGATCTGAATAATGATGGCGTTGCAGATGCTGGTCCTAGTGGAGGACCCGTTGCCCTCGACAACGACGGCGATGGCAACCCTGACGCGCCTGCATTCGGAGACCAGCTGCTGGACTCGGCTGTCCCACCCCCAGGAGATGCTGGGTCCGATGGAGGCAGTGGAGCCAGCACAGACCAATCCCTTGATTCTGCTACTGATACAAACGGCGACAACGTTCCTGATCCTGGCGCCGGCACTGGTGGTGGTTCTCAAGACACCAATAGCGATGGCGCCACCAACACAGAACTAGGCGCAGTGACTGGTGTCGGCGACCCAGATGGCGATGGCATTGCCGATCTCAACCTTGGAGATGAGCTCGTAGCCGAGCTTCAAAGCGTCAACGACGATGGGGGCCCAGACCTTGGTGTTGGTGGTGGTGGCACGGGCGATGCTGCGTCAGACACCGATGGCGATGGGACACTCGATTCCGCCGGCGCTGGGGACAGTGGGAGCGATGTCGACTCGAGTGCTGGAGACAGTGGTACCGGAACTGATACTACTACCGGTGACGAGCCGGACGCTGGTGTTGGAAACACCGACGAGACTGTTTCCAGTACCAGCAGTGGAGGCAGTGGAAGCGGTGCTGACTCTGGTGACGACTCTGGTGCTGGAGGCAGTGGAACGGAATCTGATACTGCTACCGGTGGTGAACTCGACGCTGGTGTTGGGAACGTCGACGGAACTTCCGGCCTGGAAACCGAACCTAGTGTCGATGGCTCTGGTACAGGAGATGGAGGTACCGGAGGTACTGGCACTGGGTCTGGTGGTGATCCCCAAGTAGAAGCCGGGCTCAACGATGGCGATGGCGGTTCTGGAGGTACTGGCAGTGTGGATGCGGAAAGTGACGGCTCTGGCGTGGGAGACTCTGGCACTGGCACTGGCACTGGCACTGGTATCGACTCTGGCATTGGCACCGACTCTGTCACTGGCATCGACTCTGCTACTGGCACTGACTCTGGATTGGGCACCGGCACTGGTGGCTCTGGGACAGTGTCAGGAGATACAGACTCTGGATCGGGCACTGGCTCAGGTGGCTCAGGCTCTGGCACTAGCACCGACTCTGGCACTGGCGCTGATTCTGGATCGGGCACTGGCCTAGGTGGCTCAGGCACTGGCACTGGCACCGACTCTGCTACTGACTCTGACTCTGGATCGGGCACCGGCTCTGGTGGCTCTGGGACATTGTCAGGAGATATAGGCTCTGGCTCGGGCACTGGCACAGGCGGCTCAGGCTCTGGGACAGTGTCAGGAGATGCAGACTCTGGATCGGGCACTGGCCTAGGTGGCTCAGGCACTGGCACTGGCACCGACTCTGCTACTGACTCTGACTCTGGCTCGGGCACCGGCACTGGTGGCTCTGGGACAGTGTCAGGAGATGCGGACTCTGGATCGGGCACTGGCACAGGCGGCTCAGGCTCTGGATCGTTGTCAGGAGATGCAGACTCTGGATCGGGCACTGGCACAGGCGGCTCAGGCTCTGGATCGTTGTCAGGAGATGCAGACTCTGGATCGGGCAC